AACCTTTTCATTTAACTTTTAATTTGAAATAATATTTTATTCAATAAGATGTACAATGAACGTACAAACCAAATAGTATTATTACCATTACTATTACCATGATTATTACCATTATTATGAAATATTCTATATCAAAGTAGTTAATTAAATTTTGTAATTATCATTATACGCAATGATTGCTAGCCTTGCTAGACGATTTCAGTGAAAAATGGTACGTACCGTAGAGTGTGATGTGAGATGAAACTCGGGTGTCGGAGGCGTCCCGGGACGTTCTCCCTAGTTTAGGCTCTGCGCCCGGGTGGAGTGTATGGGGGTCGTGGAATGAATTTTTGTGAGAATGTGATTTTGCCTTTTTTAAATATAGCGTTAGGTAGGTAGGTAGTATACCTTCTGGTGTGTGTGATAGATTGTAAGTAGGTAGGGCCGGGACAGGTTGTCACAGTCTCTTGGTCGGGTAGGCGCGATTTCGCGTGATCAACCTGTACCTGGAATATATTTGAAGAATTGACGATCCAATCGATACGAACGGAGTATGCCGTTCGCCTTCGATTCTATCTGTACAATTTTTCAAATTTTTGGCGACTTCATAAGTCGTCATACGCGATCGCGATGGCACGAAACGCACAAGTTCTGCTCGAGCACGGCACGTGTGCACGAACAACGACTTATATAAAGTCCTTTTTCGTCCACGTGTCAATTAGAGTTTCGCGATTTTTCTTTTTTGTTGATTGATTTTTTTTTTGTTTTGCGAATTTGCAAGTCTCGAGCTTTAAATATAAGTTTCAGGTGGGTGGACCGCCCGAAGAAAGAAAAGGCTATATGCCGAAGCGCCCCGACAAACTGTCTTTCAAGAGGGGAACTACTAATGATTTTGCATCCTTTTGCAAAAAAGGATGGGAAATCATTATCGTTACTACTTTGTCACTGTGCTTGCCTGTAGTTGTAGTTTTGTAATTGCAGGAGAAGAGGGGGCCCGTGACCCCCATGATTTTGGGCAAATCGCGTTTTCAATTTAGTGTTGCGAATATTGTCCACGGTTCAATTTAGTGTTGCGAATGAATATCGATCACGGTTCAATTTAATGTTGCGTATGCATGATTATCGCGATTTTCATTTAGTGCTGCGAACTTTAAATATCGCGTTTCTTTCTTGCATTACTTTAAAATAGAATTTAACTTTTCAATGTTGATTGCTTTAAGATTTTTGAGAGTTTTGCTTTTTTTAATGTTCATTGCTTTAGTGTTGCGAGTAAAAGATTCACGGTTTGAGAATCCCCTTTTTTTGCATTTTAATTGCATGTCTGTTAAAGATAGCGTTGCGAATGACATTAGCGCGATTGTTTCCCAGTGTTGCGACTTATAAATACGCGATTGCTTTGCATTAGTTTATAGAGTTCCCTGCTAATTAGTGTTGCGGTAATGAATATTCGCGTTTTGCATTAGAGTTGCGATATATGATGAAATGCCCAAAAACGATCCAGTGGAGTTGCCATGGTCCATAAGGCAGCTATGGACCAGCTGCCATGATACAGCCTTGGATTGGCTGTACCCCTTTTTTAGATTAGTGTTGCGTCTTACAAAACTCGGTAGATTTGAGTAGTGTTGCGTTACAGTTCGCGTTTTTTCTTTTCTTCTTTTTTTCAGCTTAGCGTTGCGTATAATGGAGCAGCCTTCACGCGTACGCTTTTGTACATATTATATAATTAATAAAATTAGTGTTGCGAGTAAAAAATTCACGGTTTGAGAATCCCCTTTTCTGCATTTTAATTGCATGTCTGTTAAAGATAGTGTTGCGATAGACATTAGCGCGATTGTTTCCCAGTGTTGCGACTTATAAATACGTGATTGCTTTGCATTAGTTTATATATAGAGTTCCCTGCTAATTAGTGTTGCGGTAATGAATATTCGCGTTTTGCATTAGAAATGCCCCAAAACGATCCAGTGGAGTTGCCATGGTCCATAAGGCAGCTATGAACCAGCTGCCATGGTACAGCCTTGAATTGGCTGTACCCCTTTCTTAGATTAGTGTTGCGTCTTACAAAATTCGGTAGATTTGAGTAGTGTTGCGTTACAGTTCGCGTTTTCTCTTTTTTTCTTTTTTTCAGCTTAGCGTTGCGTATAATGGAGCAGCCTTCACGCGTACGCTTTTGTACATATTATATAATTAATGAAATTAGTGTTGCGAATGAATTCGCGATTGTTATTAAATTAGTGGAAGTAACTATGACTCACATTCGGTGGGAATTCATTGCTAGTCAAGGATTCCGCGGCCTAAGACCGTGAACACCATCTCTGGGAGATATACCCATGCATTACTAGGCCTTTGCAGGCACAGTTTTAGAATACGGAACATATGAAAATATGTTACCATATTCTAAACTGCAGTCCTTTTGTCTATACTATGGGCGTCCGTCAATCTGACACCGTTGGATGCAACGTGTTGGACGGGCGGGTAGCGCTCTTAGCGAAGGGGTGCACTCTGTCCTGGCGTTACGACGTCCAGGCGGGGTGGGTGGTATGTAGCGTCTGGCGTAAGTCTAGGGGGCGTGAGACCCTTCGTTGCCAGCCGATGTTTTGTCATAGTTCAGAATGTTTGCAATTTTACAATTAGTGTTGCGTGTGATTTCGGTTTGTTTTATAGGGTTTGCTTAGGGATTGCTCTTATGGGCAGTGAAACTTTTCTTTTCAGGTTCCCCTGCACCCTCCCTCCCACTGCCCTGCCCCCATTCTTTTTTCTTTCCTTTTTTTAATTTTGAAAATGTTGAGCATTCGGTTATTGGAAATACTGTTAAATAATATATGAATTTAATGTTTTCAGGATATTATTAGTTACGATAAAGTGTTAAAGAGAACTTTATTCAAAGTTTTATTTAAAATGGAAATTCATTTTATTTTGTGATGATTGGTGATAAATTATTTCAAGGAAGATTCATTTGAAATATTTTATTAAATTTTAATTCTACTTTATTTAAACAAAAGTAGTGGATAATTGTTGTTCGAGTTGTTTAATTTTAATTTTTGATCGCGATGTTTCGTTTCAAACTTACGGAGAAGCTAATTAAATTACTTTTATAAATTTTCAAATTCTTTTCCTGAGAAGCAAAGTCCACTCGTGATTTTCTTTTCAGTTTTTCCATTTACAATAAATTTGCATTGAAAGGTGTATTGAATAATATAATGCAATAAAGTCGAGTAGAGTCATGGTTGTACGTATATTGCAGTAAAAGACAGTTGTTTCAGTTAAAATATTGTGTACTATTTGTCGCGAAATGAACGAATATTAAATACAATAAAATGAAATAATTAATGTTCTTAACTCAAATCACTTAACTCAAGTATATATTTTTCTGAATTTTTTTCTCTTTATTTTGGTAGTGAAGTTTGCTTTTAATTCATATTTCGCATCAAATTGATTTTGAATTATGAACAACCACTCTGACTTTTGTAAAATTTTATTGTTACTAATGTATCTTCTTTCCAGCTATTAATTTTTCTTTGTCTTTTTTTGGATTCAATTAATCAGTTTCTGTTACAGAGAAATATCTTTATAGGAAGTGTGAATTAATAATATCGGATAATAGATTGGAAGAAATGTAATTTAAAATCTAGCATCCATAAATGGAATTCAATGCATCCAATTAAGTAAAACGAGGTGAAAATGATTCTTATGAGTGGTAATATTTGAACCGTACTATTTTCAAAAATTGTATTTAATCTTTTTCTGTTTGTTTCAGGCAGGTTGTAAATTTATAATTAAGGCTACATGAGCCTCATTATTTTCTTAAATTATGTTTAATCCTTTTCAGTTTTATTTCAGGAAGTATTCTGGTGAGGACAACAAAATCAACAAATTCATTGGACTTATTTATGTATATGGTCATCAAGATATAATCATCAAACACTGCAGTGTTTAATTAGGAAGCGTTAGATTTAAGCGAATTTTTAGTATAATTACGAGCGCTCGTAGATATAGGTAGCTATTTTTAGCAGTATAAGTATGTCGGACAAATATGCAATTGCATATTTATTAATTACAGATCTGTAATCAAAATCAAAATTAAAAATTGTTGCGATAGGAATAAAAAGCAAAAATCTACGTAAATATATGTATAGATAAGTAGATAGGTAGGTAGTGAATAAAAACAATACTCCTTTTGTTGTTCGTTTGCACAACAGTCGAAACGTTTTGCAAATGTGCACCAAGAGGATGATGTTATTGAATGAAAGTAAAAATTTGCATAAATGGAGGGTGGATGGGATGAGGTAGGGCGGGTCTCCAGCCGCAGCAACCTCCCCGTGGTGAGACCCGGGCAATCGTTATTATTTGATGGATTATTAATAATTGCATCATTATTTCAATGGTACACTTATTAATTATGCAGCAAATAATACGAGCGAATTGGCTGCGGAATTTATGGTTTTTTTTCTTCTATTTAATCTCTGTTATATTTTTTTCAGGAACTATGCCTTTGAGATTCTGAAGTTGCAAATACAATTATACCAAATACAGCCCTCTTACCATTTTTATCTCACATACTATATTATCGGTTCAGAATAGAATAAAATAGCAGCGCTATTGAAACGATAGATGCAAAGAACTTATCGGCTGATAGTTACGAGCTAAATCGGTAATAAAGTAGCTTTATCATAATTCAACTCTACATTATTAGATGGCGTTGACTGAGCGCTCAACGATGACGTCTCAAGATCAGCTTCTTTCCGCTTCCGCTACGTATATGATTTGGTTCACCGAGTATGTGACCACAAACTGAAAAATACCCGGTAAAGAAATAGGTACTGGATTGATGGTAAAGAACTTTTCAAATTCAGCTGAGATTGTAGTTTAAAAAATCTTAATCGCCGGCAATTATCTTTATAATTAATATCTTTTAAGAATGGATTAGTTAAAAGAGCGTCTATAGGACATAATGTCCATTTATAAATGTTACGCATAAAAAATGAAAATTCTTTCTTATCAGTGCTAAATTTTGCAGTATGAAATGTTCATGTAATTTTATTATTTATTAATTGATGTTTATGCTTAAACTTTAGCATACGACCATAATATTTTCCATCGCGTTGATTATAAATCAATTAAATTGATCGATCTGGTTATCGTTACAAAACATATGTCGCAACGATACCTCAGGGGGTCAGGACCAACGGCTTTGCGAGCGCGGGAAGCTAAAACATTCAATTTAAAGTGAAGAAACATAAGATGGACGTAAATACCCCGAATAGTCGTGGAATTCTTGAAATATAAGGATAAAAAGTACTTCTACGTATGAATTTAAGTTATCTTTGTAATAAATATAATGTTAATTATGAAATATTTATACTTATAAGTGTTGAACTCTAAGCGCTCGCAAATGCCTTGAATAAGTATTGAACTTAACTTTTTTTTTTACGCGTCACAAGATAACTTCGATTAAAATACGTGCGAAAATTTATGCCCCATATCGTTCCATATCTGTAACCGCATATACGGTTGTATCCTTAATTCTATGATTACCAATTTCAGTATAAAATATACATTTAAGAGCGACGAAGAATAACATTGACATTGAAATTGACGTAGCGTACAAGTGGGACGTTATTCTTACCCTCACCGGAACAAACACTCTTTGGCATACGTCGTTTTCGTAACAGAACTTCCTGCATAGTGGGCAGTAACGCTTTTTTTTTTTTGTGACTGTGTATGCGTTCATTCTATATGTTCAATTATTTGACGCGTATCTAAATGTAGCGATCGAATTATCCTGAATATTTGATACAATGTTGAACTTACGTTCAATTCGAATAACATTTTAAACAGCTCGAAATATTACAAATTATTTGAAAGCTCGTGAAAAAACGAATGTTCATTGTATACACAAAATATAAAATCTAGAATTATGGATGTCAAAACACATACGTCGCTTCTTTCAGTCGTTCACCGCATGTTTTCTTTATTTTTCATCTCTTTCTCTCAAATCGTTTCATTCGTTCAATCCTTCCAAGTATACTTTTAACATGCAATAATGTACGGTATGAGTAACGATAATATTTTTGATAATCGACTACTAAAGAATATCAAGAGGTCTACAATAACGACCACTAATGTTACATGTAGTTGAACCGATCACAATGGGATTACAAAAAGGTTACGCTTCTTCGACGCACGAGGACCGGTAATTTGTGCATTTAAAAAGTATGAAATTGTTCAGAAAATATACAAGGTACCCAAGGATTCGCTCTTATATTGAAATATATCTGATATAACTTCATTCTATATCCTATGAACATTAGATACACCTGATGTATATTTCTTACAAACATAATCGATTCTCTCCCGCTCTCCTTTTATCTAGTTATTAATTATTCTTACCGATGTAGTCGCGAACAGTAATTCTAGCAGTAACCCATTACCGTGATCGATATGTTGCAGTTATGTATTGGACGATCTCTGCCTGCGTCGATCGAACTGCACGTTCCCTTTTTTTCGTTCGAAGGTAATCGACAATCGACGAGGATAATTCGCTTAAACCGTAGGTGATTAGAAAAACAGTACAAATACGAGAAAGTCTTCTAACGATTCGAAGAAGCTGTAACCTTACTCGTCGAAGGAAAACCGAATAGATGGAGTGGAGGATACGTTGTCGAATAATCTTATAAACGATGTAAAAATTCGCGTTGATTTGTGTAATAATAGTTTACGGCTCGAGAGAGGTTCACGTACGCTGTCTTATATCCTTAAATAATTATATATATATACCGCTTAATACTTTACGCTTTACTATGAACTAAAGCTATTGCTCGTTTTCTTCAGTCTAACACGCATCGATAGAATTACGCCGATCGTTATCGTCTGTTGGAGAAATTTTTTGCTTCAGTGGCTCGTTCTGATTTCAATGTTTTGTCACCTTTTCTATATCCCTTTTTTACTTCGTATAATAGTTTGCAAAATTAGAATTATAGAGAGAAGGAAAAAGAAAAAGGTAACAATAATTATCAAAATGGTTAATAATGTCTGAAGCTCTTGAATGTTTTCAATACTTTCGAAACATTGAAACATTGTTTTAAAACACTATTAACCATGAAAGCCTGAATATTCTGAACAGTAACCGAAGTAATCTGTATATATTTCACGTGATCAAAGTAGACGAACAATTAAAAATATTTCCATTGTCAGTGTCAACGGACAATCAAATGCAAGGTATTCCGAAGAAAGCATACCGTCGAAATCGGCATCGTAACTCGTCTTTTTCTCTTGCGTTACACACGAGGAAAAGATGTTGAAACCTCTCTTTCAGATGGTCAATGTTACGCTTGATAGTCTGTCTAGTGGGTAACGACGAGTTATCAACAAAAGGCACCAGCTTGTTTTTCTTTAAAAACGATGGACGTCCGTTAGGAAGTTACTTTAAAAAGGATTACAGCAGCTCGACAACGTACAAGTATCAACGATAAGTTCGCTTAACGGGAGCACAGTGTCGGTATTACCTTCGTTGGAACTGTGTTCGCATAGAAAAAAAATATAGCCTCACCGTGTATCGATGTTAAAAAAATCTACGCTTTAATCGAGCGTATCTTTTTAGGGAAGAAAAAAGAAAGAAATATGCATCAAGGGTGAGACTCTCAGCCCTGTTGCATACGAGAAAAATGGATAAAGAACCCGAAGCCTGTTTCAAGTACACACAGGCTTCATCGTGGTACACTTTAGTAACAGGTGTATACCTTGTATGTGCATTAGATCATTGTCTTGTCAGCGTATACCTTTCCTTAAGTATAAATCTGTAGCAGTATCAAAATAGTAAAAATGGTGCATATGAAGACCATGAGCACAGGTAGGACCAGAATGAATCTGACCGAGCGGCGTATGCCGCTTGGCTCTTGTCATACAACCTGGTCACCAGATTCTATGGATGAATCGAACAGAGGTCGTTCAGCTTGTGGATCGTTGTTCGCCGACGATGCTGTGCCGCTACCGTTGCTGGAACCTTCTCTTCTCGTCTTGCTAGAGCCAGAGAAGCACAGACATCCGGACTGATTGCGATTCCTCTTCAACGTCGGTTTGTTCTCGCGGTCCCGTTCCGCCAAACATTTTTGGTAATAATCGTAGTCTTTTAAATACCTATTACAGAGAATATATAATTGAACATTTCAAATGTACCAGGGTATATTGAGTGAAAACGCGTACCATACTGGAGGCCACCGATGCTCGTTCAGATACTCCTGGTTCTCCGGATGAAGAAGACGGACACTCCGGGGGGACATCTTACACAGTTTATTGTAATTCACGCACAGATGGTTCATGCACCAATCTGCCAGTTGATCAGCGTTGTGTAACTGCAACCCGGCGATAAATCGTAAATTATTAGACTGGTCGTTTATTGATCAGTCGATGAGTGATCGAAGACTGCGCTGACCTTGCACGGCTCCAGTAGCCTCAAGCAATTCTCCACAGCCTCGTTTCCCTCGTTCTGCGACAGCCTCTCGAGATCTTCGATTACCCTGCTCTCGACCAGGTTAACCAGTCGTTGCAAACAGAGGCGATTCGCCAGTTCAAGTAGATTCAAGCATCTGGCAGAGGAAATTGCTGGCACCTCGTCCGTGTACAGATAGCAGAGCAGTTTGTGGAACGTGTACTCGCGTACTCCAGGAAACACTATCTGTTATTTGAATTTTATTACAATTTACAGGATACGATGAGATGGTAGAGGGGAAAGAGTTTAACTTACCACTTTTGCGCTACTTTCGCGGAAATCGCCAGAGAACATCGCCTTCATAACGTCGCATCGGGCAGTAAGAATCGCCTTGTGGGCTGGCACGCTTCCATCGTCCAACTCGAACACCACATCGGCGAACAGTCCTAAAGAAGTCGTATGTTTAATTGAAAATTCAAGAAATCTCTATTTAATTAACGCTTTACCGTGTTCCAGGCAAATATCTTCAAGTCGCTGCCTCACTACCTGCTTGTACCGATTATTGAGGTCACTGTTGAACTGTTCTCTTGTCTGGATACTTCCAAGTACCATCAGTAACTGCGGAAGCTCCAAGAATTCGGCTGCTTGCCTGATTTCCTGTGACCGAGAAATATGTACAATCACCAGGAATCCTTTCGTCACGCGAGACGGAGATGATCGATATGAATCATTTGGAAGTCCTATTCGATGATCCATGCACCCATGATCGTTACGAATGTTTGTTACATTTATCAGATGATATCCTACGAATACGTCCTTTACCTGGATTCTTCCCTTCTATTACATTTTGATCTAATGGATAAGAGGACATGCTAAAATAACAATAATTGCGACAATGACCTAACCGATCGATTCTCTCCGAATCGATAGAATTCAAAGCTAAATGGCTCTACTAGATGCGTGCGTGTGGTTTGTGTTAATACGTGTCTATATTTTCTTATGTGTTTGTGTATGTGTGCTGGTGTCAGCAAACGTATCTCACATTGTACTAACCAGTAGAAGCCCGATAGGAGCTGTCTGAAAGAATAGAGCCGCGTTAGTTACTGTATACAGCACTGTTAGCATCGGTTAAACTCATTGCTTAAAGAAAGTACATCGATATTACAACAAGATGTTTGATTATTAAGCTCTCCGTAGCTGGTTATTCCTATTCAAGATCAAACTGACGTAACCTGTCGACATAATTAACTTGCTCTCTTTATTCGTTTGCTCATACCGTAACTACACTTGCTATTAAGAAATCGGCGTACGCAACTTGTTACGCCAATTGAAAAAAAACGCAAAGGATAAGACTTCGCGAGAGTGCTGGACGGGTGTACCTGGCTGCCCGCATAGAAAATCTACCGACGCAACGTACTTGTAGATCATGATACCGTTTATCCAAACTGCCCGTGTAAATGAACTGCAGGCATTGCTGCATTGCCTGTGGCGTGATTAACTTGGACAGCGTCACCACGGTAGTTGGTTGTTGCATTCCGTTCGTATTCTCTGTCTATGATTCAATTGACAAAAATAAAGAATTAAATTTCTGTTAGACGTTCATTAATTCATTCTTCACCGTTACAGGTACCCACCAGGCACACACGGATGTTCTGAAAGGCAGGATGATTGAGTTCCCTGGTCGCACCGTTTGATTTCCTCTGGTTATCCATCGTGGGCAGTACTTGGAAGCTCGAGCGACGCTTCAGTTGTTCCCAAACTCTGCAACGTTCGTTTACGCCCATTGAAAATGCTGATCGTTGCATCGCAACCGGATTTCCGGGCATTAGAAACATCGCTTATTTGTCGGATAAACTTACTTTGTGGGTTTTGATTGATCGATACGTATCAGGCACTCGGTGTCCTCGTTGAAATCACCCACCGTTGCTTCGCCAAATGTACTCACCTTAACAATGTGAAAAAAAAAACATATTTTTAAACCCATCCAGGCAACGACTTTCAAAGAGTTTAGATAATTATAGCGACTGTTCGAAAATACCATGCTGGATTCGCTGGAACTTCTGGGTGTCTGTTCCTGGATCAATTCCGTGGAGAAGAGTCGATGGAACGCCGGCGATGCGGCAGCTAGAAGACACCGATGAGCCGAGAACGTGCAATTACCGGCTATCAAAGTCACGTCGGTGTGAACCGGCTTCGTCCACAATGTCCTCATGTTCTCCTCGTAGGTGCTTACCGCGAGACATACTTCCGGTGGGACTGGTTTCGGTGGACAGAACGGTGCCTAAACGCGATCATAAATATTTCTTTCAATTCGAGACACTGTAGGGGTAACTTATGAAATTTTCAGCTTTCAAGGTACCTGCAGCAAAGGTCTCTGCACCCTCTTCAGGTTCGTCATCCAGAATCGTTGTTGGCGACGAGCGATCAGAGCAGCACGGATCGAGTTCTCGAAGACTTCGTTGACCCCGTAATAGGTGAAGACGCTGGTCTCGTAGTAGCATACACCGAGTTCACGCGCTACGGCGCGAGCCTGATCAGGCATCACCAGATCGCTCTTCCTCGTCGCCCTGAAAACAGCATCGGCCTAGAGTGAAATTGACTCGAAACAGAAGCAGAGAATTCTTGAAAGTCGCGCTGAACTTTGAGGATCCCTCGAGAGCCCAACGTTATATGTCAAGGTTCTATTAATCCCGTTCTTTAATGTTGCCATCCAACCGGGAATTCGATATCTCGATGGTTAAAGGCGTTCGAAATGTCGTACTCCGCGTCGATGATCTTCAGAAAAAGGAAAATTTTCATCCGATAAGAGGTGGGAAAAGTAGCGACCGATTGGAAAGGCACGCGGAGCCAGCGAAATCAATACTTTGACACAGTTTGCCAAAGAGGCCATCGGTGAAGAAGCATCGATGCATTTGAACGAGCCATCGTATAGGATGGAAAATAAATCAATCTCAAAAGGGGTGTGTTGCTTCTAAATACGGAAGAAAAAGCTAGCTAAACATAGCCAGCCGGATAACGTACCTCACGAATGGACTGCGATCTCGAAAATAGCTGAGATAAGTTTCGTCTCGATACATGTACCGCAGGTCGTTCTTGCATCCCACCAGCAATACCGGTGTCTGAGGGCAGAATCTTCTTATCTCCGGATACCACATCGCTTTGCAGTTCCGCAGGGAAACGGGATTCGTTATGGAGAAACATAGCAACACTACGTCTGATCTGTATAAATAGAGTTGAACGTTTTAACCTCGTGAAGAAATCTAACGAAGGTTGCACGTTGGTGGACGAGTAAGATTACCTTCCGTATGCGAAACGTCGGTCCTTCTCGTGGTCGCCAAACGTATCCCAGAGACGAAGAGAAACGTTCACGTTGTCGACTACCTCCCAGGATCGTTCTAAGACCTGGTAAACGAATGCAGGACATTGTTTTCTATCCCATTTCTTTAATATGGTATATTAAATAAAAATGCCATTTTCATTTGCACGAATAGCAGTCTAATTATATATGCTCTAACGTGCTCTAGACAGCTGTGGAAAAAGAACTTACATCCTTGTAGATTCTATACTGGTCGATCGCCCAGACGGTGGGCACGTGAGTCGTCAACAGTTGCGAGAGAGACACGTGTTTGTTGCAGGCTCTCGCGCAGATCAGTCTGGTCTTTCCAACTGCGGTGTCGCCCACGACCACGCACTTGACCAGTTCCTGATGCGGCTGCTCATTGTCCATCACCGACAATCTCCCCTGTTCATCCAATATAACCTTTCACGTGCCAGCTCGTCTGTACACGCGGCTACCACCGATACTAGCACTGTCGTACCTCCAGCTAAACGGCACGTCCACCACATCCGATCTTCACTGTGCACCGATCTCGGTATCGGTTCGCTCTACGATCCTGGAACGAAAATAACGAAAATTCGAAAACGTACCCCGAGTGAGCCGTTGCCTGTATGCACGCGATGCCCTTGGTGAAATTCTAGAAACGATTTAATCATTGCTGGAATAGCAACTTGATAGAAAAATATCGCGCCGACACGTGGGAGGAATGGTATGTCCTTACGTGATGGCCTAATAAGCGGGTCGCGTCGCGTGACCGATGAAATTTTGTGATATATTTTATGCGGCGAATGCGTTCGATTTTGCGTCTATGTGCTTTACCATTTGTAAACGGTACTTTATCACTGTTACAAGTATTTGCATAATTGCCAGGGCGAACCTGGCCCCCTCCAAAATGCGGATTGATTCTCCCTACTCTTCAGCAATGATCGGAATTGGTATCAGGAAAATTGTATCTTTCAAAGAAATTAAGCGATGCTGTATTGGGGCCATTATTCGAAACAGAAGGACATAATGGAGCACACACGTGGGGACGGGATGTTTCTGGATACGATCACGAGGAACGGATATTTTAAGCTTAACTGTGCAGACGTTCAGGCATATATACATACATATATACGCAGAATGCCTATTGATTTGACCCCGTAAGCGCCTTCTCTATATTTAGTATCGAACCTTCGCAACTTCAACCTCAACCTCTGTATCACCTTAACCCTGAACGAAGGCATGGACACAACCCATTCCTCTCGCGACCAGCTTTCACCACGGGATGAGACTACCGTTGTTGAGATTCGCCGCTTTTAACCGAACTTCGAGCCTTCGATTACACCGGTTTGCACCGATTTTCACTGAAACTCATCGCTGTCTATTTATATCGAGGCCGAAAGTTTGACATTTCTACGACGACTCGAGCGAATTAACTAAACGTTGCTTTCTAAGATTCTTTATTGAGAAGATTTTTGAATAGCAATTCTGAAGAAAATAATCTTTATAATATATTTTCCAGATTTCATCGAACATGGTTTAGAACTGCACCCATCGTTTGCACGATACCGTTGACGTATATTTTATCTTCATGAACGCTATAAAAAGCCGTATTTCAAACGGACACGTCGATAATCGGTGCTTGCTAGGTGACAATATCTATAGGTGTATGCAGAACAATCAGTGAGTCACTGAAAACCTTCGCTCGATACATAGCACCGTATTCTTGGAAAAGGTCTGTGAATGAATCCGTTCCAACAATAAGAATCCTCGTATCAATCAACGCGGCAAAATCGATCAGAGCGGACAATGAAGTAATAGGAATCTTTGGCTGACGATAGTGTCTGGTCGCAGAGAACATGAAAAATTGCATAAAAACAATTTCAAAATACTCAGTTTATTTTAAATCTTACTTTTCAGCTGAACAGCAGAAAGTGTTAAATATACTTGAGAAGAAGCAATGTCCAACAACGGAACGACCAATTTTAGCTGAACTATCGAACGATCACTCTAGCTTGCGTTTCAGAAAGTTTTTAAAAAATGTTTCCAATCCACAGGAAAAATGAAAGTAAACTCCTTGTTGAATCGATAAGCGGTATGACCGTCAAACGCATTATTGCTTATGCAATTGATCAGAAATTTAGTATGATTGGATGGTAAGAAAAATGTATAGCAATTGCATTAATAACACGTTGACTGTCGCAAGACTTTTTGTTAAAGTATGACAGACAACGTATTAACGACTGTCACTACATTGTCATTTCTATTGTGACAGTCAACTATGATAATTGCCGACTTCGGACAAGGTCTTATTGATTCCTGACACTTGACGATTACGTGGTTCAATGAAATTACCGTTGTTTAGTGTCCACCAGGTTGGAAAATGAGCAATGATTCAGAAAAAAGGAGAGCACGCTCAATGGCGCTGCACTTGAACTTATCGCACGATCGTTAAACGTTCAATATCGATGGGAAACGTAACTTATAATAGGCTATTCGATCGGACGTATTTTTACGATCAATTTACGATTGAAATTACCATCCGTCGTTTGTATCTAAAGAAAAAGTAGATTTATCGTTGTTTGATTAATCGAGCAACCGATACTCCAATTTATTTTCAACGATGTAATTGAATATTCATTCCACTTCCATTTCTTACACTGGAATCTTGAAACGAGAGTAGATTGGCATAGTGTATATTACGCTCTTACAGCAACGTCCTCTAATTTTCGTTCATTTAATTTTCTAGGGCAACCCGAGTTAACTCTGATCCCAATTCATTCACAAGGAGAAGCACTTCGGATATTATGCACCAAGTTTGAATGAAACTCAGCAATCGGATCAAGCTTGAAAAGGTTGGAAATGATCTTATGGAAAGGTGATTAAACCGGATGGTTTAAGAAAACGTGTTCAACCGTCGAGAATGATGCTTCGTTTACTTGATAGATGAAAGATAGCATTAGTGGCTCATCGTTTATGGCGAAGAAAAATTGCAGGGCAGAACGCGGTGACGAGTTCTTGAATTAATGACTCAAAGAGGCGCGAACGATGCGACGGTAATTGCGTTTCTCCCGCTGACGAGGGGTGCAACGCAGAGAAAACAAATTACTCTCTCATTGCTGCTTCCTGCTGCCTATTTGGGACTGACTGAGTTTATTTTTTCACACTGTTATTCATTTCAATGCAATGAATTCTAACTTCAATCTCTCACAAGATTAGCTAACTTATTTATAACTCGTTAAAAAACTGACGACCTTATATTTTTATACAGAAAAGAAACTGAAAATGTTCTAATCAAGTCTGTTCGCTCGTATTCGACTGGAAAACACCGAACGCATAATCTTGTTTTTGCATCAGAAGGCTTCCTTAAATACATACATCATTATTACCGAGCCTCGCTTTTAAACCAACATTTAGGTAAGGTATACTCGAAACAATTATTTTTTCCTCGATACACATTATGAATTATTACTCGTTTGACAGGTGTCACGGTGGGTTGATTAATTTAGTCACGAAACGACCAGTGTAGAAATGAACCAACCCATAATGGTGACACTAATTAGTTTTTTTATCGATTTTAGAACAGACGAGCTGGTCGACCAAAAAATTTACAGACGCGTGTTGCGTGCGGAAGGTGGTCCGTTGACGCATTGCAGAATAGGAACGGTAGGGAGGTGAGCGAAACCGGTAAAAAGGGTAGAGGAGAGCAAAAGAAAGATGCAAAAAGTAGCTAGAGATGGTGACGCTTTTTTAGCCGAATAAGAAACGCAAGTTGGTCCGTGGGTTTAGTAAATCAATTTCGTCGAAGGACGATCCAAGTCCGAGCATTGCGACGGGGTCAACGAGCCGCACGGCGGCCGCATTAATTAAGTAAACGCTGCTCCTATTGCCGACCTTTTTCAACGGTTAATCGCGAATGGTACTAGCGGGTAAGCGTACACTATTGTTCCGTCTCTTGAAACTAGACCCTGAAACTGCATACTTCAATCAGTCAGGGATTAATTAACCGATCGGTTAACCGGATATGCTCGGTGCAGGTGTCCAGAATTAACGCAGCACGTGCGGCTTCGATCAAGATACCCTCATCGCTCCTTTCGTCGAATGACGAAACAAATGGAGATGGACACAAAGAGTTAAGATGCACTAAAGAAAATAAGCACGTGATCGCGCGAGGCGCATTATTCGCGTCAGGGACAGGCGTTAGTTGCGCGTAACGCGGTCTCTTACATAATTTCAAACGATAAACCGGGTTTGCGGTGAACAATTGACGTTGCGTGACAAAACGAAGCACTGACAGGTAATCCTAACGAAACACCGTTCGTTAGAAGCAACAGTGAACGATCGTCGCTCGAATGGTTGCGTCGAATACTGTATCTGCGTGCGCTTTGCGTTGTTGCGTTCAATCGACCATTTACCGGAAGACTGACGTGTCCTATGGGTGAACGATTCACAAAGTTGGCAGTACTCCGTCGCTTCTTGTCGCACCGGCTCGTCACACCGACGTTTCGTCGACGATTGCCACTGAATCGAGGAAAGGCAGCCTGGTGCCGGTCGCTAACGATCACGCTGAAGCGCGAGAACACGCGACAGCCTGGACGACGATCGAGCGCATCCGCGATGTATCGGTTACACGTAGATCAGGATAGTCTTTTTTCGATGCACAAAATCACGCTTGTTCACACTGGCTCCGGTTCAATCGAAGAACGACGCGCTGATTTAGCAGGGACGGTCCATGAATTATCAGTGTACTCCGTTGTTAATCGGTCCAACGAAACGCGATAACGATGACACTGTCTGACGAGGATACAGTTTGATAATGGATTGCTTTCACCGTTGACTTTCCTTTTCTCTTTCAGTTCCTATCGTCTTTCGGATCGTGACAATGGACTACAGAAGCTGCAGCGGCACGCTGCACACCCAGAACGCACCACGCAAGTTCCAGCTGACGTCCTGGCGAATCGAAGAAGTGGGGAGGGGCATACCAGCGCGGGGAACGGAGCAGCCGAGCGTGGTGGATAGCCCTCATGGATTTAGATCGGCCCTCGTCGTGCTCGTCGCTCGACAGTTCGCGCAATACTCCGTCACGTATCCCACCTTTTTCTTTCTATCCTGACCCGTCAGACACAGGCTCTTCTTTTCAGGTCACTCGCCCCTTTATCATCATCTGTCACCATGAAACGTGTCCGGAGCTGTGTATACGCCAGGGAAGAATAGAATTGTTCACCAGACTTCAGGATCTTCGTGGACGTCGACGAAGATTCGAGGAAAGAATCCGCGCACCACTCGTCAATGGTAGTTTGCTGAGCGTCGACCCAGCTCTGGTACGTCGATCGAAAGCGTCGCGGCGAAACCAGACCACGTTAAGCCGCCTAGAAACGCGTCTCGTCGCCGTGACGGCGCACGTGTGCTGCGGGTTCAGCGCAAACAGAGACAAGTTCGCGAAGCTGCTTAATCCTCATCGACCAACCCGTTCCTCCTGGTTGCTTGGAAATCACCTCAAAGGAGGAGGAGAGTCTAGCTATCGAAATGGAGGGGTATAGGGGTTAGATGAAGAAAGAACAATGTGTAGTCGACCAACCACGCGACACTGAATGAACTCGTCTCTGACCCCGGCACGTCCTGCTTCGTTCTGAAACCCCAACTCCACCACCCTGTACCGTATTCGTCCCCTCTGCTAGGTCTACTTTATCATCAGTTTCTTTCATGACGATTCGAATCGACTTTAGTTTAGAATTCATGGAATGTTTTCTAGAGGTCTGAATTTTAAAATTACACCCCTTATTGAACTTCTGTCTCTTGTGAATGTTCCACTGTTTGAATATATGGAATACACCCTTGTAGAAGTCGATGCTGTTATTACGAATTAATCAAGTCGGCCTCCTTTTTCTTTCTTTTGTCTTTGAAAGAAACGTGGCCTAAAACTATGCCGAGTATAAAGAACAGAATGGAGGTGTGTTCAGAAAGAAAATTGACTCATTTTTAAGATTATTCGTTATAACTGTAGGTTAGAGATGTAGGAAGGTGGACGACCTCGAGTTTTTGTTCGTTCATAAAGATGATAGGAATTCGATAAGGGGGATATCCAGTCGGTGATTAAGGAAAATAGAAGCCGAGACGGGGAAATAAAAGGCGTCGGGATGCCGCGTTCGTCCGACACGCGCATGCTAGCCCCGTAGTGACGTCAGGGGGCGAAAAATCAATCCACCCTGCCGTCGTACTGTACAGTGCGGCAGGACAGGGACATTGTATATCTGGCCAGCACGGTCACCGTCATTGAATTAGTCGAATTAATTGCAGTTTGCGTAATCGATCGCACTACGGTTCATTTTCTTTCAACGGACAATTTTATTTGCCATTTGATTCCATTCAATTTTAATGGCATCTAAAGTTCGAATCACTTTCAAGAGTATAGGAAATGGTCGATAAAAGTTAAATTATGGTTGATGGGTCAGGAAGTTATACCCAGTTGAGAATCGTTAAACGTGTGTAATATTTGCTCGGAATCGGTATATTGTCCAGATTTAAATATCATGAATGGTTGAAGTTGCTTGAACCGAGAAAACGGACGAAGTGGACGACCCAGTTAGATTTCTTTAAATTCCTCAGATTTTCTGATAAGTGTATCAAAAAGTTAGTATTTTGGGGAATTTAGGCGAAGCAGGACAACAATTTGCAAAGACGAATTTATTTAGGAATGTAAATTTCGATATTTTATTTTTATAAGTCTTATAAAAATATTGCACGAGTGGATATTTATTGTAAAGCGATCGCTCCGCGGTTCATTCAAACGGTAGTCTGTAATCGATCAATTAATCGTCTGTTCCAGCTCGTTAAAAACCCGTACGCCCGTATAATTGGCATAATGCTTACGTAATGCAAGGCCCTCGTTCATGAAGGCTCGATTCACGCGCATAAAAATACCGTTTCGATGAATTCTATATTACGCGGGTAAATAATTGTCCCATTGCTTTATCGATCGTTCCCGACCGCCCACGACGTTTTATTTCGTCTCGAATTATCACTTGGTTTACGCAGTAGCTAAACAAGATCTCTAAAGCTGTTAACACTGCAAGTAAATGAATCGCGAACATGATTTCGGTCAATGATTAATAGAATCTTAGAAGCTTTGAAAGCTAAACAGTATGCGATGGTTAATGTTAATTAATTAGGAATAATTAAGCGGTTACCTGTTAACTGGACGTTTCACTGTTCTTCGCAGAAAAATACGCGGTTTTGTGGTCTCTTTCGCAAATCACGCTACACCTTCGCATGATAACTGTTTTTTATGTCTCGTCAAATGTCACCAAGTATTTTATCAATACGTTAGAAGGCTGACACTCGTAAATCACGAGCAAACAATCGCGCTTATAACGAACAGAGCCAAAAAGAATTTCTGCATTGCTGTTGTCCCATGACACGACTTGGGTCATCATTAGCTTATCAAGTCTGTTAAACGAACACGAAAGAAGATGTACTTACGTACGCCGAACGAGGCGGTCTTAAGCTTATGGAAGTAGTCGGGCAATGCAATTGCTAAGTGTAATAGTTTAGATCGTGTATAGGCTGATAAACGAACGCAGCAATTTGCTGCACGTTACTTGCTTTAACTCGCAATCAGTCTGGACTGAGGTACAGTGTTGGCGATTATTAATTGTGATTAACGGTTACAATTGAAATGTTTGATTATCAATAGTAATTAACAAAAATTATTATAGGAGGGCTGTAAGGACAATATAGGACAATACAGTGCAATTGGAAAAATATATTAGAATATCTTTAACAACATCAAACAATATAATGGATTAGAGTTACACAAACATTTATTGTACTTTCTACAAAATATTACAATATGGAACAGCTTTGATGCGACGCGTTAGATCGTTAGATTAGATAATTGTAGCTTTCATTCAGCGAAATTACCCTGGATGATGCTTGCCTGTGGATTTGGAACTGTTCCGTGGCGCTATCTAGGGGCGGACTTCGCAAAATGTTGTCGGTTATCGCAAAGTTAGAAAGATCCAAGATAATTGTACATTTATATCCCAGAGAAAAAACAGAAGATTCTTATTTAATAAGAATTCTCTATTTATTTAATCGATGTTTAATTGTCTGAAGGAACCTTGCAATCCTTCCAGTTCAATCAGCAGCCTTGATTTAGATTCAGGAAGTCTCGCGTTTTCGTTTGTTCGACTGATCTTCTCTTCGCGGAGGAACCAATCTCTGTTCTTCTCAATTTTCTTCTTCCATGCGTCTGAAAATAATATTTATGAATTAGACACTATGCAACAGAGATTTAATTTCGTGTAAAGGGTGTAAGAAGAAACCATTCAGCTGATCAAAGGTGCCTGCATGACCACCCCATTCGTTTGGCAGGATCTCTTTGTCCATGTAAGGATACAACTCCTCTCCACCACCAGTATGGACGCGAAACTTAAAAATAATGATAGACCATGAAATTGAATAAAAAAATTCAGTTTGAAGAACTAAATATAAGTACCTTTTGAACGAGTCGTTCCTTGAGCAAGGGGTAAAATATGTTAAGAATATTCTCTATAAACGCTGGTGCATGGAGGAAGTGAACTCTGTGAAGACGCAGTGGCATGCTATCCTGCACCGCCAGCATCGATTTCCTCACGATACTCTGCGTTGGACTGCATTTCGTGAAGTGGACCACGCTGAATCCCTGAAGAGATCATTTGTAAATACAACTGTACGATTAAAAGTAGAATTTCAATTTCAAGAGATCGATACTTGGAGATCGATGACCATGATGTTCGACAGACACCGTTCTTCCATCAAACGTGCATCTAAGACCATAAGAATTCTTCTGGAGATGGCCTGAATAGAGAACTTCTCTATCGCGGTGTTTCGCAGTCGTAAAACGCTCACACGATGACCATCCTTTGTCAACGACGGTAAAACGAAGTAATGTCTGTTGATACATCAAAAGAAACCATACCTTAAAATCTACAAGCGTATTAGAGCGTGTCAGACACGGTAAAAGTTACGCTAATTACATTGCTTCGCAACATTCCTGGATCTCCTGTGAAAAAGGATCACGGATCGCGAAGAACTCCGGTATTGCTGTACGAACGCTGAAGTATCTTTCTAAAATCAATTTGCATCGTTCCAAACTGTTTTTACAACCGAAGAGGAATCTCTCCAGCCTAACGTCATCTGAAAACGAACGGACATGCTTGATCATCCGAAGAATAATCGTGAAATTCTATAGGAATTCATTTGTTTAAGAGTAACTATTGTATTCTTAATCTTAATATACAAAGGAATTTTAGAAAATTATACCCATGTGATTAGGCAGATGAGGTTGTTTCGCGAGCCAGCCGCGTATCGCGGCGATATCGCGTTTCCTCATTTCCGGCTCGGTCGGAACTTCCTCGTTTATGCGTTTCTGTTGCTCGACCGTCGGTGGTAACAGTGTCATTCTGTGCTGCAAAGGTAAATTTCCTTTTTTTAACCGGAACTGAGATCCTTGGAAACATTGGCAACACTTGCGAAAGAACTGAGCGTAGGTACTCTTCTTTCTCAGAAGATTATCAGTTTCAAACGTAGATACGATGCTCGAACGAAGGAAATAATATCAAATATTGACACTAGTTACGCATCGTTTTTCGTTCGAGGAACTTGTCTCTGCCAACGATGTGCGAAATTCGAGATCTCTTCCATTTTTCTTGTAATATTATGTCTGTAATTCTATCTTCTAAACGTTTCTAAAACCTTTTATATCCTCCAAGAGTTTTAAAAAGATCAAGAATTTTGCCAGAGTTTTATAGGTTCTTGAGATTGAAGATTATAGAAAATTCATAGTTTTAAGATAATCGAGCGCTAATCTGTAATCATAATCATCCATGCATACGATTTATCGGTGTCGTGCTTCCGGAATTCAGTTCTGTGACCTCAGACAAGTACCTTTTACGCGTAAATCATCAGAAGCCCGAAGGTGAAACGATTTTTTTCCATTTGTAAAAGAGCGAACACCACGGTGAAAAAGAAGATTCTACGTGAACAGAATTCTACGATGATTATGTATTGCATCACCGTTGAATCCTGGGTGCAGGCGTTTTCTGTATGTCGATCGGAGAAAGCTTGTTTTCGGCCGAACATCATTCGGTGTTATACGTGATCGCAATTGATTAGATTCGGTGTGAACATTGAGAAAATCGCCGTTCGAAAGGAGAAAGTGTGATAAATGTAAACAATGGAAATCGTAGGTGCCTTTTCGACTGACAAATTCAATTCGAAATCTTCCTGGTCTTCTTTGTTTAGTATTCAAAACTACCGCTCGTACATTGAAAGTAGATTCTACTGAAAATTAGAAAATTTTAAGAAGTTTTATATTTTAATAGTATTTTGTCTCCAAATGAAAAGTCTTTTTTTAAATATGAATAGTATAGCAGTAAGTTCAATGACTTAATTACCATATTTGTACTCTTAATTCTGGAAACTGTACAGGTTTCTAATTGGGAATCGATGGAACGTGTTGGAATTTGAAATTCTAAGCATCTACTTGTTTTAATTAAAAACTCTAGGAAATGAGAGTTTGAACTTGAACATTTAGTATTTGCACTTACAAAAAAAAGATGTTAATCGTTTATATCATGAAATACAAAGATGATTTGGCCTTCTATAGACTTTACCTGCTAATTTCACATGATCTTGTTATTGTTTATTAAATGAGAACAACAAATTTTTTTCCAAAATATCAATTCACATTTTTCATATAACTTGAAAATTAATAGTAATTAAATTGTATTCTTATTATATGTTGTATTTTTATTTTTATATTATACATTTACCTCTTCTAGATGACAGATGATTCAACACTGAACTTCAAAAGAAAAAAAAATCACAAGTCTAGATTTTTGGATAAAAAAATTCTTCCAAAAACGTTGTGTGCAACGCATGGAGGCGAACGTTAAACTGCAACATCAACTCTGAGCAAAGGATTCTCTTGGTGTGGTCTAAGTACACACTGTTCCCCACTATTGAGAACCTGAAGACCACTGTAATGGCGTTATCCAAGTAGAAAACTTGCCAGATACGTTCAATATTTTTTATTTTTGTTAGAAAAGGGTTATACCGCTCAGTAACTATAAATTGCAAATTAATATTATTACAGAAAAACAGATTTCATTTTTAACACAAAGTGTGCTCCTTTTAAATCTAGTACTTGAAAATGTAAACCTAATATTTTACTAAAGATCCATCGTATTCAGTTTGTAATTTTCATTCAAATTATTCTTCAAGCACTGCTTCATACACAGTTACGGATTCAGGCTCAGACTTTTCTTCAAGGATCTGTTGAACTTTCTTCTCATCAGTATGGTGTTTAGGGTTCATCTCTCTAATTGCCATCCTCGTGGCAGATAAATTCACGTCGTTGTCTAAAATTTGTACAATCTTTTGGACAGTCGAGTATTCCATCACAACAGCTGATCTTGCTTCATTGGCTGTTTGAGAAGCCTCTGACATTCTTGTCTTCTCTTCGAGATCTCTACTTCCATATCTAAAATTCGGAAAGATCAATAAATAAAGCCTTAACACTATTTCATTGTAATTTTTACATGGAAGACACTTCTTCACCGCTGGATATCCTTTCCTGAAGCAGATACTTCATGTTCGACTTTGATTTCTGTTTCGAGTTTCTCTTCGAGCTCTTACTATCTCTATAAATAGTGGAATTAGATCTACGATCACTTCCATTCACAATACTATCTTGTCTATCACTTCCATTCACTGTACTATCTTGTCTCCCATTCCCATTTTTCTTCGACGATCTTCCGGGACAGGTTGTTTTCATCCTCGACAAGTCGTGTCTCATTGAATCCTTTTTGAAACAACATCGATGATTCCGATATTGCCACCTGTCGAGTATCGATTCAGTGCTGAACAGAACGAGGCTGAGATCATTTTGATAATATTGATTACCATAACGCGCAGGTTGTCACTGTTGAGCTGAACATGAAGATACAGTTCAATACTGTTAGCACGATTAGAGGTTCGAGCATGATAAGCGTTTCGATGTTCCTAATGACGGTAACGATGTCGAAATCATGAATTTGGATTCATGGTCTGTCAAACGATATTCATCGACGACGACGCGTCTGCGCTCGTGAAATAAATGACGAATCGGTCGAACCAATTAAAAATCATTCTAATTTTTCTAGAAATCTTTTCTATATTCCATGAAAATCTTACGTTAGACATTCTAACATAGCTGCACACCATGGTACCCCATGATCGATACCGGCTACCCTAACGAACCACAGGCAAATATTATCTCAAAAGGATCACAGCAATTTGTCCCAGATCCCAAACGTCCTTTCCCTATTCATAATGGTTGCATATTTTGCAGGTAACAGTGGTGTCAGAAGGGAAACAGGAAGAAGCATGCGAGCGAAAACGTGTACAGATCACCATAGCTGTCGACAGGGGAAGCAAGTCGGTTAAACAACCCCGCAGAGACGTATACCTCCTCTCTCCAGGGGTTCTCCCTTTAGGAAAAACAGAAAGATAGCACAAAAGCTACGTGACCACAATATAAAAAGGAAATCTCGACGCATCTGTGTGATATAACGATGATATTACGTCCCGTGAATGTGTCACCGCGTTTTCAGTTGCGGTGGTTTTCGGGACAATGAAGCAAACGTAGACCACCCCTGGCGAAGTCGCACGTTCTTTCTACCTGCTCTCTGTTTTGCTGCGAATTTATTTCGTTTCTCCCTAAACGCTTCGACGATTAATTTTATTAATGAACGAAGGATGAATGTGAAAATTGAATGTGCGAATTTTCATTCATGCATGGTTTACACCCTCCGATAAAAGTGAACGACTGAACGTTTATAAATGTAGAAATTTTCTTTATTACTCTATTTTTTACCATACTCTATAGTTGTTAAGGATAGAAGCGTGCGAAAATGTTTGGGTCTAGAATCGAAACTCATGAATTATCGCCACTCTTTCATCTGAAAGACGTATCTTCAACGTTTAAAGATTCTTTTCTATCTTCTGAAGAGATTCGTCCCACGTATAATATCCTGGTCACTTGTCGTTCTATTCAGTAGTGACCGCAGACTTTTTCTTTACGAGACAGCTCCCGCTTGGAAAAGGCGACTGGTTTTCCACCTACGGTCGTGATAATAAGTGCCACGACTATTTCTCCTAGATCGAGAGCCTGTCTTCCTCGTGGATCATCTAATTTATTGGTCACCCTCTTTGTTGAACAAGACCACACAACTCGAACGACACCTTTATGAACTTCTGTATCCCCATGACTTTTCTTCTCATTTCTTCTTCTTCTTCATAATTCAGTCTCTGTCAAACTTTATAATATAATATAAAATTTATGAAATTAAATAATTATTCGTGACAAATAGCTTCAAAAGTCTTCTGGAATCCGATTGAAAAGCATCAGAATGTTGCATTGAAGTAGTTTGTTTAGGAACAGGTATATCCCATAGGACACGACAGGTGTCCATCGCGCCCTTTTCTGGGCGTGGCTGTCTTAACACTTAACCATTGATCAATTTCAAAGTAAATATCCTCCCTGAGAAGCCACCTAACGGTAGACCATCGACTTTTCAATTTGTTCCTCCTAATTCTATACATAATTACTTGTAAAGCTTATTAATAAGGACATAAGGGTCTCCAATTTTTAAGAAGCAAATGAACGTAGTCTTTTCTTTGTAGAAAAAGGAAAAGAAGAACCTTCCGTTCTGATTTTTTCATCTTCCAAAGAGCAGGACGTCAATTAGGTTTGGAAAAATCTCTGAAGCGATTCTCACGACCAAAGTCAGCAGTCAGGTGCGTGTCTGAATGGGCCTGAAGAAGATCGAACCATTCAGTACTTTTTTCAAAGCATCGGGAATGACCACCCGCCCACTGAAGCCCCATTTTTTATGTCAGAGAACTAAGAAAAAAATTCGGAGCTGAACAGACAAAAGAGTTGAGTGAATTTCACGAACTGTCATCGATATATTTAGAAATTTTCGATGTTCCGAGTTGGCTCGATGAAAAGTTGTAATCCTCAATAGTGAACGATTATGGGCGTTACTGGAATTTATCCTCGACGGTGCAGGTATGTAGTATATTAATTTATTCACTTAAATCTTCTAGAAATTGAAATTTTAAATCTCCTCAGCGACCGTGTTAGAAGATTATTCTTCAGAATTCTGTGAAAGTTTTTCAATGGAAGTCATGAATGATCATTTCTAGACTAAGTTACAAACGACAGAGGAGTTAGTGGCAATTACAAGGATTTCTTGAATGGAGAGAATAGAATCCTCAGGAGAATCGCGTCATCAATCGTTTCGAAGTTCCCTCGTTTTCTTCATTGAGAAACAGCAGGTTTCTTCAGTGATTGGACCATGCGGCTAGAAAGGAGAGGAAGAACTTGAAGACAGCTCATCCGGCCGGAACGAAGCGATTCTCCATGGCTGGTCTAGAGGACGAATGAGCAAACAGCCTGCTGACTAGTGTACAACTCGTTCTCGTCTTGAATACTTCATTCAAGAATTTCGCTTCTGGTAATTCATTGAGCAGTGCTACCAGAAAATCTGAATGCTATGCAATGATAAAGAACCTTGATAAAGAATGCTTCCTGGCGATATATTTTTTTTAAAGAACTGACCTAGTTCATTTCTGAAAATAAATGAAATAAACAAAACACCTTGATACGATATATTTACGACGTTAATATGTTGCCTTGAAGATTTAATGATAATGGAAAGAGATTATATTTGTTTTTAATCAATTTCATTTTCTTTCTTCTGATTTTCTTTTAAAGATGTAGATTCTACTGATAAATATTCCAGATTGCGTTGATCCTGGTCACGTTGATAGCGAAGTTGCAAATCTTGGTGTTCAAATCTCAGCATCGAAGTTCTTCTTCGGCTCCTCGATCGAATTATGACATAACAAGTCATAATTTTACAAAAATGGTAAATGTAAATCATTTTACTGATAAGTCTTCCTGGTCACGTTGATGGCGGAGTTGGAGGTATCGGTGTTCGAACCTCTACTTCGATGTTGTTCTTCGGCTCCTCGATGGAATCTGTCTTCTTCTTCACTTTCAACATGAACACATTTTCATTTCCTTCAGTAACACGATCTGTATGTACTTCCTGCGCGTCTGTTGAACTATTCATCACAGGATAAATAGTGAAAGTTCTACACTGATCATTAGTGTTGGGACCACCACTGCACCGACCCATCTAATTAAACAGGAATATTGAAGAAAATGATTAAAAACATAGCAAGACACGAAAAGTCATAATTTTACAAAAGTGTCTAATAAAAGTTATCTAATGTTACCTCATAAGTAATGGCTTGAGCCTTGTCATCGTTATCAGTTTTTTTCGATATTTGTGACTTGGATTGTATACGAAACACGATTCTATTGTTATTGCCGCCTTTCAGTATCTTTGGTCCTTCCTTATTCGTTGGTCTCTGGATCTCAATCATATCACAATCGCAAGGAGGATCCCAGTCTCGATTTCTCTTCGATTTCGACTTGTCTCTTTCTATACGAATTATCAGTTGGTTACCAATCATGGCTGTTCCAATTTCTCGGTAATATTTTGATGAAGAATCCCCAGACGATGGCTGAGGAGGTGGACATGGTGGAGGACAGGGTGCAGATGGCATAGGAGGACAGGAGTACATGGTGATCAATGTTAATTATGATTATCAGAGAAGTAATACAACACTTGCAATTTAGAAATGAGAATTTGTTAATGCATGTTTAAAGAAGAATATGGGTTAACGGAGTGCACTGGAGGACAGTGATGGATCTGAAATCGATTGCTTTCTGCCGTCATTCATGGTATTCAAGAAATCAGATATCTTCACATCGTAAAATCAACCTTACCATCATGGCACTTTTACAACCATCAGATAAATTTCCATAACTTCATCATGTTAACCGTAAAAAAAGGTCAGATATTTATATTGCAGTTGATGACACCATCGTATCCTTGCCAAAATTAATCTCACGTCTCTTTTTATTTTATCAAGATGAACGACAGTAAGAATGATCCTGGCAACAAACAAATGTGGATGTCCACCAAAGAAAGAAAAACCTCCTTGTTCACCTTGTTGCGCCTCCAAAAAGGTCTCCATCAAGTCAGCCCCTAAAAAATGTCCCCCACCAGATCCAATAATCGTCGACCCTTCGACATGTTGTCCTGTAAAACCTTCAGAGACAAAGTATCAGAGATCCAGCAAGATTCGTTCGGAGATTGTTGAGAAAGGGTTGCCCTATAAAGAGATCGAAGCTATTATTAATAACAATAGAGTGGTAATTAGAACACAAACAGAACCTGGTAGAGTGGAATACGATCCTCCGTGTGACTGCGTCGAGGATCCTCTTCCTAGTAGACGGGTCGAAACAGAAGAAAGTCAAGTTCAAAATTCAGGAAATAGAACTGTAATGCTGTATCCTCGATCTCGAGAACAAGATCGCAAATCAACAGATTTTCAGTACCATCACGGAGATGAGGGTTTTAAGTTGAGGAAGACGATTGATCTCGCAGAGAATCCGAATATATTCTTGTTGAAGTTGAAGAGGAAGAGCAGCGCAGGTGATAAGAAGTTCAATATCGATCTGGAATTTAAAACTCCTCGTCCTTGGTCCACGAAGAAACGATTGGAGTACAGTCAACAAATCAAACCACCACAATCTGGTGCTGCGACGTTGAAGAAAGATGTCGAAGAAGAAAGAAAAAAAAAAGAGGTTTCGAGTCAAAGTAGAAAGGGAAAGCGACAGTAAATGAATCGTTCTTGAAAATAAAATCGACATTTCATTTGTATGATAACAGTTACTTTCAATTAATAAACATAATTCCTGAAAGATTAAAATAAAAGATCTTCAATTATTAGGTCAACAGCAGTGATAAGATTTAACTAAAGCTTTTGGAGCTCTAAATAAAAGATAAATTTAATATTAAACATGTTCAATATTTATAGGGTTAATTGTGAAGCTTATTTTGATATTGTCTTCAACTACTAAATAGTAATAAGAAGGTTCTCTATATGGAGCTGTAAATTTGAAAATTCAGGAGTCATTTTCAATTCGACCTAGCAAGATTACTTTCATTCAACCGATTTGCCTCGCAGCAGGTATATCCTGTAGGAGATATCCTGTAGAAGATTTAACAACACAACAGGTGTCGAACGCGCCCCTTTTCTGGGCATAGACGCCTTTACCATGGATTTATTTCTTACTAAAGTAGATTTCGAATAATCCTATCGACCTTCAAACACTTCTATCGATATAAAAATCATGATACGTATATCGTTATGAACTTTGGAATTTGATCAATGAATTTTGAACGCAATAACTAGGAAAAGAAGAGCGATTAAGATCTCCAAAAGTTTCCAAAACCATCCCCACGACTAAATTCCAGGGTCAGGTGAGAGTATGAATGGATCTATTCAGTATTTTTTCCAAGATCCTTTTCCAGGAGTAGCCACCCGCCTACCGTAGCCCCATTTTTTGAAGTCAAGGGTCAAAAGAAGTACAATAAGATATTTCAGTAAAGTGCGTAACTTTGACGTCGTTAAAGAACTATTTTTATCACGAGGAAAAAACATGCTAGTAAATATAATTATCCCTCGCCTTGAATATATCTTGATAATTTGGTCATTTTGTAAAGGAGTTTGTTTTGCAATATTTAAATTTACCAAGGTAATACATAATTACATAAATTTACAAAGAAATTGCTTAACTCAAAGATTAGGAGTCTATGATTTAAAGAAAAATTAAAAACAGACGATAATTAAAATGTGTAGTGATTCAAAATAATTCTCTCAAATTAAAAAGAAATTAAAAGAAACAATTGTTTCTTTTAAAAACTCAGCTGTTTCAATACAAGAGAATGCGTTCAAGTTGTAGTAAAAAATGCTTGAAGCTTAGGAAGAAAGGGTGGGAGGAAAAATGTGATAAGGAAAATTGTTATACTAAGAAATTCACTGATTTTATGACTAAACTGATAAGGCAACAGGTAAATATCACCGAGCTCGTTCTCCGTATTCTCATATGCATACCGACAGTTGTAGGTGGCAATAATACAGTGGCAAAAAAGAATTCAATTATGAACAGATTTCTGGGTATCGTTATTGTGATTGCACTTGCAGTAATTACAAGTTCGGCTATCAACTGCAACAATGATAAATGCCGGGAAAGTGGAACACAGCACACCATGTGCAAATATCCGGTCAGTATAAACAAATAAATCTGGAAACGAAGTGTTTTAAGTCCCTCACATTTTGTAGAATGATTTTACGATTTTACAAGAACGTTGTTGCTAACAAAAATATCTTTTGCTGTTTCAGAGTTCGAATCCAGCAGCAGCCTGTGGCAGAGTGATATCCGTGGGTTTCACAGACGATGAGAAAAGGCAAATAGTTAATGCACATAACCAGCGTAGATCATTCGTGGCTCAGGGTTTAGAAAAGAGAGGAAAGCCCGGGCCACAACCACCGGCATCAAATATGCAAACGATGGTACGATTAACAAATTTAAAAAAAAAAAATATTTGTAATTATAGTGCGCTATACTACATATCGCTCTCAACGTTGTAACTAACTATATTTATTGTTAAATATTTGTTCAGAGTTGGGACAATGAAATAGCGGAAATAGCTCAGAGATGGGCAAATCAGTGCAATTTCGGACACGATTCATGCAGAAACGTTGGTAAGACACAATTAAATTGTCGCCTTCCAGAATTTTTTTTACAATTTATTAATGATTTTATTACAGATAGATATTATGTCGGGCAAAACGCGGCTATAACAATGACTACTGGAACTGTGGCTACGACACCATCAGAAATAGTGGACATGTGGTACAATGAAGTAAAAGACATGGATCGCAATCAAGTATCCCGACTCACGTAAGTCTTTGTCATTCTTTCTTTACACTTTTGTGACTGGAGACGTAGTTCTACGTCATTTGAAAGTCTTTGACTGAATACGTGCAACATAGTCCTACGTTTCAATAAGCGTTTTTCATATTTGATTTTTTTAAATTTTAAACTACAAATGACTATAAGCATCACACTGATAAGTAATATTTATATTCACATTCCAACAAACAGCAGAACCTTGCCGTGCTCAATTACAGATTTTTGGAAATTATACGCGATATTCAACTAAACGTTATGCCGGCCATCGCCCGACACGAAAGGGTTTATATTAAAAGAAAACTAATTTTGTCTGTTGATTACAAACAGAAACATCAACGGTGTGGGTCATTACACTCAATTAGTCTGGGCCAAGTCGAATAGACTTGGTTGTGGTAAAATAGTACATCAAGCAGACCAATGGAAGAAGTACTATGTGGTATGTAATTACGGTCCAGGTGGTAATTATATAAACGAGCCAATATACCAAATCAGGAAATAACAGGAACAGTTACTGTTCCTCGATTAATCGCAATGTCTCGATTATTATAAACTAATAAAAGGAGAAAATAATGTAGCTCCGTAAGATTACACGACAGCTTATCAATTTTTAATTACCAATACTTTTCCCTTGCAATGTTTATTAATATTTTCCTATTCACACCTAAAATACTTTTGGGACCAGCCCTGTTACCTTCTTCAACAACGTTCCTTTCTTCCTGCACAAAATATCTTGCCCCTGATACGTTTGTTAGAACGTCATTTGCGAAGACGATTCCATCAGCCTTTTCCATTGTGAACGTATCGACGAATATCGATATTCATCCCGATCGAAAGACCTGCGTGTCCATATATCAGGAAGTCGACCCACTACGGGTGAAGGCTTAATGGCAGCTGACGACCCTTCATTAGGTATATTATGTAAAAAAATTGACGCAGTTCATTTCTGAAAATATACTGATCGAATTAAGTAACCTCCTCCTCTTTTTTCTAAGTCGGTTAATTAAAAGAACAATTAAACAAGGTCGGATCAACCAGGTGCACGAATGAACTCCGTGGGTTCCTAGACAGCTGTGTCTTTGTTAATCTCACCTTGTTTACTATTAAAACTACGTACCAATGTCAACTATTTAGGAACCCAAGGAGTTTATGCGTGCATATGACGTGCAAGCTGTTGCACCTTGTTTTCACATGTATCTCTACGAAAAGTGGTAAAATCTCAATATCTTTTGACCCTGACCATCTAGAAACACAAACTCAACGATTTTCAGCATTTCTCATCAAGACCTTTCCAACGGTACCAAATTTGTATCTCTATCATATGTAGTTTTGTGACTATGCTTAAAAGGCAATAGGTATATATAGGCGAGCACGTTTGCCGTATTCTCATATGCATACCGATAGTTGTGGGTGGCAGTAGTACGGTGGCAAACAAAGAATCAATTATGATGAAATTTCTGAGTATCGTTATTGTGATTGCTTTTGCAGTAATTACAAGTTCGGCTATCAACTGCAAGAAAGATAAATGCCGGGAAAGTGGAACACAGCAAACTATGTGCAAATATCCGGTCAGTATAACCACATATATTTGGAAACGAAGTGTTTTAAGTCCTTCGCATTTTGTACAATATTGTTGCAAATTTACCAGAACATTTTTGCTAACAAAAGTATTTAATGCTGTTGCAGACTTCGAAACCAGCGGCAGCCTGTGGCAAAGTATTAGCTCAGGGATTCACAGAGGAAGAGCGAAGGGAAATACTTGAGGCACACAACATGCATAGATCATTCGTGGCTAACGGTTTTGAAAAAAGAGGAAATCCAGGACCACAACCACCGGCATCGAATATGCAAATATTGGTACGACTAACACATTGATTGCTATGTTAATTAGCAAGCGTCATTATTTTGAATAATTTTAATTATAGTGTGCTATACTACATATCACCCTAAACGTGTTAACTATCTATATTTATTTTTAAATATTTATTCAGGTTTGGGACAACGAACTGGCGAAAGTAGCTCAGAGATGGGCAATCCAGTGCCAAATTGCTGCCGATAGGTGCCCACACGTTGGTAAGACACAGTTAAATTGTGGCCTTCCAGAATTTTGTTTATAATTTATTAATGACTTTTCTGTAGACAGATTCCGTGTCGGGCAAGCCGCAGTTGGGATGAAGACTACTGGAACTGTGACTACAAAACCATCAGACATAATAGACTACTGGTACAATCAGGTAAACAATATGGACCGCAATCAAGTACCCCGACTCACGTAAGTCTTTGCCATTTTTATTACTTTACGCTTTGGTAGTCATTTCAAACTCTTTAGCTGAATATACATGCAACGTAGTCATACGTCATTTCGAATGCTTTACGACGTTTCGATAAGCACTCTTAATATACGATTTTTTCAAATTTTAAACAACAAATAACCATAAGCATCACATTGGTAAGTAATACTTATATTCACATACCTACAAACAGCAAAACCTTTCCGTACTCAAAAATAGATTTTTTGAAATTATATGCGGTATTCAGCTAAACGTTTTGCCGGTCATCACCCGTTGCAAAAGTGTTTACATTAAATGAAAACCAATTTGTTTGTTAATTATAGAAATAACCAAGGCGTGAATGATTACATTCAATTAGTTTGGGCGAAGACGAATAGAGTTGGTTGTGGTAAAGTAATATATCAACCAGACGAATGGAAGATCTACTGGATGGTATGCAATTATGGTCCAACAGCTAATGTTTTCAACGAACCAGTGTACCAGATCGATTTCCAACGGATTAATTTGAGAAACAATGTCTCAATTGATATAAACGAAGAAAATGAGAACGAACGTATAGCTTCATAAGATTACAGGATAACTTTTCAATTTTTAGTTCCCAATAGCCTTCCCTTGGAATGATTATTAATATTTTCCTATTCACACCTAAAATCTTTTTGGGATCTGCCCTATTTGCTTCTTCAACAGAGTTTGTTTCTTCCTGTAATAAATATTTTGCCCCTCATACGTTTGTTGTAACGTCATTTGCGAAGACGACTCCACCAGTCTCTTCCATTGTGAATGTACCAACGAATGTCGATATTAATTCCGATGGAAAGAACTGCGTGTCCATATATCAGGAAGTCGACGCACTTCTTGTGAAGGCTTAATGGTTCCTGGTGACTCTTTATTATGTATACTATGTAAAAAAATTTATTTAAAAGAATTGATCCAGTTCATTTATGAAAATAGATAAAATAAACAACATCTTGATAAGATATATTTATGATGTTAATTTGTTATCACGTCGATGGCGAAGTAGGAGGTCTTGGTGATCGAACCACAACTTCAATGTTCTTTTTCGATTATCCAATAGATTTGAATGTCCACTTGGAAGTAAAATGCGTCTAATGTGATTTGATAAGAAATGGCTTGAGGTTTGTCACAATTATCAATCTTTTTGCTTATTGTTATAATCTTTGGAGCTTGATTAATGAATTTCGTAAACATAATATGGAAATGGAAAGCGATTAAGATCTCCAAAAGCTTCCAAAGCGATTAAATTCTGACGATTAAATATCAAGATCAGCTGAGAGTATGAACGGTTTTAATCAGTATTTTTTCCAGACTATTTTTATCAGAGGGAAAAAGCATGATAGTAGACGAGGCTATCGCACACTTTCAATATATCACAATAATTTGGTCACCTTGCAAACAAATTTGCTTTACAATATTAAAAATTACTGAGATAATAGAAAATTACATAGATTTACAAACAAATCGCTTAGTTCAAAGATTTGGAGTCTATGATTAAAAGAATAGTTAAAAAACAAAAATAATTCAAATGTGTAGTCATTCAAAACAATTATTTCAAATGAAAATTAATAGAAACAAAGTACTTCATACAACAGAACTCATCTAAATATAAGATATGAAGATGGATTGATAAAAGAGATGAAAAAGATAAAAAAGATTATAATGCTAAGAAATTAACTGGTTTTGTGGCTAAACTGATAAGGCAATAGGTATATATCGGCGAGCACGCTCGTACCTTCATATTCACAGCAACAATTGTGAGTGGCAATAGTACAGTGGCAAACGATATTCAATTATGAAGAAATTTCTGGGTATCGTTATTGTGATTGCATTTGCAATAATTACAAGTTCGGCTATCGATTGTAGCAATGACGACTGCCAGAATAGTGGACACCAACACACTATGTGCAAGTATCCGGTCAGTATAACTAAATAAATCTGGAAACGAAGTGTTTTAAGTCCCTCGCATTTTGTACAATATTCTTGCAATTTTACCAGAACACTTTTGCTAACAAAAGTATTTGATGCTGTTTCAGACTTCGAGACCAGCAGCAGCTTGTGGCAAATTATTAGCTCTGGGATTCACAGAGGAAGAGCGAAGTGAAATACTTGAAGCACACAACAGGCGTAGATCATTCGTGGCTAACGGTTTTGAAAAAAGAGGAAATCCGGGACCACAACCACCGGCAGCGAATATGCAAATATTGGTACGATTAACACATTGATTGCTTTGTTGATTAGCAAACATCATTATTCTGAATAATTTTAATTATAGTGTGCCATACTACATATCACCCTAAACGTTTAGCTATCTATATTTATTTTTAAATATTTATTCAGGTTTGGGACAACGAATTGGCGGAAATAGCTCAGAGATGGGCAATCCAGTGCGTTTTCTCTTACGATGGATGCAGACACGTTGGTAAGACACAGTTAAATTGTGGCCTCCCAGAATTGTATTTATAATTTATTAACGATTTTGCTGTAGACAGATTCCCTGTTGGGCAAAACGCGTTGTGGATATGGACTACTGGAAATTTGACTACACAACCATCAGAGGTGGTAGAATTCTGGTACTCTGAGGTGGAAAATATGGACCGCAATCAAGTACCCCGACTCACGTAAGTCTTTGCCATTTTTTCTTTACGCTTTGGTAACCGGAGACGTAGTCATTTCAAACTCTTTAACTGAATACATGCAACATAGTCCTCGAATGCTTTACCTGAGTACAAACAATGTATTCCGACGTTTCTATAAGCACTCTTAACATACGATTTATAAAATTTTTAAACAATAAATAACTATAAACATCACAGTTGTAAGTAATACTTATATTCACATACTTACAACAGCAAAACCTTTCCGTACTCCAGAATAGATTTTTGGATATTATATGCGGCATCCAGCTAAACGTTTTGCCGGTTATCACCCGTTGCAAAAGTGTTTACATTAAATGAAAACTAATTTGTTTGTTAATTACAGAAATAACAGTGGTGTCGATAATTACATTCAATTAGTTTGGGCGAAGACGAATAGAGTTGGTTGTGGTAGAATATCATATCAACCAGACGAATGGAAGAACTACTGGGTGGTATGCAATTATGGTACAAAGGGTAATATTTTCAACGAACCAGTGTACGAGATCGATATCCAACGGAATAATTTGAAAAACAATATCTCAATTGATATGAACTAATAACATGAGAACAAACGTATAGCTTCATAAGATTACCGTATAACTTTTCCATTTTTAATTGCCAATATCATTCTCTAGGAATGATTATTAACATTTTCCTATTCACGTCTAAAATCCTTTTGGAATCAGCCCTGTTTCCTTCTCAAACATGGATTCTTTCTTCCTGTACTAAATATTTTGCCCCTCATACGTTTGTTGCAACGTAATTTGCGAAGACGACTCCACCAGTCTCTTTCATTGTGAATGTACCAACGAATGTCGATATTCATCCCGATCGAAAGACCTGCGTGTCTATATATCGGGAAGTCGACGCACTTCCTGTGAATTCTTTAATGGTTCCTGGCGACTCTTTATTATGTATACTATGTAAAAAAATTTATTTAAAAGAATTGACTCAGTTCATTTCTGAATATAAATAAAATAAACGGAACATCTTGATAAGATATATTTATGCTGTTAATATGTTACCTTGAAGATCTAATGATAATGGAAAGAGATTATATTTCTTTTTAATAAATATCATTTTCATTGTTTTAACTTTTTTTTAAAGTTGCAGTTTCTGCTGATAAATCTTTCTGATTACCTTGAACCTGGTCACGTGGATGGCGAAGTTGGAAGTCTAGTTATTCGAATCTCAGATTCGATGTTCTTCTTCAGCTCCTCGATGGAGTTATGACATCAAAAGTCATAATTTTACAAAAATGCTCAATATAAAACATTTTGCTTGGTAATAAAATGCGTCTAATGTGATTTCATAAGAAATGGCTTGAGGTTTCTCACCATTTTGATAACATAACACAGAAATAGAAAAAGATTAAGATCTCCAAAAGCATAATTTTGACGATTAAATGTCAGGGTCAGGTGAAAGTATGAACGGTTCTATTGAGTATTTTTTCCAGACTATATCTATCACAGAAAAAAAGGATACTAGTAAACGAGGCTATCCCACACCTTCAATATATCACAATAGTTTAGCCAACTTGTAAATAAGTTTGCATTACAATATTCATACTTACAGAGATAATAGACAATTACATCGATTTACAAACAAATCGCTTAATTCAAAGATCTATGATTAAAGAATAGTTAAAAACTATCAGTAATTGAAATGTGTAGCGATTTAAAATAATTCTTGCAGGTGGAAATTAAAAGAAACACAGCTACTTCATTCAAGAGAACTCATCTATTTGTAAGTTATGGCGAAAAATGCGTGAAGCTTAGGAGGGAAAGCTGGGAGAAAAATGTAAAAGAAAAACTGTGATACTGAGAAACTAACTGATTGTGTAACTAAACTGATAAAGTAAAAGATATATATCGGAGAGCACATCCGTACTCTCATATGCACAGCAACAATTGTGAGTGGCAATAGTACAGTGGGAAACAATATTCAATTATGAAGAGATTTCTGGGTATCGTTATTGTGATTGCATTTGCAGCAACTGCAAGTTCGGCAATCAATTGCACTAATAATATATGCCTGGCAAGTGGATCGCAGCACACTATGTGCATGTATACGGTCAGTATAAAAAATAAATTTGTAATCGAAGTGTCTTAAGTCCGTCACATTTTGTAGAATCCTCTTACAATTTTACAAAAACATTGTTGTTAACAAAAATATTTCATGTTGTTTCAGAGTTCGAAACCGGCAGCAGCCTGTGGTGAAGTAATATCTGTGGGATTCACAGACAAAGAGCGAAGGCAAATACTTCATGCACACAACATGCATAGATCATTCATCGCTCAGGGTATAGAAAGAAGAGGATATCCCGGACCACAACCACCGGCATCGAATATGGAAACAATGGTACGATTAACACATTGATTATTTTGTTAATTAACAAGTGTCATTATTCTGAATAATTTTAATTATAGTGTACTATGCTACATATCACGCTAAACGTGTTAACTATCTATATTTGTTGTTTAATATTTATTCAGGTTTGGGACAACGAACTGGAGGAAATAGCTCAGAGATGGGCGATCCAGTGCGAAAACGGTAACAGTGGATGTGCACACGTTGGTAAGACACAGTTAAATTATTAGTAGCCTTCCAGAAATTTTTTTATTATTTCTTAATGATTTTATTGTAGATCGATTCCTTGTCGGGCAAAACGTAGCTAGAATGTATTCTGGAAGTTCGACTTCAACACCATCAGCCATCGTGGATACGTGGTACAATCAAGTACAAAGGATGGACCGCAAACAAGTTTCCCGACTTACGTAAATCTTTGTCTTTCTTTCTTCACGCTTTTGTGACCGGAGACGTAATCATTTCATACTCTTTAGCTAAATACGTGCAACGTAGTCTTATGTCATTTCGAATCCTTTACCTGAGTACGAACAACGTAGTCCGACGTTTCAATAAGCACTCTTATCATTCGATTTTTAAAAATTTCAAACAACGAATGACTATTATCGTCACAATGATAAGTAATACTTATATTCACATACCTACAAACAGCAAAACCTTTCCATACTCAAGTACAGATTTTTGGAAATTATATAGGGTATTCGGCTAAACGTTTTGTCGGTCATCGCCCGTCGCAAAAGTGTTTACATTAAACTAATTTGTTTGTTAATTACAGAAGTACCAATGGCGTGGAAGGCTATACTCAATTAGTTTGGGCTAAGACGAATAGGCTTGGTTGCGGTAAAATAGAGTATACAGCAAATAATTACAAGTATTATTATGTGGTATGTAATTATGGTCCAAGTGGTAATTTTTTGTACGATCCAGTGTACGAAATCGACATGCGACGGATTAATTTAAAAAACAATGTCTCAATTGATATGAACTAATGAAAGGGGAACCAACCTATAGCTTCATAAGATTACACGATAACTTCAATTTTTCATTCACAATATTTTTCCCTTGGAATGTTTATTAATATTTTCCTATTCACACTTAAAATACTTTTGGGATTAGCTCCGTTACCTTCTTCAACATGGTTTCTTTCTTCCTGTACTAAATATTTTGTCCCCGATACGTTTGTTGCAACGTAATTTACGAAGACGACTCCACCAGTCTCTTCCATTGTGTACGTACCAATGTCGATATTCATCCTGATCGAAGGACCTGCGTGTCCATATATCAGGAAGTCGACGCACTTCCTGTGAATTCTTTAATGGTTCCTGGCGACTCTTTATTATGTATACTATGTAAAAATATTTATTTAAATGAATTGACTCAGTTCATTTCTGAATATAAATAAAATAAACAGAACATTTTGACAAGATATATTTATGACGTTAATATGTTACCATGAAGATTTAATGAGAATGGAAAATAAAATTATATTTTTTTTAATCAATTTCATTTTCTTTCTTCTGACTTTCTTTTGCGGACGCAGTTTCTACTGATAGATGTTCCTCATTACATTGATCCTTTTCACATCGATGGCGAAGTTCGAGGCCTTTGTATTCGAACCGAAACTTCGATGTTCTTCTTCGTCTACCCGATGGAACTATGACAATAAAATTGATAATTTTACAAAAGCGTTAAATATCCACTTGAAAGTAAAATGTTTTTCATGTTATATATAAAAACCAACAATAATTAAAATGTGTTGTGATTCAAAACAATTCCGTCAAATGGAAATTAAAAGAAACAAAGCTACTTCATACAAGAGAACTCGTCTAATTGTCAGTTACTGTACAAAATACGCGAAGCTTAGGAGGAAAAGGTGGGAGGGAAAATGTGATAAAAAAGATTGTGATACTAAGAAATTAACTGGTTCAGTGACTAAACTGATAAAGCAACAGGTATATATCGGCGAGCACGTCCGTACTCTCATATCCACAGTAACAATAATTGTGAGTGGCAATAGTACAATGGCAAACAAAAATTCAAGTATGAAGAGATTTCTGGGTATCGTTATTGTGATTGCATTTGCAGCAACTACAAGTTCGGCTATCAATTGCACTAATAATATATGCCTGGCAAGTGGATCGCAGCACACTATGTGCAAATATCCGGTCGGTAATAAATCTGGAAATGAAGTGTCTTAATTTCCTCACATTTCATAGAATGCTCTTAAAATTTTACAAGAACATTGTTACTAACAAAAATATTTGATGTTGTTTCAGAGTGCGAACCCCGCAGCAGCCTGTGGTGAAGTAATATCTGTTGGATTGACAGCCAAAGAACGAAGGGAAATTGTTGATGCACACAACAAGCATAGATCATTCGTAGCTCAGGGTTATGAAATAAAAGGAAATCCAGGACCACAACCAGCGGCAAAGAATATGCAAAAATTGGTACGATTAACACATTGATTGCTTTGTTAATTAGCAAGTGCCATTATTCTGAATAATTTTAATTATAGTGTGCTATGCTACATATCACCCTAAATGCGTTAATTATATATAATTATTGTTAAATATTTATTCAGGTTTGGGACAATGAACTAGCGCAAATAGCTCAGAGATGGGCAATCCAGTGCGATAACATTGCCGATGGATGCAGACACGTTGGTAAGACACAATTAAATTGCAGCTTTCCAGAATTTTGTTTATAATTTCTTAATGATTTTATTGTAGATAGATTCCTGGTCGGGCAAAACTCGGCTAGAAGAGAGACTACTGGTAACGTGACTGCAACACCATCAGATATGGTGGACCTATGGTACAAGCAAGTTGGAAATATGGACCGCAAACAAGTTTCCGGACTTACGTAAGTCTTTACCATTCTTTCTTTACACTTTTGTGACCGGAGACGTAGTTCTACGTCATTTGAAAGTTTTCGGCTGAATAAATACAACGTAGTCCTACGACATTTCGAATCCTTTACCTGAGTACGGACTACGTAGTCCTACGTTTAAGTAAACGTTATTCATATCTGATTTTTAAGAATTTTCAACAACAAATGACTATAAGCATCACAGTGATAAGTAATACTTATATTCGAATATCTACAAACACCTTTCCGTACTCAAGTACATAATTTTTGGAAATTATATACGGTACTCGGCTAAACGTTTTGCTGGTCATCGCCCGTCGCAAAAGTGTTTACATTAAATGAAAACTAATTTGTTTGTTGATTACAGAGGTACAAGCAACGTGGGTAGTTACACTCAATTAGTTTGGGCCAAGACAAAGTTCATTGGTTGCGGTAAAATAGCATATAATGTAAGTTCGCGCGAGTATTACTATATGGTATGCAATTATGGCCCAAGCGGTAATTTTTTGCCTGAACCAGTGTACGAAATCGTATTACAACGCAAATAATTTGAAAAACTCTGTCTCTTTTGTTATGAAGTAATAAAAAATATTTTTAAGAACAAAGGTATAGGTTCAAAAGATTACAAGACAACTTTTCAGTTTCTAATTCCCAATATTTTTCCCGTGAGATGTTTATTAATATTTTCCTATTCACTTCAACAAGGTTTCTTCCTTCCTGTACTAAATATCTTGCCCCTGTTACGTTTGTTGCAACGTCTCATACGAAGACGACTCCACCAGCCTTTTCCATTGTGAACGTACCAACGAATGTCGATATTCATCCCTACCGAAAGACCTGCGTGTCCATATATCAGGGAAGTCAACGCACTCCGGGTGTGCTGTACATCCCGTTGAGCACGAGGATGCTTCGTTGTCGGTCACCTGGAATTGTCCAGAAAGAGGAAGCTGAGATTCCTATTAGACACTAAACGGTTTTTAAGCGGCACAGGAATGCATCGAATGTCAAAGACGCAACAATGACGAGCGGAAACATTCTGATATACAGGACTACCCGTAGCTTGCACCGGGGTGCAGCGTAGCTTTATGCAGGCAATGGCGAAAATTGAATATATCCAGTGGACCGGGAATTTCAGAATCCACGAAATGAACCTAAAAAGAATATTCAACACCAAATAACAGGAGAAATTCTAAGATTGCTAGTTATAAGATTAAGTAGCAAAATTGGAGATGAAATCTCTTCACTCGCGTAGATAAATATTGTTCTTTCTTTAACTAGACAAGAACTGTCGTCACATTTTTTTTATCTGTAAAAAAGCAGAGCGTGAAAGTGTTAACAAGCGAAACGTCAGGAAGTATTCTATTCACAAACCGTTGTATCATGCGAATTTTATGAATAATGTTACTGATGTTGCAACCTGTCATTCCAGAACATCCCTTGGGTTTGTGATCAAATGTAAACAGTAGTAAGAGGTAATAAACGCCTTCTCAAATCCTGTTACCCTGTCAAACCACCGAGAAGATTGTCGTTCTAATCCAGGGTTAGAGAGGCTGAGGAGCGTTGTAATCCGGGAGACGTTCAACCGAGTATTCTACCCTATTGAACCAATGTTATCCTCTTAGTACTGACGTCTGGGTGACCCACGATTCGTAATGACAAAAGAGGGGAAAAAGCGCCTACACCGGAGTGGAAGGATAATATTGAACTGGAGGGGAGTTATTGAAATAACAAACTAAAATTAGTTATAAGAAAAATGAAAAATAAATATATAATTTTTGTAATTTTGATCGGATTAAGTAGACAGAGGATTGAAAACTAGGTGCAGAACAAATGTAATAGATGAAATGAGAATTGCAAGAGAGGAAACGTATTGGTATGAACACGACTGATTTAACAAACTTCACCCCAGTGTTATATAGAATTCGTGGTTGCCACCCTCTGTACAGGATTGGATCGTTCGGTAGCGAAGGTAGCCCTCGAGAGAAGCTGAAGAGGAAGTAGAAGGGCCGGCCTTCTGGGTAAGGGCAAAGGTGGGTTTTAGAGGGGCCGGTCGAGGGCTCGCTTAACCGATTCGCAGGCCCTTTTGTCGTGAATTAATCGGTCACCATGGCCACGGGCCTTTGGCCCTTTTGTCATGGGCTTGCAAAGGGTGCTGGAGAACAGATAGAGAAGGGAAGCGCGGCAAACGGAGGAAGCAAAGAAGAACGCCGAGGAACGATATATCTGTACTATTCAAGGGCTGCAACTCCTATCTAGTACTAAAAGGCAAACGCGAGCGTCGTCAGTTCTTCTTGTACCTCCGTCAATAACCAATGACCGATCGATTATTGCTCGCTCCAATTTTTTCTTTGGAACAGCAGTTTTTTGCCCAAAAATCTGTTTCCTACCATTACACGCGAACGATTCAAATTGAACGATCGTTCGTTCCAATGTCATTGAACAACGGGAAGATTTTCTGATTGCCATATCATGATACGATCGTCATCGATCATGGAAATTCAAGGAACTCCCTTAAAAAGATAATACTTCAAATAATTACAATTGTCCTTTTATTTTTTATCTCTCCTCACCGGAAAACAGTTGTTTTCTTTTTTTCTTCAGAGAAATATAATTAAGCTTTATTTGCTTTGATTGATGAACAGTGTATAAATCATACTAGGTTTAGCAATATTATCAGCAGATATGTTATCATTGATTAAAGTACATTAAAAGTACGATTATACGATCAGTAAATACGTCAACAAAGGTTTAAGTCATACTGAACATTTCATTGATCAATCGCAACAGGTGTGTATCAAAGGTGAATATACATTTATTTCGTAAACGTTTTACAGATTGTTGGCCAGAAATTTTGCTCAAACGGCCAATAAATTCGAAAGCACATAAGAGATTTAAGTAAAAGGGTTAAGCATGAAGTTCACACGACACGTCGGATGCAATCCAAGACCAAGTTTCCAAGGGGTAACCAAAGGCAAGCCCTATAATAGCCCTCGAGCGAGACCCACCCTTCTGGTAAGCAGAAAAGCTTGGAAAGTGTGCACAACCGCAGAGTCGCCGCCCCTTGCATGGCGGGCTGAAATTTGATTATACTCCTTCCACGTGGATGAACCCAACGCGATTCATCGGCCGGTACCCGTCAATGATTTATGTCATTTTTCCCCCCCTTACCGCAGACAAGTTGTCTTTGTCATCATCGGTTCTCGCCTAAAAAGCACCCGCGTATCATTTGAACGTACAGTACTTCTTGCGGCTACAAACGACAGAGGAGTTAATGACAATTACAAGGATTTCTTGAATGGGGAGAATAGAATCCTCAGGAGAATCGCGTCATTAATCGTTTCGAAGTTCGCTCGTTTTCTTCATTGAGAAACAGCAGACTTTTTCAGTGATTGGTCCGTGCGGCTAGAAAGGAAAGAGGATGGTCAAGAGGATGAATGAACAAACAACGTGTTGACTAATTACTCGTTCTCCTTTTCCACACTTCATTCCTGACGTAGTTCATTTCTGAAAATAAATGAAATAAACGATATATCTTGATAAGATATATTTATGACATCAATATTGTTGCATTGGAAAAAGATTATTTTTTTTTTTAATCAATTTCATTATCTTTGTTCTATCTTTTTTCTAGTATGCTGTTTCTACTGATAAATCTTCCTGATTACGTTGATCCTGGTCACGTTGATGGCGAAGTTGGAGGTCTTGATGTTCGAATCTCAGCTTCGATGTTTTTCTTCGGTTCCTCGATGAAATTATGACATCAAAAATCATAATTTTACAAAAATGGTAAATGTCAATTATTTTACTTGGTAGTAAAATGCGTCTAATGTTATTTCATAAGAAATGGCTTGAGGTTTGTCACCATTATCAACCCTTTTGCTTATCGTTATCGACTTTGGAGCTTGATTAATGAATTTTGATAACAGAAAGCGATTAAGATCTCCAAAAGCTTCCAAAGTGATTAAATTCCGACGATCAAATGTCAGGGTCAAGTGAGAGTATGAATGGATCTATTCAGTATTTTTTCCGGACTATTTCTATCAATGGGAAAAAGAAGGATGCTAGTAAACGAGGCTATCACTCACCTTCAATTAGACAATTACATCGATTTACAAACAAATCGCTTAGTTCAAAGATTTGGACTCTATCAATAAAAGAATAGTTGAAAACTATCAGTAATTGAAATGTGTACTGATTTAAAATAATTCTTGCAGGTGGAAATTAATAGGGAGCAGGAAAATTTGATAAAAAAGATTGTGATACTAAGAAATGAACTGGTTTTGTGACTAAACTGATAAGGCAACAGGTATATATCGACGAACACGTTCGCCGTACTCTCATATGCGCAACAACAATTGTGAGTGACAACAGTACAGTGGCAAACAAAAATTCAATTATGAAAAGATTTCTGGGTATCGTTATTGTGATTGCATTTGCAGTAACTACAAGTTCGGCTATCAATTGCACTAATAATATATGCCTGGCAAGTGGAACACAGCACACTATGTGCAAATATCCGGTCGGTATAAACAAATAAATCTGGAAATGAAGTGTTTTAAGTCCCTTACATTTTGTAGAATGCTTTTACGATTTTACAAGAACATTATTGCTAACAAAAATATTTGATGTTTCAGAGGTCAAATGCGTCAGTAGCCTGTGGCCAAGTACAATCTATGGGATTCTCAGACAACGAACGAAGGGAAATACTTGATGCAATCAACATGCATAGATCACAGGTGGCACAGGGTCGTGAAACGAAAGGAAATCCAGGACCACAACCACCGGCATCGAATATGCAAGTATTGGTACGATTAACACATTGATTGCTTCGTTAATTAGGAAGTGTCATTATTCTGAATAATTTTATTTATAGTGTGCTATACTACGTATCACTCCAAACGTGTTAACTATCTATATTTATTGTTAAATATTTATTCAGTTTTGGGACACCGAACTAGCGGAAATTGCTCAGAGATGGGCAAACCAGTGCCTTGGCGGTTATGATACATGCAGACATGTTGGTAAGACACAGCTAAATTGCAGCCTTCCAGAATTTTGTTTATAATTTTTTTAATGATTTTATTGTAGATAGATTCCTTGTCGGGCAAACAGTATATAGGGCATCGGCTTATGGAAGTTTGAGTACGACACTATCACAGGTAGTGGACTGGTGGTACCAGGGTGTAAAATATATGGACCGCAAACAAGTTTCCCGACTTACGTAAATCTTTGTCATTCTTTCTTCACGCTTTTGTGACCGGAGACGTAGTCATTTCAAACTCTTTAGCTAAATACGTGCAACGTAGTCCTACCTCAGTTCGAATGCTTTACCTGAGTACGGACGACGTAGTCCTACGTTCGAGTAAGCGATTTTCATATTTCATTTTTAAAAATTTCAAACAACTGACTATAAGCATCGCAGTGATAAGTAATACTTATATTCACATACCTAGAAACATCAAAACATTTCCATACTCAGGTACAGATTTTTGGAAATTATATGCGGTATTCAGCTAAACGTTTTGCCGGTCATCGTCCGTCGCAAAAATGTTTACATTAAATGAAAACTAATTTGTTTGTTGATTACAGAAGTACCAACGGCGTGAGTGATTATACTCAATTAGTTTGGGCCAAGACGAATAGGCTTGGTTGCGGTAAAATGAAATACAAAATAGGTTCGTACATGTATTTGTTTGTGGTATGCAATTATGGCCCAAGCGGTAAGTTTTTGACCGATCCAGTGTACGAAATCGAAATACGAAAATAGTTTGAAAAAGAATGTCTTAATTGATATGAACTAATAAAAGGAGAGCAAAGGTATAGCTTCATAAGATTACACGATAACTTTTCAATTTTTAATTCCCAATATTTTTCCCTTGCAATGTTTATTAATATTTTCAACAAGGTTCCTTTCTTCCTGCACTAAATATCTTACCCCTGATACGTTTGTTGCAACGTCTCTTACGAAGACGACTCCACCAGCCTCTTCCATTGTGAACGTACCAACGAATGTCGATATTCTTCCCGATCGAAAGACCTGCGTGTCCATATATCAGGGAAGTCAACGCACTCCGGGTGTGCTGTGCGTCCCTTTGAGCACGAGGATGCTTCGTCGTCGGTCATTTGAATTGTCCAGAAAGAGGAAGCTGAGATTGCTATTAAACACTAAACGATTTTTAAGCGGGACAGAAATGCACCGAGTGTCAGAGACGCAACAATGACGAGGGCAAACGTTCTGATATACAGGACTACCCGTAGCTTGCACCGGGGTGCATCGTATCTTTATGCAGGTAATGGCGAAAATTGAATGTATCCAGGGGACCGGGAATTACAGAATCCACGAAATAGACGAATGTTGCAGGAGATATTCTAAGATTACTAGTTATATGATTACGTGACAAAATTAAAGATGAAATCTCTTCACTCGCATAGATTAGGGTGGAAGGATAGTTTTGAAGTGGAGGGAATTTATTGAAATAACAAACTGAAATTAGTTATAAGAAAAATGAGAAATAAGTACGTAATTTTCGTAATTGTTATAAAATTAAAAATAAGGTGCAGGACAAATCTAATAGATGAAATGAGAATTGCAGAAGTGGGAAGAGTATTGGCAAATGGTCCTGTAGTAAAGTAGGGAGAATTGCACCGTAGGAGAGAAGTCAGGATGCTGTCATATATCAGGCGATCCGTAGGAGGGTGTCAACGATCTCGAACGAATGGCCCAGCAGGGTGTCTACTACCCTGCTATGTCACCGAAAATCTGCGTGTCCAAGTGTGAGAATCTAATGCAACGAAGCCTGAACTTTCCTGAATTTGCGCAAGCCTATTCGTTTAGAAAGACACTTCTATCTTATCAAATAGCATTTTATCATATAAACCCTTTTTCTTAACTAGTAGATTTGTGAGGGATCATTAATCCTTTCAAAACTGTATATATTACGCGAGAAAACATGTAAACGACTGAATTAACACTTCATCATACCTAAAGTTTCTTAGCCGATTTTTGGGAAAAAGGACTTTTCATAAAAGAAAAACGTATGATTTCTGAACATGTGATATGAGAAGGATAGGGCATGTTCAAAGGCACTGTGTGGAGAGCGACTGTAGTCGCCGGTCGTAGCGAAAGGGTTAAACGATTTTTGTCTGTTTCAATTAAATGTTGATATGTGTTTCTCATGCATATAATTACACCTAATAAAACTTTCATCTTTTAGTGCATTTCTGCAGTCATCTGATATTTGAGCGAAGAGACTAATTGAATTGGAGTTTTTTCCTGCCCTCTTGGAACTTCCTACCCCAAAATCAACCGACACATTTATGTATTCGACCACGAGCTGTTCCACAAGAACGTATTGCGAGAAGAGTGTAAAAAAGTCGGTAGAAGGGCAGAGATAGGTTTGCCTACAGTAATCGCCCCATCCGGGGAGCAAAAGGGCTCAACCCTCGCGTCTGTACCAGCCCTTCCCTGCCAGCCACCCTATAAATGGGGTAGGGGACTTCAAATAGGGTTTGCAGAGGGTTCTAGCGACGCCATTTTATATTTCATTGCTGGAAAAATGGAGGTACGCGATGCATCTCGGTTGAAATGAAAATCTTGTTAATGTTTCAAATAGACTTCAATAGATAAACTTTAATGAAAATTAACTTAATTCATACAATAATCTCTTGTATATAAATATTTCTCGCATTTGTTACGATATTTTACAGCCTTTGCTCTTGACTAGCATCGATAAAGTCACGGTATCAAAAATATATCAATTTTCATCGAACCTTCATAAAACGAAGGACCCTCCTATCAAGGCAACGATCATTTGTACTATATAAACGTTTCGATACATAGAATATAATAATTCTCCTATACAAAAATATATTAAATCTCTTATAACTAGTCAAAGTGTATAAAAATAAAATATCATAACAATTATATACATTACAAAATACGCCACGATTTTTTCACTGTTACGGTGTCAAAATGGATATAGATACGGTGGAAACGGAGAGCCTTGTGGTAGAACCGAGCCAAGGGCGAACATCCCTAACGCTGCTGCTGACACACGATATGGATCTCGATTCTCGTGCGTTCTCATGTGTTTCTTCAGATGATCCTTCCTTCCGAAATGCTTCCCGCAGACGATGCAACCGTGTGGACGAACTCCCGTATGAATCCTCTTATGCCTCGTAAGTTCTTCGTTTCTAGTGAACGATTTTCCGCATCCCTCCGCGTCGCATTTAAAGGGCCTCTCTCCTGTAAGAAGAAAATTTTACATCAAAATACCGTATTATTAAAAATATTGTTAATTTCATTTTCAGCCGTTCTATTATGAAACCTCTGTTCAAATCGGCAAAAGGAACTAACCTTTCCTCTTTTAATAAACACAACAGAAACTAGGACAACAAATTGAAAACACGAGGTGAGCTCGATCGTTTACAACAGAGTTTCTCAAACTATGTTCCGCGACAATTTTGAAAGTTTTATATTTAAAAATAATTACTAAATAAATAATGTGTTTGAATAACATTTTTTAAAAATTTTTACTAGTAGTAAAAAGTGTTCCATTGCAGAGATAGTTTGAGAAACCCTGGTTTAGAACTTGCTTTCTTATATAACAGAAAGTCAGAATATGTTTATGATACAATTGAAGGTGAAACACACCTGTATGTATACGGACGTGTCCCTTCAGCTGTCCGTTATTGCTGAACGCGACGTCGCAGAGTTCGCATCGAAATTTCTTCGGCCGCAATTTCTTCATCTGTTTCGCAGCCGCGTCTTGCAAGTGAACTCTCTCAACGGCCTGGTCCATGGACGATGGACAGTACATCCCCAACATGGCCGGAAACACTGTCGGAGACGTTGAAGAACTGGCCAAATCCAAGCCAAGATGGAAAGTATTTGTGAGGTTCGTATTGTTTTGATGCAGAGTGCTCGCTAGATAATTGTAGTTCGCTATTTGAAACGCAGATTCTTGGGGTGCCATGGAAATACTCCTAATTGCACCGTCGCTGTACGCCGATACCATGGTGCCAGCCGAGGAAACGTCGCTGTCCGATGAACTTCCGGAGCTGACCTCTCCGGAAGTAACGCCTGAAGGAGCGGTGACATCTTCATCTTGCCGTTCTACTGGCTCTTCCATTTCGTGCCGGTTCTCGTTTCCTCCAACCGACGCCGTGTTAGTTCCACCAACGGTTTCATGGATGTTCCAGGGTCGGAAGAATCTTGTGCTCCTTGTAGCACTCATTTTTGTTATATAATTTATATTATTTAAACACTTAAAATATTATTCACACCACTGAAACGCACAGGTTCGAATACTGTCGGTAGCTAGTTTCCAACTGATACGTCAGTGCTTCGTTTCAAAGCTACCGACGGTTTCTTTTAGTCTGACGAGAACTTTTCGACGCGGAAATTTCTTCCTCTTTAGGAGGTCTTATTGGCATGGAACCTTGAGCACGACTGATTTAACAAACTTCACCCCAGTGTTATATAGCATTCGTGGTTGCCACCCTCTGTACAGGATTGGATCGTTCGGTAGCGAAGGTAGCCCTCGAGAGAAGCTGAAGAGGAAGTAGAAGGGGCGGCCTTCTCGGTAAGGGCAAAGGTGGGTTTTAGAGGGGCCGGTCGAGGGCTCGCTTAACCGATACGCAGCCCCTTTTGTCGTGAATTAATCGGTCACCACGGCCACGGGCCTTTGGCCCTTTTGTCATGTGCTTGCAAAGGGTGCTGGAGAACAGATAGAGAAGGGAACCATAGCAAACGGAGGAAGCAAAGAAGAACGCCGAGATATATCTGTACTATTCAAGGGCTGCAACCCCTCTCTTGCCTATCTAGTTCTTTGGTCTTTGCCTACTTATCTTGCCTTCTTCTCTTTGCTCTCCTCCATTTAGTTTGTAGGTTTTTAAATCTTGACTTTAATTTCATCTTTTTTCTCATTTATAGTATATTTTAAACAATTCATTGAAATTATTTCGTTGAAAATGATAACAGTGGACGAATAGTCGACGTATTTTTAATTGGTACATTTAGATGTTTAAATAATTCATTAATTTATTTTGAAAACAGTTAACCCTTTGAGGACGGCACTCTGTATTGGCGTACCTCAACCGTCCTCAACAGTTTGATAGCAAACGGTTCTATATTGAGTCAGCTATGTTGACATCGAATGTTTGTATCGTATAACGTACTCAGTTTTAAAGATACGAATTTATAACGCGTGTATAAATTTGATTATGATTTTTAATTTTTACGACTATTATGGCACAAGACGAAGTATGTATATCGTAACAAGTTTCAGTGGATATTTTTCTAAAAGCACAGCTAAACGTTCCTATCTGTATCGAAGCTGAAAGCGCATCTAAATAAAAATCTAATGTACCAAACACAAAACTAAGAACGTAGGAATAAAATAATGGGTTTAAAAAGAGTTTTACGTTGAACGTGTGTAAAATGAAAAACCTTGAAATTATCCGGTATGAAATTAAAATTCAATCCCGTGGAATATGATGGAATAATAAATTGTTTATACGAACGAGATGTACTTTAAACATAACAAAACGGACAGACGACCTCTGTCTATGGGGCTTTGTGTTCTCTTGAAGTTACGAGGGTGGAGTTTGCAAAAGCTCCTCGTTGATTTATTGTAACACTCGAGGTTAAGCTTCCCTTCAGAAACGGACCTCCACCTATTTCCACCTATTTCCCCCCGCACCCTTAGCAATACGCGGTACCCTTCTGTCAAAACGATACTCGTACAAAACCGGCTTCGGACCATTGATACCCGTAGGCCCCTTTGTGACACTCGTCAGAACATCATCGCCGTATTTTTATCCGTTTACACAATAATAAATAATAAATAAATAAATGAATAAATCTTTAAACCGCGAACACGATCGTTGCTTGATGAAAATTTAAATAACTTTTGTAAAATAGATTTTGAGAAGAAACTACAAGGTACTCGAGAAAAATTCACGAAAATTTAATAATCGAAACGCTGATTCTTCCTTATATACACATTTGAACTCGTAGGATACGTTGATTTCGAAATTTACTTTTCTCTTTTCTACTTTGGCTAAACATTCGAGCGTCGTGATCGAACGAGTAAACATGTAGGTATTAGGTATTGATAAACTGACGAGAAGTTTTTGCATATTGACGATTAGTAGATCGTTTCAAATAACTTTCAACCGAAATCGATCTGAAATAAATAAGATTAATGTTCAAATTTTAGTAATTGTAGTCAAATCGATGGATTTCAAGTTCCTTATTCCAATAGTAGTAGATTAAAAAATTAATTTAGATGACTGTTTATACTTTCCTTTCAAAAATTCTTCATAAAAATGTTATGGCAAATTGTAGCCATAAAACGTAGACTCAAATTTAACCAGAAAACCATTCATGCTTTTATCTGACAAAAAGTTGCACAAAATTTGCGCAAACGTCTTTTCAAAATCACAAAACCCTGAAAAGGATTATTTCTGGAAGTCTGTTGGAAAAATAGACTCAATAGATTATCGAAAAAAGGAGCTAGAACATCCATCCAGGGAACAAGAGGCGTTTTCTTTGAGTCAGTAGAAAACGCAAGATTTCTGTCACTGTTTTTGATGGATCACTCGATTGAAGAAAACCCATCGATCCGTCTTATTTTTCCATTTAAACGTCATAACAACGATTTGTGGCTAGAGATCATTTTACGTCGAAAAATTTGTTCTTCGCTTCCATTTCTGTGTTGAACGAGCATTCAGAAAACTCGCAACAAGCTTAGGATAATAATTTTCTATAATTTCTAATATTTCTAAATTTCGTTAATTATAATTTCCGTTCCAATGTTATACATTCGACATACATTCGAAATATAATACACGGTATTGTTTTTTATATTTTGAAGAAGCTACAGAAAAAAAAGGCAAACGCGAGCGTCGTCAGTTCTTCTTGTACCTCCGTCAATAACCAATGACCGATCGATTATTGCTCGCTCTAATTTTTTCTTTGGAACAGCAGTTTTTTGCCCAAAAATCTGTTTCCAACCACTACACCCGAACGATTCAGATTGAATGATCGTTCGTTCCAATGTCATTGAACAACGGGAAGGTAAATTTCTGATTGCCAAATCATGATACGATAATCATCGATCATGGAAATTCAATGATACTTCAAGTAATTACAATTCTCCTTTTTTTTATCTCTCCTCACCAGAAAACAGTTGTTTTCTTCTGTTCTTGAGAGAAAGATAATTCAGCCTTATTTACTTTGATTTATAAACAGTATATGAATGATATTAATTTTAGCGACATTATCTGCACATTTGTTATTATTGATAATAATAATACATGAATTACATCAAAGAATGATACAGATAAGATTGAATGATCAATGAACTCGTATAAGATAACGTTGATAAAGATTTAGATAAATGAAAAGAATCATACTGAACATTTAATTCATAAATCGAAGCAGGTGGCTATCAAAGATCAATATATAAAAGATTTAAGTAAAAGGATTAAGCATGAAGTTCACACGACACGTCGAATGCGAATGTCAGCGTCACGTCGGATGCAATCCAGGACTCGCTACACGGTTGGATGCTCCTGGTGCCCCAAGTTTCCGAGGGGTAACCAAAGGCAAGCCCTATAATAGCCCTCGAGCAAGACCCACCCTCTTGGTAAGCAGAAAAGCTTGGAAAGTGTGCACAACCGCAGAGTCGCCGCCCCTTGCATGGCGGGCTGAAATTTGATTATGCCCCTTCCACGTGGATGAACCCAACGCGATTCATCGGCCGGTACCCGTCAATGATTTATGTCACTTTTCCCTCCCTTACCGCAGACAAGTTGTCTTTGTCATCATCGGTCCTCGACGAAAAAGCACGCGCGTATCAGTCGAACGTACAGTACTTCTTGCGGCTTGTCGCAAAAGTTGCAAATGCGCAAGCGTTCTATTTCCAAACGTTAGAATTGCAAACATTAGAACTGCAAGTGTTAGAATCGCAAGCATCGAACTTGAAGGGGTTGAATTTTCAAGCGTCCTAGTTGCAAGATTGCAATTGTACTTTCCACTAAAATATCCCGGGAAGCATCGGATTCAGAAGCTTCTATCGATCCTTTGATCGTGGTTGCGATGAAGGAAGCGGGACGGTTTATCTAGTCAGCCATTAATCAAAAGGGCCAGCAACTTCCACGCGAGTGATTCCTTCATTGAAGAAAGGACACTGGATAGATGATCCTATAAAAGATCGTTCTGCCAGATGGCCCGTGCCGACAACGAAGAGAGTAGCGTGTCTCTTCGTCCCTCTTTCCCATTCTTTTTCTCTTCCTTGCCTTTTCTTTCGATCGTTCCACAGAATAACGTCAGTCCGACGTTTTTCACACTTTCCTGTCTTACCACCGTGTGTGCACACACGTTCTGCGGTTTCACAATGCGCCTCTTCGACATCAAAGCGAAACCACAGATATACGTCTTTGGAAATAAATGTTATGTGAACAGCTAAAAGCTGAACATGAAAAGATTGAAGTTGCAGGTTTTCAAGCTGCAAGCGTTCAATTTGCAAACGGCGAACTTAAGAATATTGAAATTGCAGAACAAACTACAAAACGCAACTGTATCCAAGTATTTGGAAACGCGTTGTAAAAAATGTAAGTGTCGGTGCAGCTGCATCGTTTCGTCGGCACTTTGATGCCGAATAAACGGCGTCTGCCGAACAATTGAGATACAGCATCCCGACTGCGAATGCCGGTCACCACCACACGATTGTGAATTAGCATATTTACTGTCCGAGCAACCCTTTGGCGGAAATACTAGGCGTGCAAATTTAACCGCGGGACGCCTCTTTTCAGCTATCCTTTTTGACGCCTTCCTCGTCATCCTTCGACGCCTCTGCTAAAATAGATCCGCGTGAAAATACCACAACCATGCGACGAATCGATCCTCACGCTTGATTTTCGACATTTTGTAGTGAAAAATCAGCGGAAAATTTAGTCCAAATAGTGTGAAATAAGGGATTATAAAGATGCTTAGATTACATAATTAAAATTTTGTTCTGCTTGCTTATCAATTTTATATGAAATGTGAAGTATAGTATAGAAGATAAGAATAAATAGGAAATCAATTGGCATAATACGTCAAAATTCACAAAAATAAAATTATTGCAAATTTGATTCTAATGGCTAATAAATATGATGCTTTTGATATTTGATACATGTTGAGTGGAAACAGATTGAAACGTACATCATATTCCTCTTCCATAGAAGATACTTTAGTCGTTCACGGAAAATCAGACGATTGGTTACGCGACAACCCTCCGCCATCCTTAATTTTCACGGAACCCTCGGGAAGACGTATATAAATGCTGAACTAGTCGGTTGGCTACTATGGAAAACCATGGCGAATTTATAGACCGCTTTACTTTGACCCAGTTATGCTTGGTCGACATCATGATACTGACAAGGCGTTACTAAATACGCAGAGACGTATCTCTCTTCTTAATGCGAATTAAAGTACAAGACTCACTTCCATCCATACAATACAAAACATTCTGAACTTCATACTGTTATTCACAATTTTATCAAATGTTGAAAGTGCTTACATTTGCATACTCTTTTTATCTTCAACCCTTTCATTAATAACTTTACTACCGATTGATAATAATTCTTACAATAGTTAGTGAAGAATTTCATTGTAATAAATTTGTCCTTGAAAACATGCATTGAACCCTTGCAGAATGAAAGGGTTAATAGATAAAAGTTTTAAAAAATTTGCCTGTAACTCGACGGGTACATCGTGGCTTCTTTAATGTAACAAAGAACAGCGAGAGCAAAAGTACTTGACTTTTCGGGACGAGAAAAGTCAAAAGTCGACAATAGAGGTACACGAGCCACGCCCAAGTGCCGATGATCGAGCGCGACCAAACGATCTCATTTTAGTCGAACGCAAGAAACTAGCGGCAGTCCATGGACAGGGAAGCAAGGTGTTGCTAACAACAGCTAGGTACAAGCAGCTCTCCTTTTCCACGAGTAAATTTGACGTTGACCAAATAAACACATTGAGGACGGCTACGTTTGAAGTGGTCCCCGTTGACAGGATAACCGTGAACATCGATTGTTCCGTCAGAGGTTGTCGGCTTCCTTTCAAGCTCCGAATCGTTTGCCCTCGTTTCCTTTTTCTCCTTCTTATTCACCGCGTCCACGTTGCCAATAACTACTAAACATTCCTTTCGGAAAAATCAGGATCATTGAATCGTTCGTTTCATCAGCTTCGAGCTCAGAGATTCCTCAAAGAAGCCCGCTCGTTATTATTTTCATTCTTCGCTCGCGATTCCTAGAGACGTTCCTCTTTTACACTTGTCACTGACACGCATGGTCTGCAATTGAACCGACTTATAATACAGTTAAATAAAAAAAAAACATGAATGTTATTGTTTAAGAATTTAATAATTCTCTACAAACATACACAATGATTTTTCTTACTTCATCACTGGCTGTGAATGGCAATTAAAATTTAACTTTGTACACATTATACAAAGGTTTCTGTATTCAGGAACCTTAACGATTAATACAATTACATCACCGTAAACGCATTATGATTTATACAAATTTTCAATATATTCGTCGCTGTATCTATGCTTCGCCGTGTGTTTTTAAATGTATTTTCAAAGTAGTTCTATTGATGAAAGCTTTGGAACATGTAGGACAAGAATGTGCACGGGACAGATGGTATTTTAAATGTTCATTAAGTAGAGCGGTTGTTTTAAACGCTCTTTTACAAATATTGCACTGCTGTTCCTCTTCGGTATCTTCTTCTAAGTGGGTCCTCGTATGTTTATCTACCTCACCCACGTTGTCAAACTCCATGGAACATACTCTACAACTGAATTTCACCGCACGGAGGATACCAATTTGGCTACCAGTCAAAGGGTTAGGTACTGGAAATATATTATTAGTACTATCTCCGATGCTGCATCTTAAACCTTCTTTATTTTTATGGGAATTTATGTGATTCCTGAAAAAAATATATTTTTATATTATACTTCATAGAAAAGAAAATGTTTTTTCATATGTTTACCTATAAGCTTGTTCATTCCTAAATGTAATATTGCAACTGACACACCGATAATCCTGTGACTGAAGTACTTGTTGAGCTAAAGGTGGTGTAGTCACTTGCAAAATCGTGTTTTGTAATTTTATTGTAGGATGAACGATTAGATAGTGCTGCCTTATGTCATCCTTAATTTCAAACGTTTCTGTACATTGGTGACATTTATATGGATGTAATGGGTCTGTACTAACATGTAGCCTTACATGTTTATCATAAGTCACCTGTGAACTACATCCAGTCTGACACATATCGCATATCAAGTGAGTTTTAGTATGAAGGTTTAAAGATTGTAAAGATGGGAAAGTTTCATGACATGTATTACAAATATTCTTCTCTTCTTGATTAATGTTTTTCTTCATTACAAAGTATTTATCACAATGTTCGCATTGAAATGCTGGCTTTGAGTCATAAACAGACTTTTTTAACCTACAACCACCCTTTTCACAAATTGCTTTTCCATTAATTTTCTGTAGAGATTGATCTCTTTGGTCTATGTCAAATAGAACTCCAGGAAGCTGGCTTCTTTTCATTACTTGTGCCAATATCATGAGCTTTTTTGATCTAGGACATGGCTTACCATATATTTTATCTATTTGTATTGATAAACGATACACTCTTTTTCCTATCTTAACTTCCTGGTGTGACTCAGATTTTAAGTGGGTAGGATCATTTAATGGTACCTCACAATTAGATGATACATCCAATTTATCTTCTCCATTCATTTCTTCGGCCTGTAACACCATAATTGTTTTATACACTTTTACTTTAAGTACACAAAATATAAAGAAGATAGTAATATTCTACTTTTTCTATTAGTGGAATACAAGGACTTTGTGGTGGAGTCTCTATACTATGCGAATCATCATCCAATTTCTTTTGTTTCAATGGTGGAGTTTTGGGTGATCCAATTTCAAGTGTATCTTCTGCCTTGCGTTTTCTCTGACCATCTAGAAATATGAACAATAGTTTAGCACAGAACATAGGGTTTATATTAAAAATATTTAATAAATCAATGCACATACCATCTACTTTATTAAAAATAGTTGGAACAGCATCAGGTTTCAATTCCTTTGAATTTGTAAAATGCACTTCTTCAAAGTGCAGTTGACAGAGGGACAGAGGTTTATTGCTTTCAACATTTTCACTCAGTCCACAATTCCTTATCCACTGCTGCCTTCGACTAAAAATAATAAATAATAGGTAAAAATACCACATATCAAAATTGATAAAATTATAAATACAGTTACCACTCACGCAACGTCGTCAGGAAATGGAAACAATAAAATGTTTTTCCCATCAATCTTCGTATTTTCATTTGAAAGACAATCATGTGCTTCACAGGTCATCATTGTATTATCAAAATTAGTTTATAAACAATTGTGTTTTTTAAAATAAAGCTAATAATAGGCTTATAAATATGAAATTATACGTAAACAAAGCATAACCTAAAATCTCAAAGCTTTAATAGAAATACTGAATTTAGCACACCAAGTTAAAATTAATTAACAGCGAGGGGTGAAGCTATATAATAAATAAACGGCAGTTGCATTTAAAGCGCGACAGTGGATATATTTTAAGATGCAATTGACTGCTTGTATAAAACTTAACCAATCACGCTTTCCTTTTACTACTTGTCATTATTCATGCACATCGATTGGTTACTTTCTTATGCAATTTACTTGCATTCTATATGAAAGTATAATCTATAGAGGAAAATTGTGATTTATAGGGGATGAATCTAAATGAAAATGTAAAATAAAGCTTCCCAGGAGGCTTAATTTCTGCGTAAATGGATGTTAAAAATTCATCAAAATTCTTATATTTTAAAACGATCATCACAACGGAAACGCGCGTGGTGCCATCTACTATTTGATGCTAAAAATGAGCTTTTTGATTTCGCCGATAAAGAGTGTAAAAAATACATCATTTTGTAGTTTTTTATATCAACATCAGAGGGCACCACGTCGCACCCTTTTTTATCTTTTGGGGGTACAAAATCTTTTTATTGCATGCAGATATCCTTTCCTTCCGACTACCGTCAGTAAATTGATAACAGCTCTCTTGTTTGATTTATTTATGCAATTAAGTGCGTAATACAAGTAGATAAATAGTAAATAATTCAATCTAATATTTTTTAATTAACTTTCGATTATCACATAGCAATTGATAAAATTCTAGAACTGAATTATATACAGATTTTCTATAACTTATTATAGAAGAATCTGATAGTGATCTTAATTTCAAAAATTTTCACTCAACTACATCATTACTTTATCGAATATATTCAAATTATTACGTTAACTAAACAATTTCATTTCTTAACTATAGGTCGGTTTCATGCCCTTGTAATAGATTTGAACTGGGTCAAAAGGTATTGGCTCCTTAATGTTTGCTGAATCACACTGATCGATTGATGGTTCTTGAAAAAACTTAGAAGGAAAGTAAATTTCTGTTTTCTCGGTACTGGAATCAATGGAAGAAGGGAAGAAACTTTATCAGACCATTTTAAACGTAGAACGTGGAGGTAATATAAGTTGATGGTGCTGAAGTCTTATTAGGATTCTCGTTAGGACTTTCTTTTTTTAATTTTCTTTCTCGATATCTCAGTTAATTCCATTTTCCTGGTAATATACACACATGTTAGAATTCCGAAAAGATCATTGCATGCGTGGTATGGGACCACAGTAAATCACAGAGAATACATCCATAGCGTAATCCCGCAAGGGGATACACCCTTTGGTTGATGCTAACGATATCATCCGGCGGTGTTCGCAAACGAAGCCCGTTCGCTAACAAATGGAATAGGATATCTTATGCCTAACTATTCAACGGACGCGATTACGGTCTGTCTGGACCCAGACGTAATTGCAAGGTTTGCTGAGAATTGGAAAATTGCCACGATGAATGGTGTCGAGCAAAGGTCTCTTGGGGCCCGTAGCTATTTACCATTCTAATTGCTACCTCTATCATCGATAAGGAACGCTCTCAAATGTTATTTTACTCCAAAGAACAGTGCGTAACTTTTATCTCCCAAGATAAGTGATCTTTTATTTCAAGTAATCTTCTTTTACTCGTTACTTATCCAGTTTACTAATTGAATCGCTCTTACAATAATTATCTAGAAGGTGACTTGAACTCGTCGGCAGAAAAACGGAGAGTCCTTTCGAGATGAGTTTTCCTTTCGACTCGGAGGCGGGATGCGCTTGAATAGAGGAAAATTGAAGGAGAAAGATGCAATTTCGTTCCTCGGCTAACTTCTAACGCCGTGTTAGATGGTAAATCAAGTTAGGAAGGCATCTGGTTAATCCAACCGTTGGTCCGCTATGACACGATACCCTGGTTTCTACCACTTCGATTCGCCAGCCGAAGAGGAGCGTGTCATCGATGACGTAGATCGCCTTGGACCACGGTATTGATTCTGTGACGTCATTGAACACATCCTACGCAACAAGCTGTACCACCGAATTCATTATTATTGTTCCCTGCGTTTTTTATAATTAATCGTGTTTAAAAACAGAATACAGAAAACTGAACGTTCTCCTCTATTTCACTATCTGTAATCACCAGTAAATTTGCAAAAAATGGTAACCAACAATTACATTTATCGCAAGGCACAAGAAGCTCGATTACGTGATGCATTTTGCATGTTCAATGAAGCATTTCTTGAATCTTATAAAAATCCGTCTTAGAAGAAAAAGAACAAATAATGACTAGTAATGCGTGAGTCGAATCAATGTGGTTTCCCCTTCTTTTTTATAGGGATCAATTTCTTCTTGCCTAAGGGAAGGTAAAAAATGATTCCACGTTATTGTTTCGACAAATTGCGTCAGTTTACTTGATCGATCACTTTAATTGCTTGTTTTACAGGTTTACTTTTGGATAATTAATTGCGCGAGCCATCGAACTGGAATTTTGCCAAAATATTAATTCATTTTCCAGATGTACATAGAGTGAGTTTCAAATTTTTTAATTCTTTCAAAAAATGTTTTTTGTATTATTTTAAATTTATTTACAGTCTGTTTATCAACATTTCGTGTTGAACGTAAGAGGACAAAAGGAAATATGCACCTGGGCCGACCTGCGAAGGACTTGGAGGGATGCAAACCAATTCGTTGGTGTGTTTTTCTACTTTTTTTACGGGGAGATGATCTTTCACCCCTTCGTACCACGTTCTTACGCTTTGTCCAAGTTTCTGAAGTCCTTAGAGCAGAACCAGCTGCGGGATCTTTTGTGCTTCTACGTGGACGAACGAGTTTCTCGTGCCCTGCTGGTTCACGTGGGCAACCTTGAATTTTGCTTTTCTTTATTATCCATTAAAATTGTGCGCAGTGCTGTAATATTTGCAATTCAGAACTGAACGTAAAATTAAAATTTTACAACAATTTCGATAAGCAGTTCCAACCTGACATTAAAGCTAATTTAAGTATTTAGGTATTTAAGGAAGTTCAATTTTCATCTTCGATGCAATCCTTGAAGAATGTCTACAAGGGATGTATGATCTTCAAATGACTACAAAGATATTCTTGATATCCTTTATCGATATTTATTCTCAAGCTCATTAACAAAGAAATGATATTTGTAAATTGATACAGCAAAGATCGAGAATGACTCAGGGTACAATTAGTTTTAATTGAATGAAACTTCCTGGGATGACCGTTTGCGCATGTTGGATCTAGGAAAAAGAAGCGAACTGGAGTTGGAAAGGAAAAATCATGGGAAAGCACGTACTATTTTATAACGACTCACCATTTCCTCTCCTTTTCAAGGAACTTCTGGTTGTCGTTATCTTAGATTGCGTTAATCTCGCTGCTGGCGTTTCCGTATGATCGTTCCACGTTGAACGCGAGTAAAATTCATTCATAAATCCTTAACACTTTAACAGTTGAAAATTCGTTATCGAATGTTCATTCATAAACGAGTCTAAACGATTCCAGACCAAAATCTAAATCTCAATGTAAACAATGATACTGTTGCAGATAACGAATGGATTAATAAAACACAACTCGATCGCCAGAAGTTAATTAATTTTATCACAGTTTATGCAACAAGCGAAAACACAACTGTTCCGCCACGTCAAAGCGTAATGTGATTAAGTTGGCGTTCGATGCAACGCTGATGCACCGATCGATGGAATTTTTAGCAGGAAATTAAGTCGCTTTGATTTTGCAACAACAAGGCATTTCATTTCCCTCAGAGTGAAAGAAAAATACACGGAACAAGACTTTAATGGATCGAAAATGAGTGGTTCTATAGTAACGATAACTGGTGCACTTTATGTATCGTCGGATTAAGAACGGCTCATTGATTATGGACAACATAAAGATACACTCGACTACGGGTCGATTCCGTAAAATTTACCACACTAGCACATTGTTAAAAATAGGTCAATAAAGATTGCTGTGGTATCGTGTATTACACCACAACATCGGCGTGTGAAGCATTCAAATTCGTTTAGCCATTCTCTTAAGCCAGTAATTCGTCGTCCTTGATATTACCTCGGCTTTCGTGGGGTTATTCAGACGATATACAATTACCCCTTTTTTGCAAAGACTCAGTTGTTTATTAAATTGCGTAATGAACATGAATTATGTATAGAATATAAACATTTATAGCCAGATGGCTGATAGATTAATCGATAACGTCTGGGGGTAGTCGCGAGTCTCTTTATTGCCCTTACGCACCTAATGCACATACGCATTCAGATTCTCGTTGAGTGTAAGTACTTTATACGCTACATAAAATAACTTACATATATGTATACATAAATGTAATCATTTTTTTTTGTTTGTTTACAGAATTATTATCAATGCGATGATAACAGCTTCGTTAGTGGTTATCGTGCATTGCAACTGACCCATAACAAGTAACATACCAAATCTTAATCTACTTAAATTTGTTTACGAAGGTAAAATGGGTATTTGGGGGAAAATTCTTTATTTTTGCTACATCTAGTGAATTACAGTTGATTATGGGCCCACTACCCCAAAGAAAGGTCCTAGTTACGCCAATGGGTCCACCCCAGACAGGAATCTCAGTTATGCCAATGATCAGGATTCCCGCGAAATTGGAAGTTGGAGATTAGAATTTGCGCTCAAAATATTTCAATATCGTTCATTGTGGAAAATATTTAAAAAAAACATACGATATTCCATAGGATACCTGTATATATAAAATGTTGGTTTTCCCCATACGATACTTTATCTACCCATCACTGCGCATAACAGAATCACATATAGCGGCAGACCAAAAGGAGGGACAGAGAAAGATAGACGGAGAAAGAACCGACGACATGCGCCGGTCCTCGTTGCCTCACGTTTATAATGCGCGAAGCCCACGAACGGAGCGGACCGTTCGACGACGGTCATTCAGAGCTCGACCAGTGTGCTGCACGTTTCGTGGCTCCTTCACGTCCTTGTTGTTTCGTCGTGTACACGATCTGTGCATCCGCCCTGCCTTCGTGATCACCTAAGTTGGTCGTGAGTGCTGGAACAGATCGAACCAGAAAAGGGAACTATGCTCTGAGGGTGGACCTCGTGTCGACGACGCTGGACCCTCGCTCGTCTCTCCGGTGATTTTTCTTCTGTGATTCGTCGACCAGTGGCAATATCAGGACTTGGTTTCATCTCCAACGAACCAACCACTTCCACGGATTTTCATAGATACTAGGTGAGTGATGCAATCATAAGTTTTCATGCACGTGTGGCGGTTTGGATGCGCCGTTCGAGACGCGGTTAATTATCGACGATGTTGAATGAAAAGTAGTTAAAGATTGAACGCGATCGATTGTAAACATCGAGATGATAGGACGTTAAGTAATCGCGATGCTCGATACGATTGAATCGAGTGAGTAATGTTATAAATTGTATTCGCGTATGTCGAGTAACGCCGCACGGAGTACGAGTTACGTTTCTCGAAGATCGAACGATACGATATGTCGATAGTATTTCCGTAATAATTCTATTTTTCTAATGTAATTGATGCGAAAAAGTCACCAATATTGAATTGCGCGTTGAATTGTTTTGGTTGAATGAAAGCAACCCCCTCTATGGAGACATGTTTCTATTAATAATGATTTTTCTATTGTATCGTGAGATTCTTTGTTTGACGGTTTATTCATCACTCCGTAGGGTTGTAGTGTGAACCGTTGAACGAAAACTGGGTACGGAAAACCCGGTCGGCGACCCACGTGGCCTATTGATTTTCTTGCCCGCCACGCCGCTGCGTTCACAGTGGTGAAAACTGGCCTTTTCTTCATCCCTTAGCGTCCCCTACGAATATTACCATTTTCTTCGTAGTAATTCAATCGAATGCGCACTTTTCTTTTAATTCAATTGCAATTTTTCATGTTAATCGTATCTATTAAATGAAGTTACAATTACATATGTTTCTGATAGTAACATTTTAAATGTGCGCAGTTTAGGGACATGTTTAAACAGCATACAGGTAATCGAATAAAATGATTACGTTTAGGGGGACAATTCATCATTCTAGTGTTACTAAACACACTTTGTCACTTATCATAACGATTGGTTGGTTTTCTGCAAACGGATCGATAACATATATTCTCAGCGACGATTTGAAAACGGTTAGTTACATTTTCCGATAGACATATCGGGTTATTCCCATGCCCTTAACAAACAGTACACTGATACCTATGGAACAAGTATCTGGTAATATTAAATATTTAATATTACTATTTAGTGATATTTAATTTTTTACGCAAGCATTCTTCTGTTCGTCGTATGAGGTTCGAAGGTTACAAAATTTCTTAATGGTAATACTTTTTATTTATTTATGTTAGACGAAGGGATTGACAACAATACTTCATAATGCCTGATGCACAGGTTGTGTTACCGTTAGACGGTGAGCAGAGATGTCGGTACGGGATCAATAAAAACTGACGTAATGTTCCAGGAAAGTTTCGGGAGGTTCCAAACTCGTTGGAATTTCGTGCACGTGCACAGGAATAACTTCTTTTACAGAGACAGCAACGTTTCCGTTCTTACTGAATTTTCTGATCCACTATCAGCTATTTGACTTGACGCATACAGAAGAAGACACACGGAGAAATATTGACATTATTTCCATATGAATCGTCACTTCTGTTTTATTGTATTTCACATGTGCTCTATTGTTTATATCACAGAAAGAAAATAAGCTCAGTTACAAATTTCATTTCTTTTTATTAATATTTATAAATCATTAACATCAGTTTTTAAATGACTCATATGGTAATAAAGCACTGTATTGACAGCTGCAATTAATTTTCAAGAAATTTTATCGTAAATACGTAACAAATTCATGGACAACTTTGTTGATAAGGAAATACGTGTTTATATTTAGCGAACGATAAAGATTACGCTGTTCGACGTTTCAAATAATTCAAACGATTAACATCAAAGCAATCTAAACTGTCAAAATGGCGAATTGTAAATTTTCTATTTTAAATTACAAATATGAACAAGGTGCTGTTATTAAATCTTATGTTAACTTTCATCGAGACAAAGAATTATAATATATGATAATTTATTTTGAATTTTCAAATAAGCGTTCATTTGACGCAGGTTGTGTACTGTAAAGGAATCGATTATATCGAAGTCGTTACTCGAAAGGGGGGTTTCATAGATCGATTATGATGTTAGTACGAAACAAAAGTTTGAACGATATAAGAAACTAGGTTCAAAGCAGCTTCATAACGTGTGTGTGCGTATTGCGGTTCGAAGCAGTACGAGTGCCAGGCTTATCGTATTAAGAGTTCGAATTAAAGAGAGGGTTGCTAGTGAGTTCCGTTTCGTGAGTGCTCCAGAATGAAACTGTTTCATTATCTATACTGATTTCATTGCAAAGTTCTCTTAATTTCATGATTATTAAAGCTTTTCGATTTAAGGTATGGCAGTGTTGGTATTAGAACCGAACCTGCATACCTTTTACAAAAAATAAGAAATCGTATTGCATTAGATTTGAACAGATATCTTCTTTTACGTTTCTTTTTGTACAACGCATTTCTTTTTATCTCAGAATATGAGATATAAGGAAATTTAATATCGTGTTGTGACTCAAACGCGGCTCCATGTGTGATTGTTGACACCGAGACCCACGTGCTTGTGCATATACGCTTACGATTGCTCCTTTCGAGCTGGATGATCGATTATAGATTTTCGAGGGGTCGCTTGCGATACGGCTCAACAAGTAGTCGATCGTTCTAGGATATCTATATTTACTATCTATCTACCTATATGTATATATTTTTTCTACGTATACGTTAGATAGGTATGTTGTGATAGGAAGAGGATACACCAAGTAAATATCGAAAATTATTCCCCCAAATTTGTCAGGCTTATCAACACTAGGAAGGTTCTAAAATTTCAAGAATTATTTCTATTCCAGATAATGCAGATACCAAAATTTAATACTATCACTAATAAATAATCGATTTAAAACCTAAAACGAGATGTTGCGTTTAAATATTCATTAATGCATTACAAGAAAAGGAAATCTTGCATGGTTAACAATGTATTGAAATTAATCTCTATATGAGTTCTACAATAACGTCCGTCACTTGTATACATACTATTATATCTTAATTACTACAATACGAAGAGCAACACACAAAAAAATAAATAATATAAACAATTAACAAATAAGGCAATACCAAGATAAGGAAGTGCTAATTAAACCACTCATCGGGCATAAAACACAATTATAATTATAAATGAATTTCACGGTGAAACTTATCGTCGCGTCATTGAACAGCAAAGCTTATTCGGCCGTTCAGAAAAATACTTCCGAGAACGAATTCGTGGACATTTTTTCCTCGTTACAAATCAAGCGTGAATCAGTGCAGCAAATTCGATCGAAAACATAAACGATAATCGTGTTCTTTCTGTTCGGGATTGGTCAGGTTACAAAACGCGTATCTCGACCCGGTGGATGTGATTACATCTTTTTGCTCGATCCGTCGTGTAAATAGGAGCAATACCGTGATCGTTCAGCCATTCGCTTGGTTGTTTAGTATCAATCGTGCTGTTTAACGATGCTAAATCTCGTTTACATTGTGTACGATCTTTTATTTGCTTTTTCCCTTAGAACATTCAGCAAGATTTATGTTACGTGTTTCGAACGTGTGTTTTCCATTGAATCGATGATTTTACGAGTTCAATAGGATCTGGAATTATCGGAGCAAGGATATACAAGATGCGGGACACGTATGGGACATTTGGTACGTGATAACATCATGAAGACTTATTGTTATATTCATTTTATTTACCAAATTACAGGGTATCAGTGAAAATGTTGTTACATTCAAACAGGGTCGGCCCTGAGATTTCCGAAAAAGGGCCCCTTCACATATATGACATAAAAAAAGTAGCTCAAATAAAATTTTTAAAATTAACATTAAAGCTTGTATAACTAATTTAGATTTGCATTTACATCGATTAATATTCAAGTAAACATTACTCTTCTTGCGTTCTTAGACGCAAAATCGTCTTATGCCCTAGGCGCCCGCCTAGTTTACCTAGGCCCAGGGCCGGCCCTGCATTCAAATACTAGGTACCTATAAGAGGTGATATTCTGTTTATAAGTAATAATCGAAAATATATGTAACGAAAGATAATTTATTGCTAGTGAAGTTTCATTAACGACTCTTTATCTGGACTTCCCGTCAAGGAATGATTTCACTGGAGACTTCACGATGATTCATGTCTGGAATCGCTCACTGTCAGACGAAGTATACGCGCAAAATATTCAAAAGTGAAAACAAGGTAGCGTGATTAATTAGGAGGAAAACTTGCGACTAACTTTCGCCATCTCCTTTCATCGTATCTTTTTTTTTTTTAATAGATGAAGGATAGGTGTAGATATTTTACACCAACCTTTGCATCATCTTTTCTTGACTTTGTTAACAAGTTGATTCCCTCTCTTTCTCTATTTAATTAGTGCATCAATATTGAATCTGCGACGCGGACTACAAGTGACCCTCAACTGTCATAGTAACAATAAATCACAAGAAAGAACAACTCCCTCGATACGGCAACGATTTTCGCATTAACATTCACCTGTTCCCCTCGAGACACTTAACCAGTCGGCATTCGTTATTAAGCAATTAGAAAATTTATGGAATTCAAGGGATAAGTAGCGGTTAACAGAGGCGGATTAAAGAACTGGTTTGTCACCTTCGAACATGTTCACCAGGTGATAGAAAGGTGTGTATCGACGTTCGTGGATGCCATTGGCTGATTTCAGTCGATTTTATACGAAGGAAGGTAGAAGGAGTTGGGTACTATTAACGCTAGATCCGAGTTTGTTTCTTGATAAGTGATCTGGCGGTGAATCGATTACCATGAACGAATCGTGGATCTATCTCGATTGACCACGTTGTGGTATGTGGACGAATTATATCACAGTTAATGACTAATATAACTCCAATTATTTGGTCGAAATAACGAGCTTAAGCGTTCAGGTTCGAAGTGCAACATGCTGGTCAACGTGTCCGATTTGTAAAACGAGATTCTATGAGTTATGTGATACGGTGTCTGTTTATTCTATGCGTTTTTTTGTTTACGTGGACATGCTTCAATAATAGTAAGTTACAAAATAATTATTAACCATGCAGGTTCAATTCTATATTTTGTAATTACACCATGGATCTTGGTAGTATTTTTTAATTTATAATGTTATTGTTTCATTATCAGAATTATTTTCTTTTAATTGACCTCGATCAGAAGGAACTTTGACAATTCTTCAATAATTCTTCTTTTCAATGATTTCTAATCAGACGTCTTCAACAAACCCAGGAATAAAATGAAAAATAATAGAAACTTGAGGAGTGCCACTTTGATTACAAGACTCGTACAGAAGCGTAATTAATAAACGATCGATCAAGAAACCTAGAATCCGGTAGATAACTTCTAGAATATCCGGTATGTAAACGCGTATTAACGATCGTAAAAGTCAGCGAACCGATCGAAAGGCGTGCGTTGACGTTCGCGAACACCATTGGCCGATTTCGCGATCTCGACGAAGGAGTGTACTCGCGATCATTGAAATGAAAAAATTGCGATGACGCGAAACTCATGTTTTATTTAGTTTCTTGATCGGTAAAACGCAGAAAGAGTCGACGGATTTCCTTATCGTTTATTTTTCATTTTTTTCCCAGAATTTGTCGTCGCAAAGAGCGAACGTTATAAGGCGAAGAAAGTGGAACGTAAATAACAAACTATCTAACCCCTTGAATAATTACGTTCTCTTTCTGGATCGAATGTTTCTTGTAAATACATAAAGCCGCACGTGTTTCTCTTTAATGCAAATCCAATTCCAGAAGGCCGAGTCTTTGTTTCTTTATGAGGAAAAACATGACTTGATCTCGTTTCTCGAAAAATATTTTGGTGCGTAGAATTTTTTTCTTATCCAATTTTCATTTGGAATTTTTGCATATTTTTACACCTTTCGATTTGCAACATTGCTGAATTCCTCGCGCAAAAATCTGATGATCGTGAAACTCTTGACACCGTATATGAGTTTGCTAAAATGTGTCAGAGAAATTGCTTTATTGCGAGTACATTCGCGTCGCTTTCGATATCGAATGCTACCGGTCAAATTTCATTTTTTTCCAAACGAATGCAAAAAAAATCAACGCGTGTCTCTCGACTTAAAACGCACGCTATTTAAAGTTAACACAAAAATAAAGATAAAGAGGAGACCAAAATCTATATTTATCAAACTGTCTACTCGAGCTTCAGATTATTCCGAAGTTTATGGCCCCTCTAACTCGATAACAATGCAGTATTTCCCGCAGAGATTTTTAATAAAAAATACATAAATTTATATCTTTCACTGCGTCTCTTGATCACACTTTGTTACAAAACAGAAGCTGCTGATTCAGCAAACTCCTCCCAGTAGATTTACGCCGTAGGATCTTTTCTCAGCGAGAGTTGCATTATTCAAAGGGACGATGGAAATTCCAATTTCTCAGCTAAAACAATGATAACGAAACGTTTCTTCGTAACGATGCTTTTATCTAATGAATCGGAGAAACTCGATGGAAGAAGTATCAAAACACTCCAGCCTTGAATTCGTTGATTCTTTTACTTTATTCAACAGGTGTTTTCGAGAAAGCTGATTAGCTAGTTATCGTTCGAATAGTTCAAGGTGGACACTCTTTGTATAATCAAATGCAATGCTATTTAACTATCTCCACTTGTTCTAAAAACATTATTTATCTCCCAACAGCTTTGAAGTGGACAATCTAAGCTAGTTAATAAATCTATTTTCATTTTTATCACGGTGTTTCAGTTTCCTGATAATAGATATACTAATTACCGGTTTTAACAAGCATTTGCATAACTAATGCTTTATAAATAATTAATAATTCTCCTTATAATCGGCACGTCGACGTTCCGCGTTTTGCATCAACTGATATTTAACTGACGTTTTTATTCTACGTTTCAGGGAGGATGTCGAAGTCTGGTAGCATCAAGGATGGCGAGAAGGGCCCGTACGACCCGGTTCCAATCACGGACAAAGGAGCAAACGACGAGATCAAACTCGAGGCGAAGATGTCCCTTTTAAACGGCATCACCGTGATCGTCGGCTCGATTATTGGTTCTGGCATCTTCGTTAGCCCCACCGGTGTCCTCAAGTACACGGGAAGCGTGAACGCGAGCCTCCTAGTGTGGACTGCTTCCGGTATTTTCTCCACGGTACGTAAAACCCTGTTGCGCGATCGATTCGCAAGCAGTCGTTCACCCGGCGAACAAGTTCAAAACTCTCGATTATTGTAAGTTAATTTGAGTATTAAATTAACATTTATATCATTTCGAAGCTTGAAATTTAAGTAACAAGCATTCATTAACATTAGGTTTACAATTCCCCCCTCGCGAACCGCTTCAGATTTGAAATATTGGATTCGAAATATTTCCGCTGCATTCTTTACTTTTGACATTTACTTTGCTTTTATGAGTCGAGCCGATTTACCAGGATTAATAGTCAATTTACGATTGCGTCAAATTGACGCGTATCCGTAGGGATTTACATTTTTATGTACGTTACATTTTTATATTTATCACTGAAGTAATGCTTTTATGAGTCCAGCCGATTTACCAGGATTAATAGTCAATTTACGATTGCGTCAAATTGACGCGTATCCATGGAGATTTTCAAGATTAGAAGGCCTGGATGAAAACTAATTTGTCTCGTTAATTGGATAAAAGTGGTAGGATAAGTGGTAGGATTAGCATAAGTGATCAAGTTTAAAATACGTCAAAATGACGCGTCTTGTAAATCTAGTGTTAATAACTCTATTATAAAATGCATGAGGATTAGAGAATCATCCTCTAAATTACTATGTAATAGAATACTGTTTGACTCAATCGGTAACACGCTGAGCCAAGGTATCAAAGGATTAATGTAGTCTACCGTAGCCATAAAGTATATTTTATCGCCAACAGGTAGGCGCATACTGTTACGCGGAGCTGGGATGTATGATCAGAAAGTCGGGCGCCGATTACGCGTACATCATGGAGACCTTCGGACCTTTCCTGGCGTTCATCAGACTCTGGGTTGAATGTATGATAGTGCGACCTTGCAGCCAAGCCATCGTGGCCTTGACATTCAGCGTTTATGTACTGAAGCCGGTGTTTCCAGACTGCACGCCACCAGACGATGCAACGAGGATATTAGCTGCCTGCTGCATCTGTGAGTGAACATAATTATTTAGAATTTATTTGCCGTCAGAGTTCATAGAAGTAAAAATGTAATAATAGAAAGCTAAAAATGGACTCTCCGTGAGAGTAGGAAAGTAGATGATTTGATTAGGCGACTGTTATGCTGGTGAATGATAGTGAACCGTCCTTCCAATTACAAGGGACAATTCTTGGAACACCACCAAAATCTGACGATCTCCTCTGATGAAACGATTATATTAATTAAATGATATACTCGATCATCTTGAGTCTGGTTGTAAATTTAGAGAAAAAATGGATTTTACATTCAATGAGATAATTTATAGATCATTTTTGTAATATATATGTTGTCCAGTCGTCTTTATAGTTCCATAAATTTCTTCTACTAAAAATGAAAAGAATGAAAAATTCCCTTGTTCTTCCAGTGGATTTAAATCATTCGAGGCTTCAAGCCTCCTACAAACACTCCAGAAATATTCTCATTCCCTGTGGAATTTCTTCGCGTGGGTAGGAAGATCGCCAATATTCTAATGGCCGACGGAATTCTATTCACATTGTCCTTGGACATTTTTTTGCCAAAGAAAATCCGACTTCTCTCTATTGTCGCAAAATGAAACACGGCTTAAGTCCTTCGAGAAGCTTTCACAGTTAATACCGTGACTTCTTACGAGAGCAATTTGTAATTCCCTCAATAATAACAGCCTTGCAATTGTCTGTCTTCTTGTTTTCATCGAGATGGAACAGTCCATCAGGATGTCTCAACAGCAACCATGCAATTTACAAGAATCTAACGAATCCCCAAGGGCTTTTTAAGCTGAATTTAATGGTTCAAAATTGCACTGCGATAATTTATAGCTCACTGTTATCTAGTCAAACCTTAGACACCGTAAAATATTTGAAATACGAAACAACTTCGTTGGGAAGCAAGTAATTCCAGGTGTACTTGAAGTTACGTTCATTAAAATTCTAGCAACATTCCACTCGTTTCTGAACGAGCAAAAAGTTGCCGATACGTGGATCGCCAGCTTGTCTCGATCCCGCAACACGAGCGGAAAAAGCGTATTTTTTGGGAATCCTTTTCTTCGTTGGGAAATGCCACACAGCAGAAGGATATCGCGTTTCTGTGGTCGCCGCTCTTCCGCCTGTCTTCAGATCCCTTCTATATATCGTTTTACAGAATCGTAAATAGTATATTTATATTATACGCTATTATTATAACGAGTATATAGGAACTTGAAAAATTTGTCCTCTGTTAACTCGTTCCTCGCACTATGCTTCCCTATGGATACCAAAAATTCGTCCGAAAAGTCACGGTACTTAGACTTTAAAAATATCTTTTACGACCTTCTTTCTCAAATTATTCATTGTCTCCAGCCTTGAAGATGTTAATTAATGTTAAAATCAGCAGGTTTAAAAAATTTCCGTAAGATTCGTCTCACACCGTCGACTCTCCACAACGATGAATTATTCATTCGTTCATTCATTCACCTTTGCGATTATCCGCCACCATCTGGTAACCGTTTAAAATCTTCTATGCCATGGTAATTTTCCTACGTTTCTATTTTTATTCTTTGTAATTAAAGTGGTGCGAATGAATGGTAATTTCGCTCGCGTCTGCTTCACGCATCGAGCATAAAGAGGATTTTCCAACAAAGTATCACACTTTCCAGGGAACGTTCCGTTTAATTTCCGATGAATCGTTTCACGAACAAGGCTTCCTGCCTGTAAGAACGAAATGAAATCTCGTTTCTGTCGCTTTCATCCTGTCTACTCGTAATTAGGTCTTATTTTATATTTTCTTTCTTTCAACGAGCTTTCTTTTGGAAAAGTTTTGTTCTTGTAAGAATTCATCACAAACGTCGTGTAAGATATATGAAAAATTATAAAGAATTTCTATTGAGAAACATTCTCACTCTCGTCAAGAATCCACATAAAAAGCTGTTGATTAGATTTTAATTACCTATTTGTTCTTGGAAAAATTCGATTTAATTGATTACCCTTTATTGTTCGTTCTAATGTTTATCTACGGTAAAATACTGATTGATTGTTTTTTCTGTATTTTTTCGTATTACTGATTGCACGTTGCATGAGTAGTGACACCGAGGAAAATGATTTCCTAGAACGAGTTTCCAGTGATGAAGATCAATAATTACTAATCCCAGGGGAGTCTACGTGATTTATGAAACGTGCGATTATTCCTTAGCAGTTATTTTACCTACGTATTATTTACATTTCAAGTGCTTCAGTTTCATCAGATTCATTAAAACATAATCCATATTGTTAAAAAATGTCAACAAGAAAAATCGAAAAGAAACTTGACAATAATCCGTACATCAGTGTGCCTGTATCAATTGATGCCATCACTTGACCATCTAATTTACGTTCACGTCATGTTATTCCTCCAGTGTTTCTTGCCACTTAAACTTAGGAGGGTCAATGGTAGACCTCACCTAACCCAAGTTAATTGGTTTACAATACATATTTTACATTCATTAATAATTTAATCTCTTCAATTTTTCAAAATACTACAATTTTCACTAGTTAATTAATTTTGCCTACCAACTATCGTTTGCGGAGTTGGACTTCCGGGGTGCTCTGGGTGAACAGGGCACCCCGGAAGTAGAACGTGTAATCTCTTGTATCTTGAAAACCAAAGAGTATATTGCAAAATGATAGAGAACTTTTCGATTTCTTTTGTCAAGAAAAATCTAATTACAGGATGAAAATGAAAAATATTTATATATATATTTTTTTTTTAATATTATATTGCATGTAATTCTCTATCGTTTCGTAGCCGTTTTTCATGGATCCTCCATGGGTTAAAGACACCCCACTGTGTAATTATTGCAATTAACAATATTTTTGGAAGATACTGTATATTTATCGATTTGATCGAAACGGTGTCGCGTCGTGGAGTCTCGAGGAGGCAGTGCTCTCGAGTGAAAAGAGACTGCGGTAGCAATCACGTCCCATTGCGATTAAATGTAATCTTCTAATAACGTGTCAACTGGCAGCCACAACAGCATAATTCGCCGAAGGGGGGCTCCCGGGGTGAGGGCGAAATGAAGAGCAGAATAGAGAAGAGAACGGATTGAAAGAAGACGAGCGAGGGGAATAGAATGGAAACGAAAGAGAACGAGTTAACCAAGCGTGTGCAGTGCTAGTCTCGCGATATTCTTCGAGATGTTGCATCAGTCGACATTTTTTTTACTTTTCTTCAACGTTCGCTAACGAATCCAGCAAGGACAGCCTGGTCAGACAGTCGAACCCAGTTGCTTATCTAAAAATCTTCCTCGATCCATCAATTTTATTTTAATGTAATTTTACATTTCCATTTCATTATTTAACATCCATAAGAGACTTTATAAATTCTCTATCTAGATGAGGATTAAAAGGGTTGTTTGGGTGAAACCTGATCATCCAAAGTCATCAATTATAGATCCTCGGATTTTTCAATTCAATGTAACAAAATTAGTAAGTTAGAAAACTTCTTCCACGTGTTACAGTTTCCTTGAATATTGTTTGTCATGATCACTTAAGTCACATTATAACCATGGACAATAAAGTTACCATTCTTAGAAGAAGCCTGACCGCAGGAAGTGCAAAATGTGCAGTAGGTTGCATCAGAACATTTTGTGGTGACAATTGCTTAACAATGAACGAAGTCTTTTAGGAGATCAATAAACAGAAGAGAAGAGGGTACGAATATGAGATACTCATTTTAGTTTTCGATGTAGAGAATCTCGGAATAGTCATAAATAGAAAAATCAAACAGAAAGATTTGAGGAATTTCATTCGGAATGTGCTGTATAAATATAAATTGCACAACTTCTGGTTTTTTTTTTCTACTTTCTCTAAATGATGGAAAATTTGGGCTAATAGAAATTCGGGTAGCAATATGAAACAGTGTTACTTTCGAAAAAAATAAAATTAGAAGCATTTATTTTATTATTAAGTAATAAATTTTAAAATGTGATAGTAATATAAGATTGTCTCATATTGCTACCAATCAAGTATCTATTATCATAGTTCTAGTGTTAATAATCCTTTAAATTCTCGTTTTGAATTTTGATAACTATCTTCGAGATTTAGATGAAAGGGGCGAATTGATTACAAAGTAAAACTACGTATAACTTAGCTCACCTGGACAGATGGTTCTTAAGGTAGCAGGTCGATAACCATCCATGCTGGTTTCCACCCCCTGTGGTCGTCATGGTTGGTTGGACTGGTGCCAGTTAGTCTAAGACTCCCGTATGCAACCGGTTCCATGAATTAAAATGTTGGTAAACGTTAGTGTTATCGATCTGCCTGTTGTGGTTTGAAAACGAATCGACTTTTCAGCGATCCTTGATAAAATGGCAGAAAGTCCATCGCATCCAATGCTGATAATAATACGACGATGGGTCATGAGGATAAATTTAATTTCGACTTTGGAAGAAGACTTGATTACTGATTTTTCATTTATATCTTTAATCTCAACACAATTAGTTTCCAATTTTTAATTAACACCACTCGAAACGACACTTAAATCATGCATTTCCGTTATCACTGTTAATTAACATCCGTTAACCTTTCCTTATCACAATGAATGGAATCAAATGTTCCAAGAGAAAAGTTTCTGTAGTACTCGCGTGCCATCGTTGCGTGTCTCACCTGGAAAAGAATGACACTTCAGTGATCTAATCTATCTCGTCTGGGAACAAATGACAAACCCGATCACGTTGATAGGTTTCCCCGGTTTATTCCAGCGGCTAATGAATCTAATTAACGTGCGTCTAAATTCATCTAATTAACGTGCGTCTCGGTTTGTTTCTTAACAAATTCTGATTCTATGATTTAGAATCGTTTAGACGTAAGTTGCGTCATGAGTACGACAGGATGTTGTACGGTAAAGGGTTAATAAATTTAATTTATTTCTACTTTAGCGAAATTGTATTATTTTAACGAAACGTCTTAATGAGGAAATCATAGAGCTGTAAAAAAATTAATTAACACTTTTTATTGACAATTTTGTCCAGGCATCTTGGCATTCATCAACTGCTGGGACGTAAAATGGGCGACCAGAGTGCAAGACGTTTTCACCTACGCCAAGTTGCTCGCACTCTTCATCATTATTTTCACCGGGGCTTATCAGTTGTTCAGCGGTGAGTTCAATGTTCTTATTCATTTCTTCCATTCGTTATTAACAATTTTATATTAGAAACTGTATTATCTTCCTAAGTACCCAGAGATAGAAAATTATGATTAATTGAAACATGCGGGTGGGTCCGCACAGGTCACTGCGGCCAAATAGCTACCAGGATATTTCACGATGTCTATGAACTATTGTCTGACTTACAGAACGTCCAGTAACGCTCGAGGCTATATCATTTCGACAAAAAGAAGTTCTTGCACAATCTTTTTGTCTGTACCCGTGACAAAAGGAAACCTAACTTTCTCTCCACTGTAAATAGAGTTGATCGATCGTTATAGGATCTTTTCTGTCGTATCATTTTTAGTAAACGGCACGAAGAAAGAGTGGAACTAAATATTTTATGTAGAGTATCGAAGGTTTGAAAGTTATTGATGGTGCGATTGCCTTCGAGAAATGCCTGTAAGAAATGCGAGCTTTTTATTCTTGATACGCGAGGCCTTCCTGGCTAATTTTTTTTCACATTTCTGTCAAGTTTTTACTGATTTAGCGTAGTTTAATAAAAAGAAGAAAGGGAAATAAATTGAACAGTGTATTAATAACTTTGCAAATTTTAATTGAATGCTACCAAATTGAAAAATAAAATTGCAGTATCGAATAGAAATCGAAAATTAAATCGGAGTATGCTTTCTATGTCAAGTGTAGCCCTGTTTGTTGTAAAGGCAATGAAAACGTCTTGGGCAAGAACGAGGAAGCTTGAGTTATAATGTTTCACCACCCACGCCCACCCTTGAAGCAGTATAAGACTGTTAGGCGTCTTTTCATTTGCCGGACGAGACAATTTGCCCAATCAAAAAGGTGGGTTAAAGACGCAGGAGATCTCGAGGTGTGTACGCTTGTTCGTGCACGAGGAATCGCTTGAATTGACCTATTCAAACGTTCAAATGCCTCTTCTTCTTCCACTGAACATCGACGTGAGAACCATTTTTAGTCCTCCGAAGACCAATCGTTCAGCCAACGACAATTTCAATTTAATTTCCAGTGTATAAAATCTTCTGGTTTAAAAATTAATAGGTTTAGCTTTAATTAACATTTTGCTTGGCTTGGCTGTCTAAAAAATGGAGATTGGGCCCCTCGCTATTCTAAAATTCTGAGATACTAAGATTCCATGCTTTATTTCCAGATAGAGTCAGCTCGATCGCCTTAGTTTCACAATTCTTTTATGAGATTCAGACGTTTGTTTTTGTCGGAACGTTATGAAAGATATTGCGAAAGAAACGACAAGTGCATACCTTCGAATGGCTCGCGTGTCTGATCGATTACTTTTATTCCATGTTGCAGGACACACGCAGTATTTCACGTTCGACAACACGAACACAGAAGTGACGTCGATAGCACTCAGCTTCTATTCGGGACTGTTCGCTTATAATGGCTGGAACTACTTGAATTTCATCATCGAGGAACTGAAGGATCCTGTCAAGTAAGCAATCCACCAGTCATTTCGCTAAACAGTGAAAAAAAGGGAAATAAATCAATGAAAATTCAAACTTCCAACTCTTCTCTTCATTCTGAAAGAGGAGAAACGTTATCTCTGTAGGAATCTCTTGCAATGATCACACCATATGAACTGGTATGTCTGTTAATTAAAAAATACGGTCGCAAAGCCCGCCTTCTTTAACTTTGACACGAGGTCAATTAAAGGGTTCTTGCTCTCTGTTCTTTTGATTTTCGACACTCCTCAACTTCTTCTTCGATCTTTATCATATTTCTTTTCGTTTCTGTTTCAGAAATTTACCAAAAGCCATTGCCATCTCCTGTGTTCTGGTCACTGTAGTCTACGTTTTTGCAAATATGGCCTTCTACACCACATTGAGCCCTGTTGAAGTTCTAGGGAGCGAAGCTGTTGCAGTGGTAAATTGATAATTTGTTACTGTACTTAATTGCTACAGTGAAAATCACCATAAAATAATCAAATTCCTATAATTGTGATTACATAATTAAAAAGGGTTTTGTATTTCTTCCAGACCTTCGCCAACCGTCTGTTTGGTGTATTCGCCTGGACGATACCAGTATTCGTGGCCCTCTCGACGTTCGGCGCCGTAAATGGAATTCTTTTAACGTCCTCGAGACTTTTCTACGCAGGAGCATGCGAGGGTCAAATGCCTGAAATATTAACGATGATCCAAACTTCCAGACTGACCCCAACGCCGGCCGTTCTCTGCATGGTACATCCTGCCACTTCCGATATTTCAATCTCCCAGAAGTTGACCGTAATAAAAGAGAAAAATCCTAGAGGTTTTCTTTTATACCGTTAGTCGGATTTTCAAGTTTAAGAGTAATCTCGTAGAGAATGTTTGTGCAATCTTCTGGTCCAGATTGCGATTGACCGAGAATGTTCTGTACAATCGAGATCGAAGGAAGTGACAATTGCGAACGTTAATTGGAATGTTGGTGTTCAATTTGTTCCAGGCCCTGCTGTCTATGTTGTACCTCTGCTCCTCCGATATCTTTGCCTTGATCAACTACGTCGGTTTTGCTACCTGGGTACGTGAAATCATTTAAAGAAACTACATTTTCAAATTAACATAAATTAAGAAGGATATTTTTCATTTGTTGTTATTGATTTATGATGTAAGAATTTAAAAGTAAAATGAAAAGCAACGAATGGAGATCGTTAAAATATATTTCTAAGAAAAACTTGCCTTGACACAGTACAATTTTATTGGTTGTTCAGCAATGAAAATAAAATCGGGTAATTGCCTGTCATTATGTTCCAAGAAATGCAATGGATTGTTGTACACAGGTCAGGATATACAAGCAGAACGAATACCTGCTCGCCACGAATTATTAGCCCAACCGGACGAGTGATAATTCTCTAATTGACTCATACTGTCCAGTGTAATTGACAGTATTGTCCGACTTTATAGCCGGACATAAGCGTGCCCACCTTATTGCGACTCGTCTGACCGTCGTTGAAATCAGAAAAATTTACCACCACTAATGCCTCTATTAATACTAATACTTACATAATTGTTTTCATATTTGTTTGCAGTTGAGCATAGGTGTATCTGTATTGTGCCTGCCATGGCTCAGATGGACTCAACCAAATCTACCCAGGCCAATTAAAGTGAATCTCTTTTTCCCAATTATTTACATCCTTGCCACCCTCTTTGTAACCGTGGTACCAATGTACGCCAGTCCTGTGGAAACAGGTAAGTTTATCCGTTATAAATTATATCACACATCCAAGACAATTTATATTAACAAGAATTTTAATTCTTTCTTTTCTAGGATACGGTTGCCTGATGATATTCTCATCCATACCTGTGTACTTTATGTTTATCGCGTGGAAAAACAAGCCAAAATGCTTCCAAAAAGGAGTCGGTAAGTGGATTATTGTAATATTCTTATAATAAAAGGAAAACATTTGTCAGAGAATTTGAGAATCACTTCTGATTACATAGAAATTGAGCTTCTATTGTTCTTGTTTTATTCTTTTTATAATTTCATATTCATTTGAGTTTCTTAGAAATTTAGAAAGATTCTTGTTATAATTTTCTTCTATTTTTGGTTAACGTTAAATGTGTTCCCACAGGCGCCGTTACCAAAACTTTGCAGAAGCTGATGGTAGTCGTCGGACCAAAGACTAAGGTTCAAAAACACACTCTAACATAATTTTACTCTTGTCATGTCACGCATGCTTAATATTTATTTTATTTACATCAATTTAAAGAATATATGATTATAAGTTCTTTAAAAAATCAATCTTCCTTTCCTCTTCTTTTTCTTATGAAATAAAATTGTTTAATTTCTGTGATTACATTTGAATACTATGTTTTAAACGAGTTCAAGTTTAATTTTGCATGATGCACTCACAGTCAGCACCACACACACTAACTCGTACAGCTGTCTCACATGGTGCACCAGTAAAATTTGTGACTAATGTAATCTTTGGAATTAATTATATATAATGAAATCTGATAATTAACTTCTCTAATCGTGATGTCATATTTTGTATCGATAGATCCTTGTTTGCATAATCTTTAAGAATATTATTTTTCTTTTACAGTAAGCGTCACGAAGTTCCTGCAGAAAATAATGCTGGTCGTCGGCAAGTCGAAACCCGCTCAGGTTTAATCAGTCAGAATGGATCCACAGGAGTGACTTCCGGTTCTAAGGCAACGACAAACGAAGCGAAGTTTCCGAAAACCTCGTAGAATCTTCTTTTCTTCAACAATTCGTAATTCAGATTAATGACTGGTAGACTTCAACAAAATACAGTTTGAAAATTTAGAGTTGACCTACCAAATCGTGTTCTAATATAGACACTATTAAATGAATTGCAAGATGTAAGGAAGCATTCTACAAGTGTAAATGGTGACCTGCCAAAAGACAGCCATATTTTGTAGCAGGCCACCTAAGAAACTAAGCAGAACGGAAGTTCCCTCTTGCCTGGATATCATCCCTGCTACGTTGACATCAAGATTTTCGCGAGATTATATCATGCTCGCGATTCCAGCGGAGGTATAGTAATATATAAGGGTGTTAAGACAATAATGATCCATTATACTAAGTTAATGAAATTAATTTGTAAAAGAAGACACTTTGGTGTCATATTTATGCCACTATATTTTTTAATTTTATTTCTAATTTAATAATTATATTATTGTTAAAAATATTTCCTCTGTAACTTATAGTCATTATTTCTCTAACACCCTGTAAATACACAAAGAAGTACCCACAGGTTTCTAGAATTAGAATGAAAAATTTCTTTTTTTAATACTGATTGTCTTTTTAATAATTCCATAAACTTTTGGGTACATCAACAGAAAATGATCATCAATAGAAAAGTGTATATGTTAAAATAAGGAACATAATATATTCGCCTCCGTTGAACACGCGACGTGTCCGATTCTTTGCAACGATTTAAACGTATGTATGTATTTTTCTTTCATTCCACGATGTATATCATTTCCATTCACGCGATTCGAGCCTCTTCCTCTTTCATCATAGGCATCGAATACGTCTTCGTTAGCTATCCCATAAAAAATCGTCAGCGATAATTTATTGTTCGATCACAGCAGACAGATCATTTGATTTTCCCTCGTTCTCGTTGAAATTAAGAAACAGACGTATTGTTTTACGTGCTGGCATTCGATTATTAAACATTGTACTCGCGTTATACATACTGCCATCGTGTTTTAAAAAATGTTCTATCGGAATTAGTGGAACTCTTGTTATCATTCTGCCAATTGTACGCTTTCCAAAGCGTACATTACAAATTTATCAAATGTATGTATTTGTCAAGCAATCAAATTTTGATTGTATTAACAAAATGTGTATTATCATTGTAATTTCGACGTCCGGACCTGTTGGCAAAGTATTAAAAGACCCACCGAGCAAAGAACCAACATTTAAACAGATGCAATAGCGATTCAAGTGACTAATTAATCAAATTCACGGTTTTTTAATACTTTTTTAAGCGAGCAACCGTTTTAGGATGATTTTAGTCGCATTTCAAGCCTCTATTTCTTTACTTTCTTTTTATTTGTATTTTTATTCATTCATTCCTTCGCGAATGTATGCATGCGTTTGATGAGTGCGTTTATTGTTGCATGCACAGATACGATAAGGATTTGCGTTGAGAATTTTTATCCTCAACTGATAGTATAGGGTCAGAATGATTCATGTTTAACATTAAGCGATTTTTATATCCTTTTGTTTATATTGATCACTAAAGACGATTAAAGAAAGGCAATTTTAGGTTGCCATTCATTCTATAATCATTGAGTTCACAGTTTTATGGCAAGTCCGAAAGTCCATTTAATCATTCAATCAAATATACAATGGATCAAAAATGTATTGAAACATCTTGCTTTTTTGCAATTAGTTCTTTTTAAAGTACCAGAAGTAATAATAAAATTGTTGATAAAATTAATTATCAAGGTGCCAAATACTTTACTGATCCACTGTATAATTACATTTTAATTATTTGTTAATATCTATAAAATCTTGGTAGAAAATTGGTCCAAAACAAATTTTATAATGAATTTTAGTCAAAATGGATCTCTGACCACTATGTGTGATATGCAGTGACTCACACAGTGTTCAGTTTAAATTTGATAAGTACTGATGTCTCTTATGAACAATTATGTGAGACACTGCATTTAATGGAGAGATAATTATGACACATTTTCTATATACGTTTTGAATTCTACTAATTCTTAAGAAGAATGTGTCATCTATGTTACAAAATGTAAGAGGTCGTTCTTAAATTTTGAACTTCAAAAATGAACGACTATTAAATGGCCCAATGATATTATTCATGTATGAATTGCGAGAGAAGTGAAAAAAATGAACAAAATTTTAGCATATCCTTAGCGAAACATAATCTAGGACCAAAAATATTTTCTATCGAGTGTTCTCATTGGAAAGACACATGGTGCATCCATAAGGATCCTGAAATGAAATTTTAATTATTGTCACGAATTCATCTGATACGTTAGCCTCGTCGACTCGTCTAAATTGAAACCTTCTCATTTCTTAAAAGTATTTCGAAGTTCGTCGAATCGCTGAATGCTCAATTTTTTCCTTTTTCTTTTTTGATCAGCGATCGTCGAAGTTCGAGATCCATATCGACTGAACCAGACAATAATTCTTATTTTTCTTGCACAATTTAAAAAATTAATGGACGTATCGGCGGCGCTATCAATTAAATCTAGTTTCATGTTTTAGCTGTATCTGCCATGATCATATTTCGATCTCGAACTTTTGTGAAACAACCATAAATCAGGGTGACTGTCGATACGAGGCCTAGTCAATCCTTGATAACTCAGTATTTTTCTTAAAACGCAGATTTTTTTATGTAAATGCGTGAAAATATAAATGGAAATGTAGTAGAAAGAACGTTGGATAAATCTCTATCAAAATTATCATGATTCTTAAATTTTTGAAACAAGTAAGGTATGACACAATTCGCTGACATAAAAGTATCACAAAATACCATTTAAAAAATCGTGTATATTTTTACATTGATAGCCACTCTGATACACGTGACAATAATAAAGTACTAATTATGTAATTAGTAAACATTAGGTAAGGTAGAACACGAAGAAGGAATTATTAGAATTCGAACGTGTCTTAGTATTTTTCCTTTCTTCGCTGTTTTTTATGTTCAAACGAAGAGGAAGTTTGGACACTTTGCTCTCTATTTGCGTGAACAGTGGTTGCATTGCTCTTTTCTGTAAAAATTAAAAGATTTGTACATTGGAAAATGGTGATAAATTATTATCATATTGCAAATGTAATATACAAGATGTTTGCGACCTGACTGCTCAACCAGAAACGGCATAAATTTACATAAAAAAGTAAGTCAAACATATAGCGTTATATTTTTCGTAGGTCATTTTATTTTTGACTAAATTTCTGTCTTTGAAAGTCCCGCCATTTTCTTGGGGGTGCACGTAATGCCATCTAGCGGCTAGTACTGGAACTGCTAAAAATTATTCCTACTTTTAGTTTCAATTTCCGCTACTAGAAGGTGCAAAATTCATATGTCCGAAACTGTCGGTAAACTTTTAATAATGTAGGCATTGCACAATGTAGACGAAAATTCGGTCCTGAGCGTTTCGCTTTCATTGAATCTTTACTGTACAAGGGTGAAAGTAATCAGTGGTAACGAAAATCGGAACTGAAGGTAGGAATCATTTTTCCACTATCTGGTGGCGGAACCGAGAAGCTCTATTTTTTAACACCAACTAATAGATGGTATCACTTGTATTTCTAAGAAAACGGCGGGATTTTTTAATAGACGAAAATTTTAAGTTGCAATTGTAAATTGAATAAAATAAATAGGAAATGCAATGACATAAAAGGAATACAACCACTTTCATACAAGCAATTAGCAAATGCGTATTCTTGTTGAATTCGAATTGAAACTTATTGTTAAAAAGAAGGATGATGTGACATATAAATGTAGTAGCTTAAGATCTAAACGATGTAAACAGGAAAAAACATGAAACTAATAAATTATGACGATATATTATAATACTAAGATCGCATTACATGTAAGCAACTTTCAAAAATAGATACAACGCGTTTTAAATTGCGCTACGTGTTCATTACTCTATATGTGCGTATATGGCGTGGGGTATTAAGGACCCCGAAGCACCGGTGATACCCTGCATATCGACACCTACATGAAGCTAACCGGAAGGAATAATAAAATATGATTATTTTTAATTTTTCTTAGTGTATTTCGTTTGTAAATCGTTTGTGATTGATTGTGAGTATATTTTTAACGTTTGTGACAAATTACTTCTTTTGTAATTAGCAATTTTATTTCAGTCATGATGTGAGCCGAACCTTTTTAGTAATTTTTTATAATAAACAGATTTTGCGATAACTGATAACTGTAATTGATTGAAAATCATTTGTGATTTACAAATATATCATTTTCATTGTTTGTGAGTGAATAATTTCTTAATTATGTATAAGTTTGTTTCATAATAAATAATTGTAGTGCGCATACGCGAAATATATTCAGTATAGAGGAAATCGTTTAAATTTTCTGTTTCATATTCTACGAGCAAAAGTCCTTTTAATTTTTTGGAACAACTGCTATTATGCTGAAGATCTTTTATAATAAAATAACAAAAATAACAAGATAAATGATTTCATATATTTTTATATATTATATATTATTTATAAATATTGTAAACCGAGTTCCTTTTCTTTCTCTTATTCCTTCCGGCTAGCTTCATGTAGGTAGCTAAAGGCACACATACATGTACCCTTATTTTATTTTCTGCGTTCATTTAATTTGCTGTAATTATCTTCTTATCTTATTGAATAAACTCCTTAGGAGGACGAACGTGTTGATTTTATTACTTCTGTCTGCACCCTTTATATCTCTGATTCCACTATATTTCTGCACCCTTATATCACTGCATTCCTTACATCCCAGCAACCATTACATCTCAGTATTCCTAACATCTCTGCATCCCTTACATCTCTCCATTCATTTCATCCCTACATTCCTTACACCACTTCATCCCTTATATCCCTACATTCTTTCCATCCCGACATTCCTTACATCTCTTCATCTCTTCATCCCTTACATCCCTGTATTCTTTTCATCCCTACACTCTTTTCATTCCTACATTCTTTTCATCCCTTACATCCCTACATTCTTTTCATCCCTACATTCCTTACATCGCTTCATCCCTTACATCCCTACATTCTTTTCATCCCTACATTCCTTACATATCGTTATACCTTCCATCCTTGTATCACCTGTATTCCTGCATTCCATACATCCCAGTACCTCCCTGAATTTAAGTTGAAATTTTTGCGTCTATAAGGCCTGCGATTTTATACAAATTTAGTTCCATTTCTCGCCACCAGAGGGCGCTGATTCGACATCGAAATTTTAGTTCACATTTTTGCCGCAAGAGGGCCAAAAATGGAACCTGATTTAGTTCCTTTTTCCAAAACCAGATGGCGCTGATTCGACATCGAAATTTTAGTTCACATTTTTGCCGCCAGAGGGCCAAAAATGGAACCTGGTTTGGTTCCTTTTTCCGAAACCAGATGGCGCTGATTCCACATCGAAATTTTAGTTCACATTTTTGCCGCCAGAGGGCCAAAAATGGTACCTGGTTTAGTTCCTTTTTCCGAAACCAGATGGCGCTGATTCGACATCGAAATTTTAGTTCACATTTCTGCCGCCAGAGGGCCAAAAATGGTGCCTGGTTTAGTTCCTTTTTTCAAAACCAGATGGCGCTGATTCGACATCGGCATTTTAGTTCACCTTTTTGCCGCTAGGGGGCGCTGTTTTTCGAAATTTTTGCTAACTAACTTACCTTTACTTACCTTTACTTGAAGCAGTCTTTATATTATATTTATTATAACGGATGCAGAGATGTAAGGAATGTAGGGATGAAAAGAATGTAGGGAAGAAAGGAATGTAGGGATGAAATGAATGTAGGGATGAAATGAATGTAGGGATGAAAAGAATGTAGGGTTGGAAGGAATGTAGGGATGAAAAGAATGTAGGGGTGGAAGGAATGTAGGGTTGGAAGGAATGTAGGGGTGGAAAGAATGCAGGGGTGGAAAGAATGTAGGGATGATAAGAATGTAGGGATTTAAGGGATGAAGAGATATAATGAATGTAGGGATGCAAGGGATGAAGCGATGAATGGAATGTAGGGATGAAAAGAATATAGGGATGATAATAATATAGCAATTTAAGACATAAAAAGAATGTAGGGATGAAAAGAATGCAGGGATGCAAGAGATGCAGCGATGTAACGGAACGAGGGATGTAAAGGAATTCCGTAGGGGTGCGGGGCTGGGGCCCCGGTCTCTACTGCATGCGACCCGAGAAGTGCCGGCATCGGGTGTGGCCCCCGATGTCGGCGGAGTTTGGCATATAACGGAGGGTCTAAGGACCCTCCCTACCGCCCTAGTGCAGGCCACCGTGGTGGTTTTAGTGGGTAAAAATCCCACACTACCTCCGGCCCCTCCCCAGGGGGGCTGAAGGTGTCTTTCTGAAGATTTCCACCACGTTAAAAAAAAAAAAAAAAAAAAAATGGTTATTTTAGGGTTACAGGAATGTAAGGAATGCTGTGATGGAAGGAATGCTGCGATGGAAGAAATACAGGGATGTAATAGCTACTGAGATGGCCTTGGCCTATAATGAGGGATAAAACTTTATAAATAACTGGAAAAGTAAAGGGACAGAAGAGGGATATAATCATAAATGTTATCCGCTTTGATGAGCTTATTTAATAAGCAAAAAAAAATAAATGAATTAAATTAAATAAACTCTGGAAAAAACTTATACTGGTTGTGCCCTCTTTATACGGTCCTGATATCATCCGGGGTTTCGGAGACCCCAAAGCACCAATGACTCTCTTTGCATACCGACATTATGGTATCTGGGGTTTCGGAGACACCAAAACACCAATGACTCTCTTTACATACCCACATTACGGTAACTGGGGTTTCGGAGACCCCAAAGCACCAATGACTCTCTTTGCATACCGACATTATGGCATCTGGGGTTTCGGAGACCCCAAAGCACCAATGACTCTCTTTACATACCGACATTACGGTAACTGGGGTTTCGGAGACCCCAAAGCACCGATGACTCTCTTTACATACGGACATTACGATATCTGGGGTTTCAGAGACCCCAAAACCCAAATGATACTCTACATATCGAGATTATAGCATCCGGGGTGTCGGAGACCCCAAAGCACCAATAGACTCTCTTTACATACCGACATTAAGGTATCTGGGGTTTCGGAGACCCCAAAGCACCGATGACTCTCTTTGCATACGGACATTACGATATCTGGGGTTTCAGAGACCCCAAAACCCAAATGATACTCTACATATCGAGATTATAGCATCCGGGGTGTCGGAGACCCCAAAGCACCAATAGATTCTCTTTACATACCGACATTAAGGTATCTGGGGTTTCGGAGACCCCAAAGCACCAATGACTCTCTTTGCATACCGACGTTATGGTATCTGGGGTTTCGGAGACCCCAAAGTACCAATGACTCTCTTTACATACCGACATTACGACATCTGGGGTTTCAGAGACCCCAAAACCCAAATGATACTCTACATATCGAAATTATAGCATCCGGGGTGTCGGAGACCCCAAAGCACCAATGACTCTCTTTGCATACGGTCAGTATGGTATCTGGGGTTTCAGGGACCCCGAAGCAAGTAGCGAAATATAAGACCTAAAAACGAACAAATCGTGGAACTTACTTGTTCGGAGTAGTGATGGGTTTGACCGGATCTAGCGAAATATAAGAACGAAAAACGAACAAATCGTGAAACTCACTTGTTCGGGGTAGTGATGGGTTTGAGCGGATCTAGCGAAATATAAGAACGAAAAACGAACAAATCGTGAAACCCACTTGTTCGGGATAGTGATGGGTTTGAGCGGATCTAGCGAAATATAAGAACGAAAAACGAACAAATCGTGAAACTTACTTGTTCGGGATAGTGATGGGTTTGAGCGGATCTAGCGAAATATAAGACCTAAAATCGAACAAATCGTGAAACTCACTTGTTCGGGATAGTGATGGGTATAACCTGATTCCATCCTGGGGTGTCTGGGGCCCCGAATCATTAAATGTCCCTTTAAATGGGTTGTATCAACGAGCGGGAAGTTTGAATGTAATACTTTCTTTTCATGACAATCTTTTATAACTAAAAACCTTTTTGCATCCTCAATTTTTCTATATATTGTTAATCAAAGTATTTACATTAATTTTACATAATTGAAAAGTGGGAAAGTAAGAAATATAATAAAATTATTGTATTAGAAAATATATTTAAACATAAATTACACAATTATACAATAGTATGCAGGAAGGTTTCGGATAATATATTTCAAGACATTACAATATTTATAAATTCAATACAATATGCAGTTTCCTATGTTTTCTAATGCAAGTTATAAAATCCCTATTCCTGTATTTAAGTGTATAATAAATTCTTAATCTAATAAATAACTTTAATAAATATTCAAGAGGAAAATTGTCGCAAGGGGTAGACACGGGTTAAGAAGCGAGGTGACATTACCGGCAAAAATGGGCCTATCTATGTAGGAATAATTTATCACCTTTTATGATTGATTCTTAATCTACATACTTGTAGCGACTTTCTAATATAGGTTTTGTAAGAATCCAGTCACTAATTAATTAATTATGAACCCTTAGGAACCCTAAAACCATCGAACTGCGCCCTGCAGAAAAAACGAGGAAGTAAATTTGTAGTCTGTTTTACCTTGTCGACGTCTTTCGCGAGGAAACAATTAACGAAATCGTAGTTTTCAAATTTCTTTTACCTGGAGGCTTGTACATCATCTCTTGGGTGCTCGTTTTGTTCTATCTGACCCAAAGAATAGTAGTCTGGTACCCATTTGGACACACGATTCACCGAAATGTTTATATTACGAATAAATTGATGCAGGCGAATCCGATCCGCCATTTTTTTGACGGTTGACAGACATAAATTTTAATATTTTATAACTTTTTAACGATTTGGATAATATAAGGACCAGACTACCATTCTTTAGGGCCTCTTGAAATGACGACGTAATTTGAAAACTCGTTTCTAGGGATTTTTCTAGGTTCTGTCGGTAAAGTTTTCAACGCTCGCGTAAGAGATGGAGGGATATAAAGGATGCAGGGATTCAGGGAAATCTGAAAAGAAAAAGGTTTCTTCGGGGATATAATAAAAAATCACTTAATATTTCGATGGAAGGCTTTCAATGTTTTTCTTTATAAGGGCCGCACGAATTATTAATAAATAATTTAAAGTCTTGGTTACATACGCGTCTATATTTTGTATGTATAAACATATAAGTTATAAATATATGACAGTCAAATATTTATAACTTATACACAATATGTGTGTATATATATAAATATATTATACATGATATATAATATATTTATAATATTTATAACTCTGTTCACAGTAGTTGTACAACATACACAGAGATTACAAAAGAAATAAAATTTCATTTGGCTTCGTCGGCGTAGCAGGAACAAAAATTTCCTTTTTCCTCTCATTCCGTTTATCTCATCAAGTTTTAACAAAGAATTACGAAATGAAAAGAAGAAAACATTAAAAAGAAAGAAAGAAGTTTGGAACGGATATTCCAGCGCGATCTCGGTTCGACGATTTTGTTTATTATCATTATAATATGAAAATTAATTAGCGATGTGATTTTGAGCGTTTCTTTTTCTAATATTAAAATTAAATTTCGTTATATAAGAGTGTGCGTATTAAATCACCCTCTATAATTCGTTGATTCGATAAATTACAAAAAATTTGTCCTATATTTAATACAATTATTAAATAAATTAATTATTAGATACTACACAGATTATTCTTAAGAAACAATTTTTTTTAGTACCATTGTCTATAAACACTCGATTAAGTATAAATTGAGATTATCATCGAGATTCGTTCATTAGCGCCTCATCATACCTATTCTCATGATGACTCAATAGTTAAAAAACAGATATATTTTGAGCTATGTACGTTTCGTTGGTTACAAGAATTAGGCTCTAAAATTCGCGAAGGAAACCGAGAAAGTCGTCGCTGGAGCCCAGACTTAAGAAACGGTGAAACTAAATTGACGACCTATGCTAAAAGTTACTTCAACTGGCCTCGATCCAATGAAGGACACACGCACACCTGAGTGCAAATAGTATTTGTAATAAAAATGAAATATAGCACTTTCATAGATGATAAATTTCTTACAATTTTAAAACCAAAGAAAAGGGGCTAAAAATTGAAAATTATAAATTTTTTATATAAAAATGTGAACTATGATTAACTTTTGATTACCAAATTTCTACAATTTATTTCAAATACTATTTCCACCCTCCCTCTGTACCTACAAATCTGTGTGTTTTTTTTTTACCATAGTCTTTCATACAGAGTGACGGCGGGTTAAAAAGAATTATGGAAGAAAGTATACAGCTATCTATAAATACAGTGATAATCTCACATCGGTATTCCCATCGTTTCACGAGTTAACGATTAGGTCTCTACCGCTTAATTCCTCTTTTTTTTTGCACCTATACAAACACGCATCTAACACCTAAACTGATTCGCTTCCTGTATTACTAGCTATTGTATAATATCGTTGCTATAGTATATATATATATATATATATGTATATGTATGTACAAAGGAGAACTTTCACGTGCTTACGAGCTTAGGGAGATAATGAAAACACTTGTCCTCTTCCTAACGGCAAGGGTTTTCATTCATACCAGTACATTAAGCAATTGCATTGGAATAACCATGAATATATAGAGATTGTGACCCTTGAACTTTGATATAAATTAATTAAAGTTTATATTGCAACGTGGATCATTCTTGTTATCAGTATTAGATCAATACAATTTTCAGAGACTTAAAACAAAAAATAGATTAGTTATTCCAATGCAATTTGATAATCACAAACGCCTTTCAGTGTGAGCTTAACAGTTTGACATTGCACTTAAAAGAGAAAGTATAAACATTTGCACGGAAAAGTGGAATGATTTAAATATTATTCGCGCCCCTCTTTCTACAATTAAAAAAAGGAAAACGTCTCGTTCGTTGTACCGAAACGATAGAATATACAAAATTCTCGAATAGAAAAAGAAAAGACTGGCAAATGGATGAATACACGCTTCTTCGAGACGAAGAATTCGAAAATGAACACTATGAAACTATTGGACGAGCACTAAACGAGATTCCTGGACAAACGTCCAGCAGAATACGAGGTACTTTATACGAGAACATCGTACGAACGAGTTGATTCGTCTTTTTTGAGCAAAAGACACGCGCCTCGTCAGAAACAATCCATCGAATGGCATTATTTATGCCACTCGATAGTTTGTGGAAAAGTTTTTAACCCAATCGACCCTGTTTAATATATAATGTTATCCTATGAATTCGCCATAATTATAGTTATTTCAAATACTATATAAGTAATTTCAAAAAATTGAATAAGTAATTTCAAAAATTAAAGTTTGTAAAGTGTTTGATTTCCCAGGTCGAAAGGGTTAACAAATTAACAAACGGAGCGATAGGACATCGAACAAAAATAATCACAGTTGAAAGCACTGAGAGATTCCTTTCGTGATTGCAAGTATGGCATCGAACAACGAAAACCAGACTACCATCGTTCTCTTTACACGATATCCTTCGTTTCTCCCCTTGGTAATTAGTTGTTTAACACTAGCCTACATATTATTACAGAGTAATGCAAAATTACGTTGCTAACTTCGAACCACCAGGACGACTCACAATTCACTAATACAATCCGACTTGGTATAATGTATAATAGCATATAGTATATGATTTACCAATTTTCTTCAACGATTAAAATTTGTGCGATTCTCTTTTCGGTTAATTCATTTAACCATCCAGACTCGACATTTTATACCACCAATACAACTTATTGTATCTTTTAAGATATACTCTAATGCAATGTAGGCTTCCTTTTAGTTTTAAAAGAACCCATAGAGATCCCATAAAGAACCCAGGAAGAGCCTAAGCATAGAATCTTTTGCCTTCTGAAAAAAGAACAACAATTCTTAATTGATAATACAGAATGCCTGCATTATCGAGTCTGAAGGGTTAAATACCGAAAATTAGTAGAATATTAACAGCCCTCGAGTTTGTCGTCGCCAGTGGTTGAAGAATGAGAATTCTACCGCAGTTTGTACGAGTTACACGGTGTTGTATCGTGAGCGATTTAAAATTCCACTTTCAACCGATAAATGTCCTTTCAGCGTTGATCGGTTGAATTGGAACAAATGACAGATATGATTGTGTTACCATCGATTAAGAGGGTGACACCGTTATTCGTGGATTAATAATACATTTTTTCGTTACCTTACTAAGACGGGATCCTCTTAATGAGACACACCCCTTTCGTTTGCTTTAAATACGCAATAATACATAAATATTATTAGCGAATGGACTATCAAACGAACAATTGTTATTATTAAAATAAAAAAGAAAGATTTCGGAATTGATTTGAAATCGTTTAGAATTACTAAATGATTCGCTTCTAACCCTTTGACTGCAAAATATGTATACAATCAATCAAATAATTAAATATTAATAACTATTCCAATATTTTCTTATTTTTAAAATGCAAAGTTCTAATTTTAGATATATCGCACCGCAAAATACTGATGGTTCCTTTTTAGAGCGCGCCACAATCAAAGGGTTAAATATATCCTAATTTCATTTGTCAGCCCATTCGAGATATACGGATCGATTCGCCTTGGCAACGACGTATGATACAATCTTTTTAAAAAAAAAGACAAAGAAAACTGTGCGAGAATCAAAGGCTAATATAAAATGCAAGCCACGTGATTTCGACGATTTCGACAGTATTATTATATCCGGCTACACCTGTCAGCCTCCTATTCTCGTTTACGCATCATCATCGTCTTTCTTTTATCAATTCTTTTCTCCGACGACAGAAAGAACAACAATTCCTCTCGACTTTGTATAAATATATCTTTAGTGTGCGCGACTATTCGTGTACGTTTCATCAACAATGCGATTCATTATTTCTCTTGGAAAAGGCCTTTGGAAAATGTTCGATCAAAGAATCACTGAATCACTTGTAGAGAATAAAAAAAAAAAAAAAATATGAAAAAGAATCGCGTACCATTTTGTGCGTATCTCAGGACGGGTTAAACTCGTCGTTCAAAAAATGATCCTTACTAAAAAGAAAGATAATTGTATACATAAGCGCATCTGCCGTGCAGACTGTAAACCATCGTCAAAAAGTAAAAGTATTATCAAAAACGTAGACATCTTAGACTAAATGCATCTATCCCTTTCGTAATCAGAGTATCCTTCAATTAATTAGGCAGATTACATTGCTCGAAATAATTGGTAGATTGTTTCGAGCAAATACAATTAGAAGAACCTATTGTAGATTGTCGATTAACAAAGAACACTTTGAATCAATGTTAGACCGTGTTTTACGTACTGCTCAAAATTAGATCTCGTATTAAAAATTACCAAAATTCATGTATAATTTACCGAAATGTATCAATAAAATGTGAATAAAGTACAAAAATAACGTTGGCCAATTTTTTTTTATACAAATACTCCACTGTGCAAGATTCTAAAAAAAAAAAAAAAGAGAGATACTATAGTATAAATAGTCATTCAAGACAGCAGTCACCTTGTACTCGTTTTGAGCAGCATACATACAATGAACCAGTGAAAAGACTGCATAATCTGAATGTCTTTGAACTCGCTTCCGAAGAATCAATGGGAGCGTTTTACGATGCTGTGACGATTTCCACGCGTATACAGCATTTTTTTGTTCTTTCTTTTTCTTTTCTTTTCAATAAAGTTACCGTTATCGTTATCACGTCCCGTATGCACGCGCGCCGGTCGTGTGCACCGACTGCGCTAAGTACACATACTTATTATACACGTGGCGAATGCGTTTCTCTCAAAGCGTGCGGACAAACTTACAGCATCGACGCGTAAACATTTTCGCGCGACCCTAATTAGCACAGCGCGCGTAATTGCGTCACTGGTATTTAACGCGCAAGCACTGCACACGTGTCAACATGTAAACGGTACTCGTGTGGCCGCTGCTTAGGCGTGTGTATATCGACGGTAATTGTACTTAGACGCATGGATGCACGGATTAACACGTTGATGAATGAAGTAAGTAAAAAATAATATTACTAGTAATTTTCTTCTATCGTTTTCAATAATATCATTGGCATTATTAATATTGAACGTGACGTGGATCCTCAGCAAACGTGTTAACGGATAACAACCCTAGAAATTTCAAAACTTTGTATCTCGATGTTCGCCATTTCGCTAAAAATTATTACAATTTCATTTCTGTATATGATAATGCATCCGTGCGGTGCATTATAAAATGCACACGAGGTTTGCACGCAAACGGACGTGTAATTCAAGATGTTTCAATATGTAACTACCTATACATATAGTTACCGTCCATCGTTTGTTCGCAGGTAAGAATAACATTGTTAAGAATTCATGAATTTTTAATAACATCAGTCTTACTGCAAGGGGACGATGACGACGCAACGTTGACAAACACGCTTCGGTTTTAAGAATCCTCTTGAATTCGTAAGTTGCTCCTCTCTGTGCTCTGGAGAAACCTGAGAAATCTGTGCTTTTGCCGAGTGTCCTATTTTCATCTCAGCGATCGTTTCTAACATGGACAAGTGCAACGAGTGCGGTTGCAGCGTGTGATCGGCACCAAAGTCGCGGAGCCGTATCGGGCGTCTTTTTAAAGCAGCTTCGGGCAGCACCTAAGCGCCCGTCGGCGTCGTCCGCAACGACGACGTCGCACTGACGACGACGTTGGTAGATTCGCACTACTCGCGTTCATTTTGGATCAGCTGGCTGGCATCTCCGAGTTCTGACTCTGAGACAGCTCTAACAGATGACATTCTGAGAGCGGTATCTGCCTTGTACGCGCACTCTGTTTCTTCTATCATATAAATCATTATGAAAATTAATAAAAATATTAGAAATATTTATTACGTGATCGTACCTGTCTGCGAAATGGAAAACAGCCTCTGTTCTCGTTGTTGGGTGGAGGATGGTTGATCAGCAGATCAGGAGTCGGTGTGTTGTTAGGGCCTAACACGTTCAACTCTTTAAAACACTCCGTCTCGATCATCTGGAACAGAAAATAGAAGTCTGCTGTAGAATATAGAATCTAAAGAAGTTATTTGAACCCCGATCGATCGGTCAGATTTCTCTTTGAGAGGTAAAATGGATTCGGATGAACGATAAGAAGCACTCGTGTGTTCTCTCTGACGCATGTGAAATACTTTGAACACACCCTCTGATGCATTGCGATACCGTCAAAGAGAGTAAAAATTTGCTCTTCAACATGTCTGATATGTAATTGAAAATACCTCGTTCTGCCATGGAATAGACACGCTGCCGGTATTGAATTTACTGTAGAATGTGTCGTCCGTGGCGTCCAAATTGACACCTTTCACCGTGGAGAACTGTTCGATGTCTAACACATCCTTAGCGTAAACCGCATGAGGCTGGAAAGAAAATTGCGCAACGATCAGATTTTTATTTCCCTCGATCAACGAGAGCTATTGTGCGTTAACTTCGATATAGAAGTGATTTTTTTGCAGCCTGGACTAATGAAACTTTTTTATCAAAAGAAGAAGCAATTTACTAGACTAAAAATGGTCATAGTTTTTTTTAACATCCTCCTCATCAACTTCCAAGCGCAAAAAAGATTCTTCGTACCAAGAAAATCGAAGACGACAGAAAACAACGACAATAGAATCGACTTGAACGACACCTACTCACATCCGGCACAAACGGCGGTTCCCACATACCGGCCTCGACCCTCTTCCAGTTCAAGCATTGAAAAAAGCTATGGAGCTTCACCTCCTTAGCCCCGTGTCTGCCGCACTTGCATCCCAGCCTGTTCTTCGGGCTCTTCTTCAGCAACTGCTGGCACAGACTCTTAGCTTCCTCGGTGAACTTGGTCGAATACCTCTCCTGATCTTCCTTCACCCTCCTATCCACCTCTTCCCTCTTCACCTTCTCCTTCCTAGCGCGAAACGGTGCCTGGCCTTCAATCATCTCGTACAAAAGACAGCCAAAGCTGAACCAATCTGGCGAAAATGTGTACTTCTCATTGTCGATCACTTCCGGTGCCATGTAGCCTACCGTGCCCACTCTTCCTCTCACCATGTCTCCCTCAGTGATCTCAACGGCCAGGCCGAGGTCGGAGATCCTCACGTGGCCGTGATCGTCCAGAAGAATGTTCTCCGGCTTACAGTCCCTGTATACGATCCCTTGAAGATGCAGGTGCTCCAGACCGCAGACCACTTCGGCGGCATAGAACCTGGCACGGTTGATGTCGAAGCCAGGCTCACCGCCCATGTTGTAGATGTGAAACTTTAAGTCACCACCGTTCATGATGGTCAATACCAAACATAACGCATCTTTAGTTTCATAAGCGTACGCTAACGAGACAACGAACTTCGAGTTGATCTTCTGCAGGATGTTCTTCTCGATCAACACCATCGCCTCTCCTTTTCGTTTCTTGATCCTCTTCTTTTCTAACTTCTTACACGCGTACATTTTACCCGTCGCTCGCACCTGGCAAGCGCAAACCTCCCCGAAACCACCCTTGCCGAGCACCCTGTACATGCGAAAGGTCTTGTACGTGACTGGTTGGGCCTCCAACCATTTCCACTGCAGGTACCTGGGAAAGAAAATGTACGACTAGGTCAGACATCTAGAAAACAACAAGAGTTTGGTATTCGATGGATTAGGCTTTCCTTGGTTAACAAGGAATTAGATTTAGTTTAGGTTCTCCCTAAGCTCTCCCTTAATTCTTCCAAAACTGAAGGCAAGTGGGAGGAAGTTTCTTCTCTACGCCTACTCTTAACCAAAGGAAGCCTACACTGCTTTCATCAACCCACGAAGACACAGCCAAGATTACCTATAGAAATAGAAGCTAGTTTGGAAAGCTGAAAATGGCTCTCCAGCAAGGAAGTTCTTCACGGTCTGTGCGATCTCGACGAACAGCTCCTTCCCACCGGTGCTGAGCCTCTCCTCGCATTGAGCGATCAAAGAATCGTTCAGGATGTCCACCACCTCCGAACCTTCTCTCTTCAGGTACTGCTCGAACAGATCCTTCGCCAATTCGGTCCGATTCTCGTCCATCTCGATCTCGTACTTCTCGATCGCGTCCAAGAAGAGATTGTACCGATGGTAGGCCGGTTTCTTGTCCTGGCAAAATTGCCTGAACAATAGTCGACCGATTGGTTGTTGATCCACCACATAGCTGTACCTGATATCTGGACAAATCGAACGCAAAGAGGACAAGTGATTGATTAATCGCGTTGCACTTGATGATTAAAAAAATATCAAAATATCTTAATATTAAACGAGTTTAATGCTTTTATCTCTTCGACTAAACAGGGTCACGGCTAGTATTAAATGAATTTTCCATTGTATCAGCTGGCTCTTCTGATTTACAAAATTGGGACACTGATAACACGTTTCTTTCTAAGCGAAATCTCTCTCCCTGGTGAATCCTCGTGGTTAATCAACACGTGACCCTTTGCCATACGACCCCGCTTCTCTTGGATTATTGAATCTCGAGTTGAACGAAGGCGAATAACGAGAGGAGTAGGAGGTTGGACCCCTCGGCTTCTTCGACCAGATAAGGAGCTATTGGACTCTGTTGTCTCGGTTAATTAAGCCGTGATGCCGCGTCGATGGTTACTTCGTCGCCGAGGGCGGCGAGAAAACGACAGTTTCTCCTTTCGAGTGGTCCGATCGAGTTTGCTGACACAACTCGATACCACATCCTCGATTAAACCCTTTTCTCTTCAACCCTTTCGTAGAGAATGAAATATCGAAACTACAATGTCTAAGACTTTTAGTGTAGTAAAAGTCTTACAACAATTCTATTCATAGAAATATTCAATGAGAGAGTTTTGCAATATTTTTATCATCATTTTAATTAATTTATTGTCATTCAGAGAAGTCGAGCCGAGAAGAACGGTAAGGTGAAACGAAGCTTTGAATTATTAATGTTAAATCCTTGATAACGAAATACGTTGAAGGTGTTGAAACGAAATTGGAAGTAATGAAAGCTTCGCGTATAATCTATGTCGACGATATCGTGGTCGTTATCGCAGACGGATTAGAATAGGAGGATTAAAGGTTCACCGATCGTCTGTCAGCCAGACGAGCGAAGTTGGAATGAAAATAACAAGATTCCAAGGCTCACCTAGCTTATCTTTTAGGCCAATGCATTGGGAGATATGTGGAAATTGGAGTATCTTCCGCCATTTCTTACTCTTTCCCTTGTTGCTGTCACCACCGCCTGAAACCAAGTTATTTATTTTCAAAGAAATTGTAATATATTACAAAGTGTTATATTATGTTAAATTGTATGGTGTAGTAATAAAAGGAAGGAAGAAAGAACAGGTTTCAAGGTAACCATAAGACACACCATAGATTCTTAATGCAAATGAAATCGTCAGAAACCTCTTTCCACATTGGTCGAGCCATAGTTTCACCCATGGCACGTATAGCCAAGTGAAATTTCAACGTCGACAGCCTGTCAACCTTCTACGGGAAGCAACAGGAACTTAACCGGTCCTACGTAAAGGCCATGGCGAAAGTATTTCAGAAAATAAACCGCGCAAGGTCGGCCTGCCACGAGGTTCATTCATCCTTTACAAACGTACGCGTTACAGCATCACCTCCGGGGCGAATACATTTGCAAATTAATGAAACAGAGTAAATTTCTATGGCTAGAAAGCGAGGAGTTTGATAAATGATTCTGATCGCCTTTAGAAAAGAGAAACACTTTCAGCTATTCTTTTTGTTCCGGTCGACCCGGTCAGAAACAGAGTACTCCTAAGATCGCGACGGAGAACAACACCCTCCCAGGTGCAATTAACCCCGTGCACGGTTTTCCAAGATTCTTACATAATTTACAGACGTTGCGTTAACACGGAGGTCCGCTCTTCTAGTATATTTATAAAGTTCACCGAGGCGCGATGCGATTACAGGCCCATTGACGTCGGTTGCCTCATCACGCGAACCCATTTACCTACTTCTGACCGAGCCACGCAACAGGCTTTCGCCTCGCCACCGACAATATGCTAATTAACGCCGTTGACTACCGTGAGGGGGTCATCGGTGACCGGTACCACAAATTTAATACAATAAAATAACAGAGAAATTGCAAAATTTCAAAATTCCATAATCTACCTTACAAATTAAAATTACGCTTAATTAACGTCGCACGTCAAGTAGCACAGTACTTTTATTACATAAATAAAAAATTAAGAAAATTACTTAATACAAAATGTTAACAAGTTGCAAAAAGATAAATTAGTCGCGATACCATCAAACAGCTTCCATCAGGAACGCGAGTTTACTGCAAATCGACCGAAAGCCCTTACGCAAGGGTTGCAGAGAAGTTTCGTAATCAGTTGGCGACCGCGTTAGAAGTTTGTTTAATTAGTATTCCGTGTGGCTTACGATAAAGGAAAGCTTAGCTTCCTTATCGACGACGGCTACGGGGACGCCGCCTCGGGTCAGAATAAAATCTCCAATTACTTGCAAGGCCGCTCTTTCCTACCTCCCCCGCTCGTGTCAATGCAAGCTGCGCTTTATTGCACGCGATACAAACAGCAAGAATGTAATAACGTAAAGTATGCAGTTTAATTAGAGTTTTGTTCCCGGGACGCGTTCTCATTAAGCCATTTGCATGTAAACTGTTTCAGCCTGGACCCGACCCCTCCTAATAGGAACGTAATTTTGAAACCAGCAAAGAAGTTCATGAGTTCAAATCGTTAAGTATTATTACGTTGCTTCTCTTTTTCAATACTTTTAAGTCTATTTATTAATCGATTGCTCTATGTCAAAAAATGCCACGGAATCGGCTCAGTGGACCCAACTATCGGTACGTTTAACGCTAATGACAATTTGAACACCTATATTTTTGCAAGCTGACTATCTTAGAAGGCAAATAATTGGATAATTAATAAAACTGTAAAATTAAATGACAGAGTTAACGCACTGACATAAAAAAGAAGAAGCGCGATCGCGCCGCGTGGCATTTTTCGAACGGATTTTTGCAAAATAGAAAGAGCTATATCTAAACATTATAGAGTGTTTAAAAATGATACAAAGTGAGATTGTTAATTAGAGAAATATCGTTGAAATTGCATACAATCCTGGCGATCAACTCGTGACAGTCACAGACTGGATACCTAAAGGATTAATTCACTGTAATTAATCCAGATTCTCTCCTATTACGAAAACAAAACTTACTGACCGAAAACTAACGGCACGTTTCCATAGAATTCACGTGTCAGAATGAAATATCATTCGTCTAATTACCGCCGTGTACCGTTTCTACATAAATTTTCAGAAATTTATGCTCGCGTTCATCAAGCGTGGCTAAAGCACGCGTTGCAGAATCTTCTCGAAGAGAATTTTCAAAAATATTTCTCTAATACAATATTTTCTGTATTAACTCTGAATAGCATGACTAACGTGCTGCGCAGATTGAGAGAACGGTATTGTTCTCAATTACATATTACAATTACATAAGACACCGTGATACCAGAAGGTACGAAGCAAGAACCGGAAACTTAACGTCGCTGTTGATGATACGGAACCTAGATTTTGTATTTGTGCAACAGATGCTTAATGAGATCCTTTCTGTATGGTCACAGCAGGGATTCTCAGTCCAATCACGAGAATCACGAGTTAGAGAAAACGATGACAAAGAAAAGAGAACATAAGCAATAGTGTGAAAAGGATATAGTCATTTCTACAACTGTAGAATTTGATCTATATTTTAAGTGATTAAACACCTTGGGTTCCATCTTCAATCATCTAAAAGAGCTTTCTTATTGGAAAGGTGTAAATTAAAGCAATTCCGATAAAAATACAAATTAGGTGTTGGTGCAAAGAAACAGAAGCGTACACAGAAAAAGAAAAGAGTAAATAATTTGAAGTAAATTACACTGACCTTCTCTCGCTTTGAGGTATACAGTGTTCGCCACGATATTCTCCAACTCCATCAATTCCAGCTTGATCGAGTTTACGCGGCCGAATCGAGAGCGAGAAGCCTGGGGGGCGACGAGCAAGAAGAGAAAGAGCGTACGGCACAAGCGGAAGTCCGGACGGTTGCTGTCGTTTTCCGGGGTTGATCACCCAGTCGGGCTCGGGCAGACCTGCTCCCATCTGCGGCCCCAAGCACACCACCCCAGGGCCGATCAGTCCAAGGACAACGGGAAGGACGTTGACGAGTCGCTGGTCGAGCCGACTCGAGTTCCAGGTTCAAGAACGTCCGTTTTTCTTTCGTTTCGTTTTGCGTTCACACTTATCGAGCAGACTCGAGTTCGTTGACCTTTCCTTCGTACGTCGAAAACCGTCGTTTCCCGCCAATCGCGATCTTCTTGCGGGTCAGATGATTGCAACTAGGAAGGGTGGATACATTTATATAAAATAAGATTCGCTTTATCAATTTTAATGACCTTGATATAATACATCATTTTTAATCAGAATGATTTGTGGTTTTAGAGAAATGGCCACTATATACAATTTTATATCTTGATTTCTTTTAACCCTTTTGGGACAGAGCTTTTTCAACACATTCTCGTTTTAAAAAAATAAATGTTGCCGTCGGGAAACGAGAATTCTCGTTTTGCAACAGGTCTGCGCTTTCCTGATAAACTCTTTGTGAAAAACAACCCGATGCGAATGTGTTAAGCTCGCACAGAGTGTTATTAATTTGAAGTAAAAGAAGTAATAATTCCATTCGTACATATATCAAGACCATTTAAATTAATGAAATGAACCCTATTCTATATAATAATTACCGAGGGGTATTTTGCTTTGCGATATGCCGTGGATATTCCCCAATAAACGTAAAATCTGCCTATTTTTCTGAATGATGTTTACACTGTCGTGCATCCACGCAATTCTTTCTTATCCGTGCTAACGAAACAGATTGTAAGAAGAAGATGAAGCTTCATGGGGATGCGGCAATCGGTAAGTCGCGCGGAACGAAGCATTCAGAATCCCGTGATTCCCCTCTGATCGGGCCGCAACACGGCGCGTTTACATTAGAGAAGAGAAAACGAATCGCGCCTCTTCTGACCCGCTTCTCCCTTTAAATACCAAACGGAGATGGGGCTAACGATCGTCACAGCGGATCCCAGGCCTTTTTAGCGTGGCATTGTAAAAATGTCACGTGTGCACCGCGGATTCACGACACCTCCGGTGCACCTTGGTACAGCCTTTCACTTCTCAACTTTAAACAACGCCGCGGGAGATCCTTTCAATTGTGTTATAGGATGGATGTTCTTAAGTGCTTTCTACACCCACGGATTCGTTTCTTCCTTCTCGATATCGAATCTTATTCGATATATCTTTGTATCAGGCGATCGTCGAAGGAAGGAAGCTGATGTTCGCGCGGTTTCGTTTCAAGCCTTTCTATCTACAAATTTCCAGTCTCCTTTCGTTCGTACCCGGTCGCTGTTCCGCGAAGCGTTTAATGTATTCTCCTTCGCACCGATCCCTGATGTACGTTCTGGAATGAGATTTCAGATTGGCCGTGTTATATTAGTGTGAAAGGAGTTGCGGGCGTCTGCACTGGCGTAGCTAACAATACGTCATGCCTAGCAGTTATTGCTAACGGTACAATCGTACCTCGTTAGACGGTACAGTTTTGGAAAAATTCCTAACGGCTGTGGATTTGGCGTCAGCTGACGATATACATATGACAGGGATTTGCATAATTATTAAAAATGAATATTGATATACAGGGTGCAAATTAATATTATTATCTTCCAATTATTATCCAGGTTTCAATCCACAGCACATGTGTTAATCTTAGGAACTTAAGGAGAGAATATTCGCCAAACTCTTGGATAACTTAATCAACAGAATCGTTCAGCAAACGCAAAATTCAGCTTAAGATCTGTCGAATATTCTTCTCCCTAAACGATGGAAAATATTCTTTACGTCAGTGTTTCTTTAATAGGAAGGATATATCTCGATCGTTTGCGCCGATCTTCCTACGCCGTGAATGAATTTAAATAAAAAAAAAAGAAATCACTATGCTAGTCGCGCTTCCTGTCGGTTATCTGACTCGCAGAAAAGACGACGACGACACGCACTTATCTAAGCGCGTTCTGCATACGAAATTACCAGGCGCACATGTACGTGAACAGTACGCGCAGCAGGTGCGTTACGCGGATAAAGATAACGACGCGACTAACCGCACCGTCGGCGTAGTATCTGAGACGCGGGTAATCTAATAACTTTTCTTTTTTCTAAGAACCGATTCCTATCGACGATCGACCGGCCGTCTCTATGGACTGTCTTTGTTAATTGGACGCAGTGGAATGTCTCTGAAGAAACTGGAAGCTATCTAAATTAGAAAAAAAATTAAAATTAAAATCCATATAAAACTTTCAAAAATTGAATAAATTTAAATATAATTATTACAATTTATGCAATTACTATTTTTTCTAGAAGATTGTAAAATTATAGAGCAGGTACATTTATTCCACCCTGTAGATTCTACGTTCTCCACTTGAGTCTAGTTAACGTATCACTCAGCCATTTTCAATCTATACGTCCTTCCAACCCTTTCGTTCAATCCGAGTTACAGTCATTGGACGGACTGTGTCGATGGAATTAAATTCGAACCAGATAGATTCTCGTCAAAGTGGATTTTACAAGTTGCCGTATCAGACTGGTAAATCCTATTAAAATACACCGGCCAAACGAACGAGATAATTTGACATGAGTTTTAAATTAAGTAACGGCTGGAGGGAAAAGGAGTCGGAGAACGGGAGGAATCGTTAAAGGTTTTAAACGATTTTTCTCGATGACGCGATTCCGGTTTTGCGAAACCGGATTAGGAAGCGGCGAGTGGCGACGATAACGACAGGGAAAAAAAAATGAATAACGCGCCACTGCGAAGGAAATAACGATAGTCGCTGGTTTTCCTCGTATTCTGTATCTTCCAGCCAGATAAAAAGTGTTCCGTCGCGAAATAGCAGAACGGGGTGCAGCTTGTATGAAATCGAGATTATAACCGATCGTCACCGCGATATCGCGCGCTAATACAAAAATTTAATCCAATATTTGCGGTGCGTATGGCCATCGCGGTATCCGTTGTTTGCGGAAATAAAAGGCGCGTTGGGGGACGGTTTATAAATGGCCGGAGACACCAGAAACTACGAGATGATATTTATTTTCCGTCGACTGGTAGGATTATACGCGGAAATAGAAACTGCCAATAATCGATCAATCGTGGTAGTTCGTCCCGAGTACGTACACGGGGAGGGGACATTGATAACCGTTAAAAGCATTCCCGATGTGTCAGTCGGTAATGCGTTTCATACGTAACCAACGGTATATCGGTAACGTAACTGACAGAGACAAACGGAAACAACGACGTTCAAGCAGAGAAGAGAGAGAGGTTTTGGAGAGAAAATCGGTATGAGAAATAGAATATCAACCCTAAACGCATAAACGTTCGTTTATCTTATTAACCCCCAGCGATTAGGTTAGGTTAGGTTAGTGGGTAAAAAATAAAAAAAAATACACAATGACAGGAGAGGAAAAACGGATGAAGAGAGAGAAAATTAATTCTTCCGTATCAACGTGAACAGGTCTCGGACAGGAAACAGCGATCAACGCGCGACAAGAAACAATGATAAAAGCCCTGATGACACAAAACATGTAACGCAATTTCCAGTAATACGAGGAGCTAACCCTTCATATTCTGCTGATTATTCAAAGCAATTTTGAATTTTTTAAATATCAGCATTCAGATATTGAGAAATAACATTGTCGATAAGGAAATTGAGAATTTACAACGCCATCGTGGGTTGTTATTGATTCATTATAACGATAGATCCTTGATTTTTATTATATCTACATTGGAACCCGTCCAGCGGTGATCTAATGGAAAAATTTCAAACGAATTACCATTGTCGAGATGCAAATTGTTTACCTATATTTGCCGTCTGACGCAAGTCAAAGAATTTGTAAGAAGTAAACATCGAACAATGCAACACCATCGACGTCTCACAATCGATATATGAAAATCGAAATGTATATCGGGCGATATACCTGACCGTCGCGCGTCGGAGGGAAACCTCGCTCGACGGGTCTACGTGGAGTCTGGTTATTTTTCTTTTTCCCACGAAACAAAGCTGAATTTTGATGGTAACGATAGGTTAGGGAGGAAGAGATGCCGGTAGAAGCACGCGGTTAGATGTAACGAAAGGATGCGGAAAGCACGGCAACGAAAAAGGGACGATTGAATGAGAGACAATGAACGCCGATGGCACCGCGGCCGCGCGGGCGAGTTCATTGAAAGGGAGAACGAACGAGCGATCCTTAGCCCGCGAATCGAGACGCATTTGTGACTGACAGCGCGTGTACACCGAGCACAAAATGCCTCTTGTGCGTGTGCATCAAATTGAGAAATCAAACGTTAGGGAACAGAGTGAACCCTTTGTCCGTCGCAGACTGAAAACACTTACGTCGGGTGTATTTCGACCGAACAGCTTAATTTGACACCGGCTGCGTTGCTCGCGCTTCTGTTTGTCCCTAGTTGTTTTATGGAAACCGGGAATAACGAGAAATAAATACGCGAGATGAATTAAATGCACCGCCGATGGCGAGAAAAGATTTCCGGCACCTGCTCGTAGGTGCATTTGAAACAAAGATAAAAGAAACTCACCGAGGAGAGCTCGAAAAGAATCCCGCCTAAAATATTCTCGTGATCGAAACGTGAGTCGGCTACCGTGCGATCACGAGACGCCGCGCCGGTGTCTCGAAATTTGTCACGCGAGACAACACGCGAGCGAACAGTCCTGAAATGTCGGAATAGACACGCGTTTATGAAAAAAATGTTATCTAATCGTACGCTAGAATACGAGATACATAATTTAGAATGATACGCATGCATTTTGAAAAGATAGAAAAGGAAGAAAGTTGAAGACGAACCAATTCGAAGAGAGAGACGCCGTTACCGACGGAGCGTGTGGTGTCTCGCACGTCACGGAGGCACGAGTCGGTGCGATACGTCGTTTCTTGAAACACGAGACGGGCGTAAACGATCTTATGATGCTTTTCAACAGGGGTAGGGCAACACCGGGTTAGAGAAGGGAGGCACACGTATGGTTTCTGTACACCCGGTAGAATGTAACACACACCGATAGCAGAGCACCGCGCGGTCTGAACGGCGACACGAAGAAAGCGCAATGGCCGACCGCTGCACCTCCGGTGGTAGCTTTCGATCCTTCCCGGCCACGAGGAACGGTATCACACACTCTTTGGATCCGTTCGATGAAACGTCACAGGCGAACGAAACGGCTCGATCGTGTTGACGGAATCGCGATTAAAACCGTGGGTGTTTTTTTTTTTCCGTTTTCACAACGCAGCCAGGGACGGTTCGTACTGTCCGATCATATGAACCCGCTGCTGCCACTCGCACCAGACCGCCACGCACCGTCCCGTCCGCTGGATAAAAACCGACTGACTGGCATGCTCCGTTTCGAGTCGCGATGCACCGCCACGGATGAAGAGGTTAGGTGGAGGGGACATGTTGGGACACCGAGGACGACGCCTCCACCCGAATCGGTGCGACAGAGACGGGGATAGACGCGCGGACGACTCCGATTGGGCGTGGTAGAGTCCCTAGGTTCGTCTTCAGATACCGACTGCGGGTGCAATCTTCGCGTCCGCCATCTAGACTCATGGTTCGCGCGGTAAATTTGAACGCAACCACTGAGATTCGATATAATCGAAGTTTGAACTAAAAGATGGTTCATTTTTAATTTCAAATCGTTCAGTCTCGAGTATAAATGCTAAATGAGTTGATTAAGCCACATTAAAAAGAAAAAAAAGGTTTTTTGTACGGAAGCGTCCCCGTTTAAAGCCACGTTTGATAATAGCAGGATTTGCAAGCGAATTTAAATTGCATCAGCATGGAACATTTATACTGTAGCGTTATTAATTTGTTTAAATAAATAATTAATTTGTATTTCCTCTAATGCATTCATAGCAACTGGTATGCAATTACCGTTAATACGTTACAGCAAATTCATTCTGCATAAAGAAAACAATAATTTAGAAAAATAAAAATGTTAGCGCTATACAGATCGGTAAAAGAAGCGAGTCACTGTAATTTACTTGCTGCCACCCGCAGAGCTTACTATTCACCAGCCTTTCATAAACAACTGCACGGTAGATCGTACACGTAATCGAGGCATTTTGAAAAAGGACAAAAAGAAGGAAATAGACACATCGTATAGTACCGTGTAGTATCTGTTGAAATCTCCAACGTGAGATGACGCGGCGCGTACTACTGCTAGCAAAGTTGCCGCGCGTTTTTCACGCCTTTACAGACCGACTCTAATTTGGATTCTCGTACGTACCGCGCTAAAATTATCCCCTTCGCATACGCAAGAACGAACAATCCAAGAAGCAAGGCTGGAGCAACAATGCATCTGGTGTATCAGTCATGTATGTCATTAATGGTTGCGGTTGCGGTTAGAAGGCATCGAGAACTATAATTCAACTGGTCGCGATATAGCGAGTTACACGAGACACCACGATTTACGATATTCATTATTGCTGCCGAGGCAAAAAGGCGATCCAGTTTTTTTTTTTCTCACGTATGCAATTTTGTAATTTATCTTTGAAATTTAATAAACCTTTCCTTCCTTTCTATAACAACAATGTTATTAATTAAAAATGTTCTAAAATATCACCTCACCTGTCCAAATATAATTGGGACGCGTTTCAGCAGGGGTGAAATAAAAATTTCCTCCTAAATCACATCGTTCCCGGTTTAATTTTCAGCTGTGCCGTGAAATTTCGGTCGGCTTTCGTTCGAGTACCGTGCGGATTTAAGAAGCTCTTCTTCATCCCTCGCCATCACCCCTAACACAAGTATGCCTCATATCAGAAGTATGTCAAGAATTTAGCCGTGGGTCGTTTTCACTAATAGCTTACGATAATTGGTTGGTCGTGTTACGCGACGAAACGAACCATGTCAAAAGCAGCCTGTTACTTGAATTATGCCGATTTTTTGCTTCGTCCTCGTCCGGCTGGCGACGGTGAGGTCACGAACAAGTGGAGAACGGTGAAAAAGTTTGAACGAAGCGAACCAGCTCATCCAGCCTCTTGTCTATGAAATTCATCATCATCTTTTTTGCATATTTCAGGCTCCGAATTTGTTAATCCTCCTCCCGACGACTCGTTCAGCTGAAAATTGAAAGCTTCGTTAGTTAAACTTCCGAGTAACAACGGTCTTACGATTCTTCCCGTGTTTTTTTCATAGTACATTATCTATAAACGATCGGTGACCCGCGATTGTGCAAACGATACGAGGAGACCGGTGTATCGAGTAACGAGAACCACACTCCGCAAGCCACACTCCACGCTGGCTTTCTTCTAAGCTTCAGATCTTTTTCTTCAGATCGAATTGCCTTGCTCGCCGCCGACTGACGACACTCGAGCTCCTGTTGGATTCGAAGAAAAAAAGCCCCTGCACGAGCTCGCTTTTTGAACCGTCTTATAGAAGCGATAACGGAACGCGAACAACCGTCGAAACTTTGAACGATCGTATCGAAGGAATTCGAAAAATCCTGCTGAAAGCTTCCTTCGTCATCCTGGAACGTGCACTGCTTTGAGCCGAGGTAAAGAGGGATTGGATTGCGTTGCCGATCGCTTCTCGTTTGTCAAACACTCGAGGAGCCTTAAGAAACGTCAATAAAAACGACGAATCACTAAACTGATTAACTGAAATGTTAAAAAATTATCTATCCAGAGTTTCTTCAATGATATCTGAATTTTCATCTAAATTTTCCTGCTAAAAATATCTGTCTTTTATTAATATTCCTGATAACGATTTAAAATCTCTTTAGAGTCGTTGGGTAAATTGATCTTGATAAAACAAACCTTGGCAAACAAGCTAATCAATGAAATTGCGGAAATCTGCTAATTCCATCAACTTGATGCTAGCCGTCGGATCCCCGGATCCCACGAGGAGAAGGAAAAGGAAGGGAGGCTAGAAAAAGCGATCTACCATGTGCCGATCGTCCAAAGTGTTCCACTGTAGACGCGTAACTCTTCGAGACCGCCTCTCGCCTTCCAGCTGGAAGCAAACACATATTCCATCGCGTGATCGACGTAACGAGCATCGGTATCCCGTGATACTCGGTAAACGAAATACACGTGGCGTGATTTTAACACCATCCCTGATTACGATCTGTAAAATATTTAGAGATCAGTAGGAGAATGATTGATAATATCACGGTGAAGGATCGTTAGATTACTTTTCATGTTAGTGGTTGAACAATGACGACGAGGTGGACGATGAACTGGAGGAGGCTCATTTTCGTCGGCTTCTTAATTATATTGATCCTGGCAGATGTGTGCAATGCATACAATAATACCTTGGACAAGGTTCGCGAGAAAAAGGCGCGAATGGTGAAGAAGCTCCGCAAGGACGTCCGGAAGTTAAAGAAACAGGAGGGCGCGGTGAAACTCGTAGGTGGTGAGGGTGGACACGAAGGTAAAAAAAGGACAAATTTAAGGTGTTTCAATCTTAAATAGAAAGAATCTTCGAAGCTATGAAATTTTCTATCGATCATCCGAGGCGTCGTTGATCTTACGTTGAATGGACGTCGCCATATGGAACCTAAAAATTCAAATTCATGAATGAAAAGTGTCGAATTTAATCTTAGATTACTAATAGAAATAAAAAATAGATAATTATCTATAATTTGCATTAACAGCGCGTTTCTAAATACGAACGATAAGATGGAAGAATAAAATTGAAAGTTGTAGGTGGGTGAAGGGCAGGCAGGCTGGCTTCGCGTGTCAGGCGTTTCGCGATAAAATAAAAGCACACGCTATCTAGGAATAGATGACTTACGTGAAACGTTGCGGTTTCATCAGGCGTTTTCTCGTGGACGTTGTGTAATGGCGATTAAAAAGGGGTCAACTCGAGGATGATTTATGTCAACGACTGTGTGTTACCGTGGTAGTAGTAAACGTCACGCAGCCACGGTACCGCGAGCCACGAGATGGGATACGAGCATCGTCGAATTGCACCATAAAACAGGATAGAATCCATCCCAGACGTTCGCGTGTCAATTTTTATTACCCATCCATTGGATATTACATTCCGTGCCTCCTTTCTTCTGCTTTCTTCTTCGTTCTTCCCGATTCCAACTTCTTCGCTTCGATTCCCGCGAAAACCTGTAATGCATCAAGCTCTTTAAAATTTTTTATTCTATATTAAATTTTAAAGAAGATCAACCACCATCTCTGCAGTGATCCACCCACAACTTTTATTAAAAATACCTTATCTTAAATAATCGCAATTCCAATGAACCGTCGAGGACCCTTTTAATCGACTAATTTCCGTGATGTTCTCTAAACTTTACCCTGACCCGTACAGGAAACGGAAAACTGATGTGCTAAGATCATAATTCGATTGATTATGCAGGAAACGTGGAAATACTTCACGAGGGGAAATGGGGCAGTATATGCGACGACGAATGGGATTACTTGGAGGCCAATGTGGTTTGCAGGCAATTAGGCTTCGACGGTGCAATTAAACCAACGACGAACGGTCACTTCGGTCAGGCCAGAAGTGAGATAATATTGTCTCTTCGTCCTAGTCAATACTTCCTCCCTATCTGCCACGTGAACGGAAATAAACAGGAACGTTTTCTGCGACAGAGAAATATCAGCTGATTATTAAAATGAAAGAAAAGAAAGAACCAAGTCGATTAAGTATAAAACGTTCATCCCTCTGTTTAATCCTAATCTCTTCTCATTTATATCAAAATAAATTAATCCTTTGCAGTTTCTGTTGCAGCGCGCAGAAACGTACATCAAACAGATTGAAATTTTTCTTTGTAAAGTCTCGCGATGTAATTCGCTGATAGAAATGCAAAATAATGGAACCGCCGATAATCGATGAATCAATTTAACATAAACGTAGCTGCAGCCACGTATCTTTCACCTGTTCCTATTAATCGAGGTCAAATTGACCCCGCCTTACCCTAGTCGCGTTAAAAGTATTCGAAGGTTGCACCTTTAATTCCACGTTCGATGTTAAACGATGAAATATCTTCTTTCAAATTGAACGGCAAAGGATTAAATTTACAACGTTCTAAAAATTTCAAAAGACATGATAGATATACTGTTATCCGTTTAGGAATGTATTGGATGGACAACGTGTACTGCGACGGCAGCGAGGACGAGTTATCCAAGTGTCGTTTCGACGGATGGGGTACGTCCGACTGCGAGAACAGCGAGGCTGCAGGTGTAATTTGCGGCCGGGGCGAAGAGGAGGCGATAAGAGGTAAAACGAAGGGCAAAAGGAAGCCGGAGAAGCAGAGAATCAAGGATGTCCATCAGAGGGGAATGGCGATAAGGCTGGCCGGTGGACGAGTCCACGGCGAGGGTAGAGTCGAGGTCAAACTTGGACATTCAGGTAACGCTAATGTCGATACGTGTCCGTGGCGTGAAGGTAAATTGGATTGTTGCGATTAGAAATGGCGTGTCGCGTGCAACGTGTCTCTTTGTCTATCGGTGAGAGGCGTTGGCGATTGAAAATATGTTACCTAGTCGTTGTTCTAATAAATGGTATCGCTTTTTTCTTTCAAGATTATTCCAAGCGAGAAGAAGCTCGAGACTAATTTCATTTCAGATTGGGGTGTTCTCTGCGGCGATGGTTGGTCCCTGTTCGAAGCGGCCGTGGTTTGTAGACAATTGGGCCTTGGTTACGCCTCCGACGCCGTCCAGACGAACTTTTTCGGCGGCCAAAGGATACCGATCTCTCTCACTGGTGTGCAGTGTCACGGAGACGAGAATAGCCTGATAGACTGTCTGCACGACAAGATTCTAGAATGTCCAGGTAGGCGAGAAGGTATCATAATGAAGAAGGAGCAAAGGTTTCGCTGAAAAAAGATAGAAATGAATTTCCAAACAAAAAACTTCCATAGATTAGAAAAATGATATCTAAAGAAATGTGAACAGAAGGGATGATAAATTTTGGATACCTTCAATTATTCTCTGTTTACAGGGTCTACAGAAAATGTCGCAAGTGTAGTATGTCTCAAAGAGATGCCAGATCTTGTCTTTGACCATATAGAGTTGATGCGTACCGCCCATCTGGAAGATAGACAACTATATTGGCTCCAGTGTGCCATGGAAGAGAATTGCGTCGGTTCCCAAGCATACAAAATTCAAAAAGAGTCGGAGAATTGGCACCTGGAGACCAGAAGGCTCCTTCGATTCACCGCGAGGATCTTGAACGCCGGTACTGCGGACTTTCGACCCTCTGTCCCGAAACACCTATGGGAGTGGCATATGTGCCACATGTGAGTGATAAACCATTATTAAAAATATTCATGAAATTGTATCATAAATTTTCAAATTCTAAACATTGTATTACTTTCAAGAATCATTTACAGAAACGATTCGATTTCATTTTGAAAAGAAATATGGAAGCTTTTCCGTTCGTTATTATAACCCGACCGCTGTTGGCTCGAAGTTAAATGCGAGAACTTCGTTGTCTGCTACAATTTCTCCAGGTTATTATCCCTGTCTGGCAACCGGCTTGCAAGCCATTTTATAAAACAATCACGGGAAGGAAGAGAGTAGAAAAGAAAAGGAAAAAAAAAAAAAGTAATATCGTTTCGATCCTGTTGGCAATTCGCCGTCTGTGCTTCGTTGTAACTAATTTTGAATCTTCGACAGTCTAACGCGGAGGCGTTTCGTTCTCTGGAAATGGCATTTAACCATCTGCGTTGCTTTCGAAAGCGTGGAAATATTGGCCAGACGAAAAAACGTTGCGTTGATGGTTTTAAGTTGTAAGATAACTTTGTTCGTGACGTCAATCCCGCTCTCATTGAAAGCCACGGCTGTTCTGCTGCTCCGTTCTTCTCTCAAAATTGATTAACAGAGTTGTTGATCCATAGAAACGAAAACAATCTGACAGGAAGTTTCATATTTTTCACGTCAAACTTATAATAAGCGAGGAGTGTATTTAAAATACAATTGTGAAAATGTTAAGAAACTTTTGATCCAACAAAAATTAATCTTGACTTTCAAATCAAACAAGTTGATGCTCAAGTTTTTTAATACATAAGTTCATCTTCATTCTGATAGTCAACTTGTTAAATACACCAGTAGAAGACATTTCAATTCCAGTGTCCTAAAATGAAATATGATTAGTCTCAAATCGAAATGGATCAATATTTAAATCTAATTATCTGTTAATATTTACCTATAACAAGAGTTAGTACCTACTTGTTATATCGAACATACGATATTATACATCACGACCCTTATAACTGTAGCAGTGAACGTGTTAACGACTTCGACGAAATCGATGCCACTTCCAAGGATAATGTCCCTGGCGAAGTTCGTTTTCCCTGGCAACGATCCTGCTGTGTCTTATCCCTTTCCCCAGGATCGATCGTTTTATCATCGTTCCGTATCAAAGTGCGAACGACGATCATGATGGAAGCCTAAGCACGATCGTTAATTCCACATTATACTTTGTTAACGACAGGCATTACCACTCGATGGAGGTGTTCGCCACGTTCGACGTATTAGACAAGAACGGGAACAGGCTGGCTGAGGGTCACAAAGCGTCTTTCTGCCTGGAGGACAATCAATGCTTGGACGGAGTGAAGGCGAGGTAAACGTGTAATTAGTCTCGTTAGCAAAACGAGCCGGGGGTTTGCTTTGCTTTTCTCAGCTTTTGCCGCGTGTACACGACGAATGATAGTACAAATTGAAATGATTTTTTCGTCCTTCCTCACGGCGACGCGTCTAATTGGGGTGCCAATTAAAGCAAACCGTTGCACCCCCACGATTTCAGGTACAAATGCGCCAATTACGGGGATCAAGGCATCTCCGTCAACTGTAGCGACATATACAAACACAATATCGATTGCCAGTGGGTGGACATATCGGAACTTCAACCTGGTGAATACGTCTTCAAGGTAAGTTGAGGGATGATCGATTTATCTGTTGTCATTCTATACGAGAAAATAAATGGACGTTGTTATATCTCAAATTATTATGAAAAATTATGAATTTCTATACATACCAAGGATTTAGGACTTAGGCTGTACATTCAAGGACTTAAGGATCTCTAGTCACTCCTCGCAATATGCTTTTCTATCTTTTCTAAGGATCCGTCCGGAAAATCGGCGACGCACGGTACTTAGGTTCTATCTTTTCTCTGAAAAGAAAAACGATTGCGTAAGATTGTCGATAACGAAAGAAGAGACATCATCGTTGATCCTTAACGAGGACTGTAATGGGGTAAAGAAGGATTGTATAAGAGGAAACTAGAGTTCGAATAAAATAGAGCCCGAGTAGTTCTGGTCCATAAAGCCGTGTCGCGAAGCCGAGCAATCGCGATATCGTATAGGATGGTACGTAATCGAACGATATTTACGTTTTCAGGTCGCGGTAAATCCGGAGTTCAAAGTGGGCGAGATGTCGTTCGACAATAACGCTGCAATCTGTCGTTTACTCTACACGGAAACATTTGCCACGGTGCACAGTTGCACTATGGGCAGACCTTGACACGGACCTGTTACGATAATGCTCGGCCTGATGATTTCATCGCGAAGAAGAAAATCATACGCGACGCGCATTATCGTGGCTCTTAATTAAAATCCTTCCATTGCGTAAAAACAATAAAGGCTCGTCTCGAGTAATCGTTGTCCTTAATTGCACTGATTACCCTTAACGTGGGCTCGCTGCGAAGAAAACGGAAACTCTTCGGAGAAATGGTCTAACTAAGAGAAATTTCACGAGGAATGTGAAATTACGTGATTTCATAGTAATCGCTATTTAACAGAGCTGATTGTCAGAAATTGGCACACTTTGAATACCACGAAAATCACGCCGAAGATTCCATTAATCAATATTAATTAAACTTAGCTAAAATCTACTAATATTATTTTAAGTATACGTAATTATTATTTAATAGCTAGCTTAAATTATAATTTCATCTTGAAGTATATGAAAAAGAAATAAATAAAGAAAACTATTTATTCGTCGAAAGGAAGAACCCCTTGGCGCTTAAGTCGAGCAACCAGTCATACAGATCGAAGCAGTTCAAGAACGACCTCCTTCGAACTGATGCTCTCCGTGGCTGGAATCTCAAGTTTCGAAGTCTAGGAGTCAATTTATAGACGCCCGACCCACGCCAGTTATCCTCATAGTTTGCTCTAGATTTTCAACCACGACTACGCTAATAAATTGAACAATTCAGGAGAGTGGTTCCTCGATGTTCAAACCGAGTCTAGTCGATACTCGGTGCCCTGGAATACCGGGAACGGCAGCGAGAAATCATCGAGGCTCCCTCTCTTTCTTCGTCGAAGAAATAATTCGAACAACCAACATTCCCTCAAGCGGGAATTAAAAAAATTGGAAAATTTTCAATATTAATCACAATCAAGAAATTTTTTATAAATATTTGTATAGAGATATAAATGTATGAAAATATTATCTTTAAAATTAATAAAGTTTTTATACACAAGTATTCTATTTTCTTTGATTCGAGGCTTAAATTTTAAGTATCACTAGATAATGGGATGAACGGGGCAGAAGTTCGAGGCCTCAAACTAGGTCGTTCTTTTTTTAGGCGAGGAACCTTGGTGCCCTGTCACCTTCGATCACATTTGTTCATAATCTGATAATTAGCAATGGGCTAGACTTTGTCACATATTTTTTTCCTCTGAGGAAATGGGACCTTGGTTGTCGATTAGGCCGCGTCTTTGTCTAAGGGTTCTAAATCCACGTAGTTAAAAACTTTATATTTAAAAACTAATAAAATTTTGTCGACATCCTGTTCCTAATTGCTTCATTTTTAAAACAAAGATAATAACTTGACTGAGCAAAACACATCCATTCCAAAGCTCAAAGATCATTGAATAAATCATATCAATCTTCCTAAATTTCCATTTCTAAAAAAACAGCCCAGCCAAATTGTCTTTTCGAACGTCCCAGTTTTGCTTGCCAAAAATGATCGCCGTTTAACGAGTTCTAGACCAACGATTCAATTCTTGTAACAAATATCATCAATCAGTGTTTGGTAAACAAGATAGAATAACAATAAATCAATGGTAAAAATGGTAATGGTTGCATGAAATCAAGCAACATTGTTTAAGAGATGGAAACCTTGAAGTCTACAGCCTTCAAAGACCTCTTCAGGTATGACTCAAGGTAACATATAAATACATAAGTAACAGGACGTCGACACGAATTCACAAAGTAGGTTACGTTGAACTGTGGGGAACGGATAGAGTCTAGCTGTCGTTTTCGATCATTCGTACGAGGGAGGGAGCATTGATTCAACCGGGCCAGGGCAGTCGAGGGTGTCCCCGTCAAGAAAACAGTGTCCCCGGCTGTCAATTATGTGCGCCGCTTAAATGGCTGCAGAACTCAACGTGACTGAACGGTGTAATACGTTTAGAAAAGGGGGAGAGAAGCCTAGGTGTACGGCTTCCGCGGTGGTCACTGTCGTGTGCAGTGCACCAGCTGCTCCCCTCGTAGCAGTCATGAAACTTTTATATCGTTGCACGGCCGAAAAACAGCGTCGTTCAGTCGGACCACGGTGCTTCAACTGGAAACTTTCCGCTCGTCAACATCAGCCTGTCTGACTCCTTTGGATAGACTTTCTATCAGTGGAAAATACACGGAACTAGTTGATACACTAGATAGAATCCAAGAGAATCTTCGATCAGGTTGTTTACCGTGGACCCAACATTGATAAACTGGGCTACTCTGGATTTGATTCGGAGCCAAACTCGTGAATAACAAGCACGAACCCTGTGAAAGTTAAAGAAAGTCATTCACAGTTGTTACAAGTATTAGAAGAAAGGGAGACACATGCGGCTAGGTTCTGATAAGGTGATCAATAATACATTATCAACATGCAAAGTGCATTAGGAAACATACCCAACTGCAATACCTTATCGCTGCATTATGAGTGACCTTCTATAATCTCAATATTTTTCTAACAAACAAACGTTTCAAATTGCAGGTGTCCATAATGAAGTGATAAGCCTTCTTTGCCTTCCTTATTTCAATTGTCTATATTCTTCTTGCATCTACTTCAAAATGACTAAAAATATTTTTAAAATGGTAAATTTTAACTAAGGAAAGCAGTTATGTAGTCTGGTTGAAACTAAAAAGAGTAACTCTTTAAGAAGGTGAAAGATTCTCTGTGGATTCAAAGTGGAGCACGTTGCTATTAACCTGAAATGCGGCCGACGATAATCGTAAACACACACGGGTGGAAGAGCGTGTTCCCGGCCAATTGTTATCCCCGTAGTGGCCCTTATCACGCGATTTGATAGATCCGATCGGAACGAATGCGGATAACGCGTTCTCGGTGGATACTCGTCACGATAAGTAGCGTGTCCTGCGTGATCCTGTCGTCTTCGACGCGATCGCCTCCTGATTCGACTCACGAGCCCTTGGGGAGCTACGGAAGAAAATCATGAGACTGTATCTTTCTGGCCGATAAACGTGGCAAATAAAAAGAGTACCACCTGAAGGAGAAACGGTAGCAGACGCTCGATAATGGCGATTCTTATAGCTGGAATCGAGCAACTCGTGGGGTTCTCGTGCCCCTGAATGGCTTATCGATTAAACACGATACAATGACACGTATCGTCTCGGCGATAGCACGCCTCCCCTTATGTCTTTTCTGAAGGTGAACAAATTGTTGAACGACGCCCTTTGCCACGTGTACCGACGACGATGACGTTATCTAAGGTCGTGGCCTTTCTCAGTCTTCTCCATTTGGCGGCAGCCATCGAAGATCAAACTGTATGTCCCAAGAATAGAAGCGTGTTTGAAATTCCTGGTGATGCTGTGTTATCTGGTAAAATGGATCTCTATTAGGATACTTGGAAATTATAAATGATACGTTATTACAGAAATGTACTAATTCTAGTGTTCCTGGATGTTAATCAAGGACCATATTGCAACAGTACATCCATCAAGGGTCTACAAGAAATTTTCACGGCCTCTTACGTGATACATGCTTTAAATAAATACGAATTCATATCTGGATTTACTCTAGGTAAAGTAAGAAATTTTCTAGCTCATTGAAAGTTTGTAAAAATGTTCAACTTTAGGTCTGAAAGTCTTCGACACCTGCCACGACGAGATGACTGTGTACAAACAGGCATTGCAAACGGCAGTCGACTCCGATTGCGAGGATCGTTACGAAATGGGGATACTGTTACCATCGGAATACTTGGCGATTCTAGAGCCACTTCGTAATTACAGCGTATTACCGATCAGCACCTACGACGAGCAGAATTTAACGAAACCTTTGATCAGTCTGATGGTACATTACCTGACCACGAGATTCGAGACGGTCGACGTAGTGCTAGCCAGCTCTGACTACGCCGTGAATTTGTTCCTGGACATGACTAAAGAGGCTGGCGTTTGCGTGAAGCGTTACGGTGATACTTTAGAGTTGGACGAAAGTGAAACGGAAGTTGTGATCGCTGTGGTTGGTCAGAGAAACGATGTGAGACAGTGGATCGAGAGAGGAGAGAAGCTTCAAGGAGCCAGGAAAACCTGGGTCGTATTGACCCTCGATGGATCCAACGTTGACGGTGAGAACACGATGCTGGCTGAAATATACATGTCAAATGAATCATCAGTTTATCAATTTTACTCCGCTAATATTTTGTGCTTCAGACCTAGTTCCTCCAGGCTCCTACGTCATCAAAACGTCACCGTTCGACTTGGAAGTCCTACAGGAAACCTCCTCGACGGAGGAGTTTCTTCAGGCGGCCAGCAGTTCCGTCATCTACTCGCCGCATCTTCTGGGCATCGGTAAAGCGATCGTCGAGCTGGCGCAGTTGTTACAGGAGCTACACAAAAGAAATTGTCCTCGAGGAACGGAAGGTTCTTGCGTGATGCCCAGGTTCAGCACTCACTCGAAACTGGAGATCCGAAACGCGGACGTATACAACGCACTTCGCATACTACCGAAATCACACTCAATCAAGTATATCGTGGCGATGAAGAGCCAGGAAGAGCTGATCGATATAGCCGTATACAGGATCGAACCGGCTAATTCTAAATTCAGGATCACGCCGGAATCGAGGGTACCCAAGATGCCGAAGCTGTGCGTGAAGAAGTACCTGAAGAACTGTGAAGACTGTTCGAATTTCAAGAAGAGATTCGGTCCACGCGGTGTGACCAAAGGTTTGTCGCAAATCCATTTACCATTTTTCTTAAGTCTTGTAAAATTCTCTCAGACCTTCTTCAACATCTACTCCTCTTTAAAAGATAACAAATTCACCTTTCTACGGGCCTCTTCATCCCCTTTAAACACAAACTCCCCCCGAAAGGGTAGTTAAAGTGTCCCGATAGCCGAAGCTCTTAGATAAGGTGAAAGATTTCCGCTTAAAACAAACTCCCCGGCTTCGACACAATGGGCCAACTAACGTGTATACGTGCACGTACGTGTTGCAGATACACTCGACAGAGGTTTATTAAAGCCGGGCAACTGGATAGCAATTTTCCTGACGATGGTTGTGTGCGGCACGTTCGCCTGCGGCGTGATCGCCTTCTTCATTATCTACCGCTTCATCGTCGAGGACGTTCTCGATGGGAATCCAGCGTTAACGATCGTCCTGATACTGGCGAATGTTTTCACATTGCAGACGGTGCTACCGTTCTGCATCAACGACGATTACATAGACGCTGAAACGTTAAACTCGAGGAAGATCTTAGTTACAACGCTGGCGTTTGGAATCGATTACTCCGTGATGCTGTCAAGAGCGTTCTTTCTCGTGTTCTCCAAGGGTGGTGTGTTCACAGCTCACATAAACGGATACCTGCAGGGATTGATGGTGTTCTTCATGTTCTGCGTCCAACTAGCCCTGTCCGTTATGTTCTTTGCGCTCAGTACCGATGATTCAACCGTGGTTGTGAGGAGTCTTACTTTCATCGCTTTGCTAAGTAAATCTAATTAATTTTCCTTACGGAACGGTGCATTAATCTTATCATCTTCGATTCATCCGAGCCTCCTAAGAAAAAAAGAGTATGTCAATGTTAATTGAAAAGTGGATTTGTATTAGGTGTAGAAATTAATTCGGTGCTTTTCTTTTATTTTAATCAAAGATTTATTTTTTAAAAATTATAGCAATTTCAATTATTAAAATTGTTCATGCAAGCGGGTGAAAATATCCAAATGTAAAATATTGATTAATATTAAAAACAGCGAATTAATTTCTACGCCTAATAACTGTGATAAAAGAAGAAATGTTATATTTTTCTCGTCAACAAACCATTTAACGCGCAATCTTATTTTTACCGTCCTCATGGCCAAACAAACTTGCCTGTCCAATAACAAGCAGCCTAGAATCCTGCTGCGATGCTCGTATTTTTTCTCAGGAGGCAGCTACTGTGTATATCCCATAAAAAGAAATCCATACTAAACCATTTCCAGGCTACGATATATTTCTACTGGTCACTCTATTCGTCGTGTGCTTCTTCATATCACGATTGCCACGAAATTATCGGGAAGGAAAGTGTTTCTTCGGTACGTCGATCGGTCTGTTAATCACCTGGGCAATCTGGTTGACCTGCTTCATCCTTGTGGAGCCAGAATGTCGCGACATGGTCGTCTGTTTCGGCATCATTGCCACGGCGTACTTAATCATCATCGGTGTGCTGATACCGAGGACCTATTACATGATTAAACACCTAGCTAGGGGAAAGGAGTTTGGACAGAGATTTGGATCCGGTGATCTTGTTACTGATCCAAGGATTAGTACTATTGGAAGACAGGTCAGAATTATGTGGAAATATGTCAATATCATTCTTACCTGACGTTAACATTTTCTTTTTATTTTGTAGATTATCGTTTTTAACTGCAACCTTGATTTCTCGATACTTTCCTTTTCTTTCTTTCTGTTGAATAAAGAAAATTTACCTGTAGTTATTACACCTTTTATTTTTTTACCCCCTTCCTCTATACTTGAAAATGTGAAAACTTTTGAGAGAATTTTATCTGCACAGACTCGTCCGTTTTACGATTACGTGCACCCAGGTGGAGGAAGTACAACGAATTTACAGGTGACATCTGCGTATCCCAATTATTACGGTAGCTCGAGTCCGAATCAAAAGTACCTGGGTCCGTACAGGAACTCCGACACGAGGAGAAACCCTGGATACAACAATTACGGATATCACTCCGAAATGCGAGAAGTGAATAACTCTTACACTGTACCTCAAGTCTGCATCGAGGATGCGGACGTGAGATTTTTTCATATTTTTTCGTCGCTTCTTTTGTCTAGCACAGTCGATTTATATATCACGCTTTATTATACCTATAGCTTCCCTGTAGTGATCCGAAAAAAAAAAAGATATTTCTTAAAGAATTTAGGAAATAACCTTTCCAGTCAAGGACCAGCCCCGTGGAACGGAACCACGCGAGCCTGACGTACGCGCGTCCCAAATGTCACCGGAAACGGAGGACCAAAGACGAAAAAGACTGCATAGAAACCGACGTGTACATCGAGGGTAACTACCCATCCGCTCGTAGGATACACGACGAGATTTATCCTGCGAGATCCTGCAGTCCTAGACTAACTCAAACCGAGGCGACCATCCGCGAAGAGGACGAAGAGGACAATGTGACCAGAATAACCCGATTCTGAACCGGTGTTCATATCGTAGTCACGGGACGCATAGAAAAACGTCCTCGCGACGAAATAAATCACAAGTTCCATCCCAGAGATTTGTTGTCGGTCGACCCTCGTGAAGAATCTATTTCTTTTTGATCCGATGTTTTGTAACGAGAGATGTTCCATAGATTTTCATGGAGTTCTTCTTCTCCCTAGTTTTCTATTTAACTTCCTGTTAAACGTAATACAAAAATTTTCAATTTAAAATTCTTCAAAATATTCTAAAGTGTATTAATCAACGAAACTATAAATAAAGAAAAAATAAAGTTTGATAAAAAAATATCTTGTATGTGCAGAATTTCCTAATACTCTCGAACTGTCCTATTATCGGTGTAATTAAAGTACAAAACGAAGCAGACCTCTTTTGCGAGAAGAAAGGACTCACGGTGGAGGGAAGCAATTTCGCGTGTTTCCTACCGAAAATTGCATTATTGTCGATCGTAATTCCGCAATCAGGGCACAGGTGTATGCTCCGGATGAATATCGATGACAGTGCCGTAACCGGAAACCAGCGTTGTTCGCAGTGGTCCGTGAAGCTCTACAATAGAATATTAAATAGTTCCTGAAAATTGGATAAACTATAAATAAATTCTTCTTTGTAATAAATATCAATTGAAACGCTCCTATGTATTCGAAATAATTATAATTACCAATAGCATCGCTGAAGAAAGAAAATCCATCACGAAGAGATCTACTCTTCTCTAGCATCACAGAAGATGAAGAAAAAAGAAAATTTAAAGACGGAGGAATATCGTTCAAGGTTTCCCCAGGGTGAGATCCTGCTAAGGATCCTATGCGCCGTTTTACTTCCGCCCCATGTGGCCAGTGTGAAAAATAACGAAACGACGGTGGCTGGTGGTGTTCGATAAGCGGCACCATAATGGCAATAAATCGAAAAGTGCATCGGTTCGTGAACAGGGCCCGAACAGAAGCAATCGTCCAATTCGCATTTTCTGAAAAAGCTTCTGCGCAAGGACGAAGCTTTCTGCCTGTATAAAAGCACGATCGTGGCTGGTTCGCTTTCCAGTCACGTATACAGCTCTGTTTCTACTATCGAAAGAGGAATTCAAAGGGTTTTCCTTCTTCGAGTTCAACCGCGTACGTCTTGATATGGAGAAAGAATGTCCTTGGAAGATTCGAGTGCTCGTAATCGTGTGCTAGCCGGCTTCGCTTCGTTAAGGATTCGCATAAACGTCCAAAATGATGATGATCGAACAAGAGAAGAATTCACGGGTCATTATCGTCACTGTTGTCTATCTGAGCCTCTTCCTGGACAATGTGTTGCTCACAGTTGTTGGTAAATAGATTTTCTCAAAGTGATATTGATCGTTTTATTGATCTATGGAATATATTTCAGTGCCGATTATTCCCGATTACCTTTGCACCCTCGAAGGAAACTCGACGAGCAACGAAGACGATGAAAACGGTCGAGTAGGATTATTGTTAAGTTCCAAGGCGCTGGTACAGTTGATACTAAATCCAGTAGTGGGTACTCTTACCGGTACTCTTGGGTACACGAAACCATTGTTCCTTGGAAACTTGAGTCTTCTATTGGCGGCAATGCGTGAGAATTTCTTCCTTTTCTTTTATAATTTCAATCTTCTGTGAAAAAATTTCACTTAATTCTATTACAAATTCTATTACAATTCTATTACAATTCTTGTAGTGTTCGCGTTTGGACAAACTTACGAGGTTCTATTTCTCGCTCGAAGTATCCAAGGCATTTCTTCCGCGTGCATTGGAGTTTCCGGGATGTCGTTGGTCGCATCTCAGTACACAGAAGAGGATAAAAGATCAAAGATCATGGGTTTCGTTCTAGGAAGCATCGCGCTGGGTGTTCTCGTTGGATACCCGATTGGATCCGTGCTTTACGATCTCGAGGGAAAAATGGCACCTTTCTTATTGGTGTCCTGCTTCATCGTCGTCGCCATATGTACATATTCACTTACTTTCCTATCGTTTCAAAGAAATTTTACATGATTGAAGAAGACTCTTTTGTTTAGGTTTGCAAATTTTCACTTTGGATGATGAGACCAAGACCAAGGTAAGTTTTATGGAATTGCAAATAAATTACATAGGAATACTTACTTGATGTTTTTAAATGTTTTCAATAAAAGTAATAAATATCTTCAGTCCAGCGAGCAGAAGGCATCGTGGACGCATTTGTTATCCGATCCACATATACTCATCATTTTTGGGGCTATATGGTGTTCAACTTCACCCATGGCGATCTTGGAACCCTGTTTACCAATCTGGTTACGAACTCATGTGAAACCCAAGGTTAGAAATCATTTTTCCATAAATTAATTAAAAATGAAATACATAAAAGAAAAGCATGTTTGTTGTAGAAATGGCAGCTAGGAACAGTGTTTATTCCAGACAGCATTGGATACCTGGTTGGGACCAATTTCTTTGGCATGATAGCTTATCGTTATGGCCGTAGTAAAGTCGCTGTTCTGGCCATGTTCGTCGTTGGAATAAGTGCCATTTTAATACCATCCGCCGTTACAATGTCTCAGTTGATAGTTCCTCATTTAGGAATGGGACTAGGTATCGGTGTAGCTGATGCAGCTCTGGTGCCATTGTTGGCCAGCTTGGTGGACCAAAATGGCGACTATGGTCCCGTTTATTCCATTCAACAGGTGGCTGTTAGTCTGGCTTACTCTCTTGGTAAATAATACAAATGGAAATATTGAATATTGAAAAATCCATAAAGCAATGTGTAAATTTAAGACTCTGTTTAAGGACCTATCGTGGGCGGCGAAATGGTAAAATCGATTGGATTCCAATGGGTAATGCGGATCATTGGATTAATGAACATTGCTTACTGTCCTCTACTAATATACCTCACTTTGGAGAGGAGAAAATCAATGACCCAGGACGAGGAAAAGAAGGATTACGAGACCTTTAAAAAATCCGTGGCCAAGTACGAACGGTTCCAAGAGTCTGACGATGATCTCTGATCCCTTCATTTCTGTAATTTAACAAATAATCCCTGTTTTATATAAAGTTAATCCTAACTGCAAGGGAAAGACCGGATTAAAAGTACAATGAAATTAATGAAATATTTTGATTAGAATAATTAAATGTTGAAATATTCTCTAGTTTGGAAAGTGAGACAACGAATGAAAAAAGGACTCGAGTTACCATTAATTACCATATAGTTGTATCATCAATTTTCATAGATAGCCTTTTTGAATTTGTACCCGTGGAACACGGAGAAACAATATTACCGACATCATTGTACTTCCACTTAACTGTACCATGGACGGTAACTGGGCTTCGTAAGTTATAACGAAGTAAATTACCATCCCCCGAATTGCTAAGTAACGTCCCGAGGCTATTGCGCCAGCTACGACGGCATCGACCAACCAACTTCCGGAATTGAAACGAGCCTAGTTCGCACAATTTCGAAATTTAAAAAACTTTTCTTCCCAACGATACCTGTTTACATAAAAAAAAAAAAAGATTCTTAGTGTTTGGTAAAATAAAATATTGTATAGTTGTTTATTAGAAATAAAAAGAAAATTTAAGATACCTATAATTTAAGTCCTTAGATTTCTTATGTCTCTTAGACTCTCTGAAATTATAAAAAATATGAGATTGAAATTATTATATAATGTTTAGATTTTGTGGAGGCTTTTTCTTCTCACTTGCTTGCACTAAATAAGGAAAAAGCTTCCACGTGGTAGCACATTTAACGCGGATTTCAAACAAGGTAAACGTAAAGTGTGCTTGACACTCAGCCGCGCAGTCGAACGGCTAATTATCTCTTAAATTGCTCACAAGTGAATTAGCGGTGCAATTACGGGAGCTCGTGGCAGTAATGTGGAAGCGTTGATATTTAATAATGATCCGCTCCACGCGAGATGGACGAGAGGCGTTAAGCTGAAATACTTGATAAGCCGACGGTATAAGGCAAACGCGGCTTATTTACTATAAAACGAGATATAAATTATTGACGTCAGGGGATATTTTAGGCAATTTAATACACTGGGGTGGTTAAATGTCAGAGGAGAATTTAAGATTCATAATCTGAAAATCGATTCACCCGGGTTATTTAAATTGAAAAAGAAAAAAAAAACTAATTTAAGAACTTCAAACGAGGTGTACGTAATTTCATCGTTTCACTTGGGGAGAAGATATCCCAGCGTCTGAAATGGAATTGAGAGCATAAAAATGGCAAACAAGATTAAAATACATAGATAATAGCAATTATGGAGTTAAATTCAATTTCAAGGTATTATTAAATTATTAGCAAGAAGAAGGATCCTATCGTCGAGTTTATTAATCCTGAGACCTGAAATATATAAAGTCGATAACTAAAATTAACATTTAATAATTATAACAGCGGGTGTCAATAAACGTCATTAAGCTCCTTTTTTTAATTACCTGTCTAGAGTATTTTTCCTTTGAGAAAGCGACGTTACACTGTCACCCCTCGTATCGAATCAACCCCAACGATTTCCAGAAGCATGCAGAGAAACAAAATGTGCGCATAACTGAACAAAGGGTGGCGTCCCACGCTGCTCTCCTATCCCCGGACTAAGTTTCTCTGGAACAAGAATCATTACACTAATTGCCCTACGATCACAACAAAAATGTTACGCTATTTCTGTCCTTCAAACGAACGTAAAAAGTTCTAGCTAATTCTATACATAGAACCAGAGGGGTGCTTTCGCTTTTGCTATTATATTTTAATACTTTTATACGTTATTTAATCACATATTCTATTATTACTTTACTGTTTATACAAAATTCATGCGAAATAGTTTTCTCCAAATAAAGCTTGCGGTTTGAATTTTTTGGTAAACACAAAGAATTATCATTATAAAAGAATGTAAATGGTCGTTTAATATATTTACCGACTGTACACGGTGGGCGAGATTAAAAGAACGTAAATTACCGAACGAATCGCATGCAAACTTAATCCTGGCAATTAAACGCAGCCGTGAAGTCGGATCGTTGCGAGCAGAGAACCATAAGAATATTAAATCCCTCGAGTGGGATGACTTTAACGTCGCCGTAATCCAACTATAACGTCGCTTAAATTATATGCCATAAATAGAAAATCGATGTTTACACCGGTCTAATACTTCTAGAAATAAAACACTCTATACCTCTGTCCTGGTTGCAGCAACCTCATTTCGCTATTGTATTACAAAAGTTCTAATATAACAAACAAGCTTCTACGTCCAAAGATTTCAAAATCCGATAGAAACCTGAAACAAAAATATTTTCTAAGAAACCAGAAAATAAGGAACGGATAATTTTCATTAATTCCTCGTTTTTACACAATACACAGGGAAAGATCTTTCCCTTGAGACGAATCGTAAATAAAAGAAAGTCAACTTCCTTGGTAAACTTGTAAGAAGAGTTGAAACATGGACTATTACTACCGGTCAGTATCGACGTAAATATAAAAGTCGAGGAAAGGAAACTCACGAAAAGTTGTTCGCCGACTCTTTCAAATCATAACGACACTGGATTTATTCATTTCTCTGGTAGTACGTGAGGGGATCCGAATGGGAACGATGCCAACACGAGAGAAGAGACGGTGGATAAAATCAGCCAGCATTCAGGATTTCGATTAGAATTTAAGGAGGGAGCGCCCACTTATCTTCTTCCTCTTCCTTTCTTCTCCAACTCGGTTTTCCCCTTTTCACGAACGCTAACGAGCCACCGTACCACTCCGTTTCTGATTTTTCTTCCTCCTCCTTTTTTTCTTTCTTTCTTACGTAGCTGAAAAGCTTTTTTTTCTTCGGTTAGAGGAAATCCTCTCGAGACTCGCAAACGAGACGCAGATAATAAATGATTCTAAACATAGAGATTAAATTTGAAGGACCAGTCACTGGCAAACCTCCTAGACAGTAAATGTATTAATATAATGGTATAATTTAAAATAAGAAACTTGAAACCAGTCATTTTGACACCTGAAAGGTTTCACCATCCCACCTACTTAGCCCCAATCTCTTACTTCAATCCAAGATCAATGATACCATAAAAACCACCATTGTGAAAACCTTTCTGAATCCTAAATGATAATTATCATCAATTTTATCCAACGATAAAACGACGAGGAAAATTTCTCTTTAGAAACTTAAGCAGAACATTGAATGCCGGTTCGATAGGATATTCGCAACCCCCCGGAACAATTTCTAGGAGTAGAAACGAGGGAAAGGAACCCTTTCTGACATTGACAAGTTTTCACCCCTGTACGTCGGAGCTACGAGCTAAGGGAAAGCTGGAAAATCCGATAGGGTAATTTCTACGAGTTTCTATTCCATCGGAGGCATACGATGCCCCATGTTATTACCACGGTTTCAGCTGACACCGTCGAGATTTACGAGCTGTAAAGGTGCTTGCCTAATGGCGGTATCGATTTTTAATTCACGATTCTCACTAAGGGTGGCCAGCTTCCACAGGTAAACTTCCGGAGAAGATAAACGAGCATTGGACGCGAGAAAAAACGAGCTATGAGCAGATTCTATAGCTCGCCTTAAAAAGAAGCAATCATAAATGTAGAAAACATATTTACATCAACCCTCTCGAAAGAAAGATCGTTATCATCCCCCTTGGTACATTTTAGTCCATTGTTACAGACAGTATATAATAATATTTCATTCTTTAGAGATTCTTAAAAGACTAACCACCCTGTATACATGTCGGCACCCTTCGCAGCCAAAAAATTCGTCCCAGAGTATCGAGGCGGAGGACCGCGAGGGGATTTGACAACCGATTGGTGGCAGGCGAGATTAGCATCGATATAAAGGCAGCGAAGATAGCTGGAATCGATGCAGCGCTATCCTGCTATCAGCTATCGGCGGTGGTCTGCAAAATTTTCGGTGGAAAATCGCGCGAGGCAGACACGAGGGATGCTGTGTCCGGGACCCGTACTCCGTTATCGATCTTCCAGCCATCCCCCGACGCGGCACACAGACGCGGTCCGACGTCCGTGTAGCTTCAGCCACGAGCGCACGCACGACCCGTGGAAAGTTCGCGCTTAACATGCTCGCTACCGTGTCGGTCACTGGTGACCGACCAGTCTCCACACCTGAAATATATCGTGCAATTAAAAGAAAAAAAAAGAAAGAAAAAAAGAAGAGAAATTGAATAACATCGCTGTTACTATGAAATTAATATTACCGTTATTGCTGTTATTAAAGTAGAAAATAAAGAGCTGAAATTCGAAGATAAATTCCTCGCATCCGTTTCAAATGTTCGTGTGGGTGAAGCACGAAGGATGGTGAAGGTGGAACACGTGGACGAGAAGCCTCCGTGGGATGAAGGATGCGCTTAGACATGTATGGATTCCTGTGGAAAAGTTTGACACATCATTAGGATAGTAGAAAAAAAAGAAATCGTAGAGGAGGGCTCGCGTGGGAACCTTGGGGTAGCAAACGGAGGGATGGGGGAATCTACTTCCGTTGGAAATATATGAGGACACTTTTGGCGATGAGAGATTGTACGGTTGCCTTCTGGTGGCTGGAAGTTGGAAACGAAACTGGGTGCTTTTTCTTGTAAACTTGGATTTGAAATATGTCGCTGGAGATTGTGATATATTTGGAAATATCGAAGACTGGGTATATGCTTTTAGAGGGTATATGGTGACTCACGTCGCTGTTCGTTTATCTTTAAGTTTTTTAGACGAAAGGGTATACACTGTGGCTGAAAAATATATTTTATTGTATGTCGTTATTGATTAAAGGAATATTTAATTGTGATTTTATTTATTTATTATTTATAACCACAATCAATACCGATAAATCTATAGCATAAACTCTATAATGATAAATGTCTGACTTAACATTTACTTATTCTACTTAAACAGTATATCCCTCCAAAACAAACACCCATTTACCAACATAGATACCTATAATTCATTAGAATATGGTATCTAAGCATTGTAATATGGATTCATAATAAGATTATCAAAATAAAATTAGGTACTTGACACAACCGCAAAGTGTCTGACCTATTGCTTACTCATTCTACTTAAACAGTAGACTACAGAAATAAGTACTCGTTTAACCACAGACAAACAATTTTTTCTTTTTAACCACAGCATCTACCTGAATGTACCCAAGATACTCCCACACCGTTTTCCAAACGTAAAAACGTGTATATATACTCTCTATTCACACGAAACCGAAAGGCATCGCGTGTACCATCAATCACACCCAGTGTTTTTATTTCATCCGTACGGGAACACAAGCACCAAAGCTGTGTTCCACATAGACCAACATACAGGGTGGATCAGAATGAGTGGACAAAAAATAATTCAACGTGCTAAGATAAATTACAAATACATCATATACAATCTTCTCTTATATCGATACCTTTCCCAGATAATGGAATTTGAAAATCTGATAATTCATCCCTTTGACGGTTTCATATTTCATGAAATTTTGGATTTTTGTAATTCCAAGTTCCTCTTTATATCTAGCAAAATATTATTGATGGAATGATTCTTGAAAATTGTATTTTATATGTAAAGTAATTCTATACACTGATTATACCAGCCGTCCTGACCCACCCTCTATACAAGTCGAAGACACAAGTATAACGACGTATGCGTGGGTACACGATATACACACAGTGTCATCCTCCGGCTGCGAAACGGTCACGGATGGACCTCGCGCACACAACATCGACCCCGGCAAATACCAACCCCCTCGGTGGCGTAGTGTGCGTTCCACATAGACCGTAGAACGTACTCCGGGGAAAGTCGAAACGCGCACCAGTTTCCGCGTTCCGTCCGCGAGCACGCAAGCTCTACCAGGGCGAGGGAAACGTGTACGTATACGACGAGGCTGATAGACGCCTACATGCACAACCTCCACGCAAACGAAGACGAGGAAAGCTTGCGCGTATCCGGCCAAGCTTTCCCGAACACCCGTCGGTTGGCCTGGCTTCAGTAAGCTCGGAGCTTTCGACCGGTTCACTTCTATCCGAGGCTACGTCGATCTCGAAACCGCGTTATAGACGTAGAATCGACGACATGTGCGTGACAAGAAGCGGATTCTAGGTTTTTTTTTTTTTCAAAGAAGACTTTAAGAGATACAGCTGGTGGAGTGAATGACGCTTAGTTAGGGGATGGTGGATTAAAAACTAGGACTAATGTGTCTGGAAAGAATAAGGAGTCTGAGGAATACCGAGTTCATCGGGTGAAAAGCTGGAATTGTAATATACGCTGGGTTCCTGTCTCGTTGCTTCGCTGGAATTGTGTTCTATACTGAATTCCTATCCTGTCGATTCGCTCGCTGGAATTGTAATATACCTTGAACCACCCTCTCGTCGATTCCTCGTCTCATCGGTTTGGTAGCTGAAATCATGACACCACAATGTAAGTCCCAATCTCATGGGTTAAGTTGGTGGAATTGCAATATATCTAAGTCCCTATCTCATCGGTTCAATTATTGGGATTACAATATATTCTAAGTCCTCGTAGTCTGGTGTAGTATTATAAACGCTAAGCATGGATCTCAATAATTGAATATGCAATTGGAAGAAACTGATGTGACATCAATTACAAAATCCAGCTGGCAGAGTGATTGACATTGATCACTTGATTCCTCGCATAAGCCTTCGTTATAGCGGCTAAGTACTCGGAGGACAAAGTGCTGCGATTCAAGTGAATCAGTTATGGAGAAAAGGCTGGTGTGACAGATCCAGGAGGACCCTACCGGCGAGATGACGAGGAGCGGGAGTAACGTGCACGGTGCATCAAAGCATGCTTCAAGATCGATTCGAATACGGTGGAATCAGTTAGATTACTATAACGAAAGACGGATAGAAACGAGGAAGTCCTGTGACTAGTCTGATTTCCGATCGTTTCAAATGATCAGCTCTGAATAAAGATGACTAGGATCATCATTGTTGGAACCTAACAGTGAATCGTGTCTGTACTTTGATTTTTCTTCAAAAGATCAACGACTATAGTTGCAAAAAGATTTTTGCAATGTTTGAAAGATAGTTGTTTAAAAGTTGACGAGAAGTTTATTATAAGGATCGGTAAGGACGCCTGCATGGTGATAGTGGCGGCGCACAAACGATTAATTCTCGCTCGATTGCTGATCCAGGGATGCAGTAAAAGCGGTGCACGCTCGAAGGGCGAAAAGAGGGACGCAAAAAGTGTCAAAGAAGCAGCCTGATTGCATCTTGCGAAGTTTTTAAATATCGTCGACGCCTACCGTCCGATTTAACGCGGGAAGATCGATGATAATTAAATCGTGTCACCTCTTGACGTCGACGACCTGGAAAAAATTCCGCAGATTATCATTTTGAAATATTACATTTGAAGAGAACATGTAATAATCGAGGAAACTTTTATCTTGAAACATCATGCAAACCTCTCACTGGATGATCGTTAAATTCTCTTGGGTATGTTTTTTATAAATTCCTTTTTTTAAACGGTCCCTAAATTTTCTAAAAAGAAATTAATTTACGCTGCAACATTTTCACGCTTCATCGAGGGTTAATGAAATAGGGTGGCTAAGCATCGTGGACAAAAGTAGAAGTTGATTTAACGGATGGTTAGACAGTTTCACGTTGCAGCCGGTTATTTTCGGCGAAGAATATCAAATTCAATCGTTTTATAATTCAGTTATTAGACGAGACGAGTTTGAGAATCATACCGAACGCTCTTAAAGAAAACATACAATGGACAATATACTGTGGCAGTCAATCTGTTAAATAAGTACTTTCAGTAACTTGAACAGTTAATGCGACTTTAATTAATTTAAAAAAAGTGCACGGTTAAAAATACTCCAAGAATTCCCCTTAGCTCTTTTTATTCCACTTTTTTTTGTTGAAGTAGAAAAGTCGATAGAAAGCACCGGTAGAAATTCTGTTATTAAAGTGGAACAAATCCAACGGAACACGGTCGAATACTTGTTTCAGGTCCGTGTCTCGGGTGCTCGTACGGCAGCTAGGAAAGTCCGTAAACTTTAACAAAGTGAAAGGGTTACAATGCCAAGTATCCTCTCGCCTCGTTCCCTCGAGCCGTTCCCGACTTAAACACGAGACGAGAACTACCTAGCCCGTTGCGCTCAATGGTAATTAATTCAGACCTAAGATGATATGGAGTCTGAAGACGAAGTGGACGAAGATTTGCCGGAGGCGAAAGATACAGAGGTACAATGCGAAAAGGATGGAAACAAACATAAGATAAAAACGCGTTCTGTACTGCGTGAAACTTGAACCCTTTAAACGCTTCAGCTTATTATCCTAATTTTAGAAAATTAAATTTGAAATTTATAATAAAATCAGTCAACCTTGGGTTACCGATGACTTACGCAGCACAAAACGCGTTTAGCGTTGATCCTACAAAGTCTAAGAAGAGTATGAGAAATTCACCTGCTCTTGCGGTTCGTACAGGTGAACCGCAATGATAATTTAGAAAGATTCAAGACGATGAAAATCTCAACGAAACCAATGTCCTCGAAAAGCCCAGAGCGAAGCGAGTGCCAGTTGGTGGGCTCGCCGAGTCCCGAAGAGTCCCATGCGCCTGTCCCATGCAAGGATCCTGATAAGATGAAGGCAGAAGAATCAAAATTACCCTTAAGTACAAGTACCAAGACTGAAATAAAAGAAAGCGACATCGCGAGAATATGCAGAAGCAAGAGGATTACCTGTCAGGATACCATACACGAATACGACGAGGATGATGGTCTCACCATGGACAAGGTTGGAAGGTAAGATAGAACGAAGATCCTGATTACACTCTCAACTTAATTTAGAACGTATACCTTACGTATCATCAAGATCTCAGTTACTATGGGTGCTGTCCATGTGGGAGTCTTCAGGCTGTAAAGTTTAAGAAGCTCTTAAAGAAGCCAGGTGTAGCTAGGTTGAAGAGTAGAATCGATGTGTACTCTACAAATGGATGAGTGTGTCTGTGGTAGTTAGATCAAAGAGAAACCATGAGTGGGAGAGACCAAGGAGATCCTCCTGTGGACAGCATTCAGATGGTTGTATTCATGAATCCTTAGATCCTGATGAGCGAAAATATAAGAGCCACTGATTCCATAAAATCGGTACCCCCCAGGGCTTAAAATAAAATTAATATAATATTTACCACCTATTCCTTTAAAAAAAGATATTTGGAAGCACATCCAGAGGCAGCTGAAGCGTGGCTCCGAGAGAACGCTAGCCTGGAGCTTCGCCAACGACTACAAGGGGTGGCTGTTCCTCAAGCCAAGTCACCAACGAGGAACCTGCATCAAGAAGAGAATCTACTCAGTCGAAGCAAACGAAACAGTGTCACCTCCGACTTGTTTCAATGCTGGCTGGCTTCTAGTTCTCCAGCAAAACGCAGCAGAAGTCCCAGCAGGTGTGAATAACATCCAAACATTACATCTTTTACATTGATCTCGTTTGTAACATTTATATAAAATCCAGGACCTATACGTCACTAGTCGGACGAAGAGAAGAATTAAACAGATTAGACGAAAGTGATCTATTCATGGAATTGATCAGAGACGTGGCAAACGAGCTGGATATCAATGTCCTCTGTCACAAAATCCTAGTAAACGTTGGCTTGCTTACGCATGCCGATCGAGGGAGCCTATTCCTAGCTAAAGGACCTCTGGAAGACAGATACCTGGTCGCCAAATTGTTCGACGTGACGCAAGACACTGAACTCGAGGAAGCCATTCAACGGGCGAAGAACGAGGAGATTAAAATCCCTTTTGGGGTGGGAATCGCTGGCTACGTGGCTCATACTAAAGAGATCATCAACATCAAAGACGCCTATAAGGTTCAAACGATTGCTTCTGGTGTCTATGTCTCATAGAAACATCATCGTGTCAAAGCTAATTGATCTTCAACGACCATTTCAGGATCCAAGGTTCAATAGTACTATCGACATGAGAACTGGTTATAAAACTACATTGATCTTGTCGATGCCTATTTGCAACTACGAGGGCGACGTTATTGGCGTTGCTCAGATCATAAATAAAACCAATGGGAGCAACGAGTTTACCGACAAGGACGTCGAGGTGTTTCAGAGGTCTTATCCTCTAATTTAGTATAATCAAATGGCTAAGAAATATTAAACAGCATTTATAAAGGGAAACTGACCTCAGGTACCTAACATTTTGCGGGATCGGCATACAGAACGCTCAGCTGTTCGAGCTGTCGGTCCAAGAGTATCGCAGAAACCAGATCCTCCTGAATCTGGCAAGGAACATCTTCGAGGAGCAGAACAATCTCGAGTGTCTCGTCACGAAGATCATGACCGAAGCTAAGGAGCTCCTAAAATGCGAGAGATGCGCTGTGTACCTTCTGGACCTGGACTGCGGCGAAGCAGTAAGTTCATTCGAGAGAACCAATAAGAACAAGCATCGTTAATTTTATCTTATCGCTGTTGTAAGTAACAGAAAACGAATCAGTACAAGGATCTACTGAGCTCTTCCAAATGAACAACGGGGAACATAATAAGAGATCCTAAGTTTCGTTTCAGGGACATCTGGAAAAAATCGTCGAACGACCTGGCAAGTCGACGCAGGAAAGCAGGAAACCATTGTCGAGGAGAGAGGTGAGTGACACCGTGGCACGTGTTACTCAGGTTCGTAAAGTCTGATGATCTTTTTCTCTTTCCTGGCGGCTCAGAGCAACAACATCGAGATGGAGGACATTTTCCAACAGCACGTGAGTCATTCCTACAAAGAAATAGATGAACTATTATTAATAGATAAAGATTAATTTTTAGTAGAATCCAATTTTTAATTGGTTTAATTAGTTTTTAATCGATAGACTAGCACACAAGTCTCCTAATAGCCTTCCGGTCGATTCGAGTGTTAACTCTTGAAATACAAGACTCTTAACTTGTTCATCTGTTGCTTGCTTCATATGTTGTTAGGCAACGAACGACAGCAACAAGTTCACCACCATCTTCGAGATGGACAACGAGACTCAAGAGGCCAAGGTATACAGACCTAGCGGAAACGATTTCTCAAAACCATTGGGTCAAATCGCGAGGTACGTCGCAGCTACTGGTCAAATCCTCAACATCGGAGACGTAGCCACGTGGCTGAAGAAGGATGTCCAGTCTGGAAACGAATCGATCAAGAGCATCCTCTGTATGCCCATAGTGAACGGTCAGAGGACTGTGATCGGTGTTGCTCAATTAATCAACAAGGTTATTGCTCTGTTTCTTTGCAACGATAAAAGTTCAAGATGGTTGTTGACAGGAATTTTTATGTACAGGATAACGGAACGTCCTTCACCGACTCTGATGTATCAATCTTTGAAGCATTCGCCATTTTCTGTGGACTTGGGATTCACAACACCCAGATGTACGAGTCAGCTTGCAAGCTGATGGCTAAACAGAAGGTTGCACTCGAGTGTCTGAGCTACCACGCGACAGCTAGTAACGACGACACCATCAGATTGACCTCTGAACCTATACCAGCCGCAGACTCCTTCAATTTGTACAGTTTTACCTTCATAGATTTTGATTTAACTGACGAAGACACCTGTAGAGCCACTATTAGCATGTTCAAACAATGCAATTTGATCCAGAAATTTCATATACCCTATGAAGTGCTGTGTAGATGGATCCTTAGCGTAAAGAAAAATTACAGGTAAGGTATCCTTTGTAATCTAACTATGGTAACGTAACAAAATCCTTAATTTTGTGAGGAAACATTACAGGCCAGTCAAATACCATAACTGGAGGCACGCGTTAAACGTCGCCCAAACGATGTTCGCGATGCTGAAGACGGGCAAGATGGAACAGTTCATGACCGACCTGGAAATCCTGGGGCTTCTCGTCGCTTGTCTCTGCCACGACCTGGACCATCGAGGAACGAACAACGCTTTCCAGATGAAAACAGAGTCTCCATTGGCTATCCTCTACTCCACCAGCACCATGGAACATCATCATTTCGACCAATGTGTCATGATCCTGAACTCGGACAGCAACAACATCTTCCAGAGCCTGTCCATGGAGGATTACAGGAGGGTGATGAAGGTCGTCGAAAGCGCGATCCTCTCTACTGATTTAGCAGTGTATTTCAAGAAGAAGAATCGCTTCATGGAGCTAATAGACGAGGGGGAGTTCGACTGGCAGAGTGAAGAGAAGAAAGAACGTAAGAGAGATGATGTGTATTATTAGTATAATTGATTTGAGAATAATATTAAGGTTACCATTGCCTCAGACTAATGTACTGACAAGCGAGGACATATGGAAAATTTGTATCCATGTATTCCTTCATTTCCAGTGCTCTGCGGGATGATGATGACAGCCTGTGACGTAAGCGCAATAGCAAAGCCGTGGGACGTGCAGCACCGGGTGGCAAAGCTGGTAGCCGACGAGTTCTTCGACCAAGGTGACCTGGAACGATTGCAATTAAACCAACAACCGGTAGCCATGATGGACCGTGAGAGAAAAGACGAACTACCGCAAATGCAGGTCGGCTTCATCGACGTGATCTGCTTGCCTCTGTACAAGGTCCTCTCGGAAACCTTCCCCTGGATCATGCCTCTCTACGAAGGCACTATGGAGAATCGGAAACACTGGCAAGACCTGGCTGAGAAAGTCGAGATGGGTCTGACTTGGATCGATCGCGACACAATCGACGAACCGGTCGAGGAATTCGTCTCGTACGAACCCAAGGACATCGAGTTCACGGTCACGACCCTGAACTGTGCCCACGCGGACAAAAAGGACGTTCCTGAGAAATCTGCGTTAGGAAGATTCGCTTCGTTGAGGAAAGGCAGTCGCACGCTGAGCAAAGGGGTCAGACATCGCATCAGTAGATCCCTGTACACTAGAAGCACCCCTGAAGATGCAGCAAAATCCAAGGCTCTGATCCCTGACAGGAAGAGCCGTAATAAACTCTGTCTACTCATTTGACGGCTTACCTCGACCACCCTTGAAAGCATTCCAGAATGATGATCGATGATCGTTCTTCCTAAATTGTCAGAAGACAGATGTTGAATCTGCAAATTGTCTTCTGTAAACAACAGGTATTGTTTACAGAGAATCCTACAGAAGGAGAGAGACTTTGAACAGTCTTAGAAGCTCCAATGAATCAAGGTCGATGAATAAAATCAAGCGTTTGCACCGTACAGGGGAGTCTGGTGCGAATCCACCTACCTCGAGAAACCCAAAAGGAATCAAAATAAAAAAGTAACGTAAAACCTTGCTTGTAAAATTCACTCCAAGACAGTGTTGTTTGAGAGGCAGGAGCGTAGGAAGTTACTCGGGTAGTCAATGGCTAGGTAGTTAGAAGGATGACTGGTTTAGGGGCAACCTTCGGCAATATGGCTCATAAACGAAACCTAGAAACAAGAATACGTTATAGAGGTGGCGAGGATGTGAATTCAATTTTGACAATCTTTTTTGTATTATATCTCCGATACCTTAGGAATACAAATTCGCTAGACGAAGAGTGCGACAGCGAGTGAATGGAAGAGATGTATTTGTGAGTTGAACGTGTGTCTTGATTTATAAGATGTAACCGAGCTACGGGCATTTTTATATACCACCTAAAAAGAAACAGAAAAAAAAAAACGATATAAGAAAAAGAAAAGAAAAATTGGACTTCTGATGACACGTTTACGTTTCGGTTCTATTTTACGGAGAGAAGAGTTTGATGAAAGGTGTTTGTGTCGGTGCAAGATGGACAAATGTGGATCCAAGGCGAATCGATGAATTAATGATTCCGTTGCGTCACAGGGCCACTCCAAAATCGTGTTTCTGACGCAGGAAGCGAAAACGTGATGTACCTCCCGTGTCTGCTTTCCTACGGATCGGAAGTTTGAGTGGAACTCGAGGATGTGACTCACGTTCCTTACTTTATTTCTTGCTTTGCCTCTGTATTCCCTCGTTACTCCTTCAGTTTCCTTCTCGTTCAATGGGATACCTTGAAGAAGAAGAAGAAGAAACTTGGAAAAAGTAAACTGGATGTTTTCAATTGACAAAAGTAAGAAAAGTGCTGGTAGATGATCTAAGTAACGTTTGTAGAACAGGTATCTTTCAGGAAACGGACAAAATGCCTGAAACTATTTCGCACACGAGTAAATAAAATCTGAATGTGCTCAAACGCGAATGCTTCTTCTTCCTCCGTGTCTCTTCTTCCTGTAGAATAGAAGAGCTAGTTCCGAATAAACTTTTAGCCACTTCTTTCACCTCCACCTCGCTCCGATAAGTTTCACGCTGCTTTTATTATTAAAAACATTTAGAAATTACACTCGAACGATGGTGTCCTTTACACGGTAACGAATCATCAAACGTTTTGGTCCTACGATTAAATTAAGTATAACAAACGGCTTTTTTCTTCATTTTTTTTCTCTCTCTTCCTCTGATATTCCACGTGTCGACGATTCATTTTCGCTATTTACATAATTATGCAATAATCTGATTGCATAGGAGCGGAGCCTGTAACTCGTAACACTGCGAACACTGTTCGACAAATGATCCGAGACGAACACGTTCATTTTAATAATATCCTTACGCAACAAGCTCGTCTCATTCCTATTAGATTTTCTCTATCTCCTATCTCGGTTATGTACCTTCAGGAGAAGTTAAATGTCGAGGCAGTGGCGCGGCTATTTGGTAAGATTCTTTCACCTTGTTGCATAATTACGTCGGAACAGGCTCCGCGCTCATTGTGACCAAGGACGAGACCGAATACTTTCTGGCGCAGTAGAAAAAAATTAATCCTCCTCTGTTCGGGAGGCAGCACGCGATAAGGTAAGTATATATACCTGGACAGAGGTCCTTTTTACGAAACGTTTCATTGTATCGTACAGACACAAGCAATGATACCTTACCCTTAATAAGAAGAAACGCAAGGGAAGAAAGACTCCTAACGTTTATATTCTTTATGAACGAAAATAGGAGGCCACAGACTTAGACCTAGGTTACACTGATAGAATATACTAGCTCTAGTAGGAAAACATCATTTACTACACCCATATAAACCAGGCTATAGCACCATGGTACTAGCGCCAATATACTACCAATGTAATTTAGTCTTTACATATTTTTCTTAAACTTCCCTTATCTAGAAAATGCATCATTACAAGTGATCGTACGCGACAAATGAAATGATCGGTAATAAGCGTTGCATTGCACTTCGCTTGAGATCAATGTTCCTCGGAACGAATGAAATCGAAAAATATTGAAAAATAGACCGTATCTCGAGACACGAAGGATGCAAAGATATTTCAAACGAGTCGCTCGCATAGTCTCGACAATATGTTGTACAAAAATATAAAATAAAAAGATCATGCATACAACTGTATTAATATATATAATATATATATATGTATATACATGTAGACGCGGCACCGCAACTCGCGTGACGCGAGAAGATCGTAGTTATATTATCCTTGATCACAATGCTCACACACGTGATATATTCATCCGATTTTTCTCGTATAGAATATAATTCGCTAATAATTCACCTCTGTCGGGGTAATTTTGTACAATTTCTCTTAGCCAATCCAACGGATTTCTTTTAGCGCAAATACATTGTGCCGACAATTTCGATCGAATTCTTGATTGTTCTTTTCTTCTGTGTACTCTTGACGATGTGTGTCATCCACGGCAAGTGAATCCCTGGCTCGTACGTGTTATTCTTCTTGGAAAACAAAAAAAGGAAAATCGTTTCTCATCCAGTGAAATCACGAACATAAGCATCGTGGAAGATACATCATGGAAGATAATTAAAAATCACTTAATAATAGATGTGTATATGTATATGCGAAGCATTAAACTTATCAACACCAAAAATAAAATCATTTTCAGTACTTGACGGAGATATCGAATCAAATCTACGACCAAGTCCGTTCGAGAACAGTATGGAATGTAGATTTGTTTCTCGCGTCGTCTGTTAAATGCAGATGTTCATAAAGTCTTTAAACGGACAGTAAAAAAACAAAAAAAGCAAACACCCTTTAAACCTCGTCTGACATGGAAAGAAACGATGCGTACGAAATTTGTGAATAATTGTCGCATCTCACGCGTGTAACAAGGAAAACGTGTAGGCTCTATGCTAACACATACACACACACATACAACGCCTTGTTTCTTTGCATAATCCTTTCGTTTACATTGGTACGTTATTGTATGCATATAAAATTCAACTTATGTAACGCCGTGGCCTTGGGATATAGACACAGGATACAATAATTCCAATTGATCAAAAACATACATGCAAATCAACAATAAGCGTACCCTTGTTTAGAGATAAACCCTGTGTGAATGTGTTTGAACTTGCAATTTCAAAATGGTAAGTCTTACGAAGTGTCATAAAACTAGCAGACTCCACTAATGAATCCACATTAGTGGAATACAAAGTTTGTTTTTTTTCCTAACAAGAGAATTCATTCCTATACATTGATGATGCGGAACAAGTCAATTTTCGTTCGACATATTTACAGCGGTATGTTTACAAAAGAATTCGTTGAAAATGTAAATCATTTTGTGTTACCTCTGCATCTCTGTACAATTGACAAACTAAATCAAAGAACGTCGGTGCTCGATATAATTAGGTCCAGAGACACGCATCGGCTCGTATAGGGTTTGCAATCCTGACAAATTGGCAGAAGTGCTTGGATCACATAAAGAATTCCCTGGATCGGCTAATGTGCAGTCACGACGCAGGTCTGTCCAGTACTGATATTTCTATTAGCCTAAGACCACGCATTGTTGGATCTGTTAACAGCAGCCCACGTGGCTTATAGACTCTGTCATTTTGTTCACTAACAAACTTTGCCACTTTACGTAAGCACTTTTCATAATGGGTCTCTGTACATATATAAATCAGGTAACCAGTGAGACAGGCCAGGCAACCTTCACAGTATGTAGAGCAAGTGGCTTCTTCTGCTTCTTTGAAGTAGTTGTTCAATTGATTGATCGTGTATTCGAACGTCTGTCTATCCAGCTAAATTGGAAAATAAGATTACAAAAAATTTCCTATAAATAGAATAAGCTTAGAGAAACTACCGATTACTAGCTTCTAAACAAATCAGGACAATAAAGAAACGGTATTATATTCCTTCAACTTCCGATGCATCCTATAGAAAATTTATGTAAATAAATGTGTAAGAAAAGATTATAAGAAAATATAAACAAGAATTAAACAAAAATAATCAAAAACATGTTCAAAGCTTCTAAATGTCAAATAATCAAAATTAATTAGTATTTCAATTACATACTCTGGTTTCTAATCCTGCTGGGAACTGTGTTTGAAACTTAACCATAGTGCCTTCACTGTAGTCACGTTGTATAAAAACTTTCTGACAATTCGGAGGAGGCCCCCCACCTGCTTGCCCTCGACCAGCTGACATGTCCTCCAGGGGTGTAAGGACAGCGTGATTGCCCTAAAAAACAGAACATTAATTATTATTTGTGTTCGAAAAATGTGTTTTCAGAATTCCAAACAATCGTTCGTCCGCTATTTTCACGCGTAGATTGCGATTTTATTTTACGTCAATTATATTTGGGGTGCCTAACCACAAAACCGCACCCAAATCTGTATCTGAAATCATTTGTATTGCATCCAAAATTGATCAATAAATCAAATGTCAATTGATTTCAAAATTATACAATTTGAATTCGAAATAAAAGCAATTGAAACGACGAAAGATCAAAAATGTTTCTCTGAAGCTCTGACAACGAAAGAAGGGGAAAGAGAGAATGAAAGGTGGACGAACTTACTAATGGCATTTTGAGCTTCGTCTTGACGATTTGATAGAACAGATCCGTTGAAAATAATCTCGACTTGTCAGTCGAACACGGAATAAGTCAGTAGAATTGGATTGATTACTGAAAGATGATTTTTCCTTAGAAAATCACGGAGGACAGTGGTCTAACTGACGGACTACGGCACGACAGCGTCGCCATGAAATGTGCGCGCGCAATTCATGGTAATTGAAATATACGATTCATGGTACACTTGAAAAATTCAACTAAACTAATTAATTATAATCATTTCTCAATTTGTTAACCCGAATATACACAAAATCTTGCCATAAAGATACCTAAAAAATACCTGCATGTTATTCCTTTTAAAATTATAGAGTTGAATGATAGCTGGAACTTTCATTTTTGCTTTTTTTTTAAATAAAAAAGTGAGCTATTAAGTAAATTAATACCTTATAAAATACCATAAAAAAGATTAAACAAAATAATGTTATGAAGAAAAATGTATACCTTTTTATTTAATAATGCTCTGTTGTTGCATAAAAGGAAAGAATGTATGACGCAGATTAGGCCCACTGGTCCCGATGGTCTACCACTAACTGACGACAGCGTTTCTAGATCCACCAAATAAAACGTTCACTGTTCACTATTTTATAACTATAAATGACCTATGATGCTATTAACAACGTTATAATATAAACCTACGTTTTTTGCGGTTAATGAACCGCAAAAATTGCTTATTTTTCGAAAAAAGCAATTGCCCGTTTTCCTATCTTCGCCGGTTACCATCAGATGACGCCAACATGGCCGTTTCAAATTTTCACATTAATTTAAAACTAAAACATTAAAAATCACACACATGTTCAGTTCATTAAATTATTTAGTATTAAATAATATAATGTAGATTTTTTTTATGCAATAAAAATATTTTATAAAAAAGTTTAATTATTAATTTATTTTAACATCGTTTTCAACACATCCCAGCCCTATGAACAATTCTCAAAAAACCATCCTCCTATTATATTATATTTGAAATTTCATTATTTATATTTCTTTTCCAATAATGCATTGATTCCTAATATTAATATTTGCATTTAGATGGAGCTGTTTATCTGACAGCTGTTTTGTATATCCATATATCGTGTTCCAAATGAAAAGTTTACCGAATAAAGAGTGATTTTATTCACAAGTTTTTACTGAGCTGCTTTTAGTTTTTTATTGCGTATTGCAATAACGAATTTACATGCTAATTATTACGTAGATTTAGTGAGTAACCTTATAAAATCAAACTACTATTTATTCAAGGATGTTTACTAATCGTTCGTTCGAAGCTGTGAGTTTCAATTCACAAGTGTCTGCCGCAAAGTATGTATTACAATTACTTTTATTTTATCTGAAATTAGTCTATTATTAGGCTTTACTATCCACATTTTTTTCAGATCAGAACAATCGACTAGTGTTCAGACAACGGAAAATGTTTATGATGAAAATGCTACACAAACAATAGAAAGAAAGAGCGTTGAGGTATTCATAAATAATTTACAATTTTCAAATATGTATATGTACAATGGATGATTCTTTTGTAGACTCAAACTATTGTTGAAGAAAAGAAAAAGCCAGAGATAAATTATGATAGATTGGCTCAGTTTTTAAACAGAGTCACACCAAGTATATTAGAGGCTTTAGATGAATCATATGAAACTACAGCATTTGAGGATTATGATCCAAACACTAATGAAGATGTACTTACAACTACACAGCTTGTGCAAAAAATTAGTACTATAAGTGAATTAGATTCTCAGGTACTTATCTTTCATAATTATTAACATCTTCAAACTAAAGCATCATTGTTCAATTGTATCATCAGATGAAAATAAGTGATGTAAGTTGGAGTATTGGAGGAGGAACATTGGCTGTTTCCCATGGTATCCCTTATCATGAAACATGGTGTGATCATGTATCTAAAATAGAATTGTATGATCAGACCAAGGAAGGTAGTTTCACAGATACTCCAAGCAAAACATTAGAAACAAATGCATGTGTGACAACATTGCTTTATCATCCAAGTGAACCATCCATTATAGCAGCTGGATTGTTTAATGGTAGTAAATCTACTAGATAAATATGTAGACACAGTCATTGAGAAATTAATTCTAAATGTATTGTTTATATAAAGGTGATGTTCTTGTTTGGAATCTGAGGAAATCAGTGACACCAACAACAGTATGCACACATGGTGACTCTGTGTCACAAATACACTGGAAAGCAAGAACTATCAATGATGTGTCACTGTTAGTAAGCTCTAGCAAAGATGGATACATTTATCTCCATACAATGTCTAAGACTACACGGTAATTATATCGCTTTTAAAACCACTAATTTAATATATAGAGATACTTTTATTATTATAACTTCTTTTTTAGATTAAAAATAGCCAAAGAACATAATCCAGTTGAAAGTTCAAGACCGCGTAGCGCAGGTGGATCACGTGAACGTGCCGTGATGTCTGGATTATGCATTACTACCTTTGATTTCTCGTCCAGAGATCCCATAATCTTTGTTGTGGGTACTTTGTGCGGTGGAATATATAAGTGTAGTTTGGATCACGTTGCTCCTATCGAAGGTATGTATTTTAATTACATACAAAATTTATTATTTTAAGTATGTAATTTTTCATTGTTAAATGCAGGAGATGAAACTCTTATGGATCCTGTCATAGACAAGTATGAGAGACACGAAGGTAGTATTACATGCATCAAATGTTCTCCAGTTCGTAATCTTTTTGTCACTGCTGCGACGGATAAAGAGATACGTATATACGATTTCGAACAGGTACAAGTTTTTCTCGTACACAGTTCATTTATATATCTTAAACCATGTAATAATTGAAGTTCTATTTCTTGTACTTAGCACGCATGTTTGCGATCCATTTCTTGTGAGAATACAGTTGTGGGATTAACATGGTTAATAGGGAATTCTGATGTATTAGCGACTTACGGCGCCAGTTCAAACATTAGACTGTATAACGTTACAGACGGAAAACTTGTAACAAATGTAAAATTCGAGTCATCTGACAGGGAAAATGTTAGCTGTTTACGTGTAAATGGCAAAAAGTAAGTACTGAAACATGTAATCAATAATTTATGGATATAATGTGTTATATTTACTTTAAAGGGACATGGCAGCGATTGGTGACACTCAAGGAAATTTAGAAATCTGGAGAATCCCACGACAGTTACCCTAAACATGTTTCTGTTTAATTAGTAATTATTGCTTTTTCTCCATTGTATAATTGTTGCTTTTTTATTGCACTTTATGTAAAATATATTAATTTTTGTACAACATTCGTGTCTGTTTTTAATACAAGTTAAACTTAGAGCTTGATATTAATAACGTATGATTATTATATCAAATATTCTTTGCATTCAAAAAGTAGACATTTCGTTGTTAAAAATAGCTTAACATATTATTACCAAGCGGTAAGTATTTGCCAATCGGCATACAGCCAAGTAAGAAATGTAAATTAAGAGTTAAAGTTTTATAAGAAAAAAATGAAAAATAACAAAGTTAGGTTGTTGCATTAGTATTACCTCAGTGATATATCTGATCCCAGATCATGTTACACTACTCGGCAAGCGAACTTTGCGGCGTCTCAAGGGGTATACTCCCAGTGGTGGGATCGAGTTCTTTGCATTTATTGAATCTACTGTATTCAAACGACGTCCTCTTAAATAATAGCTGACAAAATATATTTGTAAAAAATTTGCAGAATATTTTATTTGTACTTTTAGTAAAGTATTGTAAACATACTTCTTAAATGTATTTTACACCCTTCATATACCAGATGCAAAAATTTGCACTTGACGATCTGATAATTTATATACATATTTTGCTACTTCTGGCCAATTATGTTTGTTTCTAATAGGATCAATTCTCCAATTAATTGTCATTATTCCAGTTGCATCATTGGAATATCCTGTTTTCAAAGGTTCAACCATAACAAATAAATGAGCCATATATTTCAGAATATCTACAAATGTATCAGAACCTTCATGCTTATAAGTATGTGTCATAATGCAAAGCTGAGCAGTCTTGTCATGTTCAATGAGTGATCTTAAACATCTTATACAATACATACATTGCTTCAAATTAAGTCCAAAATTATAAAGATGGCTTAAATCATCAATTATAATAATTACAGGTTTATTATCTTTCTTCATTTCATTGTATTCATTTTTAATAGTAATAAATAAATTGTCAATTACTTTGTTTATTGTCTCCATGTCAGGTGCATTAATTTTTATTGATTCTATAAAAGTAACCTTGCCTTTTTCTTTTAATAATGAAAGATTGTAACCAAATTTCATACCCACATTATGGTAATGGTTGAAAGTGTTATGGAAAAGTACAAAACAAATTCTATAATCTTTCTTTAATGCATCTGAGATAATTGCACTTGATAAAAAATTTGCATTGCTATAATGCTGCTCTTCGATTAGTATTACTTTTCCACCCATATTTACTTTATCAATACCAAGTATATCAGATACTGAATCCATTATGCTGCACTTCACTTATCCTAAAAATAATAAAGGAAAAATTCTATTAGAGCGTTTTAAATCTAACTTATAACCCATTAAGCTTAAAGGTTAGCTTATGAAAAGTATGTAATCTTACTTACAAATTAGACTATTTTTAATTTTGATATAAATTAAGCATTACTTTCATTATCAAGTATTTTACTTCAAATAATGTGAGACTCTACCCACCAGACCCTCCAAACTGAAAGTGTTAGATATTATGTATAGCTCAATGACAGAAAAACATGATCAAGGTGCAAGCGACATACGCAAACAAGTATAGTTCCATTACTATTTCAATACTTGTATGCAAATTTATTTGACACAGCAAACGAATAAAAAAGCAAAGAAATACAGGAATATAAAATCATCTCTTTCGGTTTTACAAAAATGAACGAGAAGAGACTTCCGACCAGATCGTTGAATAAAAATGAGCATCCTATTGCATCTTAAATGAGCGTATTTTATTCCACTGCATACAAAGTCAACTGTCTTCCATCTTAACGCATCCCCACCATTTTGTGATGGAGCCTTGACTCGAGAGCAATGACTTGATGAAAGAAAAGATACATAGGTTGAACATACAGAGGCTATATTTAAACTGAATCTTTCATTCTCCTTGACTCTTGCAATTTTAAGTTTCTTTTTATACCCCGACAAGAGTTGCAACTATGAAAGTTAAGAGTATTGTAACTGTGGAATTAATTTCCAATGAGTCATCTGAAAAGTTTGAAATTTGAAGTTGATGATTCTTGTGAAAGTAGGCAACTCATGCTGTTTCATTTCCTTCCTTCCTTCGTATTGCGTGACAAAATAACTGATGACGATATTCTCAGCACAGTGATAAACCTAGTAAACAGAAATTTAAAAAATTAGAATCAAATAAATATATGCAAACTTGACGTCACGATAAAACTCACTTGTTTTTCTAGCGAAACGTGACATACTTAAACTTCCTGAATGTTCCACAGTGGATTTCCTTCACCTTCTAATAAATATGCTGAAGTCATGCTGAACAGCACATACATTATCTACATACGTAACTTATAATTCCTCTTGTACCTGTATGAGAATCAGCTGAATTTTAAATGACATTACTACTGTATATCAACGATATTTTCAAAATCATGATAGAAACAAATTACTTTGCAATTACTATATATTACTTTGAAATTACTCAAGAAATTGACCTTCATATGCATCAAGACCACAATTAGCAAATTGGTCTTAAAATATCACAATGGAATGGTAGGGAGGATATTCAGGGTTCAGGTACACACAACATTAAAGCTTTATTTAAAAGATCTTCCGAGAAATGTTCCTCAACGGTGCGTCCTTATAAAGGACAAGCTTCACAGAACTTCCGTCCTGTAAAGGATCTTCGAAACCCGACCTAGAACGGCCGGCGTTCCAGATGTTCGTCCTTAAAAGGACGGTTTCAAATTCTTGTCTTGAAAAAGACAGTTTAAGAGATCGTTTGCCCTGAAAAGGACAGATTTCGTGCATCCCAGAAGTTGCTACTCCGTAGATGAACCATTTGCGGGCCCTGGGTAGGGCCCTAAAGAAAAAAGTGATAGTAAAGAGAAAAATGTGTGGACGGGATATGCGTAGTGTGTTTGGATGTTTTTTTTTTAAAGGCCAGAATAGGACTAAAGATTGTATGGAGAATAAGTTGGACGCATCATAGCTACCATGTGCTTTTGGCTAGTTTCTTCATACTGATATGAAAGGAGAAAAATTATAAGATTAAGAAAAAAGAAAGTGGATAATAAAACAAAGGGATTATCCTAGGTAAGGTTAGAAATTTTCTTCTCATTTGCTATGTGTGTTCTCTTCATCCATATTTTGTTCAAGAAACGGCTCCACTCGTTTTTTGGATAAACATCAAAGAAACTTCAATGCGTTGTATGTGATGTGCATGTATGTATGCGAGTATCATAATTCCTTTCCTTTCCAATGTGACACACGGTGATTTCCTGTTGAAAATTTTCAGTCGTCACCCTGTGGCAGCTTTCACTTCGCTTCGTGCCGTATCTTTCTTCACGATCTCTCCGAAGGTTCTCGTACTTCTACGTGTTAGTAATAATGCTGTGATGTACGGTAGTTGAGAATATGTGTGTCCAGTGTTCATTTGATTGAATTTTGCACACGTGACTCACATAAACGCGTTATTTGTCTTTCTAACATTAAACGAGTTCAAATAGAAACCCCTCTCTCGCTTCTTCTTCTTCTTCTTCTTTTCTTCTGCATTTCCTCTGTTTCTTTTCACATACGCATGCGTGTATATTATGTATATGGGATTTAGATATCTGTACGCGTGTGTATATGTATGCATGCGGCGTGCATGCCTGAGTGTATTGTGCTGGACTGAAATATTCCTTACAGTCAATCGTGACGTATCTCACGAATCAACGATTTCTCTTCTTTTAACTTTCTAAAAATCATCCTCGCACCAAATCCTTATCTCTAGGCAGAAGAGGAGCCAAGAAATTCTTCTTTCGATTCGTCTCTCTCAATTTCCTCAACAATTTATTGCACACCGAACAATTCTCACTTCTTTTCATTCACCTTTCTTCTTTCTTCTATGGATATATATCATCGTCGTCGTTTTTCGTCAAACTTCCATCTTCCCTTTGTGGAACTTTTCTTCCATCTTCAATCATACTCGCTCGCTTTCTCTCCCTCCCTCTCGTTCGTACACATGCATTCTCGGCTGATTTTTATACACTGATTTTTTTTGGCGCTTTTTGTTTTCAAAAAGACATTTTTTTCTGGTGGGTTTTTTTTTTTTTTAGAAATCCGCTCACATTCACTTCAGTCTCGCTTAGACTCCATTTTTTCTCTTGCTACCCTTTCCGTCAACGACGACCTTGAAAGACAATACATTCCCTTCTCATAATGAATTCTTTCTCCCTTTTCGGTGCCGCCACTTTATTCTCTTTCGTTTACCTCTGTATCCATTCCTTCGCGTTTTCATAACCTCTTCTACCTCTCCTCTTCTTCTGCAACTAATACAGACACACATCGATCGCTTCGAAACGCGTGAACATACTAGAATAACAGTACCAAAATTACGATATAAACGATTACGCTTTAGGTACGACTTGGATATCTCTCTCACTTTATATATTGTTCTCGAAGTATTACTGGCTCTCTTTTCTTCGTCACGTTTCCCTTTCCTTTCCTTTCCGGAGGATAACCTCGATCATTCGAACCATCGTCACTCACGTTAAAATCGCTGCGCCGTAATAGCTGTTGCCCCTCGCAATGGAAACGTCGACGCGTTTCCTCTTGAGATAAGAGAAAAAACGGCAAAAAATAATCGTACCTCTATCGAGCCTCGTAGTAGACGATTATACATATAATGTTGTATATTCGTGTATCGAAAAAATTTTGAGTCTTCCTTTCTATCACGAGAGTGCACACTCCTTTTATTTCCGCACACCTTTACTTCCTGCTTTTTTTTTTTTATCTTTTCGGTTCCTCACTTTTTATTATTCACGAACAGTTCTCTTCGCGTCGGGACACGCAAACACGAGACGATTGTTTTGCCAAGAAAACAACGGGATGCGCGTCGAAAGGTGGCCAATCAATACTGATCTTTTTCCCCGTCGATCGCGCGCGCCATTTTGTAATAATCTTCCCGTCATTCTCTTGTCTCTTGTTCTTCAGTTTTGGTCCTCCATTTTCTTTTTCTTTTTTTTCCTTGGAAAAAGATCCGACAGGAGTTGCGTCCAGTCGAGATTCATTCTTCTCTCAGTAAAAATGATGATTATGCGTGATTTGCGACCGGAATGTATTTATATCGATGCTTCCTCGGTATAATACGTATGTATAAGTGAACGGAAGTGACCAAATTTCGGAATGATAAAGGAATCTCTCTCGTTCTTGCGCGTAACCGACGGTGGTCCTTCGATTTCTTCCTCTTCTCTATTCGCCACCCTTCTTTTCTTCCATTTCATTCTTCTTCCTTCGTTATCTCGCCAAGCCTGAGGCCGCAGAATGATCCATGTCTCGACTGGATCCTGTTTTAAAAATCGTCAACTCGAAACGTACGGCTCAAAAATACGCAGCAGCGGCAGCCATATTTATATATCCGAAAATGAACTCTTCTCTCTTCCTCCGTCGTTTTTCTTCGCTCTTCCATTTTCAACATAACAAAATATTCTCTGTTGCCCGCTTCCTACACAATTCGCACGATCCGAAATTTCTTTTCATATGTACAATTGTTTAAGAATCGTTTACGTTCTTTTTTAGATCGTTTATCGCCAATCGATCCTTCCCCCCCCCGTGTTTAACCACGCGAAACGGGCACCCTTTTAGTACAATATATATAATACAATTATATTTCTTATGTATGAGCTTCGGAGTCGAACCTTAAACGTACTTCTGGTGTGTGTGTGTTCTTTACGTACAATAATAGATATACATTAAATAACTCTATTCTTATGTACCCTAAAAACTTGACAGTAAATTGCATCGTGTCCGCGACGGAGTTATCGAACTGACACGAACGGGGGAAAATCATCGTTCTCGGTTCTCATCGTCATTAGCGAGACAAACAATTCATCGTCTCGTCTTTTCCCACCTTTTTCTTTATCATGTTTCCCTCGTATCTTCACGTATTAGCGTATATATCGCTGTCATCACAGAGATCGCGACTCGGTGTATCCTTAATTGTATCTAATGATTTTTACTGCCTACGATAAACTCGTCGCCTCTATTATTTCGTTGGAAACGCGACAGAACAAAAGTTCTGACCATCTTCTGTTTTTTTGTTTTTTATATAACCTTATTCGGGACTCGTGAAGCCTATACCTCGCGAAGGCAACAGGGCTGACACGATAATAAAATACCATTTTTTTTTTTATTTGCTTTGATTGATGCTTTTTGCTTTTGTGCCCGCTCGATACGGATATCGGGCGACTAATTCGGTGGTACATTTGAAAATCAGAGAATCTTTGATCTTCGTTAATGCGCGAGATATGAAGGAAAAGAAAATGGCGACCTGTCGCTTCCAAAGTATAAGCTTCGTTCTAAAGTAGTGCCTTTCGGTGCACACCGCGCCCGATTCTTCCTCGCTTTGCTTTTTTTATTTTTTTCTTTAACTTCTATCGTCGTTCAGTTTAAAGCAGACCAGAGTTTCGCAGAACAATGCTCTGTACAGCGATGCTCGGTGTAAAAATATAAGCTTACAAAAATGAAAGTAACAGAAACGATTCGAAGAAGAAATGCCACGCGATTTGTAGGACAGTACTCGTACGGAGGAGGAACATCTGCGCGTGAGAGGCCATTTTGTTTTAGACCATTTTTGTACTTGATATTATGCTTTCTAAGCGTTTTCAAACTTTTTAATCCTGATCGATTAGCCTCCAAAATGGAAACACATCAAAAGATGGAAGTCGATCAATCCTTCTTTTCTATTGGACATCAGATCCTCTATAGAGGACAGTTTAGAAATCCTTGAATACAAGTAACAGTCTAGGTTCTAACCTTTCAGTCCACTTGCAAAAAAGGGAATTTCTTAAAGAAAATGAGGATGTAGAGACCCATTTTCCACTGCATTTTCTACAGAAGCAGTAATCATCATATTACATTTGAAATTGTTCATTTTGATCATTCAAATACCATCCATATGGTAGAGTAAAATTATTATTAAACTGCTTCCATAAAGCGTACGCAGCGCCAAGATGGAGACTAGGTACACGATTCAAGATTGCGTCCATAGTTACTTATTACTGGCCAATTAAAATTGGAACGGACATGTCTGGCAGCACGTGTAATTTAGTAATTGACGGTTCGACATAGAAGCGTCATAAAAAAATAATACTTTCTATCTTAAAAAATGAATTTCCTCACCGCAAACGTTGCTCTCTCCGCGTCGAGTCTCGAAACGAATAATAGAACGGAAACGAAATTAAAGTTATATGTCGCACACCGGCTACCACTCGTAGGAAAAAAATTATTGTCACGCACGTGCGGGCGACGGCACAATCGCTGTACAAATTCTTCGCTTACACACATTCTCAAACATCCGTTCTGACTGACTGTATACATATTTTTCAGTATTGATCGCAATGGTGCGAACCGCTCTGCACGTGCGAGATATGGAGAACCTAAAACGGACGCGTTTTTCCTTACGAATCCTTTTCGAATAACTTTTCTCTCTTCAAGCTGCTTGGATTTCCTTCCAAGATTCTTTTCTATCCAGCGTACAGAACAAAACACGTCCGTTTTTTTCTTCTTTTCTTCTTCTTCAAGAGCCAGAGGCTCTTCCCTCCGTATATATAATATTTAATATATATATATATATATATTTATATTTATCTCTCACGCTGGACCGCAGGCATACTTGTTTGGCACACTCCCATGCACGCGCACATTCATTTTAATCCTTTCTCTCTCGGTCATTCGTTTACAGACGCGTACATACTTTCTGGAAACACTCGCAAGGTAATATATCAAGGTACATGGTCGAATCTCGATTTGCTAAAATAGTCAGTGCGTTTTTCTTGCCGCCATAACGGCCGATCCGTTTCCCCTACGCTTAATTTTAATTTTAGCCGCACATCAGAACGATACGGATTTTCTATGAATCGTACGTAATTTTATTTTTGCATCCTTTTTTATTCTTTTGATACGAGAATATTTTTGCTATCTGTTTTTCCTTTTGAATTCAGTCGTGGAATAAAAAATAAAGAAAAATGAATTATCCGATCGCGCATCGCGCTGGTGTACGGCTTTGACGGACTTTCACGAAGCAGCAGCACGAAGAAGGATAAAAAATATTGTCATCGACAGGCTCGTCATCAGAGATGCGACTTCTCCTTGCTACCGTAAGTAAAAATCGTATTTTCACTTAACCGCGATGGTCTATAGCTCTTTGAAAATGTCTTTTTCATTCATTTTCGCCGATCGATCGATATGTATACCTGTCATGCGACCACTCAGCGTGTTTTTATTTTTGCACCTTTTTAAATTCGAAAAGCGTCGCTTCGTATTCGAAAATCGCTCGATTCGAATGAAAAGCGACGCCAATGAAAAAACAGATTTGGAAATATGATGGAATTTGCCTTCTGTGTGATCCCATGACAATACAACACGATTTTATCCATGGTATTATTTAAAAAAAGGAAAAAGAGGTATTGTTTCACGCCAACGATTGAGATCAAAACGTGTGCCCCGAATTTTGCCGATTCTACCCGAACGGCGATAGGAAACGCATGTATAACGCGTTCGCTGCGGGTGCCGGGCGCATTTCCACCGCGGCTGAAGTCTTGATCACATTATATTACTTATCAATATTATGTTCACTTATTTCATTCCGTCCACAGCGAACGCGTTAAAGAATCGAAATTAAAACGCGAAGAAATAGAATCTTAAAACACACATGATTGAAAATCAAAGAAAAAAAAGAAAAGGAGGCACAACTAAAACAAAGTAAAATGAACGTACCGAATTCATATTGATTCTTAGACTAAAATTAAGCTCTAGCTTTTTTCCATTAATTAAAAAAGAATATACTGATTGAGATACATGTAATAGTAGACCATGACACGTTTCTAAAAAGACAGAGCTTTTTCTCTCTTTCCTTCTTCTTCCCTTCCCTTTTTTTTTTGAACCTTTCTCTCTCTACTCTCTGCTTCTCTCAGACCTTTCAACTTAATTCTAAATTTAAGGCTTAATTAATTAATCGACATAGTGTTTCGTGTGGCTGTGTTTTGTGTCCCTGTATAATGATCAGTGCGCTCTCCTTATGAAATCGATGAGCTTGTTGATTTTCATTTTTCTTTTGCATCTCATGAAAAATCAATAAAACACGATATATATTATATTGAGACACGAATCGCGTCCCGAGGTACCCTCGTGAAAAATACTTTTGAGGAGAAACCGTTTCGAGACGCGACGCGATGATTTTTTTTTGTTGTTGTTTGACGTTGTCGTTCGAAGACGTTTGGTTCCATTTTTTTTTTTTTTTTTCTTTCGACGAGCGGCTAATTTTTGTTCGCCTGTACTTTCGTTTTATTTTTTCACCGCTGAACTTTCTATGATTTTTCGTTTAATTTTAAAAAGAACGTTCGACGAGCGCCGGTATTCTTTCCTTAACGAGAATTGAGTAAGGATATGCAAAATTCGTATGGGATCTCTTTTTCTCTGCTCTTTAGCGTTTCTCTACGCACAGAAGAACCTTTAAAGACGTACAAAGCGAAAGAAAAATAAAAAAAAAAAAAAACTCGATCGAATAACGTTTAAACGTACCATAAAAATTTCACCTGACCAAATTTCTATCTTAATCGCCTAAAAAATACCTATATATCAAATTAAAGTAAATCGGAAAAAAGAAACAAAGAAACTGTTTTTTCCCAATGTCATTAACCTAAAACTATATACGCGAATGATTTATAAAAGAAAAAAAGGAGCACACCATGATAAACCTAATTAAAAAAAAAAAGAAATTAAAAGAAGAAAAAAAAACACAAAAGAAACCAAAGTTGTTCGGATAAGAAGAATGATTAAATTATTTACTTAATAATCGTGATACTCGAATCGAAGATACTCGAACGCGACAGAACTTCCAATTCGATGAGAATTCGCCTTTAAGAAGAAACAATCACTCCACGTTTCGATCGAATGAATCCGTAGGAATAGTTTTCAGGCGTCACCGATGAATGTGATCAACAGAAGACGGTAAGAATAATCCCCGTTTCTGTTTCTCATGGAAGCTCCCAAAATACTTAACTTACATTCGGAAAAAGAAAAACGCATCATCTGACACGATGAACAAAAAAAATTCGACTGCGTTAAAGAAGAACAACTCTCTACGTAACAAATCAACAAACCAAAAACATGTAACGCGATAAACAACGTCTGTTATTAACACGATACACATTTACAGCTGAATCATTAAAGCATACGATATACAATTCACTTTCGAAAGAGACCAGCAAAAGAAAATTGTTTGTAAGGTACGAAGATACGTGGTAGGATGAAGTTTAGACGTACAACAGCACATATATTGGCTCTATATGTGCTTTTGTACACCATACAATGTTCGTCGACGGATGCATCACGGTGTGCATATTTCTGTGTACAACGTGTGTTAAGTAACCGCAATCAATAGTTCCTAATGCCGCGTTCACATCAATGCGAACCTATTTCACGAGCGTTATTGGGACTAACAAAGGGTGGTCACCAATGGCCCTCGGAAAAGATAAGAACTTTGGATAGCGGTCATGATTACACTAATTATTTCAACGTATCGTTGAAACTTAAATTTAATAATGGCCCCAAGAATTGCTAAAAAAAGAAATATCATTTATGAACGTTGACTAGTAACATTCTACAAATAATTCGTTTAAGAAATTCTCTACAGCCAAATCGTTAGAAAATATTAAAGCTAGTTTTTAATATTCATTTCAGTTATTGCAATATAGCTTTATCTTCCTCAGAATCATAACGAAGATATAGTAATAAAATACGCGTTAATGTGAACCAGACGCAAGGCTTAACACACTTATCGTTAACGCAATGGAACCATGACACATCCGTGAAGCCTTCACGAGAATCTTAATTTTTTGTCTTATCGATTATTACTCGATCTTTCGTGTAACTCGCGACGAACGATTTTGTACGTTACAATATCACAATAATTGCCAGCCCAGCATGGATCGTTTCTTTCGCCCAAGCTTAATTTTGAAAAAGAAGGAAAAAAAAATCGCTTCTTTTCGCTTGCGGTGTTACACTTTTAGATTCGATTCGCGGAAAATATTCGTGTACACCGGAAACGGAACGAAGCGTACGTACGTGAGTGATGCACGACCGGAAGCACGTTTCAAAGAGAAAAATTCGACACGACCTCGATTCGATTATTTATTTTTTTCGCTCGAAACGACCCAAGTTCTCTGGTTGGCTCATATATATAATTAGAACTACTAACTATATTCTCATCTTAAAGTCACGAAGGTGGATTACGACACACACAAGATGGACGTACTCGATAGAGTTCCTAAAAGAACATTGTTTTTCATTTTTCTTTTGTCGCGGAAACATTGCACCCCCCACATCATTTCTCCTCAATTAACGCTATCATCGAGCATTTTGTTTGTGTTCTACGATCGCGCGCGCGTTACATCCCTTAATTACTAGATTTTAGGATAATTAATAGTAAACGCTTGAAGAGAGTGCAGGGTACCGGAGCCCCTCAATTAAGACAAAGAAAAACATCCCCTATTATGTTCTGTGATAAAACACCAATTAACACACTAGTTTCTTTGTTATCTTTCTTTGCCTCTCGTGTTGTCTCTCACGTTTCTATTCCGAAAGAAAGCTAATTTTTTTTTTTCTTGTCATCATCGTACTTGCACTTCTTATATTATACCTCAGCTTAACTTTTAATCATATACATATAATATATAATATATATATATAATATAAGTTGATCAGTTACCAATTAAAAATTAGTAGTACCTATAGGGTCATCATCACAGCTAATTTCTTATCATTTTTAAAATTAATATTATCGATTGGTTGATTATTCACTTTGTAATTCGTACGCTCTTTCATATGCGTCCATCTAGCGACGACTTCTTTTTTAACACACTTCAAGAGCACCCTCCCGAAAGATCAACCCTTGCAACCTTTGATACGCGGTGGTATTCCCCCTTTCGTCTGTTCTACTTTTCTTCGCACACACATACTGACTATTTTTCGCTTCTCTGCGAGACTCGAGCTGAAATATTGCTGTACTTGAAAGATCCAAATCCTAGTTTGATGCTCTCGATCGGAACGGAACAAAACGCCGTTGCCATACCGAGAATCATTACCCCCCTTACAATATGTATACAATACATATATACATAATACACGTCTGTCCCCTCGTTCGTATATGTACACTAAATCCTTTATACACGAAACAATCCGTTATTCTTTTTTCGTTTTTTGTTTTTTACAAACGCTGCAGAAAATTACAATTTCCCTCCTGTCGATTTATTTACAGAATTCGTCTGTGAGACAATCTCCTCGTACCGTTCAAAATTTAATATTCAATCAATCTCCCATAGGACGGCAGTGTTGAATTTTTTTTTTTTATTTTTAACCTCGCGTCCGATGAGCTCAAGAGAATTTCTAATACCACTTTGAAAAAATTTCATTTGATCCGAGTTAGAAAAAGACTCGAATGTATAGACTAATCACTGGGCAAATACTAAAATTCTTATCAGCCAAATCGTTTCTAGAAAAAAAAAAAATAAGTATCAATTAGAATCTATAATAAACATACTCGATTCAAATCAGAAAAAACGAGAATTTAAATTTGGCACGGAAATTAACCCTGCCTAATTTTCAATTTACAATTCAGACGCTTCCTCTTCCGTCGAGAGCAGAAACTATTTAATTTGATCGAACATTCGGATTGATTCTTATCAATTACCCCACTCATGTGCTACAAAAGAAACTGATTTCGTTTATCAGAAGAATTTCGATTGAGAGTGTGGAGCTCTCGAAGCGTTCTTAACTTGAAATTTCTTATCACGAGAGAGACTGATGCTGAAGAAACTAACCAAACCTGAGAAAATATTTAATAATCGAATTACGAAAAGGGAGAGAAACGAAGACGAATTATTTCTTTTTACTCTCGTTAATTCTGTTCTAACTTTGTCTTCGAGTAAACCGTTGCACGGCAACGTTTTACCCGAAAGAAAAATCAGAACGAACCGAGACGGTGGTTCGATGAGAACCGGTTGTTGATCGAAACGAATATTAGATTTTACGTCAGAACTCCTGTCAACCATTTTAAACGCGATGCACAGCTGTCAGAGATGCTATAGATACGATTAAAAATTTTGCTTTACTGGACTACGAGACGATGGAGAAAGTAATTGAAAGTTCGAAATTGTACATTTTTTCCTGTCTATCCTCTCATGCAGGCACACACAGCCACACACACGCATGGATGCACTCGATTGAGATCGGCATATACATACGCAAACTTATTTAATTTACCTTACAGCTAACTTACAAAACGAAGAGAAAAAAAAAATGATAGTTATACTAAAGATGTATTTTAAAAAAAAAAAAAAAAAAAACTATGCCTTCTTTTAAATAAAAAGAAAAATAACGGATTAGTTAAAACACCACCTCAAGTAAATTTGGTCAGTCTACGTATTTAAATATATCCGTGTTTCTTTTGGGTCAAAAAAAAGGGGGAGATTGCGAAAAAAAAAAAATTAAAAACCACCGTTGTCATTTTATAATGCAATATCTTTGGAAAAAAAAATTTGAATTTCTTTGTTGAAATATACGTTGCATTTATAACTAGATCAAAGAAAAAAAAAAGGATTAGCCAAATTCTATAAAGAAATTCTGGCGATTAGAATTAAAAATTAATTCCAAACTTTACATTGGGAGAAATATGTAATAAAACTTGGTTAATTTAAGCGCAAATGTTACTTAATCACGAATTTACCGAAGAAAAAAACGAATAATCATTCATCACACATACATATCTGATCATTTTCATCATCATTCACTCGTTCAAACTGATCCGATTCATTCAATGAATTGTACGAATTTCAAAAAATTAATCCATCTGTATACACACTGGAAATTCGTCATTTGTATCTTATACATAGATCGCTTTGCACAATGATTGCAAAGCTGCGAAAATGAATAAGAATACCTTCGATAAAAAGAGGAAGATAAATAGAAACCAAAAATTTTCATGAATAAGATCTCGTAAGGATAATTTGATTATACCTTTTAAAGACTCATCGAGAAACGATGGATTCTATCAGAATATCAAAACCTTAACAGAGGTTGGGGAAGATAGTTAATTACCAATTAGAATCGTTAATTAGAAACATACTGAACGAATACATTGGTTTAATGCTAAAGAGCAGTAGATGAATATATGCAAACATACTTAAAGTTTACCCCTATACACTGTAAAGTATTCCTCAATGAAAAAAGAAAAAAAAAAAGAAAATAATAATTAGCATACATATCCTGTTAGCAAAGATTTTGGTAATTGTTTTGGAAAGAATTCCGGACAGAACGAAAAAGAATAAAACATACTGGTGTCATAAGCTACGGTGCTGAATTTTGATTGTAAGACGACGTGAGAAAAAAAAGAAAGAAAATAGTTATTGTTTCTAAAAATAGCTAATGCAGCTTTGCCTATGTCTTCGTACCATTTCGTCAAACAAATAATACAATCGAGTGTTGTGTAGTATATGTGTATGTGTATGCGTCTCTGCAAGTTAATCATATATAATAATAATCTAAAATACATACATCTTATATCTTCATAGACGGCGCATAATAGAATTGTTAGAAGTTATATCATATACTTGAATCACGGTTTCGCGGTGCAGACGCGCCTGCGTCTTTTTCACGCTTAATGTTTTTGTTTTTTGTATATAATAGCTTAGAGAACAAATAATGGTGTGTTCACACTCAGCATATCTATACCATGAGAAACTGAAAGGCGCTGGTGCTCTGTTACTACTTGCGTATTACTCGTTATCATCGTCTTTTTTTTTTTTTTTAAAGAGATTGTATTATCGCGCAGTTCTTCTCATGTAAACACTTGTGTTCTTTGTCTGTTTGTTAGTTTAAACGAGCAGCTTCACATCACCATACAAGAGGAAAAAAATACATCCTTAATCCAAGAGGGGGAGACGATAATATCGTACCTGTGTCCCTTTTCGCTTTCTTTAGAAGCTGGTTACCGTTCTTAGCGGTCCGTTGGTCTCTAGGTATCAGGCTTGGACGTTTAATATCATCTTGAGATGATTTGAAATATCGCAACTCCTGTCAGATTGCTGATAACTGCACATCAGTCTCGTAGTCCAATGGCTGGGCGGTTTGGGAAGGCTCGCAGGAGACGGCGGTTCAGAGAACTTAGCACCCGCGTAGAAGCTATTTGTTGGACTGCCGCGAGGACTATAATCGTATCGCGACGGCGAATTCCTCGAACCCTTCGACGAAAAATTTGGGCTGCAGCTCAATCTACCAGTCGAATTTCTCCCATGAGATCTTCCACCGTTGTGGAAGTAAGTGGATGATGATTTGATTGCACTGGAACGGTGATGATGCCGCTCGAGGCCAATGTTCGGCGACCCATGCCGCTCAACTTTGTTGTTCAATTTTGGTACCGAATTCGTCATGGCTTGTTTATCGCACTTTCCACTTTTCTATCTCTCACGAAGTCAACCGACCCGTCTGTAAAATCAATTTAGTTCCTTTAATCTCATGCATCGACAAATCAACAATTTTACAACATATTACATTGAATAATCTATTTAAGCATGAGCATTAAAGGCACATTCTATTTTAACCGTTAGACTGTGTAAAAGTCGGTCAATTCCAAAAGTACTGATTTCTTGGAAACTTATAAATAACGGATTTCCGTTTGACTTTTTTTTTAGAAAAAGTTGGATAGTGGACTCTAACGACGCAAGGACGAGTAATTGCGTCAGTTATTTACTGAAAAGCACGTTCTCGATAGAACTACGGACATTTTTCCATTAAATATGTGTTTTTTGGCACGAATATCCAATAATAAAGTCCGTGGTATTTTCCTAGCAAATAGAGCAACTGCTGACATTACCGATAAACGTAAACACGGTTTAATCAATAACACTGACCTCAGAGTGAGACTGCTCGTCAACAAGCACCAAGGAATATCGTTATCTAACAACGCAAAGACGCAACTGCAATATTGAGGAAGATAAAAAATTACATATTGTGTACCTGGATTTTTCTACACGCAAATTTCATAGAAAATGATGAAACACACGGGGTACAAAATCAGTTAGCACTTTGAGACTTGAAAGTTTGAAAAAGTTATAGAACCATTTTATCAGGTTAACAAATGAAGAGTGGAAAAAATTCAAGACCCACCATTATACGTACAGTCAGAAGAAATGTCTCTGATATTAACTCTACTTATGAAATTTCACGTTTACCAACACATATGTATCTGTTATCTTTCACGTTATAAGAAAATGAATTCGTAGAATTTACTGTTGAACTATTTCATCGTATTGTGAAAACTACGTGCGAAGTAGGGAAAACAAACAAGTCGCGTCCGCCATCTTGTGCCCCTCCAGCTGCGTCGAAAAACGTGAGAGAATTTTAAAAACACGAGTGATTTTACGTGGTGAGAAGACAAAATAGGAGTAAAGGTGACCAACGGTCATCGAATATGGGCAGATATATAAAAATAACGAATAAAGAGAACTGTAAAAAGAATCGAAGCAATCGGGGCGAGGTAGCATTTTACTCGTAAGAGATTTGTGGGGTACCCCACCAAGTTTATTCCTCCGCGTTCCCCCTTCCCTTTTGCCCTGAATCACGAGATTATTGCGCAGTTACAAAAATCATTGAATACAAACATTGTCGGAAACTTCGTTGCATCTTTACACGCAAACTTGTGAATGTTATATGGTTAGATTCACACTATGTTAAAAATTATTATTTCTTTATTTACTCGCTTCCGATATGGTTCAAATAAAAATATTAAAGAGTTAACCTTTTAATGTTAGTCCAAACTTTTTGTTTACGATTAAAGTAACGGAATTGATTTTTGGATTACTTTACTTGAAAAAAAGCAGTATATTTAATTTTGTTCTTACGAGATCAACCTTGTGTAAACGTTGAATGTATTCGTTGTTGTAAAAACTGATAATCATCCGCCCAAGCAGCGCCCGTCAGTTTCTGCCTCTTCTTTCTCTTCTTCCTCTCACTTTAACCTCTTTTTTTTACTACTTCGCCAACTCACACAACACTCACTGAAACCGGATACTACGATCGAACTCATAAACTATGTGCGCGTAAGCACGTTCCTTCCCCAACACTGTCTCTTACCTTTGTGAAGACGCAAGCCTATCTTAAGGATTATGAACGTCCCCTACCACGAACGCTCAGCCAATACTTAAAAGCGTTGCAGCTCACGTGACCTCTTCCATCCAATCATGTCGTTCTCTCTTCGGATGTTTCCGGGTTTTTTCGCTAAACTCGTTACCTTTCCTTTAAATTGTTCACATAAATAAAATTTAAAAATTTTCTATTTACTAAAAGTGAATTTTTATTTTTTCTAGCTCGACAATGTATGTAACTGTTACATTTCCAAACGAAATCATTAAATAAACTAATACTGTGTATAACGATCGGAAGGTAGGCACACGGATTGGTCGAACATGGCGAAGCACGACATCTCGTGACACGGGTCTGAATTTAGGAAATGGTTTTACACCCTTTATTGTTTCCTTCCTTGTTTATCAGATTACCTTTATATAAGATGAACAGGAAATCCATATACATATATATCTCGACACGTTTAAAAAGAATCCCTAAAAAGGTATTGTACGCGCAATATTTGTCTGCAATTTCTCTATAAACCTCCAAATAAAATCTCGCGTTGGCTTATTGTGTTTCGGTTCAAATAATTTTCAATATAATGACTTGTAAATTTAAAATACGAAAAAGGTATGGTTCTAAAATTTGATCTAAAGAATCTAATAAAATGCTACAATACAGCAACTGGAGGAGAAGTAGTTTATGGAGGTACAATATGGTGGGGAAAGCAACCTGCCTATCGTTCTCCCTCTACAGAAATTTTCTTAAACTTGTCGAGCTACATGGCTACATGTGCATACGCTGATGATGCAGCTGCTTCGTAAAGGTGGAAGCGCTGAAACACCAAGAAAGATAACAGGAAACTTACTCTCAGATGCAACATTAGTGGAAATCGAGCGTGAATTATCGCTTATCGTTTAATAATAAGCGATACTGAGTAAAGACAGAAAGAAATTTGTACATAAAAACGGATGAAAAGTACCGTATTACAAAACAACGTGACTATTGCGGCCAGCAAGTGGTGCCGCCATTAACCTACGGCGAGATATCCGAAGTTCGTGAAAGCGTTTGACGTCAGTGACCAAGAACGCTGATAATCTTGCGGCGCAGATATCGCTACGCGAAATATCAGAGGATATCTGTGGTGGTTTACGGGCGGAATTAAATATATGAAAGTACATAGTGGTTTATGGTTTAATATACGGCCTCGAGAATATTAGTTAGGCCCATAATGGGCGGGGTCGTGGCTTGGGTCGAGTGAGAGACATGGAGCGACCTCAGTGTTCTCAGTGGTGAGCTGCACGGCCATCGCCGACCGTCGGTTTCGCCTAGCGCAACCAACGTACTCTGCTATGACATCGTTCTGAAAATCCCAGATTATCCCAGTAAAAGGTAGGAGTTTTCCCTCCGAAATTTGGATGCGCGCTGTCTCTCTCTTTTTCTCTCTATATCTCTCGCTCGCTCGACCCTGTCTTTATTTTACCCTGACGGTGTGCTGTCCTCGACATCTCCATCGCTTTTGTTTTTTTTTCGTAGAATTTTCCCAACGCGTTTCTCCGGCGTCTGAACTTAAAATTTTTAATCTCCAAAATTCATCTCCTTCTCCACATCGTTATTCCCTCCTTTCTACTTTCTTTTCTTCCATTTCTTCTACCTTCCGCCCATTTGATACGCATTTACCCAGCGTTCTTTGTCCGCTCGGATCGTATTTGGCTTTCATTGTGATATTCCACCTTCGATTTTTGATAATTGTCCTTCGTAAACACAGAGGATGCACATTCACGTGGAAACAGTCCCTTATGCGCACAAGAAGATTTAACGTTACGTTCGATTATACCCCAGTTACACCTGTAATACTTTCGATCTTTCTCCGATGCGTTCCCTTTTTATTCGCCGTCTTTTTCCTGTATTGAGATCTATGTAGTACATATACATGTACCTATATACGATTCACGTATGTATGCATACATATGGCGCAGGTTTATTTGTATGCGCGAACACTGACATGCATTCACGTATTCGTGAAAGTACTTACGTACACGTAGTAAAGCTTTCTTTTCAAACTGTTTTCGGGCTTCGCTCCTTCATTGTGTTTGCGCAAAATAGCTGCGATACGTTGTACTCGATGCATACATACTCTTATCGCCGACAATAGATGCGACAACAAAAAAAAGTAACAGACACGAATATTGCGATTAACCGGACGATACCTTTAACGCACCTATATTCATAGTCGCAATAGTACCTACTCAAAGATTACTGATTCTTTAAACGCATGCGATGTGTAATCAATTATGCGCTTAGTTTATATGTACGGTCGCGTGCTACTTAGGCTTCCCTTAGTTAACCCTTTGGTCATTAATGCAAAGGGATATTTTTCTGTTAAATTTAAGACCTGAGATTTCAGTGTTGTGTAAATAATGCGTGTATGAGTCGCAGAGATTCAAGTGTATTTTTAGTTATTCAAATAGGCAATTGTAAGCAACAACCGCGATCTTCTTACTGCTCTCTATAAAGTCTGTACTCATAAATGCATAGAATTTTTCACTACTGGTTGTACAAGGCTCTGCTCATACATAAAAGTTCGTATTCTGCGATATAATAGTGACTGAAATGTGCGTGCTGCTCTATCACCGTTTTGTTTTTAACGCTTTAGATTATCTTTGGTAATTGTAAATAACGTTTTCATGTACCATATTCTTCAGAGTTGTCCCTGATATATGGCAAACGGGGCACTTGAACGGGGCCCTCCGAACTCTAGGGACAGCTCTGATAACGCTGCTCCGAATGGTAAGGTATTGCATTTTATAACACATCAAACGCAATTTTTCAATTTACTAAAAACATTTGTATGCATCATATTTGTTCGAACAGTGCTATTTATTGTATATGAAGCATCGTGAAAGTAATGTCATTGTAGTTGTATGGTTATCCCTAATATCCAGCCTCACCGAACATAACCTCATATAAATTTACTGCGTGGAGAACACCGTATACTCCTACGAAGCACCATTCCCTATAGTCTCGTACTAACTTTGAAAATTATTGTAGCGCGAGTCTCTAAACATCGAATAAAAGTTTCATAAAAAATAATGCTCTTAGCAATGACGGACATCGAGAAAAGTTAAATTAGAAATGATGAACCGTACAGTCAACTAAAGTCGACGTTATTCGACCAGTCTTACATAAAAGTAAACTACTTGTTATGAGATTAATGTAACATTAATATCACTTGAAATATTCATGAATTCTTTGTGTTGATAGAATAAAGTATTTTTAAATATATCCCAGTTGATTGACGGGTTCTTCTCTTGTTTGTTGTGTTAATCATCTACGCAGCAATGTTTGAATCATCCAATACCGGATAATGTCGATACGACCATCGGCAACAACCAGACCCCTGATTTCGACGTTAGAACGGAAGTCGAAGACCCAGATTTTCTGAGGACAAGGCATGCCCGCGGTATGGGAACCGTATCGACGATAACACGGGCGTCGTGGCATTAGAGGCACAGCGTTTTCTCGGCTTCTCGTGTCAACACATTCCCGACGCCCACGATGAGTGACGCATGCGCCCTAAGCGTCTCGTCACTCTTCTTCCTCCCTCTTTTCTGTTCGTCTCCATTCCCCTCGTTCTCTTTCGCTGATTCACTTGCTGGTTCTTTTGATTCTCTCAACGTACACACAAAGGCTCCCTACCATTCCTTGGATACGCCCCTGGCTTTTGTACGAGCACCCTTCTTGCCACCAGCTCATCGGGTAGCCGGTTTGAAATTCCTAATTCGTGAGGGTGCATAGACAATGCAGATCGTTAAAACAAACTGAACCCGATATTCTTTCTCGTGCTCCGTTCGCCCCTTCGATATGTACGTCCCTGGCAGGCGCGTAAACCTAATCGTTCTTCCCTCCCCTCCAACGCTGAACATAGCCGAGTCTCCTCCTCTTCCGCTCCCACTGCACGCACCAATTTTCCAATTGATAAGGGTGCACAGTTGATACAGACTAACCCTATCCCTTCATCCTCTCTTTCGCTGTCGTTCTCTCTTTATTTCACTCCCGGCTCCCTCCTCCTCGCGTTGTAAAGTTAATATTGCTGCACCGATAACATTGGCTCGTTTCTGGAAGACGTCGAGACAATTAACGCGATTTTCAAGAGAGACGATGGAAAAATTCTTGAAGAGGGCCTGGGAACTTTGGAGAGTAGCTTTTTTTGTGTAGGAAAACTGAACTGTAAGCTTCGTCTTGGAACAGCCTTTCGGTGAGACGTCTGGAGACGACGACAGATTGTATTTTCGTGGATCGGCTGTGCGTAAAGAATTGACTGAGCGCCTCGAAGGTACGTCTACTTAGGAGTGCACCCCCTGTTTTCCCAGGGGACATTTTCCTGCTCGAGGAGACGTTCGAAAGGCAGTCGAATTCGAGGATTCACACAATAACCGTCTTTGCTTATTACGAAACCATCCTCGTCTCTTCACCTACATTTGTTTCCTTTTTATCAGCGTGTGATTGGAAAATTAAAGCCCAGAAAATTCAAGCCCGGTATTGAACCGAGATCTGGGTAAAAGCAGGAGGGGAAACTTGTTCCTAGCAGGCAAGCCGTACGTTACGTAAAATTAACAATCATGTTCCGAAACTCACTTTCCCGTCTGGGATTTCGGGAGAGGGAAGCGGATGGCATGAGAATGTTACGAGGTAACACTGGGGTATCCCTCGCGGTAAAGTACCCCCAGCTTTACACGGTACTGTTCTTTGACAAAGGAATAATTTTTCTTCACAATGTTGGCAAAGTTCTAACTGTTTTGCATCGGTTATTCTAATGAAAAAAGTATGTAGTAACTCTTATAAAACATGTATGTAGAATAAGTTGAGCTTTGGCTCGATGCGTGACGCGTATGACAGCTGTAGCGCGGCGTTGCCACGTGTTGACTTTGGCTTAACCTAAGAGTGACCAACTTGCTGGCCAAGCGTATGCATTCTGATTATCTTACATTCAAATAACGTTATAATATAACGTTATGACGCAGACGACACGAATTCGCTTTAAAGGCTAGGAGAGTTATTGCTGTCTGGCGAAACGTAGCGCAACTTCATAGATATTGTGTAAGCATCGTGTGATCGGAGTAACAATGGTCAGACCCGTACAAGTTTCATCCGTCCCTTTGTGCGATCCCCGCGTAATTCAACTAAATGAGACTCCTCTTGTGCGTCTTAGAAAGTATTAGAATTTCTCCCGCGACCAGTTTGAATTTCGAAAGGTTTCTACTTATGTACGTCGCCCTGTACATTTGACGTCCTCGTTTCATTTTTCATAACGGTCGAACCGAGGGTCTTCGAGTTCTCGTCTACGTGAGTGACCGCTCGTCGTTCTTCACGGATATCCAACCTCGTGGAAAATGTTCGCTCCATGTCGAGGCACCAGAACTTTGGTGTGTTTACTTACATGCTCAGGGCTGTGCCAGCGGGGACCCAGTATGATCTTCAAGAACTGAGTGGGTGCGGCCTTTCCCCGGTCTCGAAAGAAGGGGACCGGATTTTCTCTCCTGTTTTCTCTTGCTCGTTCCACTCGCTCGCTCAGTAGGTCCTACCTTTTTTTTTTATTTGAAGGTCCCTTCGTGCTCGCAGCTTTAGCATCAGCACTCCCTCGCTTTAGGGTCGCCCCTATCTTCCTTCCTCTCGACTACCCTTCACGATATTAAACCCCGTACGACTCAGGGATGTATAGTACAGTGCGATTCCATGGTTATGTCAGTGAATAATTTTTTAAACAAATCATATACGATTCATGTCGTAGTCATAAAATAGTGAAAGATCGAAGTAGGTAACGCGTAAAGACGTGCAGTATTCCGTTCGATCTACTCTTACCTACTAGCATCGTCACTGTACTTTTACATTTACTCTCGATCGATAACATTATTATGTACGCGAGTACATATATAGATTATGCGATAGAAAATGATTCTTTTTATCATTTGCGGCTGGGAAATGGAATGTTTGCGGCGATACATCGGATCAAATGGTTTGAAGGTATAATTCTATTATATCTTTAATCGATTCTTGATCGATTTTGATAATGCGAATAGAATTATGTCAGTACAAATAATTGCAGTTTGTGTGGCCGATAATTACTATAAAATATTGGTTCTAAATAACGCAAACGTTTTACAGTTCTATCTCCGGTAAGCGTTTGTCCCTATAATCTGCAAAGATAGTAAATCAGTCGGTATCCTTTTGTCAATGTTTAACGTTACAACCTTTTACGATCGCAAATACAGGTAATCTAAAAGAAAAGAAAAAAGTAACGTTAAATCTAATCGTCCCCCGTCGACTAGCACTTATCGACCGTATCGTGACTATAGCGAAAATACCTGGGGCACCGTTATGGCATAGCACGTCCTTGCGACGGGTCTCCCCCACTATCGCTGTCTTCCCCCACCGCAGGGCAACCTCCCCTTCCAGTCTGGCAAACCGCGTTTCGTCTCAGTCTGTCGCGCGCCGCCAACGGGTGAGGTTGTGCGTTTTCTTGCATACCACGCGCGGTGGTGGTTGTTTCACGTCACGGTAAGCGCGCGTGTGTGGTCTAGTGCGCGGGTGCGTACGTACATGCGTGTGCCTTCTGCGGTGTCACAGTGTGTACGTGCGTCTGATCCTATCCATCGTGGCCTCTGCGTTGAACCGGTCGCATACAGCAACTGTGACATCGAGGCATGACAGCGACGCGGGAGTGTTACCCCATACGGTAGGAAAAACTTCCTTATACCGTTCTTCTTTCGACAAACACCGTCTGTAGCTTGAAACGGAATAACAAAAAAGGCGAACCTTACCATTACTCGTTGTGTCCGCCGTACGAACGACCGAGTGCACGCTCGGGAACACTACACTTGGCCACGAATGTTTTATCCGAATCGATACGCCCTCCGGCGGGCATTTCATATCTCGCGGAACGTAGACCGGAAATGCTTTTCTTTGTACGCATGATTTCGAAATCATTTATCAAACAACACGCTGCGTTTTAACCTCTTTGACCCGAAATTTTTTTACACGTAAAGTATTATAGCTTCCAAAATATTTATAATATTGAATATTAAATTTTGTAGGAAACTTTATATCTACGTTGGGTCTGAAGGGTTAATCTGACAGATAGCTCGCGTTGTCAGTATATATTTTTCATTTTATACGGTTATCTATCTATGATCGTATCGTTCGATTCTTTCTCGCTATGCAGTCGATACTTCTCATACTCGTCACGCGTTTCAAGCCGAGCAAACAGACTTAACCGGGGAATATCGTGCGATGCATTTATCTGTTTGTAAGCGAACGAAACACGCTATTCCCCGTGCAAGATAGTTACGTATTTTTCAACGTTTCGAATCTATCAGGTTAATTCTTTCGAGTGGCTTTGTCAGTTGCTCAAGGTCTTGTGCTTTGTGTTGCGGTAAAAATGTTACGGCGAAACATCGATACAATGTATCTAAAGCCACGTTCACACGCGTCACTTTGGATACATAGTTTTTATTTTCCTTTTTTTACTTTTAGATATACATATTATATATCATACTACTTTTTAACGTAATTTTAACCTAACCTACCGAGTCGGGGATCATGGGTGTCTAACCTTATCCAAAGCTGTAGATCTAACCTGTCAGGACTTACGGTCCGTCTCCATAGAGCGTTGATCTACGGCCTTCGGTCGTTATATGTTAAGGGTTATCTAGGAATATTTTATCTAAAATCGAAGGTGTTTCTATCACGTAAGTGTCATTTACCGATTATCGGCAGTGAAATTAGCCGCGTGAGAAATCTCGACAAACATTTACGCTTCTGTCAGATAGCTCCATTTAAATTTCATTCGATGCCCGCTTGACCTGATACGAAGCGGAGTGAAGATAGTCTCGATACATACAAGGTTCGTTCCGTTTTAAATCCACAACTCGTCCGATGCTGTTTAGCGTTCTTATTTCGGGGTGGTAAGTAGAGAATCAATGTGTTCGTGTGCGTGACCGACTGACACGCAGCCGAAAGGTTAGTTAACAGGTATATTCTTGAGCCGATGTACTTTCGTCGTTCCGAAAACTGTTCTACGAATGAAATTACCGTAGGCATCGTTCGCGTTGATGAAATTGACCGCGCCGATGATAATTAAAATGCATGCCAGTTGAACGAAATTAATATGGCGGACCATTATTGGAGCACAAACAATTAATAGTGCGTCGAGGTCTAATAGGGGAAACCAGAAAAACTTTCAATTTATAAAAATTAATTTTTCTTGCAACGAAAATTGAAAAATGGAGTCGCAAGGTTTTCTAATTAGAATTATTTGAATTTCGTATTTCACCAGGCAATGCGAGTTTTACTTTAATATAAACTATAAGGTTTTTAATAATTATTATACTATTTTATCCATGTGAAAATCCAGCTGTCTTCCGGCAAGCACTTTCTGCAAATCGCTAGGGGAATCGAAAGCGTTTTCTTTATCGATCGCATGGAATTACAGCTCACGCATTCTCGTTTCGAAACAAGCCTGCTTCTCCTTTCCATAGGATATTCTCAGGCTAGCAAGTCTGTTGCGAGGAGAGACCCAGGTAGACGAGCGAGCAGGCAGGCAGGCAGGTGGTAGCCAAAGAAAGGCGGCAGGTCCACCTGGGTTTTTCAGGAAGTGGACATCGCCCATCCACAGAACGGTATCTACGGTCCGTATATCCTTAGTTGGAAAGGCTCTCTTCCAACAGACCATCATTCGTTGAATCGACTTTCTGACCTTACCTACCTTGAAATCTCTACTTTGTCTCGTATACCTCAATCAGAAGATAAAAATTTCCCCTCTTCATACATTTAATCCTTAAGTACTGTGACGGGGCCTGGGAATACCCCAAGACACACTAGGTGTCTCAATAATTTTCAATCAGGAATTAAATTTTCTTTGTGAAAAGGGGTCTCAGAATACATTAGTAGGAAGTTTAGGCTTTGCTATTCAAAAGTTATAGACTGTAGCTAGTGATGGAGTGCGAAACGCTTCGAATATTGAAACTTACAATTTACCATCACTTTGCTATAAGTAGATTTACCCAAGCGAGTCTAAATGTTATGTTAAGTGTAGAATAATATAAGGGCACTAATTAGAAACTTAGACAATACTCACCTCGTTATTAGATTTAAACCCTAATTAGTACAACTTATATCACTCTATAAGAATAATCTTAAGCTCGTAGACCATTTATAAAAGCAATACCTTACTAGGAATTAAGGTTCCTCAAGGACCTAAAATTAAAGCAGTGTACCTTCCCATATGAACCCAGCTAGGAAGAAGAGCTGAACAGTCAGGGTACCGTGGCGCCCCTTTTTTCCACGGCTCCCACAGTACCTGAGGACGATTGTTGCTTCGTAGAGAGAGAGAGAGAGAGAGTAAGGCTATGGAGAGGAGCAGCCCTCGAGGGCTGGCCACAATATCCATCATTATGGGGGAGAGGAAGGGAATGCCGGGGATGTTGGTCGTCTCTGTAATTCGCTGTTGCGGTATGCGGGCACGGTGACGCATACGGGCTGAACCCGTACGTTCATTTTGCAAAGGAAAAAAAAAAAAGAAATGAGAATTCAGCGACGAAAAACGAGTCCCTTAAAGTCGTGGACGTTGCGTGGCTCTTTGTGGGCGACGATATGCGGGCGGGTACATGTATGGTTTATGATTAAATTGGGTTTGAGGGGGCTAAAAGCCAACCAAGAAGCTCGTTAATGACGCCTTTATCGTGGAATTATTTTTCTAAAGATGACGAGTGTAATTTCGATGCTTCGAGGTCTCTATTGTATTTTCTAATCCCCACCCTTAACAATCTAGAAATAATTAAATATCTTTTTCGATTGCCATCGAGCGAGATATGACTTGGAAACGGTAAAAGGGACGGTGTTAATCGTTAAGTTTATGGTAGTCAGAGTTTTTGCCAGGTCATCACGTTAATTTCCCAAAGCGACGGCAACGAGTAAGGGCACATCGTTAGTCATCAGCTGTGACTAAGAAATAACCGGAGCTTTAGTCGGACACGAATTGCACAAGTTTTTCCATGGTATCATGTAAACAAACGTATATAGATCGACGATTCAACGACACGTGTACCTATATAGCGTATCATCAGAACAGAACTGGCTGTCGTTTCCGGATTGTTACGTTAGTCCGGTTCGTTTGTTTCGTGAAACCAGTAGATCCAGTTCAGCAGGGCTAACGCGTGTACCTGTTACTGGTGCACGTTGCATAAATTAGGTCGCGTTAAACCTTTATACGTACGATGAACCTGTACAGGGTGTTTCAAGAAGCTTCGATACCGTGAAAATCATAGAAATTCTATCAATTAGTTTTCTCGATCGATTTTTGTGAAATACTGTGATAAATAACATTTCACTTTTTCGTCGGTCACGAGCACACACACTTTCGTTTACGCATAATTCGGCTCGAGTCATTCTCAATGGAATTTTTTCGAGTTTCTCTAAGCGGGTCATTTAAATGAGAAATCTAACGGAACCTTAAAAAGTAGGTTACCGAAGTTAATTCTTAAATGTAACATAAATACACTATGCTTCAAGGGAGTATTTTTAATTTCATCATTTTTTTTTCTCAAAAACAAACCTCGCTTTTGCAACACTCTTGTATAATTAAATTTCAGGTATTCTCACTTTTGCATTGTTTTTCACGCGACGAGTATGTAACTCATTGTAACGTACGGAGGTTAATTTGATACGTGTGCATAATGCAACGCACGCGAGGAGAGTTGCATAGAAATAAAAGCAAACCAGGAAGAATCGAAATTTTACCAGAATTTTTCATTAAAATTTCTCTCGCATCGAGATTTATGTATATTAAAAATTCGTAAGGTTGAAATTAAAACAAAGTGTGCGCCATCGATCCGGGTCGAAACGCATCCTTCAGGATCACTGAATCTTCTCTTCGAAATCGGACCTTGAATATTTTAACGCATCCTCGTTTTCTTCTCGAAGGCTACAAGTCGACCATTCGCACAATCGTTTTCCCGGCTATCTGACCGCGTAATCTTTCGCTTCGAAAGCGAAAGACCGACGTGGAACGAATCGAAATGAAACCTATTGTTCTTTTCGGGAAACAAGAGGAAATTGTTGACTCCCAATTTCAGAGATTTAGAACAGTAGCATTTTTTTTTACAATACTCTACCTTGATAATTTTTTACCTAGAATATTCCAAAAAACAGAGCCAATCCACGCAATCAGCGTCAACAATGATCAGCAAGAACAAAGAAAAAAAATTCATTCGAATAAAACAAAATCTCTCGTCTGACCGGTACATCCTTTGAGAGTAGGAGTAAAGTGGAAATTTCTCTTCCTGTTTCGTTCTAACTTCTCCTCGCCTCTCTCTCTCTCTCTCTCTCTTCGATTTTCCCTCTTACTTGGTCTCTCCAGGGTGCTAGCCAGTTTCGTGATACGAGGCTGGCCGGATCGATAGAGAGAGCCTCGGTTCCTTCGTGTTCTCTTTCTCGAGTTGACGATTCCTGGAGGATTCGAAGGAACCGAGGCAGATTTTCATGGATAGAGAGAGAGGGATAGGGGGGTACCGACCTGTTACCTCGCTCTAGGGACCGCCCTTTGTCGCTCGCAAGCTTTTAAGGGCCAGTCGAGTGGACGACGAAAGTCTGCGGCTGAACACCAGCTGGTGGAAAATCGAAAACGCCAGCTGCCTCTGGCTCCTCGACCGGCATAAATTCCAGCCTTTTGTACGTACCCTGGCGTAGGTCGAATCTCGGCTACTTTACACCCGGAGATCTGGACCCCCCCACCTGAAAATACTGACTTGAAGATATCCGGAATCTCTGATACCGAGATCCTTAAACGGAGAGGAAATCTAATTAACCCTCGGATGGGGGTTGCCTCCCTCGATTTCGTACGTTTCATATATATTTATAAGCAATCGAAGGGAAGGAAAGAGTTAAGATCGGTTCGTGTGACCCCGATCGCCAGCTTTTGGTCGCATTGTTGTCTGGAACGGTACATATGCGTTCCTTTGCCGCGACTCCTTCGTCCTCGTCTCGACGGTTTTTGCTTTTGCTCGACTCTTTCTCGAGAGAGGAGTTTAAAGGTAAACGGGTTTCTCACCGATCGCAGACACCGCTCGAGCCACATCACCAGGAGACTCCTGCCTCTCTTGGTCATACCTATGAACGCGTACACCATCTTCGACTCCGCTAAGTGTTCGTCATCTATTCCAGAAATAACGCGCGACAATTTGTCACCACGATCGTTGCACAATACTGTTCTGGTTTCGTTAAAAATTTGCATTCTATCAAAGGTACATATTGCTCATCGTGCTTGGTCATAGCGAAAGGGTTAAACGGAGGTTAGAAGCCATTTACCCCTTTGTTCGAGGCTGAAATTTCTTCCCAGGAATACGAGTTTGTCACGGTCACGATGTACTTGGTTATTGCATTAAAGAGACGTATTAGGCGTGTTAAGTAGCATTTAATAGCACCTGTTACGTTAGGTAGCCTATTACTTTACTTCTGTTCTTGATGGTAAATAATAAATATTCAAGTATGCGCTTAGCTCTAGTCTAACTATTCCTGCATATACATTTAAGGGAATAAATGCTAGTGTCCTTGATTATATGATTTTTTATGATTTTATGAAAGGTTTGGGTTAGATGAATTGTCAGGTTAAACAAGTTTGCTATAGTCAGAATTATTCTGCTCCTTATTTAGCGTCATTAATAGCAAAGGTAATTAGCTATTCTGTTCCACAGCCGGATCATTCAGTATGCAAATGTCGCGCACAACCGACTGTCGCTTAAGAATTCAAGCATCTCGAAAGGAAACTAAGTCGTCGGTTATCTGAAACATTCTTATCGACCCCATGACATATGGTATGTTCACCTGGTGTCCAGCACCCTGTTTGCTCTCGATACCGTGCTACCGGTTCAGAATTTGCGCCAAGGCACACCTGACCAGACAGACTCGTTAATATACCACCCTTTCTGCAGTTGCCTTGCACGTGGCCCTTAACAAAGTTCCGAAGGGATAACGTCCTTTTTTGTTCCACGATAGGATCGTAATGATTGTACAAGCATTTGTTGAAATTCAGGAAGATTCTTTAAGTACTGGTGATCACGAGGCAAAGGAAGACACCATGCGGTGGGATTCAGTCTGAAAGTCCTTCGTGGTCCAAGTTTCTTTTTTTAGAATATCCTAGGGTCGAGGATCTTTGTTAAAAAAAAAAAAATTCGCCACAATCGTTGAAAGATTTTTCTTTGCTGCGGATGGGGCCAGGGTTCGCGCAAAGGCAGAGAGAGGCTGGGCCCAAAGCAACGGGGCCTGGATATTCCGGTTCACTTAATCGTTTCTTCGGACTTCGGATCGTGGCAGGCCAACTCTCTGTCCCTCTTTTGGCTACCTTCGACCGAAAAAATGAAGAAAAAGAGCTTGCCCTGTTGTTGGTTATACACGAGCGGGCACAGGAAATCATCCTGAGCCTATCCCATAGAATCCTTTCCCAGTTGAATATTCTTCTACAGACGAGTCTTCGAATATCAGCGTGAAATGAAAAAATATCGATATATGTTTATCTTTAGAAATAGATGAACCATTAATAAGTTTCCACTATTAACGTGCGCACCCTCTGTCCCTTTGCGCATGACCTTTCTTCTTGTACAATGGTTTGCATTAACAAATTATAGTTATATAAGAATTTATGTTTGAAAGGATTTCTTGACTCTGTTTAAAAATTAACGATTTCCTTGTGACCTCTAACATCCATATGGTTGTGTGTCCCATAGCTTTTCACGCTTTTTCAAAAGTCACATTAATGTGCTTCGCGTGTCGATGAGCCATCGAAAAGGAGCCATTCCATTAAATACATTATTTATTTATTTATTTAATATTTGATTAAACACTCGGTTTGCATACGTTGCTCCTTTTCGTGAGCTGTCGAATGGCGATACTTTTGCCAATGGCGAGCGAGAGAAACGAGAATGATGAAAAAAAAAAAAGAGAAATGTATATGGAGGCTACGTGACCGAGAGAGCTTTTTACCGGAAATGCATCCGAGCTAGTCGCCACGAGCGCCAAGCACCAAACGCATGCGAAACGAGGAATGATTTTACATTCGTCATGAATTTTATAAAGAGAATCTTGAAAACATTGTACTCTGCAAATTCTGCGTGAAAAAACAAATCGAAAAGTCCTGTACCGTTTTGCAATCAGACCTTCCGTTCTCGAGATATTAGCGATTAAAGATTCGATGTTTAACTTCCGGGGCGCCCCTACTTTCGACCACGTGATCAGTTGCTTGGCCAATCGCGTGAGGTTTACACTGCGCGCGCCGGAAGTCACACATCCGATTATATTCGCTTGTATCTTGGAAATGAAAACTTAGACTGTAAAATGGTAAAGAACTTTTCGTTTTATTTTTTCATGAAGAATCTCTAGTTTGATGTACAATCTTTTCGAGACAGCCTATGTATATCTTTTAATAATTATTGTTACTACATATTATTGCATGGTATGTTTGTCTCTAAATAACACCCCCTATGCTATGCCCGCGAAATATGCATTCGTTTGGTACAATTTATTTGCATTGTTATAAGATAAAAAGTTGAATAAATGATTGCGCGGGGCCCTCGAGATCGGTAGAGACGGTGGTGTCGTTTCGAGCCGCACTCGAACATGGCGGCGTGGTCGGATGTTCTTTCGACATTTCGAAAGAGCAACATGAAACGGAAATCTCTTGGTTCATCTAGCCTCCTCCTCGGTGTCATCGTAACGTCGTTCGAATATCTCGCCAGGTTCGATATCTCGGAGGAGGACTTGAGTGGGGCGTGTGCAGGTTTTAAAAACAAGGGCCAGAAACTACGTGCAAAGTCGAACGAAATTGTACGGCGAGGTTAACCTCTCTCGACGTGTCGACAACAGAGTATACGAACCAGGAAAAAGAGAAGAGCTAATAGAAAGACAGAGAACGAAGTTAAAAGTGTAAAAAGGGACGGAACGAGGCAAGGGTGGAATAAGATCGAAAGAGACAGAACAAAAGGGGAGGGAATGAACGGCCCTGGAAGTCATCAGCATCGCGGCTTGGGCATGCAGGGACGTTACAGGGCCGTAGTAAACGGTGGTACCCAAACGGGGCCCCATTCACGGCCTCCAGCGCCCCGTGGTGGATGGCACCCTCATAATCAACACCCTCAACACGCCCAGATACCTCAGCAATACACCGGCAACAAGGAATATCCATATCGTCAATGTCCACCGCCACGCTTCCATAACGGGTATATAACGAATCCTATTTTCGGTTATCTTCGGTTGTCCTCGGTTATTTTCGCTCGTTGTACCGGGAATTTTGAATGTCTCTTCTCCTCGATTCGTTCTTTCGATAAGAAATCTATTACGTTTCTAGTTTCATATATCATTTTCATCGGAAATTAGTCACGTGATTAGTCAACGATGATGCGTTGTAGCCATTCGCGCACATGACTACTGCGCTAGTCAAAGCCATCGGAAGCGTCACGATTTGTTATCGTTTAATGAGGCGAATAATTATCGCTCCGTGTTCTTGTTGGATGTACAAGGTGTCCAAGTTCAAATCTCGTCTGTTTTCATATAAAAAGACACCCGGTAGTGTTGCGTAATTCCGTTACTTAACGTCAAGAGATTATCGACGTAATTATTGAAGTTTTGTTACACCGTGGATAGGGATTCGTCGGTCGGCTCGTGAAATTCTCGCGGACAAACGAAAGTGTGTTCTGTCGAGCGACGCGTACATTCTGGCATAGTGTATTTAATTTTCACAGCGACCGACATTGAAGAGTCGACGATTCTAATCGACGATAATAAACGCGCCACTCTGGGGTGTCGTTGCGACGCCGTGGACGTCGTTGTTTGCAACCTAGCGACGTATTTTTCTTTTCGTCACCGACACGCATTTTTGTTAGCATCGTTAATTCTCCCTTCTTGATTTTTTATAATTTTTTTTTTTTTCTATTTCAATTTATTTCCATACAATTACAAAAGACACTGTATACATATTCATATCATCCACATACACGTTGTAAGTAAACAAGACCGTACAACGCAATTAATTATAGAATAAAATAAATTATTTATTTCTTCGTGAAATTTGTTGAAATAGGAGAGATTTGTTAGTTGCATGATACACTATTATATAGCGCGAGTTTGAACGGAATATGTTCAAATCAATAACTATAATTTTTCTCTTCTTTTTTTTTTTTCTTTTTCTTTCTATCCATCAATACGAATGCTTGAACGTTTATGTTCTACTTGTTTATTTGAATTTTTTATTCTTCTCTATGTTTTCTCCGCTCTCTTTGCTACGTACCATGTTTATACATTATACTTCGCTGATTATCTTGTTTAGCATGCCATCGTGTACCAGTATCACTTCTGAATGAGACTACATAACACACACGTTTCCTTCTTATTCCACGTATATACGTATTTCTCGTTGTTGCGTGCCCTTTTTCCCCCCATTTTTATTCAAATATCGAGTCCACGTTTCGCGATGGACGATCGCTCTTTGTCGATTACCGTGTACGAGACGTAAATATGGCCCAATTTATTCAGCTGCGTAAAGATAGAAACAACATCGTGTCGTGCGTATGCCTCTTGACGACTCGGTTAATTCACGTAAACCGAACAGAGATAGTTACACGGTTGTAGGATCGGTTCGTGACGAGGAATTAGTTCGCCAGGGATACTAATTGTTCGAATTGCAACGATGTTACGGTGAGAATTTGTTTAATTATTGTATTCTTATTAATTTGAACCGTTCGAAGGATGTAAACTTTACTCTTTGTAACTATTCGAGTCTTCGAGGCTTTCAACGTTTCAGACGTGGCTTAGGTTCCTTACCTTTATTCAGAGTGTTCTAAAATTTTGTAAATTATGGAATCTTAGAAGCTTAGAATTTCAGAGACCAATTTCTCTGAAAGCCATAAAGGAGAGTTTCGAGGATCCATATTATTCGTACCGGGGATCTAACTGGAAATAACACCGTAACATCGGTCATTTAGGTACCCAGAGTTATAGTTGAAAGGGCGTCGTTAATAGTTTGGTGATTCTGTACGTATTTAGGGACTGTCCCGGAGTTGGTACGTCTTCCGGACCGAACGGTAAGGAAGTATCGTATCACGGGAACGTAGGCGGATCCAGCGTGGGGTATAAACCGCCCCCGCAGCACAGTCCGCAATCGAGAGGTCCACCGGCACATTTTCCACAAGAGTCTGTGGGTCCTCCGGCAAATTCACCGCCATTGCATATCAACATCTGCGGCCAAGTAAGAATCTCGCCGAGATCCCGACATCCTGTCGCGTCGACACTCGTGTCTGTGTGCGTGCCTCTGTTGAATTTTTTTGTAAAGAGAGATATATACACCCGTAGGAGAACACGATGCGTGGCCCGTTATTGAACATGAGTCCAGGTCTCGGAGCTAGCGGCGTCGATATGGAGTATCGTAGAACTTCTCAAGGTACATTGAAATTTTCGAAATCAACTAAAGAGGAATCTATTTTTCAATAATAACGAATATATACTTTTTTTCTATAGCCACGAATCAGCTACCTCTGAGTCCTGTACAAATACAACCTTCGCCGCCGTATTACAGGCAGCCTAGTCAAGACGATGGTAGAAAGGTAAATTCGTTTATTCTTCAGATCGTCTAACGTTAGATTGATTTGGATTTTGTCATTTTTAGAGCGAGTCACCGTCGAGAAAACGTCGACGAATATCACGGAACGGTGCCGTGTCTGGGATCGAAGTACGAGAGACGACACCACAGTCACCTACACCACCGTTACACACAACTCCACCGCCATGGGAATTTTCACCGGCACCCCAAAGACGATCACCTCGCAATCATATGTCCACACGCGGTAGTCCAACAATTCGAAATCGTTACCAACGATACACCGACTCGTTCGGATTATCCTATTCCTTCATTCCCGGCCACAATCCTCATCCGACGATTCACAACTCCCACCATGGTATCCATGGCTCTCATCACAGTATCCACAACTCGCACCATAATCTGCACAGTTCCCATCATAATATGCATAACGCGCATCAGACGCATCCCCATCATCCACCGGGTACAGGACACCATCCTGCGCAGGGAGCGAACGGTCCTGTGGTCGTTGACGTTGGACAAGTCGGTGTTTCCGGTTTAGGGGTGGCCGTCAGCGGCGAACCCATCTGGCATCCTCAAGCGACAGGTTACAGAATTCCTTGTCAGCTGCACAGTATATACACACCGACTGGGGCACACGCGTTTGCGCATTCGTGTCAGGTAAGTATTATTCAGTCTTAAACGTACGCAGACCGAGCCTGATACGAAGAGAATACACCTGAGACCACACGACATCTTGTACTGTTATCAACTTAAACGCGATATATGATTCCAATGTAAGAAACAATATCGGAGTCTAACGCGATATTGATCTATAAAAGGGTTAAAAATTGTAGTCACGATATAGTGAGGGCGTAGCTTAAACAGATTTTGCGATTACGATACCGCGATATCGTGGGGGTATATCCATGTAACGACCTCCCTATATCTTCCGCGAATCTTTTCAGCCCGGAATAAGTGATTTCTCCGTCGAATAAATTGTTCAGGGTATGTTACAACGAAGGAATGTTATTTTTCACAGGTCACACATCACCATAGTCACTACCCATCGGCTCATCCGACCCATCCAGGCCACAGCCTAGTCGGATATCCAACGCCAACCGGAGGTCCCGTGGCGGCTCTTCATCATGCTCATGCACCTCCACCGCCCGTCCATACTGCTCATTATACTGCGCATCATCAACTCTCGCAACAGGTAAAAATTAGAGACAAGAAGTTATTGTAAACAAGTGATGCTTGAGTTAGATAACTCGCCTAACGTATAGAAGAGGTTTTGATTGTTGAAACATTCGTTTTTTATATTTGTTCCAGAGAGAAGTTGAATTAGAGTTAATTGAATCCCATCATCATCACCGAGTAGGAGCCGCAGCCGGTGCTCCGTTACCATTGCCGCACTCGTACTCGCCGCCAGCTCTCACTCAAGTCACGACTCCGACTCCTACTCCTATATTCCTGTCAGAAACTAGAAACAGTCAATTGGAAATGATTCAATCTAGAAATCGTCGTACAGGACCGAACGTTCACACGGTTAGACGACCAAGGTCGGGTAGATGGAGAGGTACACCTCCGATACCGCAGACTTATCCGGCATTCTTACTACACTTCTTGTGAGTATCGATATTTCTTGTCCAAGTTTCGTCACAATATCTCAAGCTGATGTAATCGTGAAAATTGGTGTGCAATTCGCAGAGCGATGTTCAGCAACCCACCATTATCGCCGTACAGTCAAGCGGAGCTTTCATCGCCAGATTCGGCAACCGAAAATTACGAGGCTCTACTGTCGTTGGCTGAAAGACTGGGAGAAGCTAAACCACGAGGACTGACCCGTGCCGAAGTCGAACAGTTGCCCTCGTACAAATTTAACGCGGAAACGCACCAGGGAGACCAAACGATCTGTGTCGTGTGCATGTGTGACTTCGAGGCTCTGCAGTCGTTGCGCGTACTACCCTGCTCCCACGAATTCCACTCGAAATGCATCGACAAATGGCTTAAAGTAAGTATATATCTTTTAGTCTAAATTACATGGAATAGTTGGCTAATCCATCTTCAAGTATACTAATGTAAACTAGACCATAGTAGCCCTAGCTGCCCTTCCACTTATTGTATCAATGTAAATTAAGTTTCAGTGTAAGAATGTATGAAAAATAGGAGCTGGTGCTCCAGCAATTGAACCTAAAACCCATATGCTGAATCTAGGTGTTCCAAATATAAAGTTAACACGTTCACTGTGGCTGAGATATCTACAGTTGCCCCAGTGAACGCGTCACGACCATATGGTTTACTTATTGTTCACAGTCGAACCGAACGTGTCCAATATGCCGTGGCGATGCCGGACAATATTTTGGAAACGCCAGTACCGGTAGCGACTGACGCCAAGCTGCTCAAGTGCACTAGCGCCAACTGTCACGGATCTCAGGGACGCTACTTCGCACAGAGCTACCAGCCATCAGGTTGCTGGTTTGTGCAAATTTCTGTTGACGAGCATTTCTCTCGTATCGAGGAGGCTGGGAACAAAGACGACCGCGCGGAGTTGCGGTCCAAACCAACGGCAGAACCGAGCGTGTCTGCTACAACCCTTCAGCCAGAGGATTATGAAAATCGAAGAACGATTAAAAAAAAAAAAAAAATAAAAAAAACAGATGAAAGAGAAAAAAAAATTTAAATTCAGGGTATGATCGTGTGTCGGGTGTTGAGAACAAAAAAGGACCACACGCAATAAAGGTACACGATTTTAAATTAACAGCATGCAACATTTGTACGTTGACGAATGAACGTTTCTCGCGTGTTTATTCCATATTGTTTTTTTCTTCGGATATTAGAGAAAGGGGAGAGAAAGAGTATGTGCGAGTGTATAAAATGTTGTAATAAGCAATCAACTGATGTTAGGGACAAACGAGAAAGAAGAAGAAGAAGAAAGTTTCAGAGATATTAAAAGCTACACAAGCATTTCACGTCAGAGTTGGGAATCTGACGCTTGTTCGTATATTATTATAATTTTATTTTATTTTTCTCTTTGTTTCAACTAGCGCTTTGACATTTACGTATTTAACGCTCGTTTGTTGTTTTGTGTTGCTACTTTTTAGGAGAGTATCGGGTATATATTGTGTACATAAGTACTTGTAATAATGCAACTATTGCCACTTTCCATTAACGTTCCAATTTTTATTATTATTATTATTACTATTATTATAGTTGTCTTTTTAATCCTACGAATTGTACATAATTACGTAAAACACTCCTATTATACATACACGCGCGTATATGAGTGTGTGCGTGCATATAAAACCGATTCTAGGTAATTTGTTTCTTTTTGTTAGGGAGGGGGGGGGGGGGGACGGGGGGGCACTTAACCAAATGTAGTACATAAATTCTTTTCCTTTTTTTTTCTTCTTGCAACAAAGAGGACAAGACGTGTTATTGTGTCGGGCAATGAAGAAACACAACTTCCTAACAAATATAAGCTTTTTGTGTCTTTGTGTAGGATGGGTGATCATTTTGTTATTATCAATAGTTGCAGAAATAATTACCGGGAAGAGATGATTTATTTAATATTCGTTTCTCTCGCGGTGGTTCGTCGACAACCGTTTCCTTTCTTTATCTACTTCAATGATCCTTCGAAACCGTGAGAGGAAATAAAACAAGAAGTCAGTCGATTCAGCAATAGTTTACTATACGCAAAAGATGCAAAACTAAATAAAGAAGAAAAAAAAGAAAGAAAAAAGAGAAAATGATAAAAGAATACCGCTTCTGTTTCCTGCGTATCTACCTCTAATAGATGAAATGAAACGATTCATATTTTTTTATACACACATCTCATAAACAATAAACGTACGTACGCTAAGAAAACCAAAAAAGAAAATTTAAAAAAAAAACGAATAAAAGAGAGAAAGAGCACACGCGCGCGAGGGAGAGAAAAATAAGGATGGATTAGAAGAATCGAGTTAACCGCGATTTCGGAAATTTTCAATATTAAATAACAAACTTTAACGATTAAGATTCGTCGGATAAAGTAACGTTAATATTTAGAAAGTCCCTGCAGAGAATCTATGATATTCGTTCCCAAGAATTTTTGGAAAAAATCTCACGGCTGGACACCACGTGTCGATTTTTCTCTATCTCGAAGATCTGTAAGAGAAAAATCCACTCTGATCATTCTTTTTTTTTTTTTTTTTCATTATTGTTCGAGAAATTATATAATCTTTTGTTGCATTTTAAATTGTTATAAAGCTGTACCGTAGAAATCTAATGGGGGAAAAGAAAATTTCTTGTTTAGACTTTTTGAATTTGGTGCTTCGTTTCTCGCGTGCATAGCTTTGGAATTAATAAAAAAAAGCACTATATCTTTCATGGATTTTTCCATTTAACGCGTTCGCTGTCGATCACGCGATATCGCGGGCCTGATCATCGACGTTCAAACGTTGAGGCATCCAGCGACCGACTTTACTTTTGGAATTCGGCAGCGAATGGTATTCGATGTGTTAATTAGATTACTGTTGAATTAATGAAAAACATCACGTGGTCTTCTCTCGTAACGGTGTAAAATAGAGATCGAACACGAAACGTGTAATGGGTTCTTGAACTGTCTCCTTCCATTTCTTATCGCGTGCCTTTACTGTACTTGACCGGGTATCGGGAAACGATGAGAGTTCATGGGGAAAAAGGAAATAGAGAAAATGAGAAAAAATTTGAAAAACCTGAATTGACCCTCGAATCCTGTGAACTAGAAAGTTCAGGTGAATTTGAAACATTCGTTCGAGTCACAGGAGGAAATGTACATTTGGAGCAGAAAAACAAAACCACTTAATTAGACCACGATTTGGCAAACTGTAAATTTCTTTTAAGATTGTTTTATTTTAATTAGTATACTTTAGGTATAAACCTACAATTTTGGATCCACACATTAATTTTTGAATATATAATATAGAATTGAACGCTACAAATATTTGATATCAACATGTTAATTTTTAACGAACAAATAGAATAGGTAATTAGTTACAGTTTATCTTTTGCAATCGAAGTATGAAACTATAACGTTTGCCAAATAATTTCCTACCTTTCGCATCGGTGTAGCTTCATTTGTTAAAAATATTTTAACAATTGTTTGCCAAAATCGTGCGTGGTCTAACGCGTGGCTAAATCATCGCATTACCACCGTGTCTACCACCTATATCTGGCTAGAACAGGACCAACGAGCTTTATTTTACACTCTGACATTCTACAATTTGAATGTAAACTGATATTTCTCGGTCAATACTTGGAACGATACTCTACGTAGGACGTAACAGAATTTGGATCATTAATTACACCTTAATTTCAATTTCCATTCGATTGATACGTGTTCTACTTGGAGTATCTTAGAATCCAGTAAGTTTCTAGCAGAGCGAATATACTCGTAAGTGAAACTCGTCCGTGCAACCGTATATACGTAAAAAAAAAAAAAAAAAAAAAAAAACATGTACTTTTTAGTAGTTTTGTACGGGTCTAAGGCTGCGTTTGCGATCATTCAGAAATATCATTTGATCGAGACTAAATGACCATTCGCTGTTCACATTCGAAGAATCTAAAATTATAAAATTAATAGAGCGTCATTTAATTCGATCAAATAATATATGAAAAGGTAACACGTGCAAGCACAAATCAAAAGATATTGATTTTCATTGTTTCATTTGGTGGAACAATATCAAAAGCTCGTGTATACATGTATGTATGTGTGCGTGTGTGCGTGTTGGTTTTTCTTAGATGCGTTTTAACAGGAACACATATCACTTAATCTCCATCGTAATCCACGCGTCTCGCACGCTCGCCCTTTTTGTCGCTAGACCCGGCCAGAGAAAGAACAAAAGGGAATGGCTCATTTTTTTACTAGCTTAAGCGAAAGAGACGGAAAACGATGCGTGAACGTGCGTGTGAATTTGTCGAAAGGGACGAGCGTTCGATCGGAAGGAGCTAAACGCCGAACAAGATCTACACATCCGGTGTTCAGTGAACAAAACTACTCTTTTTCTCTCATCGGGCTTTTCACAACTTTCCATATAGCTTGGGGAATCTTTTTTTTTTTTTAATCCCAAGTAGTATAACATTGACGTAACTAGGGAGGGTTCAAAGTGGCCCCCATAATCTATCAGAAATGATCAAATCGATACAAAAATATTGCTAGCAGCCTGAGATAAAAAAATACTAATTACGTCAGTGAGTAAATTTAAACGCGAATTGGAATCTCTTTCTCTTCTACGTTTCTGTGATAAATAATAAGAAACAGAAAAAAGAAATATGGTATTCTCGTGATATAGAAATCTTCTTATTTTTCCTGGGCCGATTCTCGACTACAGAGGTTACTTTTGACCCCCCGTCCAACGCTCCGTCCCTTGATACGCTTAGATTAAGCTAGGCATAATGTACCCTTTAAAACGCGTACCTTAAGCACACCCTGAAGCCTAGTGTACCAGTCGCAGCAGATAAGATACAGAGATCGGTACCTGGAATTAAAATTTAATATATCTTAGTGACTTTAAGTTTCATATTTAGAGGGGTTCCATTACTATGCCCTGTACAATTACTAATTTTAAAATTGCAGAATTATTTTCCATCGCTGTAGCCATGATTGCAATTATTCAAAACGCTACTTATTTCAAGATTGATTTTCAAAAAAGTGGTGTACATTCAAGGTACCGATCTCGATGCAAACCAAGTACCAAAAGATTCAATTGTTCCGATATGTACGAGGTTGTAGAGGTAAAGTTGATTTGTATATAAATGATACATCCGTTTATACACACACACACACACTGTACAACACGGATGAAAAAAAAAAAAGAAGAAAAGGTAACAGAGCCATACGCGTTATTTTAATGTGCCGCGAAAATGGAACACACGACAGCTAAAATTCGAATGGGTTTGATTCTCGATTACTTTAGAGAGAAGGCAGGGTGCTTGCCCCCGTGGATTCGTAATATTGAACTTTCTGTGTTCGATGCCAGCTGCGCGTTAAACTGATTTATGCATATCGAAGCACGTCGTTGTTGAAGTATTCATCTTCTGAAAGCCATGGCCTCTATGTGGACACGGCACCCTGAAAGCTTTGCTGAAATAACAACGATCGATGGAATTGTTTGCCCTCGAGTTCTTTGTCACTTTTTTTTGAAATTATTATTATTAACCCTTCGGAGCAGTTTATTATTCTAACGTGACGTTTTTTATGGGTTAATAGAAATTTGTTGTATATAAATTATTAAACCTTTGAAAATATTAATATTAAGTATATGGGGTACCGATGGCTTGGCATCGTTCATTTATTAAGTTTTATTTGAAAATTTCTCACCATTCTCCAAGTTACCGTTCAAAGCTAATTAATTGTTTAATAATAATTATCAGTTTTCACGTAGCTGGCATTGTTTCACCAATGAAAGTAGCGAAAATCGTATCCGATGACCGGAAATGTTATTCGCGGGGGTTGAAAGATGAACAGCAATAAATCAAACGTTGAGTTCCACGAGATCCGTGGAGAATAGAATTGTATAGAAGTTTTCGTGCGTTCAACGTGTGTACAATAGTGTTTATTAGTTTTTGTTGCAAACTTTTGCTATTCGTGAACAGAGAGACACAGCCGTATCGCTTCACCGCAGATAGTACAAGCATGCCATTAGTTTATAATTCGTTTAAGGAGAAAACGCAACAGTATTTTCTCTAGCGAGTGGTGCTTTCTGATTGTACGTTTTCTTTGAACATAACGGAAGTGCGCCCCGTCATCTGGCACCGGGACGAACATTACAAACCGCCATATTTGACAGAATTTAGAAATTAGAACATTTTTTTATGATTCCAGACATGTACAGTTGTGGGCAACGTAAGCTTCTCTTAATTAAGGGTAAGTGCAGAAGGAGAAACCTCCACCATTTTGTCTTTGATCTTGGGAGAATCTAATCTAGAAAGTGATGGAACGTTTCTTCCTCTCCATTTTTTTTTTTTAAACCAAAAAAGCCTTAATTGCACCCAACTGTACATTAATGAAGGTTGTGTCAAAGTTTAGGGAAAGATGTTTATCAAAATTATCCCTTAAAATTTGACCCAACCTTTCTGGAACACTCCACCTAATTTTTCCATCAAATCATTGACCCTCTACATTTTTGTTGAGTAAGATCGTTCTACACGTCTTCCTACCGACACAAAAAAGTCTCGTTAATAAACCATAAAGAATATGTCGACCTCCTCAGACTGTACTGTTTTTTCCTCCTTTATTTGTCAATGAAATAATATCAGAGGTGGTCGGCAACGTCCTCGGTAGCCATGTGTTCTCAAACGATTTTTATATTTTATATTATAGTAGAATTAATATCGCTGCTGCTGCTGCTGCTACTGATACCACTATTTTCGTTAATATACCGGAAGTGCGTTAAATGTTTTTTATACAAGCTCGATTTAACGTTTTTTAGTTATATTTAATTTGTTCGTTAGTTAATTGTTGTTATTATTATTGTATCATTACCATTATTATTATGTTATTATTAACGTACGAAGATATTGGTTCATTAAGTTTAGATTGTAATTCGCTCTAATATGGGGAACACGTTGTTAACAACCAAAACTAGATAAATTTTCTGTATACAAAGGAAACGTTTCGATTCAGAAAGGAAATGAAATAAACATCGAAGCGTTTCAATGAAAGCGAACCATTTGTACAGACGCGAAGATAACGATGCCAAACATTATATATTATTAATACTGACACTATTGCTACTACTACCGCTACCGCCTATTATTATTATTCTCATTCTCATTCTCGTTATTATTACTATTATTATTATTATCATTGAAATATTATCAATCATTATTCTCAGATTACACGAATTTTTTTTTTTTTTTTTTTCACGTTAAGCTCATTATGAATTTTCTTTCGCATTCACACAATACATTAGTCAATTTGCCCTCGCATGCGACTTCCATGAATCGTCAACGTACGGTCATAATTGATTCGTTTAACATCGTGCTTCGAGCGTATCGACGCGATGTCCAAGCGAACAGGTTCCCTCCTCTTGTAAATTGCACGAAGCTCGGTCGATACGCCAACCACGTCGCATGGCATAGGCTTACATTCGTACACAATTGTTTTTTATGTGTTTCAGACATAATCATAGACATATAGGTACATTTGGGTGCAACCTAGGCTTCTTCTGAAAATAAAAGTAGAGTAAGTGTAAGGGAAGGAACCTTCCTCCACTTGCCTAAGAGGGTAAGTCCAAGGCAAGTGATAGGGCACTCTTTTCCCTGCGCCTTACTTTAAAAGAAGCCTCTGTTGCACACAACTGTGCATTATGTACTTGTTTGCTATTGTTATAATGCACCTGTGTCCAACAAGGGAAGATTCCAAGGTGTAACCCTGACTTTCGGGCGTGTCTTTGCACAATGATGCCTAGTACTCGAAAATTGATGTTATATTCTGTTGTTAACCAAAGGCTCATCAAAAAGTCACACCTCAGGACCGTTCCCTTCTAAGCTGTATCGATTCGCGTTTATTGGTAAAACCGAATTCGCCTGGACTCGTCGGAGATGCAATATCGATCCCCGGGTGTTATCGATCAATTCGTAGCGCTGCTGTGGTTACAACGCCCCTTGATCGCGTTGCAGAATCCCCATAATACAGCAGCGTGCCTCGACCAAAAGGGAGTAGCCTCTAATTTGCGACGATGCTGCTGCTGCTATTCCAATCGACGTCATCCCCGACTCGCTCTCGACACCCTCGGTGTTTGTACGTTTTCGCGTGTGGTAGAAACGTGCAACGAGGGTTGCAAGAGCAACCAGAGAAAAGGGGTAAAAACGTAAAAAATGAGGCGAAATCGCAGGCTCGAAGATGAGGGTAATCCACGAGGGTATGGGCTAGATGCGATAGAATTCCGAGTCGCTTTAAAGCGAGATATGCTCATATCTCGTGACCAACGACACGATCGAAAACGTTCTATCGACTTTAGGCTGCTCGACAGATACACTATTGCAGTAGCAGTTCTACTTTAACGGAAACCCCCTTGGCTGCTAGAATTTATAGGGGGTGGGTCGCGGGCTTTAGAACATAAACCCTCTTCCTCTCTATGTTCTCTCTGTCCCTCCCTTTTCGTTACTCTTCTTTCTTTTTTTCCTACCCCCCCTGTCTCTATATATTTGCCTTTTCATTCTTTCGTTCCGGCGTTTCTCTTTTTCTTCACTTTTCTTTACATTCCTTTTATTTTTCGCTTTCTCCATGCTAATGTCCTTTTTTTATTCATCCAACTTGTCAATTTCCTTCTTTTCATTGTTTCAATCTTGATTATTGACTATAGATCATCAGTGCTTGTGAGCATTACAGTCGCATGCGTATTGTATTTTTTTTCTGCCTTAAGTCATTAATTAAAAATGAATTGCGTCAGATTTTGAGAGACAACCTGTGTTTCTACGGTTCTCCAACTAAATCCATACTTCTAAAACCCATCGTAGCTAACACGTTCCCTTTAAGCTACATATCTCTCCTGGTACTCCCATCGCTTTCCCCTCTTGGTCTGGTTCCTCTCAGTGATCCGGGGCTCTCCCTCTTGGCGGTTCGCAACTTCGATCTAACTGGGCAGAGTTAACGCAGGAACGGGCAACGAGAGCGAATGGCTACAGGGTGGCGGGGTCGAAATCAATTCACTGAGGAAAATTAACGCGCTCAAGGGCCATGCTGTTTCGAGGGAGGCGAATTCACGAGAAACCGTGAAAATTTCTCGCGTCCGTGACGACTAACAGCACGAAACAAGTGCGGCCATTTTTTAGAGGTTAGAAATTGTGCGCGTACGCGGTCTATTGTATCCACGAACGTGTACAACGTCAAGAAACAATGACGATCGAAGGGTTTACAATTTATTTTCTTGCCATCTCGGTATTCACTGATATAGAGATTTGCAATTCTATCAAGTGAACACCGAAAAGCAGAGTACCCGGAACAGATCGATGCGCAAAGCTTGCTTCCGCCAGGGGAGTGTTCAGTGTTCGTGCGCCACACGTTCAGTTGAATATTTCACCGGAAGTACGTAATCGGTACAAAGTCTGTTCGGCTAAATTAATATTTTTCAAATTTGTTTAATGTCATTGTTGACGCGTGGAATCTTTTAGCTTTTCCATTGTTGGTGTTCGCTCCTCTCAGACGCACACACATTATTTCTTTTTCATAATAATTTATATTTTCCTTTCCAAGTTTTGCCTGAAGAACCAACTGAAGAAGTAAGGGTTCATTGACCTTTTTCCTAAACTGTAGTTTTAGTTTTGTTTCACAAGAAAGGACGGTGAATTATAATCATAATTTTTACATGATTTTCTTTGTAAACCTGTATGTTTGTAATAACTCTCCAATAGTAAAAGAGAATCGAACTTATCGATAACTTGTCAAGTTGTAATATTACTTGATAATTAAAAAACTAAACGAACATGTAACCGATTAATGTAGTCGGTGAAACGGTTACTTTCAACACTGTTACGTGTTCTTACTATCTTTGTAAATCATTGTTTAAGATTGCGTTAATTACGAAAGAATGAAACACGTACATTTGTATACCGCGTTACAATGTACAAAAAAGCAATATCAACAACATATGTACACGCGTACAAATACACAAGCACATATGTACACACGGGATACGTAAAATTACATATACCTATACTTTCGATTGAAATCGTAACTTTATCAGTCGGTTGTAAATTTCGGTAGTAGACGCTTTGTAAGATTGTATAAGTGCTGTGCATATGTATATACAGGGTGAAGAAGAGAGAAAAAAAAAGATGGAGTAGCGAACAAACGTTTAGAACAAAATTATTGTCCGAAGGAATAATGTGTCTTATGTACATGGCAAATAGTGAGAAATTGAAATATTTCTCGTGGATGAACTCTATCGGTTACGAATAATAATAGGTGTGTTCCTCTTACTAGATGGAGTAAAATATATAATAGTTTCATAATTACCTGACAACAAAAATACAAAAAAGATATAGATTACAAAATCACGAGGTCTGCTTTGTCTTGTTATAATCAAATACTTTATATTATGTAGTACAGGTTGTCATTAAACGTGTGAGCAAACCTATATCATTAAAATCCTTTTTTTTTTTAATATTCTCAAATTATTGCTTAAAGCAAGATTAATTAAGCGTATATTATTTTCATTTGTCACAAGCACATTCATCATACATAGGGTAAGTAAATAATCTTTTATTTTTTTAAAAAGAAATGAATCTAGAAAATGTGGATATTTCTGCAATTTAAAAAAACCTGCCTTTTTGTTTTTCAATACTAGAGGCGCTAGTGCTTTAAAACGCACCTCCTGGTGCCGGAAATAGGAAATAAAAGTAGATATAATTTTTGCGCCCTCTGGTTGCGTAACAGAGAAGCTCTTTTTAGCACCATCTTACATTTCCAGAAAAAGGCGGGTCTGTAAAATGTAAATATTTCGGTAAGTTTTTAACATTAATTAATTAAAAAATAAAACCCCTTACGGTAAATATTACCCTACATTTTTTACTTACTTTTTCATGTAAATTCACCTTCTTTTAAGGAATGTCATCAAATAGGAAACATCCTATATTAATTTAGAATAGATGAAAGTATTTTTAATAATATTTTATAGATACAATATTTTTCTTTACAGAGAATTACAGTTTCCATATTATATATAATATACATAATACTTGACCATATTTTGGTACATGCTTATAACATATAATATATACATGAAATTAGTTCAATACAAGTTCCCTTTAAAAATTTTCGTTATTGATTATTAAAAATGTTTAATACATTAAAAGCATGGAATGTTTCTTGAAAACCATATATTTCTTTTATAACCATTTAAATCCGTAAGTAGTAGATAAATAAAATTCAAGTTTAGGATTTTGCAAGAAAATTCCAGTGTTTGCCAAAAATATTTTTCATTCTGCATTTAGTTTATCAATAAAAAAATAAATTTAATAAATGGGTTTTTTTCGAACTATCGTAATTTTTGACTAGATACAGTAAAATGTTCTTTTAATATTAAAATGTCTCTTCATTTATTAAATTTTAATAAATAACAATAATTAAAATGAGAAAAACAAAAAAATGAAATATATTAAAGAACTCAATATTTATATACAAATGTTTCTCACAAAATATACATAACAAAAAGAAGTATTATACATTAAGTGCGAATTCAAGATACTGTAATGCTTCAAATCACTCATTTATATAAACAAACTACACTGAAATAATTATTTTATCGATCTTTAAATTATAAAAATATACTATTCGAATTGCTGTAATATGTACTTTCCTTGAAATGATGATCTACTCCATTTCTTTTGCATAAAATGAAGAAATAAGTTTTTGTATGCTCAATATACAACATTACAGTTGATTGGTACATAAGTACTACAAATTTCTTAATCAAAGGTGTGTATATCTTTGCATTGTTAGGATATGCCTTCACCATTTCATTGCCTCTAGAAGACACATACAAACGTGTTGCCTTCATACATTTTTACTTTGTATTTTGCCTTTGTTGATTCTGCATCATTAATCGTGCTATTTCTTCACCCAAAGTATCAATATTATCCTGCAAAAATAACATATGAGATATATAGGTTTTCAATATATTTATTATGTTTACCTTTAGCGTGATATTTTTAAATAATGCATCTTCAAGCACTGCTTGAAGTTTCTGGTTTATTTCTAATGATAACTCCAGGGTCATATTGTCATCCGAGACTCGTTGATTGTAGACAGAGGCCATTATTCCCCCGTGTCTCGCTAATTCAGCCTACAATCACATAATTGTTAACATAAAATTCAAATACAGAATCAATTAGAAAAATGGCTATTGCAAGATAGTAAGTGACATAAAACTTACTGCATTTCTCCTGCTTTTAATATGCTTGTGTGCAAATGATAAAATTCACATAAAATTTGAAAATCTATAAGTTCTACAGGACTGTTTACTTTGAAATTAAAACTTACCTTGTACTTATCTCTATCATTGTTGCCCATAGCACCAATATTTTCATGTAAAATATAATTCTGTATAATTCTTGTTTTTTTCTGTAGCTCTTCAACCAGGGTTCGCGTATGTTCTTCGAAAAAATCAAGTTTCTCCGCTCTTTTAGCATTGATTTCTTGTAATTTTATAATACGGTCTATTAGCGCTTGTCTGCTAGGCTCCATAGACTGAATACCTTGCTCACCATTAATACTATTATCTGATAAGGCACCATTTAATGTATCTCCTATAAAAAAGAGTGAAAAGTACATGTATCAAAAACAAAAAATTGGTGTGTTTTACCACGAGCTTTAGAAGTGAAACTTGTGTACAAGGGAGCATAATGTAAGAAAGACCCCAAAGTTTCACTTGAAAAACTAATTCTCAAATCTAAGAACCTGTATTCAGTGAAACATTCGATCCAGTCCTAGATGCAACACCCAGTGAATTATAAGGAGATGACGTTTCAAAAGCTTCCAACTTCTTTCGACACTGCAGCAGCTCACGTGTCATTTCTTTCATACTTATTTGCTGTTTTCTCTTCAACACGGCATTTTCTCCTTGACTATCTTCCAATTTCTGTCCAAGATTCTGTGCAGCTTGTGTCTGTTCAGCAAGATGTTGAGCTAAAATTTCACATTCTTCTATTCTTAGTTTCTGCTCTTGTACAATTCTTTCTTCCAATATTTTAACTTTGTCTGTTAGTTCTCTAATGCGGTCGTGTAATGGTCCGTGTTCTTTTTCCAGTTTTTTCATCCTAGCTTCAGTGGCTGTAAATTCGGACTGAAGCCGTACATTTTTATCTGTTAATTTCTGCGTAAAATCCAGCATTTCAGCTTCTTTCTGACGACACGCAGACATATCTGCTTGTAATTCTTCATTAGCCATACGTAAATGGTTCATTTCAGCTTCAGTTGATGCCAAATACTGCTCTTTACTGTGTAACAAAAAGGAAGATGAACATTTTGAAATTAAATTAAGGTTTTATAATACTTACTGCTGTAATTGAACCTTCAACGTTTCCAACTCGGATACTTTATTAAGCAACTCCACAATTTCCTTCTGACGCTGATCCGCTATGATTTTTACGTTACTCAAATTACTCTCGTAATTTAAACGATTCTTTTCAGCATCTTGTATCTTTAAACTAAGGGTATTATTTTCTTCGATTAAAACTTGTTGCCTGCTTTTCAAAGTTTCTACCTCTTTTTGTAACTGAAGTCTCAACATTTCTTTATCCTCTGTGACATGCCTTTCTAAGATCAAACGTGCCTGTTGCTCTTTTAATCGTTGATCCAATGTAACAGCTTTATTTTCTTCCGACTGTTGGAACTTTCGTATCGATTCCTGTGACTCCCTACGGACTTGTTCACATTCCTCCTTCATTTCATTTATTCTAGTCTAAAACAATTAATGTTATGAATTTATAATAGAAACAAGAAATGATTCTTTCGATGTTATTACCATAGCTTTATCTAATTTTTGTTGAGTCTCCTTTTGCAAATCCATTTCAGTTTTAAGTTTGTTTTGAGTCCATTTTAATTTTATGTCTCTCATGTTTACATCCTCTCTGAGTTTATCAACTTCTTTTTGGAGATCTATCACCTCACGATGCTTTCCATCTAAGATATTACAGATCCTTGCTCTTTCTCCTTGCATTTCTCTTAATTTACTTTGAAGCGATTCTTGTTGTTTTATAATTTCTTTTACTTTACGTTCTGCATATTCTCTCGCCCTTTTCAAAAAGAAATGAAAAGCAGAGATTAGTTAGTTATGAAATATGATATGTTTAAAAATTGTTATGTACCTTTGAGTATCAATTAATTGCTTTTCGCTAACTGCATACTTCATTACCATACTTTCCCTCTCTTTATTAGCAGCACTGTATTCTTTCCTCAATGTTTCCTGTCCTGCTAAGGATGCATGCAATTCAGATGTAAGTGTGTTTATTGTCTTCTGTAATGTTTCTAATTGTATAGTAAAAGTTTCTCCTTTATTTTCTGTCTCCAGTACTTGATTTCTTTCTTCCAAACATTCAACTTTTTCTTGCAATTTCAAATGCTTTGCTTTCAAGTCTGCATAGTCCCTTAATAAAGTGAGATATTCTGGTTGCTGTAATAAACTATGTCTTGACTCCTCAGAATCAATTTTTTCTTCTTTTTGAGGTATATTATCAATAAGACTTTTCTGGGCAAAATTATTATATCCAGGATTCAATACCATATTAGAATCCCCATTTATATCTACACTGTTACCTCTGTGATTAATACTATCATCAGTAGAATGAGATTCCACTTGTTTTAGATAATTTAATTTACAGGTACTATCAACATTATTTTTATCAGTCACACAGTCATTCACAAATAAGCCTTCATTAGAATTTTTTCTAGAAACATTTTTACTTTCATAATTGTTCGTATATTCACTTCTTTCACTTTGTCTGTCCACTGATGTTTTTCCTGGATCATCAATATCTTTTATTTTTCTTGTTAAATCTGATTCATTATTAACTATTGGTTGGATCAAAGGAGACTCTGCACTAAGAAATTCTTCTGTATGTTTTCTCCCATTATAAACATTATCTGTGGATTTCATTACTGAATTGTACTTCACAGTTAAATGCTGTGGTAACAATGCTTTTTCCATTATATTTGTTGACTTTTCTGTAATAAAATTTAAGAAGCTACGGCTCTTGTTCAGAAACTGAGCATTTGATTGCATTATATTAATTGGATATGTTGGCAGTGAAATTTTAACCAATTTACTATCATCAGTTAAGGTTGGTCTAGATTGTAATCTTGTGTTTCTAATAACTTCAGAAGACTGTTGTTCTTTATTTAGGTCTTTCTTTATTACAATTTCTGATTGTTTATTATTCTCCATTAATTTGTTACACATAGTAGAATCTTGTACTGTGTTTTTTATTTCTTCTACATTCATTTTTACTATACAATTTTTATCTTCTTTTTTATGCTTTTCACTATTTCCTTCTTCATTATTACATAGTGATTCTAATTCCTTACATTCATTTGGGACCACAGATTGTATATCATAATTAGATATTACATGGGAAGATATACACAACAGTGAATCAGATAATGTTGATGCATAGCTAACATCATTACATGAAGATGATTTCTGAAGACACTTTTCTTGTGGAAGGCTCATACCAACAGATGATGTTTCATATCTCAAAAACTCATTATCCATGAGATTACTTAAAGAAGCAGAACCTTTTAGAGAAATGTTAATACTGTTTTCTTCTATTAAACAATGATACTTTTTATCATTGTTTCTTAATACTGAATCTGTTTCAATTTGAGCGATACTGTTAGATTTAAGTTCTTCCTGAACTGGCATTGTTTCTATATTATTTTGGATCAATGAATTGGTAACTAAAAATATTCAGAATAAAGAATAAAATTAAACATGTTACTGTGAATTTGACAATATTACATAGCTCTAATTAATCAAATTTTGTACCTTCCGCAAGCGTAATATCTGATTTTACGCCGGAATCAGCTTGATCGGAATTATCCATAAGGGTTTTTTCCTTATTGAACAATTTAGATTTTGTTTCGTCCATTTTACAAATTGTAAATTCCATTTCTTTCAGAACAACTTGATCCTATTTCATGGTGTTAGATTTTCTAGTGAAAGTCATTGATGTTGGAAAAATTCATTAGTTTGAGATAGGTTCACAGTTACAATATTGAATGACATTCGCAAAATAATTAAAATCAGAAGAGAGAACCTAAAATCCAAGAAATTTTATCTGTCATCTGTGCTGTTTTTAACCTTCCCTATGAACATGATGATACTGTATTATTTTATCTGAAAACATTGGCCAAAAATTCAGCTGGTAAATACATACATAGAGAAAGAGGAACAAAGTGTGTTCACTCCTGGAATTTTTCTTATGTCCAGGATGGTGCTGCACTATACGGTTAACCTTCGCAAAACAGTAGAAATCTGTAAACGACATTCAAAGAACCCATTGACGTTCATTTTAGGACGTATGTTAATTTCGATGTCGTTTATAGATTTCTACTCTTTTGTAGGAATTGGCCGCGTTGCGCAGCACCAGTGCGACGCAGCAAACTGTGATTACTCTCTGTCTTGAAATATGAATACCGTGGTGTATACTACTAATAATACTTGAATAATCTTGTTTCGTTGTGAATTTTATATTTATATTACTTATATTTTATTTCTTAAAAATGTCAAATATACCAATTCGCAATATAAGTAAGGTATCAAAGTTGTTTCAACCAATGACATCCAGAATTAGTACTATTAAAAAATCAGAAGTTTTTTCAAAAAGCTATGAGGTATATTGTTATTATTTTAAATTTCATTCTATTTATTTATTAACAGCTACTTATTGTGATCTAATTACAGCATTTAATTAAGTATGGATTTATTAAACAAGTTAACAGTGGCATGTATGCATATTTACCTCTAGCATTACGTGTTTTAAATAAATTGACAACTCTTGTTGACAATGAAATGGAGAGAATTGGAGCCCAAAAGATATTGCTTCCAGCTTTAACATCAACACATTTATGGAAGCAAACAGATAGATATAATAATAATAAGTCTGAGTTGTTTATATTAAAGGATCGATCAAACAAAGAATATATACTAAGTCCAGTAAGTTATCCATTAATATTTAAGTCATCATTTAAATCAAATGAATAAATGTAATATAATCAATAAATGTTTTATTTTGATATAGACATGCGAAGAAACAATTTGTAATTTATTGTCATCTTCAGGAATAATATCATCACAAATATTGCCTTTAAAGCTCTATCAGATTTCTAGTAAATGGAGAGATGAGATGAAACCACGTCATGGATTTCTAAGAAGTAGAGAATTTCTTATGAAAGATTTATATACATTTGATTTGAGTTTGAATAATGCACTAAAGACTTATGAAGAAGTGTGTGAAGCTTATGAAAATATATTTAAGAATATAGGTTTAACATTTGTAAAAGGTAATAAAATAATTAAAATCATGTAATGTTAAATATTACATAGAAAACATTCTGTTAATATTAATTAACGTTTGCAGCTGTTGGTGATCCTGGATTTATTGGAGGTTCAGTGTCTCATGAATATCATTATAAAAGTAGTATAGGAGAAGATGTTGTCTGTATATGTTCATCTTGTCAGTATGCTGTTAATAAAGTTATGTGCAATGACACACATTGTCCTAAATGTAAAAATACATTAGTTCAAGAGCAGGCAATAGAGGTATCAGAAAAAGTGTTTATTTTAATCCTATTTTAATCCTGTTTTCTAATAAATATTTATTTCTTATTTTAGGTAGGGCATACATTTTTATTAAATACAAAATATACAAAACCTTTAAATGTGAAATCTAGAATAGTTGATACAGCATCACCTTTAGTGATGGGTTGCTATGGACTTGGCCTGAGTCGTATTTTTACAATGTTAGCTGAAATATTATCTACTGAAACCGAATTACGGTGGCCAAAACATTTAGCACCTTATACATTGTCTATTATACCACCAAAGGTAATATACCGTATATTATTGTGGTATGTAATACTAACAAAACTATTGAAAATCATTGTATTTTTACAGAAAGGGAGCAAAGAAGAATCTGCAAATCAGTATGTAGATAAAGTGATAGAGATTTTAGATGAATTAAACATCGACGCTATACTTGACGATAGGTCAGATTTAACGATTGGTAATCGTTTAATGCATGCTCGCGTAACCGGAATACCTTACGTTATAATAATTGGAAAGGCTACTCAAAAATCGCCACCTTTATTCGAGATCCACGACATAAATAACTCAACGCAGTGTGATCTAAGTTTAGATAATATGTATAGTTATTTCAATGATGAAAAAACTTCAAATATCATTGAAAGTACCAAAGTATCAAAGGCTAATTAAATTAAGGTAAAATAAACTTAACTAGATTCCTTCTTCGAATTTTTTATTAAGTAATTGTAAAAATTATATACAATTGTTTTCAAAAATTCAATGTTCTAATTTAATTGTAACTTTATGGTATGCATTACAAAGAAAACCCCGTAAATTCCATATGTTTTTAAAACTTTCTGGTTGAACATTGTACGATTCATCTACAGCTTTTGCCCAAACTTCCGTTTCTTTCCATTCTTTGTTAACAGGAAGATCTACATTCCATAATGTCCAGCTCCAATAACGACCTTCCTTAGCATTAGTATCTTCAGCATGAAAATTAGCTGTATACCAAGTTCTACCTTGGTCATTTGTTACATCAACGCGAATAACTTTTCGACCTCCTCCTGACCAAGCATATCCTGGGAAAAAAAAATTTTATTCATTTTCATTAGAAAAAGAAACAAAGCTTTTTATACTTCACCTTTGACGTTTATTTTTCCATCCACTACTTTCACCGTTTCTAATGGTTCTGGTTTACAAATCGCAGAAATGACAGGCATCTCCTGTATAGCAGGTGCTTTGGAAAAGTCTACATTATTCCAATCAGTACTTGGAGAAAAACCTTTATAATCACGTTGTTGCCATTGTGACTGACTTTCTTCTTTTGAGACAATTATCTTACCTATGGATGTTATAGAAATAAACAATTACTCTATTCTTAGTTATGATCATTAATATAGTAATAATGATTGTTATTTTATTACCAAGCCACTTTACGTTTCTAGCTCCCACAACACCTGGAACAACTACTCTGATAGGAAAACCATGATCCTTTGGTATCGGTTTTCCGTTCATTTCATAAGCTAACAGTACATCTGCTCTAGGATCCATAGCTTTACTAATAGGTATACTTGCATCGTATGGTGTACCAGAAGGGTCTAAGTCATATCCTTCAAACTTATTCAATGAAATTATTTCGATTTTAGGAAACTACTTTCCGTTTAATATATTTTTAATTTTTACGTTTTTTGCTTATACGATCATACCTGTACGTGATTATAGTTATCTTCATCAATTCCCAAATCTTTCAATACATCATACAGTCTTGGACCAGTCCATGTAGCATTACCTACTGCACCTATACCCCAACTAAGCCCTTTCAATTCTTTTTCCTGTAACCAGATAATAAATATGTAATTATGTTTATTATATTATTTATGAAAGAATTTATTTACTTTTGCCATTTCAGATCGTCTATTTCCACCGCACATTACAGCACTTGTTATTGTATACTTGGGATACTTTTTTATATCTTCAATGTTAAGAGTCTTCTTTGTTGTTTCCTCTATAGCTAACTCCAATGTGTAAGTTTTTAAGTCTATTTGAGGAACAGGAAGGTGATTCCTTACATAAAATAGTTCCCTGGAATAAAAGAAACATTTTCAAACTAGCTTCTTTTTTAACAAACATTCTTTAAATTGAAAATGTATGTACACAGGTGTAATAAAGCTTTCAATTAACAGAGAAGGAGATGGCTCAGCACAAAAAGGTTTGTGTCCATTAATTTTTAAAGCTTTGTGTCTAACAGGTTCATTTGAATATGGATCATTTTCATTAGCTATATTAGAAATGGCATCTTCTTCAGAAATATTTCCAATTCTCATTGATTCAAGAAGCTCATATATTTCTGTGGTATTATGATTTGCAAAGATTGTCCAAAATGGTTCAATTGAACTACCAGCTGCCATTAGGATCTTGGAAGGACCACCTGGATGTTTTTCAATAAAATCTGTTACATCATACACTCCTTGTTTATATGTTACCCAAATACCATCCTTTTTATTATCATGTTTGCCTACTTCTTCCAAACCGTATGTCTTGAGGTTTGCTTTGAATTCTCCACATTGAACATGCTTTTCAGTCAAGGCATGAACTTCTTTATTAGTTCTATAGAAATAGATTCCCAATAGAGATGTAGCAATAGTAATATATGCAGTATATTTTGCATAATTACTTTCAGAAGTATTTTCTGTGTATCTTTTCCTTTGAAATGAATACTGTCTGCATATTTCAAAATAGCATGGAATATAAATATTTGGCACTGATAATAGAGATCTGAAATAATTAATATTACTATGTAAATTTTATATTTTAATTATTATAAAATAATAATATAATGTAAAACAACTTTCTGCTTAGTTGATATATAAATTTCGAATGTAGAATCATGATACAAATTTTTTAAAACTGGTTCAACAATCAAAACAGTAGAATAATAGGTTCGAAAAGAACGTTCTTCGAATTATTTATATGAAGTTATCGTATAACATTGAGTAATAACTCGTTACAATGGTTGCCTGAATTAAAAAAGAATTACACATATGTTAATATTTAGCGATTACTCTTATCTATATATCAGTTCTTTTTTTGAATGTTGGTTTTGAATGATTATATTATGATAAGAACGATATATATCAGTCATTCCTGTAGTAATGGTTTCCTCCTGTCATTTCGTACATTGATGTTTCTCATTTTTCATGCTATTATTTTTGTTCTAATATTCAGAGATTCTTCAATGAAATCTTTAAAAAATTTGCAACATGGTAGGAATTAAAATTGCAAATACTTAGAACTGTTTTTTCTTTTTTTTAAATAAGTACAAAGATCCTTTATGTGATATTAAGGAATTATATACATGTTTCATTAGTAAGTAAATACGCAGTATTTACCTGTTGAAATGTTTGGAACACTTTTATAATTATTTGCTATAAAATTGAATCAGTGTCTTTGTCATAACATTCGTTTAGGTGTTGAGGTATTATTTGTTTATTTAAAATAATCGAAGATTCAGGATAGAGGTTATATTTAAAGGTATTTAAATATTGCAATGAATTTATAATTACAGATAATGTTTAAATCTTGTATAATTTGTTCAATACATTTGTATTGTCATTATAAGTACTTGTACTATATAATTTATTAATATTAATATTTAGAAAATAATACAAATTTGTTAATTGTTTCAATATGTTTTGTAGGTATATAAAGGAAATGAAAAGAAGTGAATAAATAATTATGGCAATGGCTATGAGAAAAAGGAGTGGTTCAGGCTCCAAACGTCAACACAAAGGAAAACTTGTACCAATTTATGAAAGTTTTTTCAAAGGAGAGGATTTAACATTAGCTCATCCAAATTTTTGGAATGAATTATTTTTAATTAAACCTATGGTGAGTGGTTTGTATATTCATTTTATTAAACAGCATGTACAAATATAAATAATAAAAGATACAAATTTCTTAAGACATTCAATAATTTTTAGAAAATTAATATAGCACAAGTTCACATGTACACATTCTTCAGATAATGAAACTCACTGAGCACGTTTCACCTGTCATGGGAAAATTTGTTATTGAAACAAATATAATAATTACTTATTAATTAAAATTATATTTGAATCATACTTTTCTTTGCTTTTTTGTCCTATAATCATCACGAGCATTGTAGTCTTCTTTTTCTTGGTGCTTTGCACTTTCATATTTCTGATTTTTCTTTTGCATATAATTGTCTTTTATGTCATTACATGAAGTATCTTCAAATTCATCTTCTTTATCCTTAGGATATTGTAATTGATATTGTTTTTTCTTGTAAGCTTCTGCATCAGCTGGCAATTTATGTTTTACCTGTTGTTTTTTATCTTTAACTGAAAATAATAGTATTATTTAAAAATTAATACCCTGGAAAGATATTAAATTTTCTTTCAATAGATACCTTTATTTTGCTTAGGTTCTTCACACTCTAATTCATTCTGTAAACTACCTGGCATAAATTTGCATTTAAAATTAAACCATGCTTCACTTGTTTGAACTTTATATTTTAAGCATTTTAATTGATATATACATACTCTTCCATAATATTTTGTTACTTCCCATGAGGGTAATGACTGTAAGTTTTATAGTTTATTTATCAATGTATCTTTACAAAATATTTGTGAACTTACTTGGATAAATTTGGTAACAAGTTTACCAATCATTATGACATGATCATTTAACAACTTTTAGAAATTGAAATCACAAGCTGAAAGTATCATTTTTGATGTAACAGAATTTTTAAATTAACCAAATGAAATAAGCTTCAATATCTCTTTTTGATCAAAAATTTTTGTTGTGAGTTTCTCCTGCCAAAAAAGAAAACAAATGAATTGTTATAATTTAATATATACCCTGTGGTTAAATGTGAAATATCATGGTTATTCTTTCTGTGTTTAGGTTCCACATATTGAAAGTGAAATTTTGCATATGACAGTAGAGCAGTTGAATGCAAGCAAAGAAAATTTAAATGCCTTGGTTTGTCACTGTGTAGATACATTAATTGATGAACATCCCTTCAGAGTTGTATATGCTTTACAAACTTTAGCTGCTGTCATTCAATCCATGTATAAGAAAGCTAGTCAAGGTGACTGTGGATTTAACTTAATAGACATCTTAGTCGGATTTGATTCTGCAGAGCAAAGGATGACAACTCTGATGCAACATTGCAATAATTTTTTAACAGGTAAAATTGAAAACATTGTGATAAACAATTGATTGAAGAAATCAAAGATTCAAATAAACATTTGATGTTTGAAGAAAATTGATCATTAAAATTTACCATGATTTCAGGTGAATACCCTGATAGCTTAAAAGCTTTATGTTTGAAATTGTTGTTAATTATTGTAACTGGTATGGACAATGTTAGTCAGAACACTTTGTTGGAATATGTTATGCTTAATAGTGTTTTTGAATCTCTGGTTCAAGTAGGTGTTACTTTTATATATTATTCAAAAACACAAATTAAATGAAATATTAATACATTCTTTTCGTGTAGTTATTAAGAGATACAACAGCTAGAAGTCGTCATGGACACGATGCAGTATTGCTGTTAACACTTCTAGTCAATTACAGAAAGCATGAAGGAGCAAATCCTTACATCGTTAAGTTATCAATTTTAGACGACGAGTTAGCACTTAATGGCTATGGACAAGTAATATCAAGTTCATTGATGGAATTTTGCAGACAATTTGCTCAGCAGAGAGCAGGTACAAAACATATGCATTTGTATATCTAAATCATTTAATTTATATTGATAACACAAATAAAATATATTAGAGGTACAAGCGTCCTGGTTATCATCTTTGACTAACATTGTTGGAAGTATGTTTGTTGGCGAGGAAGAAGCAAAAACGCAACAAGTGCGTGCTAATAATGCACTGTTATTAGCACTCTATGAAGCTACACATTTAAATCGTAATTTTGTAACGACTTTGGCATACACGCAAAGTGATACTAGCGCACCACCTTCGCCAAACAATACGTTAGGACCAAATGCAGTAGCTCCTGGAGCTCAGATGCCTGACGTCATGGCTCAGCCATTTAATTTACTGGCTACATTTTTACAGTATTGGTGAGACTTTATTTATTTATTATGGATAACATACAAAAAGTGATATTGAATGCATTATAAAATATCTGTTATTTCAGTTCAATAGTTATGCAAGTTATCAGAACAGAAGCGATAATGAACAACGTTAAGTTATGTTTTCTTATATTAAGTTGTATTGCAGAAGATCAGTATGCAAACAGTTTAATGCACGATGCGAATTTGGCATTCAGAGTACAGCTTCATCGAGTTCCTATGCATCATAGAAAGATACAAGATAAAATAGCACCTGCACAACCATTGGCAGCTACATTACTCGGTATGATTATTATACATACAAAGACAAATGTTCGAGTTATTTGAACGATCATTATGAAATTGTAGATTTACTTGTTGAATTTATCACATCACATATGATGAAAAAATTTCCGCTTGAACTATATCATCAGTGTATTGGAGTTTTACAAAGATTGCTTTGTTACCAGAAAAGATGTAGAGTTAGACTTGGATATCAATGGAGAGATCTTTGGACAGCATTGATCAATTTACTTAAATTTTTAACTACACACGAAAGTCATCTTATTAAGAAAATGAATATCTTCCCATTAGCTATTCAGGTAAATTAATATATCTAAATTTATTAAGATAAATATAAACCAAGAAAGTAATATTTATTTTATAGGTTGTAAATATCTTAAATTTATTTATAACTTACGGAGATACATTCCTGTCTTCTCCGAGTAGTTACGACGAGTTATTTTATGAAATAATACGAATGAGACTTATTTTTACAAATTTAAATGCAATGGGTATGTAAAGTACAAACAATTTTGCAATCATTTAAAATATATTTCATCATATAATGAAATTATGACTTGGATGTTTAAGCACTTCGATATTCGACAAGCGAATCTTACGAATACAAGGAACACGCATTAAAATTAACAAACTGTTTGGTGAACATGAGAGACATAGTGAATCATTTTCCTCCGAAAATAGCGGCATGGTTGGCAAGTGAAAGTTTATCAACTCCAACGGAACAACAAATTCTAGCAATTATAATACAAAATTATGATAGCCTTACTTTAAAATTACAAGATAATTTAGATCAGTATGAAAGATATTCTGAAAAACCTCATCACATTGCATTCTTTGAAGAAATGGTAATATATGATTGAACGTATGGAAGGTGAAATTTGAAACGTTTCTTTCATCTTGTTTTTTTATTAATTATTTTTTAGGTAACTGGAGTTGTAATTGATACCCGAGGATCCATAGATTTAAGTGCATTAGATACACAAGCTATATTACAAGAACTGTCAAATATTTCGTAACAGAGACTTCATATGAGATATGCAACAGATCTTGTATGTCATCTTGTTGTGATAATGTATTATAACGAATTCTCTTTTTGTAATACAGTCGGATTTTTGTATATGTTCTTACTAACGCAAGGAACATATAACAGCTTATGGAAATAACACATTGTAGTATTTTTTGTTGTTGCGCTATATTTCTACGGATTGTGTATACAAGTTTCAAAGAGTTATTAAAAATTGAATAAGTATAAAATATATATTTCGGTTTAACGGTCGTTTTGTAAAAATTACCAAAGTTACTTTTTACAATTCGTAATTTAAGTATAAATTAAAAACGTAAAAATGTATATTTTCTTTAAAAATACAGTTATGAGCATTTTCTTAAACACTCCTTTGCACAAAGTGCAACACCAGCTTTGGAATGATTTTTCCTTTGAAGTTGATTACTAATGAAGTCTCCAATTGCTACTATTTCATTGATATCTACTCCAGTTTCTAAACCTTGTCCATGTAAGAAATAAAGTAAATCTTCAGTAGCAACATTTCCAGAAGCACCTGGTGCATATGGACAACCACCTAATCCAGCAACAGATGAATCAAAGATTCTGATACCCTTCTCAAGGCTAGCATATATGTTTACCAAAGCTTGTCCATAAGTATCGTGACAATGAATTGCAAATTTATTCATGTCATTTGATACATGCTCCAATTCATGTAACATTTGCTTTATTTTATTAGGAGATCCCACACCAATGGTGTCTCCTAAAGAAATTTCATAGCATCCGTATTGTAGCATGAATGCAGTTAAATTGGCTACAACTGTTGGCTTAATTTGACCTTCATAAGGACAGCCTATAATACAAGATACATAGCCTCTGACTTTAACATCATGATTCTTTGCTTCTTGAACAACTGTTTTAATATTCTTCTTACTATCATCAATAGAGCAGTTGGTATTTTTTCTTGAAAAAGTCTCAGATGCTGCTGCAAAAACAGCTATTTCTTTTACACCTACCTTTAATGCATTTTCTAAACCTTTTATATTCGGCACTAATACCGGATATGAAATATCTGGTTTCTTATTAATTTTCTGATAAACTTCTGCATTATCTGCCATTTGTGGAATCCATTTTGGAGATACAAAACTTGTAACTTCTATATTTTTTAATCCAGTCTGTGATAATTTGTTGATAAATTCAACTTTGATTTCAGTTGGCACAATATTCTGTTCATTTTGTAATCCATCTCTTGGTCCGACTTCAACTACTTTCACAAAGTTACTAAACATCCTCATCTTTTTAAAAGACAAGTTACATATATTATTTCTATTAATTATTTTAAACATTGTTGATGTACAAAAAGTGTGGCAGTAATTACACATTCACTCAATATTTATACATTGGTTTTATTCAAATTACAGAAAAGAAACCTCATAAGTGTACATTACTTCTTAAAATATTAATTTTAACAATGTATTCGAAAATGATAACATATGTACATTGATAAAATATAATGATCAATAAAAAATAACGCTATCATTTAATATTGGATAACTTTATTTTAAATACAAGTTAAAACAAAATAAATAAAGTTATGAACAATAATATTGTAAAAGAAATGAAATGAAACAAAAACATTATTTAAGTCTAAATTACACAATACTAAAAACAAAATCTGTCGCTAATTATCGAAGTGAAGAATATAATGGCGCTAGTTGCTTCAACTCGATATATTTCACAGATAGTAGAAGAAAAAATAAACGTTTGTCAAACTTGTATTTTAAAAAGACCGCCATAAATTAAGTATTTTTTAAATTCGATCTTAGTGCCATCTATACACAAACGGTGGAAACTACAGGTGGAAACTACCGGGGTCTCTGACACCCCAGACGCCAAAATGTCGACATGCAGCAGTATGCAGTCACCGGTGCTTCGGGGTCCCTGGCACCCCAAGATGATATGTCGGTATACAGAAAGCGTCACCGAAGTGTTGGGGTCTCTGAAACCCCAGGTGTCATAATGTCAGTAGGCAGCGTCACCGGCAGCTCGGGGTCTCAGATACCCCGAATGCCGTATTGTCGGTAAGCAAAGAGTCAGTTTCACGATTTGTTCGTTTTTAGGTCTTATATTTCGCTAGATTCGCTCAAACCCATCACTATCCCGAACAAGTGAGTTTCACGATTTGTTCGTTTTCCGTTCTTATATTTCGCTAGATCCGCTCAAACCCATCACTATCCCGAACAAGTGAGTTTCACGATTTGTTCATTTTCCGTTCTTATATTTCGCTACTTGCTTCGGGGTCCCTGATACCCCGGTGGTATAATATAGGTATGCAGTGTCACCGGTACCTCGGGGTCTCAGATACCCCGAATGCCGTAGTGTCGGTATACAAGGAAAGCCATCGGTGCTTCGGGGTCCCTGACACCCCAGATGCCGTAAGATCTGTATACAAAGGGTATTATCGGTGCTTCGGGGTTCCTGACACCCCAGTACGATTTGTTGTTATGCAGAGAGAGTCAACGGTGTTTCGGGGTCCCTGACACCCCAGATACAGAAGTCGGTATGCTGTCGCTGGTACTTGGGGTGCCTGGCACCCCAAGATGATAGGTCGATGTACAGAAAGCGCATGTACTGGGGTCCCTGACACCCCAGATACCATAATGTCTGTTGCACTTGCTGCTGCTTTGGGGTCTCTGGCACCCCTAAATTATCTGAAGATCTTTTATAATAAAATAACAAATATAACAAGAGAAATGATTCCATATATTTTTATATGTTATATATTATTTATGAATATTGTAAACCGAGTTCCTTTTCATATACCCCTATTTTATTTTCGGCGTTCATTTAATTTGCTGTAATTATCTTCGTAGCTTATTGAATAAACTCATTAAGAGGACAAACGTGTTGATTTTATTATTTCTGTCTGCACCCTTTATATCTGATTCCGCTAGATCTCTGCACCCTTATATCACAACATTCCTTACATCCCAGCAACCCTTGCATCTCTGTATTCCTAACATCTCTTCATCCCTTACATCCCTCCATTCTTTTCATCCCTACATTCCTTACATCTTTTCATCCCTTACATCCCTGCATTCTTTCCATCCCTACATTCCTTACATCTCTTCATCCCTTACATCCCTCCATTCTTTTCATCCCTACATTCCTTACATCTCTTCATCCCTTACATCCCTGCATTCTTTTCATCCCTACATTCCTTACATCTCTTCATCCCTTACATCTCTGCATCCCTTACATCTTTGTATCACTTATATTCCTGCATTCCATACATCTCAGTACCTCCCTGAAATTGAATTGAAATATTTATGTCTATAAGGGCTGCGATTTTATACAAATTTAGTTACTTTTTTCGCCACCAGAGGGCGCTGATTCGACATCGAAATTTTAGTTCACATTTTTGCCGCCAGAGGGCCAAAAATGGTCCCTGGTTAAGTTCCTTTTTCCGAAACCAGATGGCGCTGATTCGACATCGAAATTTTAGTTCACATTTTTGCCGCCAGAGGGCCAAAAATGGTCCCTGGTTTAGTTCCTTTTTCCGAAACCAGATGGCGCTGATTCGACATCGAAATTTTAGTTCACATTTTTGCCGCTAGGGGCGCTGTTTTCGCGACATTTTTGTAGGGATGATAAGAATGTACGGATGTAAGGGATGAAGCGATGTAAGGAATGTAGGGATGAAAAGAATGTAGGGATGATAAGAATGTAGGGATGATAAGAATGTAGGGATATAAGGGATTAACAGATGTAAGGAATGTAGGGATGAAAAGAACATAGGGATGATAAGAATGTAGGGATATAAGAGATTAACAGATGTAAGGAATGTAAGGATGAAAAGAATGTGGGGATGGAAAGAATGTAGGGATGATAAAAATGTAGGGATTTAAGGGATGAACAGATGTGCGGAATGTAGGGATGAAAAGATAGATGAAAAGATAGATGAAAAGAGTGTAGGCATGATAACAATGTAGGGATTTAAGGGATTAACAGATGTAAGGAATGTAGGGATGATAAGAATGTTGGGATTTAAGGGATGAACAGATGTAAGGAATGTAGGGATGATAAGAATGTTGGGATTTAAGGGATGAACAGATGTAAGGAATGTAGGGATGATAAGAATGTTGGGATTTAAGGGATGAACAGATGTAAGGAATGTAGGGATGAAAAGAATACAGGGATGTAAGGGATACTGAGATGGACTTGGCGAGTTAGTGATGGGTGCGACTGGATCTGTAGCGCATGCGCACTACAATTATATATTATAAAACAAACTTGTAAATAATTAATAAATTATTCACTCACAAATAACGAAAATGATATATTTGTAAATCACAAACGGTGTCCAATCAATTACAGTTATCAATTATGACAAAATCTGTTTATTATAAAAAATTACTAAAAAGTTTCGGCTCGCATCATGATTGAAATAAAATTGCTAATTACAAAAGAACTAATTTGTCACAAACGTTAAAAATAGACTCACAATCAATCACAAACGATTTACAAACGAAATACACTAAGAAAAATTTAAAATAATCATATTTTATTATTCCTTCCGGCTAGCTTCATGTATACTTGATGTCACGAGAGTCCATAACTAAGCGCTCAGGTTGGAAGATGGTGGGGAAACGCAGCGATGGTGGGGGAAAGCGATCCGCCAATCGCTTTCCACTTCCGCTGGAAGTATCGCCAATCAGAGCGACAATGCGCAGAAAAGAACAAAAACTGGTCTTTTCGCAGTTATGGACTCTCGTGACATTAAGTATAGGTGACTTTATCATATAAAATCAGGAGTATATAAATCTCTATATATATAGAATCAGTTTGTTGGTTACAAAAACATGTTTCCAGCTTATGCTTACTTGTCAGCATATGACAGGCACAAGAAACTTATAAATGATTATTTGACATTACACGGGGGTTCGGTGTCAACCTTAAAACGGGACACGTATGTTAAATCTTTTAATTAGTTTTTTTATAATAATTTGATAACCTTGTCACTGCTTATAATTCATGAATGAATTAACATCTTCTAACTTCTGTTCAACATAAGCTTTAAATATTTCTGGATCAGATTTATTTAAAAGTAATAAAGAAAAATGATAAATTTGTAAACCTTAAACCGAGCAGCTCTTGACGTTTCGGCCTGTGTTTCGAGGTCCCGAGATAAGACGGACTATGACGTTATTAAAGAAAACCACAGATTTCTATGGGATGAGGATAACGATGAACCAGATACATGGGGTGCTAAGTTGGCAAAAAAGTATTACGATAAATTGTTTAAGGAATATTGTATAGCTGATTTAACATATTATAAACAGAACAAGGTAAATTACAAATAACAAAGGTAATTCTAACTTGATTTCTAAAAACTAATATTAAATAGGTTGCCTTAAGATGGAGAACAGAAAAGGAAGTTATCATTGGGAAAGGACAGTTTGAATGTGGAAATAAAAAATGTAAAGAAAGAGAAGGGCTTAAATCTTGGGAGGTAAATTTTGGCTATATAGAGCACGACGAAAAAAAGAATGCTCTTGTGAAGTTAAGTAAGTAATAAATTGTTTAAAATCTATATGCTTAAAGTATATGTTGATCATTAATATATGTTTTAAGGATTATGTCCTGAGTGTTCAATTAAATTAAATTATCGTTCGCAAAAACGTGAAATAAAAAGACATAAGACATTGAAGAGATTAGGAACAAATTCTGATATCCATATAAGTACATCCAGTACACCTAGTACATCCACAGTGACTGTTAAAACTGAAGATGAAATAGCTGTAGATAATGTAACTGAAGCTATGGAACAAACGGATAAAGATGAATCTAATATTTGGAAAGAGAAACCTGCTGATAATTTGGAAAAAACAAGGGAAGAAGAGTTTGAAGAATATTTAGCAGATCTGCTAATGTAAATGGAATAAAATTTTGTTTATAAAACATTATAATATCAAAAAATTATTTATTGCTGATACCATTGAAGAAATATAACAATTTCTATACACAACACTAGTCATATTTAAATAAATATAATTATAATCATTATAGCTTTATTCTGATTAATACGTAATCGATATTTTATTAATATATTACATGATAATAAAGTATAGCATATATTTTTTCAACTTTGATACATGGAGTTTACTGATTTGCAAAAAAATCAAATTTGCAATAGAAAAGAAGTCTAGCACCAACTAACATATATATATATATAACTAACATATACCATACCATATATGTATTATATATATATTGTACAATAAATAATCATAACTGTTTATTTTATTGCAGTCGAAGATTTTCAATCTCAGTAATATACACAGCTGATAATAATAAGTTTCTAATATAATCATTTACAATTCATAAATTTCATTTACCCTATTATTATCAGTACATTTCATAAATGAGGAAATAATACATTTTTGTAATAATTTTCATTAGTTCATTGAATTTTACTATCCTATTCGTATAATTTCAGTAAGCTAAAGTTTCGCGTAAAAAGACTATCCTAATTAATCAAACTTACAGTATTTTCAATGCCTGTAACACTAACTATACTCGTTCAATTTATGGGGAATTTATGTTTCATAAGATTAAATCTATAAAACATATGATACATATTTGAAGAGGTTTGATTTGATATTAACATATTTTGCATAATGCAAATATCTATAAATTCCAAATTTATTGTGCGAGAATCATATGTACCAAAAACTAAAACACAACCAAAGAAAAATATTGATAGAACGTCTATCACTTTTTATCAGAAAATAATTACTAGTATAAAACAATGTTTAATATTATACACTTGATCGACTTCTTTGAAGCATGATAATAATTTATGAACTCACAAAGGAGTATATAAATTTTTTAATGTATCTTCTATTATTTTAAGCATACGTTTAAATAAATATGAAGCAGAGTCAACAAGATATAGATTAACGTGCAAACTAATATACAATGCATTTTACAATAATTCGTAATTTGCAACTTTTCAAGTCATACTATATGACGATAAATTCAGTTCCAACACATTAACATCTATATACTATATTCATACCGAATTATTTATTTCACGGACACCGTTCTGAAGATAAAAATAATACGAAGGAATTTATGAACTTTTTCTCTATTGCTGTTATGTAAACATGAAGCTTGCTAATTATAAAAAAGCTCAATAAATTTGAGAAAAATTCTTAAACATAGCAACCAACTAGCAAAATCACAATATTATTCCGTGTATGAAAAAATATTGGAATGGCATATAATAATCGACATAATTTAATGAATTTCATCAAAATCTTTAAGTACAGCTATCATGTGGTAGAATTGTACTAAATCTTTTAATTCTTAATAAGCTGTCAAAGAGTGTTACCATAAAAAATAATTCAATTACAATTGGAATTCCTTGGGCATAATCTTACATGATTTGCTTGTTTCTGGGAATCGCTATCTTCGTCGCTACAATCTTCATCGTGTGTATGTGTTACATTACGTGGAGTTTCAGGTCTTGCATGTGGTATTTGACTGTTGGGACAATCCACGTACAATGTTTTCTATAAAATAATGAATAAAAATCGATGAAAACTTTTCTTATTCTATATAATACAAATAATTTTTATACGTACAGGAGGTTTACTTTGTTCTTCTTCTTCCTCGCTAAGCTTAAAAGTTCGTGACCGACTAATCATCGGTGTTTCCATAACAAATCTTTGTTCGTGAGCTACCGTACTCTCATGGGGCATCTTAAAATATGAAATCAAAATAAAATAACACGTCTTACAACGTACTAAAGGAAAATAATAAGTCTATCAACTTACCAACATGGCGGGAGCTCGAAACATGTATGAAAATGGATAATAAATGAGATTTAAAAAAGTTGCTGCATATAAATCAGCGTACCTCACTAGCTGACTACTGAAAAATGTTTGTCTACTACCACTACGGAATAACGAACCCATCATTCCGTATGATAAATCCATTTTGTGCGTAACGTCTCTTATCGATGCCCGCAATTTGGAAATGTCAGGTTTCTCTTTTGTGCTACTATCTAAATTTCTGAAGAAAACCAGATGTAAGGAATGATTACGATAATTAATAATTAATGTCTTATTAATTATTATATTTACTTGTACATTTCTCCTAACATAACATCTAAATTTTGTAACTCAGCAAATAATTGACATTTGTCCGTCCAAACATGAAGCTCTTGAACCAATTCAGGTACTATTAAGAACGTCCTCCAACCCCTAATTTTCTTGCTCTTTAAAATATCACCAAATATATGATCTCCAATATATAATACGTCCTTGCCTTTAGCGCCTATCAGTTCCGTGAAAACATCACAGGAACCTCCAGAATAAACTTCACCTGTTCGCATATGAAATATTGTATTACCACAATGTTACATTTAATTAAAGTGTATTTTCTCAATATATTACCTACCTGTATGAAGTGGTCCTTTATGTGTTCCAAGCTTTAAAGCCCCAGTTCTGGTATCTACTTGTCTTAGAATTGTACCCTCACCAAAGAACAATGGTTTCCTAGCATCTACTACGATAGTATCAAAATAAGTTTTCCAATTTCTGTGGGGTTCATCAGACTGTAAAGAAATCAATGTATCAGTATAATTAATCTGTAATGTCCTTTATTTTTGTGCAACAATTGTACACACACCTTTGCTCCATGAGGAAAGTCAAATAGATAAGTCATAATCTTATCAGTAAAAACGTAATCGCTATTTGTTAAAAGGAACACTTTCGCTCCGCTTTCTCTAATCCTATTCAAAAACATTGGTAGCCTTTGATCTTTCTTTACATATTCATCGAGATTCTCAATAGTTTTTGATTTAAGATCACCGTGGAGGTGGATCCAGTCCACCGCGTTCCTAACATCTTGAAATATACTTTTGAAGCTCATCGTCAGTTCACCTTCTTTCACCCCTGTCTTTTCGCGGGTGTATTGCGGCGAATTCGTGAAAAAGTCTATCAAACATGCTAATAAATACGTTTCAGGGAGATTGAACAATGTATTGAGCACGTATACCCTGGACTCGTCCAATTGTAAAAATTTGTTTGGATAAAGCTCGTATACTTGCGAACTGAAACAGAAAAAAAAAATGTACAAATGATTGATCGATTGACCCAGTTTTAATAAACATGTTCAGTGTTTTTACTGTTGCTTACTGTTTCAAAAACTCGAAGCCGTGAACGCAAACCAGAATATTTCCATAAGCGTCCACTTTAAGAAGATTTCCATAAAGTGTGTCGAACCATAGTCCTCGTACCGGAAAACTTGGATCGTATTCGAACGCTTTGATTTCTTGCGGGTATCCCAGAGATACAAGACGGTCCTTCAATAACGTGAAACCCAGTTGCTCGTACTGCGGCGACTTATACTCTATAAAAAAAAATATTATAAATTTGAATATACATATTATTTTTGAGAATTAATTACTACTCACCCGCCAACGTGTAATCCATATCGAAGCCATAGAATTTGATATTCTCTAAATGAAGACTACGGTTGACAAAAATTCTGTAACAAAAGTAAAGGAATAAAACTTAATAGCATATTTTTTTATTCCAGTAATATAGTCACATTTAGTGCAGATTAAGTACATGTGAAGTATTGTTTTTTATTCTTCTAATCCCAAAGAATTGAAGTGTCTTTATATTTTAGGAAAATTAGGAACAATTGTTGTTTTAAAATTATGACTGCAAATTTAAGAAAATTTTGGAAATTAAAACAACTAATTAATTGTCAAACCTGTTTGTGGCAACATGTCTAGCTTTAACGCGAGTTTCCGAGAAAACTGTCGATATACGAGGCAATCTCATAATATCAGAATCACTCATTTTTGGCATTATTTGCATGCCATCTTTAATAACGCTCATTTTCTCGTTAATTAAGAGCATGCAAGTTTTTTGTATATTCGAAATAGGAATAAATAGTCAACAGTTATGAAATTGTATATTTTATTTCAACTGTTGTTACCATCGTAACGAACATGTTTGCATTGAATTTCAAACGAAGAAAGTTTTGTGAAGGTTTTAATGCTTTAATTATTGATTGCATCGATTAAATTACAGAATTTAAAATGAAAATTATATAGCGCAGTTGGAAAGTACAATAACCGAACACGCTGGGCTTCTCTAAGAAAAATAGCGCAAAAAGTATAAATAATTTAAAAAAAAACATTTGTACTATATATTTTATACATATTATATATAGTGCTATATATTTGGGGGTCCTCCTCCCTAGATCAGCATTTTCCCTAAGGAAGCCTAACATGCGGGGTATTGTATGTACAATGATATAACATATGCAGGAAGTAAAAAGAACAAGATGTTTAATATAAGTATCAATAAATAGAGCAGGAAAAGATTTGTTACATCTATCAGTTCCGCTTGTGGAAAGGATGATAGATGTTATCCAATTGATAATCTCATTTGATTTATATTGAGTTGGGTAGCCTCAACGAGTGTTCATACCTAATTAAAACGGACGTTAATTTATTCGTGCGATGATAAAGTATTGGCACAATTTACATTCCCCTCTTCACTCGTTTATATTAAATATATATGTGTGAACTTATTACACATAAAATCTCTTTGATAACAAAAGACAAATTATGATAATGATTTGTTACTAGATCAATTTGGATAGTGGATTTTCAACGTATGTTGTAATCGACGTCATATATCGATACTAATTCTCGAAGCGGAAGTAGATTTTCCTTTTAAATAGAAAGCTTCTTTTTTTCAATTAAAAGTTTGTGTTTTATACAAAAATAATTGCCGTCATATGTTATCTTTAAAATGAAGTTATTTTTATAATTCACTCGTAAAATGATACGTTAATGTTACTTCTTATGTAAGTGATATTAGGACGATAACTTATCGACTGGTTTGTTGGAGATTCAGCAATTTTCTAACACAAGAGAAAAAACGAGGAACTTACTCGTTTTGGACGTTGCGTCGCGAATTCACGAAATTCGCAGCCGGTAAAGCGTCGTCATTCACATCCTTCAGCCACATTTTTCGTTATTTTCAAATAATCATCGGCGCCTCGTGATCGATATGCGTACCTGTTAGTCGGTAATAACAGCTTCGATAGAATCGAATCGATATAATGGATGAAAAATAGGAGAAAAGCTCGGTGAAAATAAAGTGAAAGCAAAATTTTGTTCCGCAACTCTTCGAAACTCATAGTTTCTAAATATGAAACACGCAGTTGATGCAATATCTCAAGAAGCTTAATCTTTTAGTTATTAATTTTCTTGTATTAACTTCGGTGACGCGCTAAATGTTGAGGTTATTTTACAATTTACTTATTATAACACATTGTTCTTATTTCGCACTGTTCTCAACATAAGCACTGTCTAGCAGTTCATGCGAAAGGAATAAACGTAGATTCCAGGAAACGAAGATCATTATTCCACATCAGTGATGTCCTGTTGATTAAGTGACGCATCAATTCGTCGAACTGCACGTTTTAGATTAGACAGATAGAAAATAAGAGCTACGTATGTACATGATTCTTCGGATAGTTATTAAAATTAACCATGTTTTTGTTTCAGGGCCGGCTCTGAAATTTCGGAGATCCGAGGCGAGCACCAAAAAGGGCCCCATCACATAAAAAAAGTACCTCAAATAAAATTTATAAAATTAACATTAAAGCTCATATAACTAATTTAGATTTGCATTTACAAGTAAACATTTCTCTTCTTGCATTCTTACACGCAAAATCGTCTTATGGGGGCCCTAGGCGGCCGCCCAGTCTGCCTAGGCCCAGGGCCGCCCCTGATATCGCAGACGCGTATCTTTTGTCACGGAAAGGTTATGGTCAAGAAGGTATCGCTACAGCACGAACCAGACGGAAAATAAAGTTATACAAAAAATATGTATTCTACAAGATAACGAAGACAATACTTATCTCAAAACAAATTAGTTTAGATGAATGCATTTCTCTTTTCAGCGATTTACTTAAGTTCATAAATAAATCATCCATTTATTTTAGAACGTATGTATGTACATGTATAATATTATCTACAATTAACGAAGAAAAGAGAAGACCTAACGAAGTAAATTATTGCATTATTTTACATAATTGTATAAATGACATGTAATTTATATCGAATGTCAATGCCATACCGAGTACATTATTCCAAGAAGCGGTATCTACAAAGCAAGTATTCTACGTGCGCTATCATCTTGTTTAGTGTCTCTTTTAAAGAAGATCAAAGGTTTCATTCAACTCGAATTTAGGAACATACATTTGTTAATATTTTTTGTCGTCTTTAAGACCTATGTAGAACATTTTCTATCCTCATATGTCATAAACGATTGAAATACATCCAGTCTATGGTTTTGAAGATCTAATTACAGGGCTTTTTGAAAGATTGATAAGTTTATCTTGTTAGTTAACAAGAAATGAGAAAGCCAATTACATATATCGCACCATGTATGACCCCACGCGTCGTATATCTATACTAAAAAAAAAAGGGAGAATTTCCTTATCGTTATCGCGGTAAAGAAGAAATATTAATAATCACTTAAGACGAAAAATAAGTTGGAATGAAAGTATGGATTAAGTTTACATTACGTCAATTTATTTTAGATCAATTTTACCTTGATGCAGATTATTTTATTTAAGTCACTGACGTACACGATTTCGATTACATTTATCGCGTCACTGAAGTTTATTTTATTGTAGATAATACTTAAACAAAATAATGAAGTGGATTGTTGTTTTATGAGACATTGTTTCTTAATAGGGTTCAATAAGTCGGTGAATACACGTGTAGTTCACTCAATTGACGCCTTAATTACCTACTATTCTATTTCGCCTCTATACTCTTCTTTTTCTATTCAAATCAATATATGTACACTAAATGTTTTTAATAAAATATCACTGGTTTATACGGCACTGTTCCTTAGTGAAAAAACAAAAAGAAGAACTTTTGGCGATGAACAAGCCACGTGAAAATCGCGAGGAAAAAAAACTACGATCTGATCCGTTCGATGATCAAACATCAACTGATCCTTGACTTGCCGAGTAAGTGGTTAATATGTGGCGATAGGGATTAATTCATCGCCTTCCGGACATAAATCCGGCCTGCCTCTTTTTAACATGCACACAGATCACTTAGCGTTACCAGTTACAACTGAAAATATTCTTAAAATAAAGGTAGAAAATTAACTAATATTTCATGGTCACATAAGTACGTCACTTATGTTGCAGTGTACCGGTAGTCGGTATTTGGGAATACACTGAAAGAGACACGATGCGTGCCAGAAGCGGACTATGAACAGCCATCTATGGTTACTACGTAATAATAATTTGAATATGAATGATATTGTTCTCAATATGCTATAATCCATTAAGTTAACACTTAATGAAATACGTAAATAAAGGATACGTTATAAAAAGATACTATATTTTAATAACTGAATATATCAATCTTCGTTCAGTGGAAGTTTACCATTTAACGAGGAATTCCAATTTGTCTCACGAAATCGCGTGCAATACTGAACCACCAGAGGTGCAGAAATTGTATTTGTGATATTTTCATTTATGGCTTGAACTTTAGCGCAAGGTGTTTCAGACACGAAGCTGTAATAATACTCAAATGTCTCGTAAACAACTTGTCATTTTCTCATTGATATTTGGAAATATATCCACTGGAGCATAAAACTTTGACCAAAATCAGTGATAAGAGTAAAGCTATTCGTAAGCTTTAATTGCCAGTTGAGCATTTAAAAAGCTTATCATCTGATGCTGATAAAGATGGATTTTCATAGAAAATTATTAACAAGTAATTAACTGCAATGTATTATATGATTCTTTACATAGAGTTTATCAAATGCTTCTCGCTAGTTCTGTTATCGCATAACCATCGGATCTCAAACTATTTTCAAATACAATTTTGCTTTCATGAAACATCTGTGTATACATATACACTTATCACTGTCAATTTACGTATCGCGACTCAGGTTAGTTTCTGCTCAGTTCATACATGGGAACTCCTTCGTTACCGACCTAAAATTAGACCTCCCAAACTCGACCTTTCGATACAACCTAGATTTTATTGGAACTTTCGATCCACTGTTACGTAATCCCAGATAATTGCCAGAATTTCGTTTTTCAGGACAAGTATTTATTAAAAAATAAATGAAAATGAAAAAAAAAATTAAAGAAAGAGTTAAAATGAAATTAAATTAGATTTTAAAATAGGATATTGGAAATTTTAATCAGATTTTTTTAGTTAATTTAGATAAAGTAAATTGATAATTTATAATATTTAAATATCTTCGTGTTATAATTACTCTAGAAATTGCTAAAATAATTTTAAAAAAATAGATTTTTGCTATAGAAGATCTAAACGGGGGTAATATTCTATAAGAAAAAATAATAATAATAAAATAAATAGAGTAACAAACTATTCGCGCGTGAACAAGGCAAACAAATGTGATACGATTGAGACAGGAATGCCCATATCAAATGTGTCCATAATTCTAGAGTAATCTAAAAGTTATAATTGAAAGCTTCCTTACTAGATAATCGACTTGCCGCTATTAAATTATTCAATCAACACGCTAGAGCACTGTTTTAATTGCTCTAACACGAATTTCTTTCGCAGTTTGGTTCACGCTATTGACTTTCAGTTAAGTCGGTCAAGCATTGCGCGAGGATGCACACATATACGTATGAGTTTCTGTTAAGATATGCATCGTCTACACTTTCACTCCGACTATTTTATTCACTGTCCACATCACATCGACGTTCTTTTAAAAACGACCCATTAAAAAAATCTGAGAAACAAAGATGATAAAAAATGTCAATAAAAACTCGAGAATAAGCCGGAGAAAAAACGTAGCTGGGTTTTTAAATCTCAGGAAGCTAAAACGAAGGATAGAATGACTAACGACGGATTGCTTCATCTTCATGGAAAACTTCTCACTCCGTTATCGGTGAAATTGTTACGTATAGATAAAAGCGTATGAAATTAAGATCACTGTTTCGATCGTAATTCAGACACACGCGTACGTCCACTTAGCTGTCCCGGCTAAAATTAAATTCTAAACATAACTAAATGCACGTTTCCACGGCGTCTTTTGCTTTGTTCGAGCAACACAACTTCGCTTTAACTCTGTATAAGAGAATGTCATCTATCTCAATTGAATAGACATGGTCGAGTTAATTCATTTTGTTACAAGATATTCCTCGATTGTCCCTTAATTATTTGAAGCAATAAACAAGCTCCTGACGAATGGCCAACCCGCCAACCTAATCTATAGACACCCTCCTGGTAAAATGGATTCCTAACAACGTCAAATTACTTATACTGTGTTAAAAAGAACAATGGATTCGGTAGCGCTTGTAATTCAACCTTGTATCCCACATAACATAACATATATTTCATTATGCGCATCGGAGGAAGGTTTATGCATACGTTTAATCATTTTACAAAATGGACGTTTACGTTTTCTATAAGGTTCGAGGGCCTTACGTTGGGGATTGTAAGTTGGGTTGAAGCTACGCATGAATCAGCACGCATTCTTTCAATTTTGAACCTCCTTTTCGGATCCAATCGCGTCATAAGTCGGGACACGTTGTACAAGTCACGTAGCTTAGACCTGTTTGAGTAATCTCAGGATCCAAGACGAGTAATCTCTGCAAGTACAACTAAAAGTGGTTCAAAGTTGAAAAATAACAAAGACTATGGAACGCTTGTGATTCAGTTTGTTTTTCAAGACAAAATAATTCGTGTCTTTCTTTATAAACTGATAACATTTTTCAAACTAATCTATTTTCGATTATCCTATTGTTTCACATGGCGTAACTTGCGTTAGAGTCTTAGTTAAATGAAAAAGGCTGGCGATGACGGAATTGTAACTGGAGCATTTTGTAACATGTTTAGTGTTTTTATTTGCTTCTCGAAGATACTACGTTGCAGACAGTATTTGTCGTCCCATTCGTTATCAGAGTTTCTCATTGCCGACAATAAGCGACAGGAGAGATAACAAAGAACGAACATTATTCGGCGTTAAATCGAATATGCACGCTACACCTTTATCACGCACGATCGTTACTTTACACCTGTGCAGGGTATTTCAAAAGAGTGGATCATTCTTGAAAACAAGATGTATCATTTTAACGCGGAACTTTCTCTCCTTTCAATGCAAATTTTTAATTGCTTTACATAAAAATGAATGTACATAATAGCTTCTGTCATAATTAAGAAATGCAGTGACCAATCAACAGGAAATTTCCAAAACTTACTGGAGGACAATTAGAACCGATGATTCATCAACCTAGCACAAGGTGCTGAAAGTCTGCATTGCAGTGAGAGGAAGTTACACGTGTATATTTACCGTAGAAACAACACACCTAAAACCATTTATTGGCGAATAAGAAATAAGATGTGTCATTATCAAGACTCTTCCCTTTACTTTCACAAGATCCATGCGCCCTGCATTCGGTTAACACTTCTTTTGAAATACGTTGTAGATATACTTATTACATGGAGGGTGCAGATCGTTGCAGATACGCGCGCGCGCATTATTGGCGGACCAGGAAGAGACACCCTCAAATATATCTAATTCCCTTTGATGAACTTGATACAATTAAAATTCTGAACTTTATGCGGTAATATTAATGACCCAACGTTCACTTTGTTAATAAAGGAATTTCTAAAGAGTTAATTATTTGATTGAAAGAATAAGTAAATGAATAAGGATGTATGGGTGTTCGACAACGGGTGGGAGATTTTTTAAGGGATCAAAATAAGACGAAAATCAAGAATGACGAGATAGCGTTTGCGGCTTTGTTTTCCACTGATTAACGTTTAAAAATTCGAGTAAAAAGCGCCTAAAACCTGCAATCTGTCCAGCACCGACGACCGAACGTCAGGTAAGCAGGGGTATAGAAACTTATAAACGTTAATTACTGGAGAACAAAGCCGCAAACGCTATCTCGTCATTCCTGATTTTCGTCTTATTTGGATCCCTAGAATCACCCCTTAAAAAATCTTCCATCTGTTGTCGAACACCCTGTACATACTTCAGGAAAAAAGGATCAATCCCCGAATTGTCAGAATGAACTGAAAAAATTTACCTGTGACCTAATTCACGTTTGTCTGTTCTTATGCCGTAGTTGACCTCATTGTAGCTATCCAAGTATTGTTTGCTAAGTTCGTTTCTGGTCATTCTCATCCCGGTATCTAAAGGGAAGTTGAACATCGACTGATGATACGACTCCTCGTGGAAGATGTTCAACTCATCCGGAAAACGGACTTTGCACCCTGCTCCAGAACATTCGAATGCTGGTTACTGGCCAAGGAAGAGCTTCACCAAAAGGTATAAGAGAGGATTGTACAAAAGAATATTTCTTTTTATACAAAATAAATGAAACAATTGAAAACAACCCTTTAAAGTTTGATTCTAATTCTAGAAAGATGCCAGTAAGAGTAGTTGATATCTTATCACATAATGAAAAAGTACGTTGCACTTTCTTGTATCACGTGTAGATTAGAATATAGATAGCAGGTAGAATGAAGAATTATTACCAGTCTTGTTTGGCGACGTAACCAGCAGATTTGGATTCTGACGATTCATCACGGACCAGTTGCGAAATTATTCTTAGAGGATTAATCACTATTAACCGGGAAAGATCGAAAATATTTTGTTTCGTTAACTGACCAACGCGAACGACAACGATGTAATGAGCAAGTATAGCAAACATTTTTGGACGCGTATAGGCGAGCAAACAACACAGAAAAATATGGCGAGAATAGCAACGACGATAAGAAGGCTGCAGGGGTCATTCGCGTGACGATAGGCAAGAAGGAAAAGTACACAGAGGCGTGATAAGGAATCAATTAAATAAACACTGAATTCATTGCAGTCATGAATGAAGAAGGAAGATTTTTACGACTCTTAAAGAGCCCGTACGTCTTCATCCAAATTCCAATAATAGAAAATAATCAAATTACATTTTTTTAATTAAAATATATTTTTTTTGTACCGTTACGGATAAGCAGACGTTTCATTTTTTAATTATTATGTAAGAATATATACTGTTGTGCCATTCTTTAACTTACCCACTCTCAATTATATTATTCCAGTAAATAAATGTGTCTACTTTTACCATGTAATCAGAAGCTAAATGATGTATACATGTAACAAGCAAAAAAAAAGCAGAGTGAACGTGTAGTGATTGAAGATAGTAATTTTAAACGAGGCGATGGCAAGGAAACGAACGAGTTTTCCTTATTATGTTTTCTATTTGTCCCATACAATTTATTCGTGCAATTGTGTAAATTATTAGTCACGAATAAGGGTACATATCAATACCCGAGGTGCGAGCGTCTTCGGGGCAATACAATGCACGACAGTAAGTATCTATAAGTTTTGTCGCGTGATCCAAAGTATTCAACGATCGAGGTGAAAATAAATTAAGCTGAATGAGTTATTTTCGCCCAATATGATCATACCACCTCTTACGTCCTTCACAGTTTTACAAATATATTACAAATTTTTTGGGAACTTAACATACACCTTAAGCATAAATATTGATACGATAAGAGACGAGAAAATAATTAGATAGCCACCTGCCTGAATTACTTGAGTTTCTTAGAATTAATATTCAATAAGAATACTAAATCATTACGGCATTGGATTATCGTAATAATAAGGATCAACGACGAATGATAATTAATTTTCTCATGATAATGTCCAAGTAAAATTATAAAACTATTTTAGATGTATTTTCATGAAATTTTTTTAATTAATTTAATATCTCCAAACAAATTTTGTTTGTATAATTTAAATAATGTTCTCGAAATAGATTGTTTTATTTTATAGACTTTAACATGAAAAAGAAATTACTAACCTTTGGCTAGCTTGTCGATACCACTTTTTAGTGCCGGTAGGATCATTTTCGTGTTGAGGTGTATTCGGTGCAGTATTTTCATGATCTCCGTGGGAATTACAATTTTCCAATTCCATGATTATCTGGAAAGAAAATTTAGAACAATTCGTTAATTTTCTATTCATTCAGCTTCCATGTATTGTGAATTTGAAATATTTACTACAGGAATATCACAAACTAAAAATCACTTTTTATTGTTTTAATCATGAGTTTCGATGATTTTATTATTAGTGAAAAAAGATCATTATTGCATATGTTTAATGAAATGTTGCAAAATGTATGCATTATGAATAACAAAGCATGTGTTGCAAAAAGCTTGGGAATTTTGTGAATTATTAGACTGACGCTGATACGGTATCCGTTAACGAAATTTCTTATCAGTAGCATACAAGGACGTACCCAATGCAATCGAATTTTTAGGAATATGTTTAATATCTTGTACAAATATAAATAACACAATTCAGAATAATTTTTTTTGTATACCGACACACGATACACAACCTGACAGACGAGTACTAAGTACTAACTCAACACTGTCATACAATGAAAAACGTCACCGCGAACTTGGGTCAATTCACTGAATTGCGTTGACCTCCGCGCAGGTATACCAATAGAGAAAATCAAAGTATTCCTATGCGATTTAAATTGCCGAAATGTCGATGACGCATGTGTTACGATATTTGAAAAAGATACAATGGAATAAATATTATAATCTCAGTTCATGATAACTTAATCGAATATTCCTTATCAAATGAACAATTTAATAACGTATATACAACTTACAGTTAATAAAAACACTTCTTAATTTTCTTTTTCTCATTTACAATGTGTGAAAATATGTAGAATATAGTTACAAGAAAAAATAACTATATAATAGTCAATATTACGTATAATTAATTCGTCAATTATGATAACATATGTTCAATTATATTAAAGAAAATGACTGCACAATATATGTAAGAAAGGTAATAGATTAAAAATAAATGGCGCCAAATCTATATATTCGAATATTTAAACAACAAAAATAATTATTATAAAAAACATCAAATATTTCTGTATCCATAATATTATCCGATAAACTAAAAGATTATACATATTTAATAAATAACGATGACGAATACTTGAAGAATACGTAACAAAAAAATAAAGTATTGAGATAAGCAAATAATGCGCACAATTAATAAAATTTTGTAGAATATGTGACATACTTAAAAACTCGTTGATTCATCTCTATATTTCCATCTTTCGTATCAGCATTTTATCGATGATTTCAATGGAAAGAAGGAAGAAGGTAATTATCAGTAAATGATGCACCTGCCAGACAGTTGAATTGTGAATTTCACGCGGATCACTTTGACCTGCAAAGGCGGCGGACGAATTCGTTCGTAGCGCCGTGTATAACCCGTCCGTCCGCTGTCGTCTGAACGCCATAATTCGAGGTAAAATTCCATAGTTCGCAACTTTCGCAATTTTCCACGCGTCCGCGGTACACATCGTGTACTCAACAACAGTTAAAACGAAGTCCCGAGGCCCCTATGGCCAAACAGTTACGTTGCATCCTCTCTATTGCGTAAAATTAATCCGATTTAAGTGACCTCGACGCGACATAACCTAACAACTTTGTCTGCTGACAATTCCGGACGACCACAATACGGATCGTGTCTATGTTTACTCAGTTCTGTTAGAAACACACGTATGAAATTACGGCTCGAACGTTTGGAATGCGTCAGGTAGTGCATGATCATCGAAGTACCGTCACTTATATTTCATTCTAGCCCAACCCATTTTTTTTTTGCTCTCCGTTTGGGCCATCCCACGAAACTGTGTCATGTTCAAATCATCAGTTGTGTCTTTTATTTGTTTACAAATTTTAGCATAATTCTTATTGCAACATCCGCAATGATTTTTTACATTTCTGCCAAACAACACGTGAATACATAAATAATAAAATCACATAACCTTTACATTGAATTCATTCAATTTCATTGCAAAGCTTATTAATTAAGAATCTGTTTTTCTGTCATTTTAGATCATATTAATTCTTATACTTATTTTAATTAACTTCGATTATTTGTTTTGTCATATTTCTTGATGTTATGTAATGTTAATTATTTTCTCAACTTTTAGTTTAATGTATGAATATATTTTGATACATTTTATTTTTACATAGCTATGATTTTTCTTATGTTATGTATCTACTTATTTTTTGCATGTTATAATAAATAATGTATATTTTTTGTATTTCTTAATGTTACAATAAATTTCATTTTTATATAACAAAAATTTGTGTTTTATTTTCTAAGGTATTGTACAATATTATTGCACCTTACATTTATATTAAAAACACAAGAGTTGATGTTATTTATTATTAAAATATAATGTAATTAACTATGTTCTATTAAAATTTTAATCAAACAATATTTTTATGTAAATACATATCATCTTTTGTGTCATATAATGTAATTTTAACATTATCTTTAGTTTTATAATTATTCTAATAAATTAACATTAATTATCAAAAGCAATGGTGTGTTAAGACATCAAACTTCCTAACAATTGTGGCCTAAACACTTGAAGGAATTTGATAAATCAGGAAGATGAATAATCAAGCATTCAGTTTAGCAGAAAGACTTATTCCTGCAACTTATGTGCAACAAGGTTTGAATGCAAAAAAGACAAGAGAAAATCTTATAAGACATTTCATTGAACATGTAAGATGTTACTTAAAATTCTAATAATAAGATGTACTAATAATTCATATCATATGATTATTAATATGAATTTTTGAAACAGCAAAAGTGGCCAGAAGAAGGATGGGACGATGCAACCATTGAAGCTTTCCTCTCAGATCTATCACAAATGGATAGCAACAACTTTCCTTCTAACTGCAGTGTAGGAGAACGTGAAGCAAGAATTGTATCAAACATTGTAGCAAGGCGACATTTTCGAATGGGTCATGGGATAGGTAGATCAAGTGATTTAGAAGAAGTACAACCAAAAGCTGCAGGAAGTAGCCTAATGTATAAATTAACAAATGCTTTAGTACTTGAAGTTATTCGATATATGGGTAAGATTATTTTAAATTCTTTAATATGTATTCCACAAATGTAATGTACTAGGAAATATTTTTATTTCAGGTGTAAAAAGTATAGCAGGTTGTTTTCTATCACCAATGGCTACAGGCATGAGTTTGGTGTTATGTATGCTAACATTTAAGCAAGATAGACCTAGAGCAAAGTATGTGTTGTGGCCTAGAATTGATCAAAAGTCAAGCTTCAAATCAATAATCACAGCTGGATTAGAACCAATTGTTATTGAAACAAAAATAGTTGGAGATGAATTGAAAACAGACATGCAGAGACTGGAATCTCAAATGGCAGCTTTAGGTGAAAGTGTTGCTTGTGTACTAACAACAACTAGTTGTTTTGCACCTAGAGCATGTGATTCTATTGATTCAATTGCAGCACTTTGTACACAATATAACATTCCTCATTTAGTAAACAATGCCTATGGGTAAGTTTTCATGTATATATTGAAATTTTGCATTATATTAGTATTATATTTTTAATTGCCAACAGCTTACAGAGCACAAGATGTATGCATCTTATACAAGAAGCGTCACGGAAAGGTCGCGTCGATGCTTTCGTTCAAAGCACAGATAAAAACTTTTTAGTACCAGTAGGTGGTGCAATTATTGGTTCGTTCGACAAGAATCTTTTGGATCGCATATCAAAAATGTATCCTGGTCGGGCAAGCGCAAGTTCTATAATGGATGTAATGATAACGTTGCTTAGTTTGGGGATGGCGGGATACAAGCAATTAATAACGCAACGTAAAGAAATGTATTCATATTTAAAAGAAGAGCTCGGTAAATTAGCAGCAAGACACGATGAAAGATTATTAGATACCAAAGGAAATCCTATATCAATGGGAATGACTCTTCAATGTCTAAGTCATCAACATGATAACAAACAGGTTACAATGTTAGGCTCAATATTATTCCTTCGCAATGTTAGCGGTACAAGAGTAATAACAACAACAGAATCTAAACATATTGTTTCACACAAGTTTGAAGGTTTGTATTTAATATAATGTGAAATATATATTGATGATACTTAAACATATTTTATTTTAATCAGGTTGGGGAGCACATAATAGTAATTACCCAGTACCATATTTGACTGCTGCCGCCGCTTTAGGTATGAAGCGATCAGATGTGGATATATTTGTACAACGATTAGATAAAGCTTTCACTAAAGTAAGGAGGCGTTCAGCTCCAGTCACACCAACAGCATCTCTTGCCGGATCTAGTATTAATGGAGATGCAGGAGGTACTGGAGGTCCTGGAGAATCAAGCACACCTTCAACTAGCCGAGCAAGTAGTAAAGATAGTTTGAGAAAATGAACCGTAATCAACGCAACTGGCCAGTCGAACCAGTACATTAATTTGTAAGTAAATTATTACTTACATACTTACAATTGCATACCTCTAAAGAACAATTTCAACATCTAAGAAAAATACTTACACTTTATTTCAAATAATTATATTTTTATGATTTGTTTATTTAAAGCTCGTTCGTTCTATGTTTGAAATTACTTTTTAACTAATTGAAATATTTAACAAAATATTTCATTTTATTGATTTATTAAGAGCTTACAGTTTATTAGAACAAAAGTACGTTTCAAGGAGGTATGTAATAAGAAAATGTGCTGATTCGTCTGTCCACTTGCGTTGTAATATCGTTAATTGCTACGAAGTAAAGAAAAGGAGTTCCATACAAACCACATTAATACCTAAACTGACTAATATCGGAACTGATATTTGAGAAGAAAAGAGAAATGTTGGAATATATATTTAAAGATATTAACTGGTAAGCGCTGGCAGCAGAACTATCTGTTACATTTATTCTATGTTGTAATATTTTTGCAGTTTTAAAGCAAGGTATACGCATTATTTCGATTGTAAATTATTTAATTTATATTCTTTTCACTTAATTAGTCAGTAATTTATTTTGACTCATAATAATATATGAAATTTATTTTTATTTAGAAATAACATAATTCTATTGATGGTTATAGTAAAAAGGCGTGTTACTACTTGTAAAGAGAAGTTTATAGTAGATACAGTATTTGCTTAATCACATGTTATAGAAAGTGTATACAAAAATTAGGGGCACTATACATGAAAAAATATATTTCAAATTCTGTATAAATGAATTCAGTGGTTTTAATTTTCATGTTACTTGTTTTTCACTTTATAAATATTTAGTTATTACGAAGACACGTAATTATGAACATATGTTCACTTTTTTAGTGATTGTTGTAACAAGTAATTTAATTCAATATTTAGTTGCAATTTGATTTGAATTAAGTCATTGTTTTTTTCTTTACAAATGCAAATATATAAAAAGAGCTGCACAAGTTTGGATGAAGTATTGTATTAATATTGAACCATTTTTTCTAGATGTATATACAGATTTCTGAGTACATCTAAGTATATACAATCATTTGTGTACACATAATCAAAAAGTCACAATTTTTAAAGATTCACCTTTAAATAAATCAATATAAATATCTCATTTTTTCATATATTATCATTTATGACTATAAACATTACACAGTAATCATATTATATTTATGTTATATTCTTTTCTTTTTATTTCAATTCTTATTTAAGTAAAATTAAACTATTTAGACTTTCTTCGCATAACATTAATGTATACGTATTCAAATTGCTCAAAGAAAGCAATACGATGTATCAGCGTATGATGTATGTATTATTATTTTCCATAAAAAATGCTGTTGGAAAAAATGAAAGCACGATTTATATTATATTTCATGTATGATTTAAATATATAAATAGATAATTTCTAAATTAGTAAAATGTAGCAGAATTTTTATTCACGGTGAATCACATGTTATTGTAGAATGTATGATCGTTATAACATTAAAAAAACGTAGTAAAAACGATAAAAAACGTAGAATAGTACATGATACTGTACTGTATGCTAATGAAATTTCACTATGCAAACAAATGTTTTATATATCATAGTTCATTTATTTATTAATGTAGATAGACCAGTGTATTGGATTAATTTTGTAGATTATAATTTAATATAAGGAAAGATCATCTCACATCCATATATAATACATGTTTTTTTTACATGAAACAACGATCTTTATGGTCTTATTTCATTAATGTTTTTTTATTCTTTTTGTAATTTATATACTCTAATTCCAATCAATACCAATGTATACAATAGATGGTTTGTCTATTTGGAAAAGAATGTCTTATAAGAAGAAGTATTATACAATAAAATGGCATAAAATTTATTAAGTGAGGTCCACCTGTTACATTCCTAAGTTTATTGCAGTTAATGTATACTATCGGCTGTGAATATATTTTACTGAATATATGTTATAAATTAAGAAAAAATATAATTATTCCTGGTCCTGGACTCAGTTACATCTTTAAGATAAATATTTTGTTGTTTAATCTTAATATTCAAGCAAAATCTATATATTGCTGAGATTGTATATACGCAATTGTTTTAACATTTTTTAAAACAAATACATGTATAAGATATATGAAATAGTAGACTAGTCAATGTAAACTATAATATGTATTTCAACATATGTACAAAACATTCATTAATCCTAATATTAAACTCTCCCAATCATATTCTATTACTTAACTGACCATTCTACACATGTAATTGCTTAAAAATCAGATGAAAATTGAATTTTAAATTGAAGATACATAATAAAAGCAACGTATGTACAAAACATTAATAGAACTGTGATTAATTTTATCACATAACAGTTAATTTAATATTTAGACATACATAAATAATTGTAAGCTCTTCCTCAATATGACTATTGTGTGATAGTTAATGCTTTATTTGTAACATATGCAACTATTGGATAAATAAAAATAAAAATTTAAACAAAATTGTTTAAAAGTAAAGGTAAGTAAAGCCTCGCGAGGTCGCAACATTGTTTTAAAACAATTCTTGTAAAAAATGGACCTAAATTAAACAAAAATGGGACCAAATTTGTAAAATATTTCAATTAGTAGTGGTACAGATCTGTAGCAACCTGTAGTCACTGTATTCTCTCCTGAAAGAAACAATACATTGGCTAGTTTTATTCTTTAATGATAAAATCTGTAAAAGGAAATGATGTAACTTGTAAGCATTATTCATTTATTTTTACAGCATTTCTTTAACATTACGGTGTATCTTGTTTTATTTAGTTTTAATAAAGTATTATAGTCATCAAATATAACCTATGTATAAGAAATGAAATTAGAAATGTCACGTGGAATGATATCTCTGGTTTAAATTACAAATTTAACTTCTATCTAATTTAACTGTTATTTTATGTTAATTGCATGAGCAACTGTAATAAAAGATATCAGTAATTAAGGTATTTATCATTTTTCTTTATTTTCTTTCTATATAAATTATTTATTTTATATTTATGAAGTTAATAAAATTACTTGGATCTATTTAACATATGTAATTTGTTTTAGGATAAGTAGAATGGCAAAAAATAAAACACAAGATAAATTTACAAAGCTAAAAAGCAAAGCCTCCAATACTAAAAAGGAAAATAAATTTAAGATGTCAATATTGAATACTTCAGCTACAGTTTTATGTATTAGTATTGCTGCTTGGTTTAGTTATAAAGGATATCTTGAAACCAGAGTAAATACTCCATATGATACAAAAAAGGTATATCTTATATATTTTTGTATTGTCCTTATATTCAAATTATATTGAAATTATTAATCAAATTGATATTTTTTTTTTTAAATAGTTAGTAACAACCTCTGGGTTAGATGCCCCAGATAGATATTGGGGTAGTTATAGATCAGCTGCCTATTTTGGATTAAAAACAAGAGATCCACATTCATTAGTAACAGGATTGATGTGGTATTTTCCACATCTATTACGTCAGGATGGTAGTGGCCTTAGACATTGGTGTGAACAAGGTGATAAATTAGATAGGTGAATAAAATTGTTTATATTCAATAGCACATTTTTAAAACATACATAGAATGTTTATTGTTTATCTTAAATTTAGATATGCTTGGATGGAACATGATGGAAGAACTTTTGGTGTTCAAGAAATAGTAGATGGTTCAGCTATTTTGAATACTACATTTGTTAAAAGACTTGGTGGTAAACATGGTGGAGATTGGACTAAAAGAATTGGTGTAACTTCTGAAAATGGAGTAAGAAATGGTGAAGAAATTTCATTACTCTTCTATACTGCCATTGAAGAAAACACCAAGGGATGGATTAAAGTCAGTCTTGGTGATGAAAGACACCTAACAGGTGTAGAAGGAAATACCCAAGGGTTGGGTTCATTTACTATAAATCTCAACATAGTACAGGGAACTGTAGAAGAGCACTCGTTTTTAGCAACTGTTGTCCCTAGTTTGACTGTTTTGAAAGAAACCATTCTTCAGAATCTTAGAATAGCATCTCACAAAGGATCTTCAAAAAAACACATAATCTTGTCAGGTGAACAAATACCACTATCAGCAGATGGTAAGAAGAAAGAAGCAAATTTTATTGTAACACAAATAACAGGAAGAATTCCTTTTGAAATTGAAATTAGTTACGAGTCAGGTAGTTTCATCAACAGGGTTAACAAACTAACTGGTCAAAACTATGAACTTGCTTTAGAAAAGCAACGAAAATTATTCGACGAAAAATTCGAAAAATTATTTAAATTAAGATCAAAAGGTTTTACAGAAGAAGATATCACATTTGCAAAAATGTCACTATCGAATATGATAGGTTCCATAGGCTATTTCTATGGAAGTTCACAGGTACAAAGTCAATATACTAAAGGACCTGTGCCTTACTGGAAAGCACCTTTGTACACTGCTGTGCCTAGCAGAAGCTTTTTTCCACGTGGTTTTTTGTGGGACGAAGGATTCCATGGTTTACTTATATCAATTTGGGATTTAGACATTGAATTAGACATCATGAATCATTGGTTTGATCTGATGAATGCAGAAGGTTGGATTCCTCGAGAAATGATTTTGGGTCAGGAATCTTTAGCAAAAGTACCAGAAGAATTTGTGACTCAAATAAATACAAATGCGAATCCGCCTACATTCTTTTTGACGTTACATTTTATACTTAAGCATAAAGAGAAGGAAATATTAGACAAACGTTTTCAATTTCTTGATAAATTGTATCCTCGACTTCAAACATGGTTTAATTGGTTTAATACTACACAAATAGGAGATATACCAAGTACGTACAGATGGCGAGGTAGAGACGGAACAACTAACAAGGAATTAAATCCAAAGACACTGACTTCTGGATTGGATGATTATCCAAGAGCTTCTCATCCAAACGTCGATGAAAGACACGTAGATTTACGTTGTTGGATTGCATTTGCTGCGAATATTATGTACCAGATTAGTGAAATTTTGAATCAGCCTAATAACAAATATAAGGAAACGTACCAGTATTTATCCGATAATAATTTATTGAATAAATTACACTGGTCACCGAATACTGAAACCTATGCTGATTTTGGATTGCATACAGATAAAGTAGTTCTGCGGAAACCAATTACACCTACAAGATCACATGTACAACAATTGGAAACAATACGGGTCGTTTCAGAAGATCCAACTTTAAGATATGTTGATACGTCCTTTGGCTATGTATCATTATTTCCATTTATTTTACAAATCATTGATCCCAATTCTCTGCAATTAGGCAAAGTATTACAAGATTTAAAGAATCCTGATCTTTTATGGACTAAGCATGGTTTAAGATCGCTAGCAAAGATATCTCCGTTTTATATGAAATATAATACTGAACATGATGCTCCTTATTGGCGAGGAGCTATTTGGATGAATTTAAATTACTTGACAGTAAGAGCTACACATTATTATTCTACTATTGATGGACCATATCAAGATGAAGCAAGAAAAATTTATCAAAGTTTAAGGCAGAATCTAATACAGAACATTATTAAACAATATAAAAAGTCAGGATATTTGTGGGAAAATTATGGAGATGTTTATGGAGAAGGTAAAGGCAGTCATCCATTTACTGGTTGGACATCTTTAGTTGTACTACTTATGGCAGAAATATATTAATTATGTACAGCTTCTCTTATAGACACTGTTTTAGTAATGAAAGAATCAAAAGATATAAACAAGTGGTTTAAACATTCTTTATACTTTCAGTTGTTAAGTATAACAGTGTGATAATCTTATTAAATTATTACTGTTACTTCTAGAAAACAACAAATATTGCATACAAGTTTTACAGCCTGAACCAATATTATTTATAGTTCCTAATTTTGTAATATTTTAGATATAACTGCTGTTTTTTAATATTAAAACAGTAAATTGTGAAATCATGGGAAACAGTCTATATTATTTCAATATAACATTATTAAAGACATTTTCAACTCTTGGCTGTGACTCGTTGAAAAAGATTATGCTGTAATGTTAAGTCATCTTGAAATAAAAAACATTTAAAGTTTTCATGTATTTTCATTTAAAATAATTGGAATGAATGTGTAACCAAAAATTTAAATGAGCTATTGGCAATCCTGTTTGTAACTAGAAAGAAGAAGTAATTTTATTTTGCTTAGCTGTCAATACCTCCCTTCAGACCTCACCAGAGAATAGGTGTGCGCCTGTAGGGTTACGATTGTGATTTTTCATAGTTTTTACATAAAATAGTGAGGTTTTTAAATAATTATGGAGCCTTACGATGTGATAGTTAACCAGCCCGTAGTTATTGATAATGTAAATAACCTATTAGATTTAAAAATTATTAAATTTTATCATCCTTTGTGCTGGTGTGTCAAATTGAATTCTACCATAATGTCGGCTTCTAAGTAACGCCAAAAACTTTGCACTTTCTCTTTAAAATTAGGGATATTATTTATATTATGCAATCTTTCTGCATTCCATGCACTATTTTTTTGTTATTAATATTTTAATATAATGCTTCCTTATGTATTATGAGAATTTAATAATTTTTTGGAAATAAAATCATTTTTATTATTTAATATTAATAATAATATCATTAATATTATATTTTCATATGCTTAGGGTTCTGGTGTAATCAAAGCAGGCTTTGCAGGTGATCAAATACCAAAATGCAGATTTCCAAACTAGTAAGTAAATCTTATGATAAGATCTAATTAGTATTCTTCAGTCTTCTGCTTGCTTAGAAGTTACTGCCAGGTAGTAAAGGAACCTCAAATTTCTTTTTAATTATTGTATCTTCTTTCTTTCTGTCTCATGTAACATTGCTGATGTAATTAGCTGTTAATAAAAATAATTTCTAGCATTGGCAGACCCAAACATGTAAGGGTCATGGCTGGTGCTCTAGAAGGAGACCTGTTTGTGGGGCCAATAGCTGAGGAACATCGTGGCCTTTTATCTCTTCGTTATCCAATGGAACATGGAGTTGTTACAGATTGGAATGACATGGAGAGAATTTGGTCTTATGTATATAGTAAAGATCAGTTAGCAACATTTAGTGAAGAACATCCAGTTCTATTAACAGAAGCACCACTTAATCCAAGGAAAAATAGAGAAAAAGCTGCAGAAATATTCTTTGATACATTCAATGTTCCAGCTTTGTTTGTTTCAATGCAAGCTGTTCTTAGTTTGTAAGTATATGACCTGTAATAGATAATGTAAATCAATAATCTTTCAATGTTATCCATTGAATAATACTTTTGTAGATATGCCACTGGACGAACTACAGGGGTTGTTTTGGATGCTGGAGATGGTGTCACACATGCTGTACCTATTTATGAAGGTTTTGCTATCCCTCATAGTATTATGAGGGTTGATATAGCAGGACGCGACGTTACAAGGCATCTACGACTTCTTTTACGTAAAGAGAGTATTAATTTTAGAACTACAGCAGAATTTGAAATTGTTAGAACAATTAAAGAACGAGCGTGCTATCTCGCTAGTAATCCTCTGAAAGAAGAAACCATTGAGACAGAGAAATTTCAGTATATCCTACCTGATGGGAGTTGTTTGGAGGTAATAGTTTGTTACCTCTTAAAGAATGATTAATTATGAATATAATTTATTTAATTATTTGGATAATTTATTTAATGTATTTGAAAACTTTTGATGTATGATGTATGCAGAGTATGGTACTTATTTACAATAGATCGGTCCAGCTCGGTTTAGAGCTCCTGAAGTACTCTTTAGACCAGACCTGATTGGAGAAGAATGTGAAGGACTTCATGAAGTATTAACATATTCCATTCAGAAATCTGACCTAGATTTAAGAAAGGTGTTATTCCAGAATATTGTTTTGTCAGGAGGATCAACGTTATTCCGTGTAAGTATGAAATTAATCACAAGTATTTTAAAGGTATTGTGTTATTAATAGTACAAGGTACTTCAATATGTGTTTTATGTATTAGGGATTTGGTGATAGGCTATTATCTGAAATTCGTAAAATGGCACCAAAAGATATAAAAATTAGGGTATGTATAGTATGTAACAAACTATCACTTTGTGCTAGAATTTTCTTTATTATAAATATTTGAATTGTAATAGATATCAGCACCACAAGAACGATTATATAGTACTTGGATTGGAGGTTCCATTTTGGCTTCATTAGATACTTTTAAGAAGATGTGGGTTAGTAAAAGAGAATACGAAGAAGATGGTATAAGAGCGATTCATCGTAAAACATTCTGAATTTAATTTAGGAAGATTTAAGATGTTATGTCAAATAATTTAAATACAACATATAAGTAATGGCACACTCAGCACAAAAATTGAGATGTACTGTGTTTACTGTGCTCTTTGAATGCTTTTAATATTGCAATTTTTTAAAACTGCTTTAACTTCTTTCTTTTTCCAAGTGAAAATATATTCCAAGGGATCGTAAGATATTAATATTTAACGAATTCAAAATAGAACATAATTTTGATTATATTTTTAAAAGGTTTGTTTAAGATTCCTTGGAAATGTACATAAAAGGATTTCTAAGGTTAAACGTATTTTAACTCACCAAATTCAATATAATTTTAAAACTAAACACTGTCTAACAATTCAATTAAATTCTTCATTTTAAAATACTATAGGTGCAAGTTATATATTTGTTTCTATATTATTTATAGTTTTGTTATATCTAATATATTAAAAAGACCAATTAACAAAATTGAGCACTTTGGTTAACTGAATTAACATTACAAAAGGAATAATGTAATTTCCATTTGCAGTAACAATTTTGCAAAGTATTTGTAAATATGTATGCTTCGGTAAAATAAATCTATAAACTCTTTACACATATATAATGGTTACATCGATTTTTATAATCAAGCGGTACTGATTGCATATTCATACTTCATACAGTTTCATATGTAATAGATAATAATAAAATAAATAGTAATTAATAACAATCTGAAACCATTCAAAGTGAGTTAACTGTAAAGGTACTAAAAACAAAGGAATCACAATGTTCGCCTAAGTTTATGTTTTAACTGTGATAAAATCATTGAAACTTAGTTAATTGTTAGTATTTATTCTTTTAATAAATTTTTACAGTTGCAAATGTTAAATCCTATGTTTTCACATAAGATTAAAGATATACTTTTAGCAGTTTAGCTACTTCAAAATAGTTTACATGGGCATCACAAATTGTATTAGTAAGGAGCATTGTATAATTAATATGTATATGTAATACTGTTCGCTTTAATAACTGTATCTTAATTTATAATAAAAAAAGTATATTATTTATTATTGATGTGTTCGAAATACCATTCCCTCAGTTAATAATATAAAATTCAAATAAAGGCAGCCCACGTACCTTACAGCAGGGAAGCGGAAATTAAGCTGTATAAATTAGTTGCTTCGCGCCGAAGCGTGCCAAAGCGTTATGTCGCCTACAGTTGCTAAGAAACTCAGTGTTTATCGATGGCGCCGGAATCGTGGTTGAACCTCATTCAAAATGCCAAGAAGACCGCTATTATTCAGGACGGTAATATAATTTAAAGATATATTAATATTTTATCTGTAATGTTAGTGTTACTTTGATTATAATTATAAAATAAGTAATCCAAAATGTGTACTGTTAACCTTTAAGATGTTTGATCAATAGATTGCTATTACATAAAATATATTTGTAGTATATCGTTTATTCATTATTTAGTGTAAAGTACAAGTAACTTTAATAATGTTATAATGAAGTAATATTTTATAAATTGTAGGAAAAAGAAAAATTCATTTCTTATTAGAAGATGGTAGAGAAATGGTAGAAGAATACCATTTGGAAACTAATGTTTTGGTAAGAAGAGCATGGAAAGAAAAAGGTAATCTTGGTCAAAATGAAGGTTGGAATGTAGAAATTGGGGATCCTGAACCAAAACAAAGTAACATTGAAGTGTATGGAATTCAAGAAAGTTCAAATGCTGTATGTATAGTCTTTTTTATAAGTCATGGGAATATATTCATAGATGTACCTCATCAAAGCTCAAGCATTTGATAACTAACAAGTTATTAAATCATACTTTTATAGCCATTTATTACAAGAAGGGTGACAAAAACAGCACTTGAGTGGAGGATAAGAAATTTACTGTATCCTCAGAATGTGTATTCAGTTACTGCTGAAGATGATGGAACAATAACTGTTCGTACAAGTAATAAAAAATATTTCAAAAAACTAAAGGTTCCAGATTTAGAACGTGTTGGGTTAAAACCTGAACAGGAAAGAATATCTTTTACCCATCAGCATAACACCCTAATTATTGTGGTATGAAAATTACTACTTTTCCTTAGAGAATTTTTTTATAAATCTCATATTCATTTTTGTTGTAGTATAAAAAACCACCTGCACTTTTGGAGATGGAGAAAAAAGTGCTGGAGGAGATACTACAACTTAAGGCAAGAAAAGAGGGTGATATACAATGTCCAACAAGCTAATAAAAATCTTAATTGTTAAAACTGTTTATGTTCATCGTTTTATATATAATCATATTTGTTTGTATGTACATATGAAAAGGTTTCGAAAATTAAGTTAATAATTATTACAGTATTAATAATTTGTATATGCTGTTCCATTTATTAGGTACGAAATGTGTTAAAACGATATTTTTAAATTATATAAACTCTCTGCATATTCTAATGAACAGGTTTAAAGAATAATCGTTCTATTTATTTTGTAAAATTTTTATGTTTAAAGGAGTAGATCTATGTTCTTATACCTCCCTTCCATTGAGCACAGATCTATGGCATTTGGTCACAACAGGATAACATGACGTTGCGCGCGAAAATCGAGAGATCGATTAATCGTTCTGCGTCGCGACAGCCATTGACTGCATTTGTCTGCTGCGTATGCATGCTGTGGTAGTGGTATTGCGTTTTTGTGTTATGCTTTCGATTTCTCATAAAATCACCTAAAGAAGTGACAAATATGCCGAAGTCGATACCTGAAAAGTAACTATTATTTATTTTTCATTTTACATAATGCCATTGAATTTGTTGGGAAATTGGAAACTACTTGTTTATTGGTTCTAAACAGAGGTCACATTGTAAAGAGGTTATGTTATGCCGACTTTTCGTCATATTTATAATATTTCTTCGTTACATTGGACTTACAATAAAACCTTATTTAATTGTAAATCACAGTTTTGTTATTAAAATTGATTTTTACATGCTACATAATCATAGTTTATAATAAATTTTTAATGTTTCTAAATGTGTTTTTTGATGCGATTTATACGATTACTAATTTATCGGTTGAGAAACGTGCCCTTCATAGTTCTCAATGTTTTTAATAGAGGGTGCTATTCGCATGTGTCTAATGATGTCACGTGGTACAAATTTAAATATTTTGATTGACCAATTTTGATTCTTTTTTATCTTTTAAGAAATAACAACTATCTTAAAAAAGTGCTGTTATTTAGTGTAAAATAATTTGTCAGAGTTTCGATTATTTAAAATTATATCGGACAATAATATCGAATAAATAGTTACATGCTGGTACTCGTTTTCTTTTCAGTATCACTTGTTGCATGTATCCGTTTTATACTATTTAATTTATAATTGTGTATTTGTGTATTAGTTTTAATATTTTTGTTAAAATGTTTTATTTTATGTTCCAGGTGGTTGGAATATAAACCATATGGTTCTGTAATTAATGATACAAAAATTTTGCCGTTCAAAGTACCTCTGAAAGAGGTGAGTACCATTATCAATAAATATAATAAATATCTTTTAGAGTTAGATATATTTTAAGTCATTTTCCTCGCCATTAATTGGTACACTCGCAATCAGTTCACTTTTTATAAATTTCATATCTTGTGTATTCGACGCAAAATTAATAAATAAAGAAAATAATTTATATTTGCAAATCGCGTTTCTACAATTGTCACGCCGAACGTATGACCGCTGTCCTCGGAGTCGCGTTACCGTTCTTTTTCTTCTCTCCCCCATAGTAAATCAAAGATCTTCTTCGCGGGGGTCGTGGCTGGTTCGAAGTCGAGATAAGATCGCATCGAATTCCAGAAATAGAAGGTACAATGTCGGTATCCATACGCGTCGGTGCGTCTCGTACGAGTTAGGTATGCGCATACACGTTTGATACACGGGGTACATGGCACGGGCCACCGTGAAATCGATACGAGTCAACGGTGTGGAATCAATTTTTCTATAAGTATTTTACAGTCAATCGACTCTGCATTCAATAATACGTTTTTCGAAAAAAAAAAAGAAAAGAGTCGGGAGGCCAAATAAATTTAGGAATCTCTGCTGTAGCATAACGAACGAGAGACTCGTTTATCCATGGTGGTTGGTAACGGTAAGGTAGGAAAGACACCTCTGTGAGATCTCGTATCGGTTCAGGCCAAATTGCTGTATTGTTGCATACCTTCGCTCTAGTGTATATATAAACAAGCTTGATGTATGCACACACTTTTGTCCGAAACGTGCCGGCAGTGCTTTTTCGATTGTGAATAGCCCGGTCGATTGTTTGCCTAGTAACTGAACAAAGTTTGATCTCCCATACTGGCTTCTGCTGTGTGATCTATGGTGCTCGTGCTGTGATCCAGCGGTATTTTCTCTGAAGTTTCTATCACTTTACATCGTGCGTCTATGATATCTTTCTATCATCCATTTTTAAATTCTGTTTGTTATAAAATTTTTGAAATTTATTCAGTTTATCTGAAGAAATTTATCAGTAATCTCAAGACTAAAGAGTTTATTCAACTAAAGAGGTTCTCGAAGGTTCAATAGCTTCCAGAAATCCTGGTTGTATATCAGACTGAGTGTCTATTAAAAAATATAACATTATATAGTAGTACTATAACTTCACATAGTATCAATAGTTGATAGATTTCCACGTGAAAATGGGCGCCGGTAATTCCGTGCGCCGCTGGGGGGCGACCAGTTGTGTACCGCTATCCTCGTTTGTTTCCACTCGTTTAATTTCCGCCTAACTCTTAGCAAACCGGTTCTTCTCATCTACCGTCGTCCACTTTTGTACAACGGACAGTTGCAAATAAGTTCGGAACCTCTTTCGGTCGGATCGGTCGATGCTATGCATATAAGCGCCGTATGCATACGCAAAATAAGGAGAGGGTGGCCCGGGCTAATTGATTCCGGCGTCGCCGGGCATTACATAAAACAAGTCGAAGCGATGGCCAGGAATTGGACTCGGGTTGATTGGGCCCGGTTACGCCGGCCACGGGGGGCCACTCGTTAAATAGGGCCCCTCAAAATGCCCGCACCTTTTGCGCCCCCTACCCGGTCCGCCCCGTTGCTCGTGCCTCGTACGGCAAACACCACGAACCGCTTCTTCATCTTCTATAAGAACGTGTAACAAATATCGATTCACACACGAAATGCGATACCGTCTTCGCCGACACGCTGTACACTTTCTACGTTTCTTTTTATTCGGGACGACACCCGGCCCCGATGAATTTAAGACGACACCCCTATAGTCACATATACATTGTAAAAGATGCGCTTTAAAGTCGATTTTAATTTTGGATTGAATTTCGTTACGTCCGTGTAATTTCGTACGGAATTCACGGTGGACCGATGGCCGCGAACATTTTAGACGCTTGTAGATTATCCCCCGAGCGACTTGGCTCGATGTAGATTTTAGTTTTCAATCTATCATTTTTTTATATTCTCGTAAATTCGACAACAAATTCGTTATTTGCGAATCGAAAGAGCAGCACCGGTTCAAGGGGAGGTCTAAGGGTGGTTGCAGCTCCTGGTCCCGTTTTTCAGAGGGTTTTCTTCCAAGCCTTCCATTTACTATGTTAAAAAATATTGAATGGGATTTTTCAAGATTTTATTTTAGAATAAATTTCAATTTTTGTACCGAGTTTATCGACCAAGGGAAGGTTTAATCTTTGAAAGAAATAATATAAAATGTGAAAATGGTCGTCAGTGGGTTAACAGATTAAAGGTAAGAACAGCGAGGCACATTTGTCGGTATAGTATTTCTTCATTCTTACCATTCCACGCAGGTCGACCGAATACTTAGGCTTTTCCCTTGAGGGGACCGAACCACGATAGACAAATTCTGCACATAGAAACGGAATATTAATTCCAGACTTCGGGTTAGAATCTGCTTGAGAATGGATAGGCTGTCTTCATGGGTGATATCTGTATTTTACCCCTGAAAATCTTCGGTATTCAGATCGCTATCACGTTAACTTCTCGGTTACACTCGGACTAACCACCCTCGTTGTTTCCACGTAGGTAAAGGCTGTCTTCTCCTGAAAAATAAGAGGAGAATGAATCGGGGTTTCGTATGGTTCGTCATAAAATTCTCGTATACCAAGAAGAGTGCAATTTTCGTAATGTTTATAGCTCTTCTTTATGTTTAATCGTATGTTATCTTATTACTATCAGTTTAATTAATTATTATTTGTAGGAATATAACTAAGAATTATTTGGAATATTAAATTCATTAAAATGTAAAATTATACATTTCCTTCAAAGAAACTTATAATAAGAATTAACATAGGCGATGATTCGTCTGATTAATAATTCAGTCTCTGAATAATTTAAAAAACGTTTTTTAACAGGCGCTCAAAAATGAAGAAAAACATTAAAAATGTTGAAAATTACGCGTTCTGGACATTGAATTAATTTGTCAGCCACATCGAAACCATCATTCATCGTCGGCATACAGGATATTTTGCTAGCATATGTCGCATTGCAAACATTTCTTCTTTTTTTTCCTCCGGATATGATTTATGAACAAGTCCCTGGCAAAGTTCGTAGCGAGGAATGTATTCGTGTCATGGTCCGGACCTTGTGTTCCTCGGACTTTTTACTTTCCGTTCTTTTCTTTTCCTCTTCGACAAAATGTTAAGTAACGTTCGGCGATAGTAATCGGTTTGCTTACTGTCGGAAATAATAAACAGCGGGCATATTCTACCCTGTCGTAGACGCTAATCTGTCGGGTAAACACTCAATTTCACGCTTATGGTCCCGCGCAACTTTTATGCCAAACTTACGAAATCCCTTTGGAACCGAATAATACAAAGTTTCCTTCTAACTCGCCCACGATGTTCAAACAACCAGCCTCGAATTTTATACGTTTCCATGAATATTAAACGTGTACCTGCTTTTTTTCTAACGCTGGATCACGGAGAAGTTCAGTGATCGTGAAGATAAAAAGATCTATTGGATTGTTTATAGAATTTTACAATTTTTTCAAGTTGATTTCAAGCCATCAAAAGTTTAACATAGTTTGATGGAATAAAATTATACCAATTTGAAGTTTCAAATTTGAAAAAGTTTTACAATCACAGAAAGTAAATTCTGAATTTTAAAATAATTTTAAGATCAATTCAACAATTTTAGTTCAGATAATTAAGATTTTATTGTACATTGGAAAACAGAATTATTGGTACGCCTCTTCTGTTTTCTTCAACACTTAAAGTTTCTTTACCACAAACGTTTTCACACGGTTTTGAAGGGTTCTACCTGTTTGCATAGTGTTCGTGTGTTTGCTAATTTTCAAGAGTTCTCGATACATGCATATTCTTTCTACAGGGAATAATTTATTGGTACCCTCGCGAGTCGAATCGGTGTGTCCTATGTTATTAGCGATGCTAAGTGTTTGTTTAACACTCCTTACGAAGGAAGAGGGTTCGTCGATGCAATTTCCCATCTTCTCGTAGCGGTGGAAGGGATTTCACGAAAGGGATGAGCGCGAAGAGGAGCGAAAAAGAGAAGGACAACGATTTGTAATTTATGCCGAAGTTAGCGAGCAACTTCGATGACTTTGTAAAATATTACTGATCCCCGGTTTCGGAGATCTTATCTGGCTCCGACACCGCGTTCCGTTTCGTCGGAACGCCTTCTTTCTCTTCTTCTTCTTCTTCTTCTTTTAGCAGGCTGGCGCCTCCAAAGGGGTCGTGTGTCGCGTTCAGAGACCCTCTGTGCCACGATTTTGCTCTCCAAGTTCCGGCGATCGACACCGACATAGAACCGTGCAAACATGTCATTTGTTGATGAATCTTGCTTTCTTAGCGGCAATCAGGGGTGGTATTATATTTTTGGTGAGCGGGCAAAAGAGTATTTCAGAATTTGATAGAAACCTGTTTTTTATATTTTGGATTTCCATCAAAATCAAATCTGAAATTGAAACACAAAAAACTATTTTTTAATTCATCGATTCAATTATTTTTCTCTTAATAGTCATCAGGATTTTATTTTTAACATTAAAATTATCAAACCCATCGAAACGACTGATTTATAAAATCAGGAAAATGAATTTCTGATCAGTTCGTTTCATCCCACAGTATGTTATAGTGGGAAAGGATCAGACAAACGTGAAAGTAGGTAAGAAATTGACGAGAAGATAGTAAAAATTTCTCCCGGGTCCCATCGCGGTCGTTGCATGGTCGGAGATGTGGGTGCCGAAGGGGGTGGTCGAGTCGTAGGGTTTGAATGCGGTGAGACAGAGGGAAGCACGCCACGAAGGACACTTTTGTTTCGTACTTTAGTGTCACGCTGTCCCCATCCATCGCGTTTCATCAGATATGGTAGCTGGGCCACGGTCTATCTCTGCTAGATGAGATGGCGAGTGTCCATCTTGAGGTCCTCTTTTTCCGGGAACCCCGCGGAGTAAAGGAGACCTCGCAGTAGCCCTGTTTATCTCTTTGCCCGATCATGTTTCGCCGTTTCTCTTATTTTGCCAGCCTTCGTTACGC